CTACCTCCACGATTTGAAGTCCGTCTTTGAAAAGAAAGCAGCTGAACGTTTTCCAGAAACCAGGCCTTGGGACCACGCCATTGACTTGAAACCCGATTTTATTCCACGCAACTGTAAAGTCTATCCGTTATCGCTCAAAGAACAAGGAGCGATGGATGACTTCCTGGAAGAAAATCTGCGAAGAGGATACATTCGACCGTCGAAGTCTCCCATGGCTTCACCATTTTTCTTCGTAGGAAAGAAAGACGGAGCACTACGTCCCTGTCAGGATTACCGATACCTGAATGAAGGGACGGTGAAGAACGCCTATCCTCTCCCGCTCATTTCTGACCTTATGGATCAATTCAAAGGCGCATCGATCTTTACGAAAATGGATTTACGCTCCGGATATAACAATGTCAGAATCAAAGATGGTGACCAATGGAAGGGCGCATTTAAGACAAATCACGGACTTTTCGAACCTATGGTCATGTTCTTTGGACTCTGCAACTCCCCGGCGACTTTCCAAATGATGATGAACGCACTCTTCAAGGACATGATCGATGAGGGATGGATAGTCATTTACATGGATGATATCCTCATCTTCTCAAATGATTTGGAAGAACATCACGTTCGAACCCGACGCGTACTCCAACGACTCAAAGACAACGACTTATTCCTTAAACCGGAAAAGTGTTTCTTTGACGTTAAAGAAGTCGAATTCCTAGGCATGATCATTCGAGAAAACTACATTGGCATGGACCCTATCAAACTTAAAGGAATTGCAGAATGGCCTGAACCAAGCACGGTAAAAGGTGTTCGCTCTTTCCTAGGGTTTGGAAACTTCTATCGGAAGTTTATTGCCAACTTCTCGGATATTGCCAAACCATTGACGAATCTTACGCGCACTGCCGCTGGATCTCCACCTTTTGAATGGACAACAGAATGTCAGACAGCTTTCAACACATTGAAGCAACGATTCAGTACCGCCCCAGTACTGTTACTGCCTGACAAGGCAAAACCCTTTATTGTGGAATCTGATGCTTCCAAGTTTGCTACGGGTGCAGTTTTATGCCAAGCCGATATCAATGGAGACCTCCATCCTTGTGCCTACATTTCACAGACACTCAATCCAGCTGAATGGAACTACGAAATCTACGACCGTGAACTCCTCGGAATCGTTCGAGCCCTCACTGAATGGCGCCATTATCTTGAAGGCTCTCCCCATCCCGTCGAAGTTCGCAGTGATCACAAGAACCTCACGTACTTCCATACAGCTCAGAAGTTAAACCGCCGACAAGCACGATGGAGTCTCAAATTATCACAATTTGATCTTCACCTTATCCATGTCCCTGGCACTCAGATGATCCAATCTGATGCGCTATCTCATCGTAATGGACTCAATGACAGTAAAAGTGACAACGAAGATCGCATTCTTTTACCCAACGCACTATTCGTGCGATCCATTTCCCCGACACTGTTCGACGAAATCAGGAATCACGCAGCAAAAGACCTCATTGTTCACGAAGCCCTCGAAGCGATTGCGCACAAAGGGCCATTCCTCATGAAATCATCGCTTTCTGACTGGGAAGTTCACGATGGTGTCATCCTCTACAAGGGAAAGATCTATGTTCCACCATCCGAAACTCTTCGTCGTGACCTCGTTCGACTACATCACGACTCCCCTGCCATGGGTCACCCTGGAAAGTTCAATACTCTTGAACTGTTACGTCGTGAATTCTGGTGGCCCGGCATGTATACATTTGTCTACAATTATGTTGAAGGCTGTGCCGCCTGTCAACAAATGAAACCGAATACTCATCCAACTCGTATTCCTTTGGAACCAATTCCCGCCGACCCACACGCATTACCATTTTCCTGTTGCACCACCGATTTTATTACCGACCTCTCCGTTTCCAACAGTTTTGATTCAATTATGGTCGTAGTAGACCATGACCTTACGAAAGGGGTGATTCTTACGCCCTGCCTCAAAACAATCACAGCCGAAGGAACGGCGAAGATTTTTCATGACAAAGTATACTCGCGATTTGGATTACCCGACCGAATCATCTCGGATAGAGGACCTCAATACGCATCCAAGGTCTTCCAAGAGTTAAATCAACTACTCCAGATCAGATCATCAATAAGCACAGCTTATCACCCTCAGACGGACGGAGAAACAGAGCGAGTCAACCAGGAGCTGGAAATCTATCTTCGACTCTATTGTGGAAACAACCCTGAAACATGGGCCGACTGCCTGCCAGACCTCGAGTTTTGTCATAACATAAGGGAACACTCAGCACGGAAGATGAGCCCATTCCGCATCATGATGGGATACGAACCACGTGGACTCCCTTCCATATTTCCGACCATGAACATTCCATCGGTTGAATCCAGGCTTGACATGTTGCAGAAGATAAGACTAGAAGCACTAGCCATGCACGAGTTAGCCCGACAACAGATGGCGGACCGAGTCAGACAAGGATCGCCGAAGTTTACACTAGGACAGAAGGTCTGGCTAGACTCGAGGAACCTGAAGGTCAATTACGCCTCGCGCAAGATAGCACCAAAGCGTGAGGGGCCATTCGAAATTGTCGAAGTCATCGGACCAGCCAACTATCGTCTCAAACTCCCGAAGACCTGGCGAGTTCATTCCGTATTCCACGCCGCCCTTCTATCTCCTTATCGCGAAAACGACATACATGGTCCGAATTATGTGAACCCACCACCTGATGTCGTTGATAACAAAGAAGAGTATGAAGTCGAAGCCATCCTGAATCACAAGACGTACCGAGGTCATCTGAGGTACTTAGTCAAGTGGAAGGGATATTCTTCAACAGAAAACTCGTGGGAACCTACCCACAATTTACAGAATGCCAAGCGAATCCTCGATGCATATAAAAGGACCAGGGGAATCCAGTAGAGGAGAAGAAACCCTGAATGACTACCACGACGGTTTTCCTCATCATCTTCCTAATCGTCCTCCACTGCACAACCCTCACTTTTCTTTGGATTGTCCATCGAATCCTTATCAGACGACTTGTCGAACACACACTCTTCACGCGAGACAGCCCGCACGCTAACGGCTGGGGTGATCAGAATGATGCCTGGAACTGATCAGGCAGCTCTTATCTCTGTGGGAATACTCTTTATCGTCCAATGGATTTTCATCTATTTGATTATTACTCGGATCCACGACATTCTATTTCACATCACAGATAACCGTGATCCCCTTAATGACCGAAAGGTATAAAAGGAGGAGAAAACGACATATCATCAATGCCCACTTCCGCTATAGACGACCTTGTTCACAATATACTCGCTGAAGTCGCCTCCACAATTATGAGCATACCCGCATCGCCTACGCTTGTCAATGGAGTACCCTCTCGAGCACAGACACCCTTTATCCGCACCTCATCGCCCTCACCTTCTATCGAACTCAGTCACGCATCGGACGAACAAGAATTTGCCACACGTCTGATCTCGGCTATCCGTGTTCCTGTCGACTTCACAGATATCCTTGTCACCTTACGAAATCACCCGCAAGATCGACAAGCAGTGGTTTCCATGCAACGAGCATTAGAAATGGTCGAGTGGATGCAGACAGCTAGACAAGAGCTCATCGCAGCAGAAGAAAGGACGAGTAGAGCCCGAACCAGAGTCGACCAAGCCTGGTCGCTGATGCGTAGTACGGTCACTCGTACAGCACAGGAGATTTGGAGGGAGCATGGGGACGAAGACATCGGACACATCCTCGGATATACCACTAATGGAATACCCGCATCCACTCCTCGCTCATCGCCAGAACCAATTCCCGTTCGACCTCGCCCTCCTCGTTCGCACGTACCCAGTGGACGATCTCCGTTATCCCAACCATCTTTCTCGACCGCATCCACTTCTTCGCGTCGCAGTCATCCCTACAGGGATGGACGTATCCCCGAACAAGGATCACGAACCAGCCGGCGGACATGCTACAAATGTGGAGGAGATCATTATGTCCGTGACTGCCCCCGACGACGATGAAGATCACAATATTTCTTGTGGGACAAGAAACGTTAGACGGGAGCTGATGTTACAATGCTCCTCACTTGTGGCGCGTCTTTTCCTTTTTCTTTTCTTTGTTCCCTTTACGTTACCAGACCACGTGATCCAACACGCGACTCATCGGAGCGCAACCTCTGATTCTTTATCCAGATGTCCAGAACTCCTAGTCTGGGGTTACACCGGATCCAACTCCGGACCTTCTTCTTATCGCACATGCAAGACGTGCATGTATGCCTCATCTTTACCTCGTTCTGATACACGACTCGTTATCCCCATTAGTACTGATTATCTCTCACGACCTTACTCAGCTTTCTCATACATATTACTTCCTCGCTGTTACCTTGCTCAGATATTGTTTCACCTTATCTAGCCAATGAACAATCTCGCATTACTGCGTAGTACTGCGGATACCTTTTGTATAAGTAGACGACCTTGTCGAGCTGGATCCCCATCTCGACCTGGTTACCATTAAACCAGCTTTTCACTTGCCTTTGACTGAGATCGACCGTTAGTAGCAGACAGCTACTACGAGTCATAAGAACGAACTCTGATCGACCTTCAGTGCGAGGACATCGCCAGAAGTGTCACTTGAACGGACTTGTGTCTTAGACTAAGACCTTGTCTCGTGACGACTCGACTAGCCGCTCGTGTTTCGCTGCCGCGTAACACAGATGAACATTGAGTTCCTTAGCAATGACTCTCCAGAAGTCCGAAGTCCAGCGTGCATCCTGATCCATGATGATGTGTTCCAGAATGCCATACCGGTAAACGATATAGTCCACAAACATTCATCCAAATCCTTCGGCGTCCAGCTTCCCTGAGCACGGGACAAACTGCACATGTTTTGTGCAATGGTCAACTGTTACTAGCACGGCATTATAGCCCATGGATTCAGGGAGCCCCATAATGAGATCCAGGGAGACCCACTCATACGGTCAGATAGGGACGGGGTTTGGGTGGAGTAGTCCAGCTTTCATTCATGTATCATGCTTCACCTTTTGACACACATCGCAGGAGGAAACATAGCTCATGACTTCTGCTCGCAATCTTGGCCAGTAGAATTTACTGCTTAGGCGTAGCGCGAGTTTGTGCGGACCTTTGTGGGCGGCTTCAAATGGTGAGTCGTGCGCCCATGCGATTATTCCCGCTGTCTCTGCTCTAGGTATGCAAAGTCGTGCCACGTTATCTTCCGAGTGGAAGAATAGCAGGCTCTCTTCATCTCTGAAGAAGCATTGGCCATCAAAAGGAGAGACATTGAGGCTCCCTGCCTTTTTCCATTTATCGCGAAAGAAGGGGTCCTTAGTGTAGCCATTCATGAATCTTTCCTTGAACTGCTGGCTCAAGCTTATGAGAAGCTTGGCGGATCCGATGTACTCTCCCTTGCTAGAGGGAGTGGATGAGAGTGGTGGTCGCTCATCGCTTTGTGGAGTTGTCAAGGTGGCATTAGCTACAGCTAGTTTCAGCTTGAGGTGTGAGCTCTCGGAGTAACTTCCAGGGCTCTGGTGGTCAAAGTCCCCAGTTCTCAAGCTAGTGTCGCGGTCATCCGGTATTCCCATAGTGTCCCAGTCCCAAGCGGGTGGTAGGCCCTCCAGGACTTCACTCCATTCCCATATGGCCCTTGTAGAGGAGGCCATTTTTGTGGCTGGGAGTCGCTCTTGCTCTGCTTCATGTCTAGCTGGAGTGACTTGGTCCGTGACAATTGCTAGTGAGGAATCAACAACTGGTGAGTTGTGTGCTGGTGGTAGCCTGGGCAGTCTCAACAAGGGATCTACATTGGAGTGTACCCTCCCTGCTCTGTGCACGATGTCGAGATTAGGGAGGTAAGCTGCGAACACTGCCCCCCACGCTGCTAAGTGGCAGTTTGCATTCTCATAAGTGCAAGCCCATTGGAGTACTGCATGATCCATGATAAGCATCACTGCTTTGCCCTCTATGAAGGGTTGGAAGTGAACAAGGCCTTCCTTGGCTGCTAGTGCTTCACGTTCCATCACAGAGTAGTTGTGCTCAGCGGATTTGCACGTGCGACTCTAGTAGGCTATGACATGTTCTACATGCACGAGTGATTCATCGAGGGATGCAGCCCAAGGTTCATTAATAGGAACGTCCTTGAACTTGGAGGTGAGGTGGGTAATGAGATTGGGAGCTGGTTGATGCGACTCGAATGCCTTGCGCAGGTGGTCGTAAGCTTTTGTTCCAGCAAGATCTCGAACTTGAATTGGTTGGACTTGCTGAAGGCATGCTCCCAGGGCAATGTCAGAAGCATCAGTGTAGAGTCGGTATGGAAGTCCCGGCATTGCGTGAGCAAGGATGGGTGCTGACTGGAGTGCTTCTTTAGCCTTCATCCACACAACTTCGCATTCCGTGGTCCAATCCCATTTGTGGTCCTTACGAAGTAGCTCAAAAAGTGGGAAGATGACGAACAAGTAATACGGAATATATGTCAAAAAGTAGACTGTCATTCCCAAAAAGGTTTGGAGTTCGGAGACTCGAGACGGTCATGCAAGTTCGGTGATGGCGCGTACTTTCTCCTCATGAGTAGAGAATCTCAGACGCGATACCTTCTGGCCGAGGAGAAGGATTGAGGAGTAACCGAAATGACATTTCATTGGGGAGAGAGTCATCCTCGATTCCGAAATTGCTGACAAGACTTGGTCTAGGTGTACTAAGTGTTCTTGGCAGTTCTTGGAGTAGATTACGATATTGTCAATATATACGAGTGCGAAGAGCCAAAGATAAGGGGCAAGCACACTCTGCATAATGCGTTGAAAAGTGGACAGTCCATTCCTGAGCCCGAAGGACAGTCGCCTGAACTGGAATAATCCGCGATGCGTGCAGAATGCTGTCTTCTCGTGGTCCTGTTTGGCGATGGGGAGTTGTGTAAATCCAGAGAGTGCGTCCAGTGATGACAGCACTTGGGCTTCAGATAGGGCTTGCAAAATGTCGGTCTGCCGAGGGATTGGAAACTTGTCTGCAATAGTGAGTGCATTAAGCTTCCTGTAGTCCATGCAAAAGCAAGGCTTTCCATTGTGGTAAACTATCAGCACGGGGGCAGCCCAAGGACTTTTTGAGGATTCAACTACCTCCATCTGTAGCCATGCATCCAGCTGTTTATTGATAACTTCACATTTGGCCGAGGATGCCATATACATGGGTAAAGCTACCGGTTTCGCGTCAGTGGGAATGTGTATCTCCATGGCTGATGGGTTGTGTCCCAGGTGTCCATCAAAGGTGAATGCTGACTGGTTCTTCCTCAAGGTCTGCAGAATTTCCTCACGGAGCTGTGGAGGCCAGTCGGGGCTGACATCTAACAACTCTTTCAGTTTGGCAGAAGGAAGTATTGTGTCCTTGGGCAGAGAGGAAGTCTTTGGTCCCCATAACTTGTCTGGTACAACATCGGGTGGGAGTGCTGCAGTGGTTGCAGGCACTGGCTGAATGTCATTGGGTTCATCCTGGTTCCGCGCGGTGGTCGCACTGGAATTGTCCCATGGTCATGCGAAGTTGAGGTCTTAGTCTCGCAGGGAACCTTGGATAAGATGATGCACGGCTGCCACGTGCGCTTCCAGTTCTGATGATGGGGACTCCAGCCATGACCCAGGGCAGTGGAGTCGACCAAGTGCATCTCTCTTATGCACAGTGTAAGGCCGGCTCATCGGATTAGACATGGAAACATAAGGATGGTTCGCGTTGATTAACATCGGGGTACTGAGTAGCATGGAACCATCTAGCTGAGCCAGAACGGTCTTTTGGACCAGCCAGTCTTCAGCGAGAAGGAGATCGGGAATTATGGGCACTTGTCTGCATGACTGGGGGCTAATACGGACATCGGCGGCAGCTCGCACTACTAGACGTTCTTGCAGGAGGCGTCAGGTGTCCTTGTAGTATAATTATAATACCTTCCAGTAACTACCACACAGGTCAATACAATGTGTCCGCTGATCGCCGCACTGGGTTGCATTATAATTCCTCACTAATAAGCGGCCCACATTATAATACTAGCAGAAAAAAAATAATGACAGGGAATTTAAAAAATGAATTGCCATATTTGGAAAAATCAAAACATATAAGAAAAGACGGAATACTATTTTCGGAAAGCTCAAACATACGAGAAAAAAAGACGAAATACTATTTTTGGAATGCTCAAACATATGAGAACAGACAGAAACATTACCTGCCAGCCCAAGCATATGAATTGGTATCAAACCATTCAGCCGTCATATTGCACACAGGTGACAAAACATAGCATTGCGGCTGAAATCTAAAAACATGGGTACCGGGAGAGCGACGACCACATGGGTAGGTCCAATGGATAGAAAGTGACAGCGAGCCAAAAATGAGCACGAGATAGAGAATGTGGGCTATGGGAGGCAGGAGATAGGGAAGGTCAAGTATCAAGATAGCTGACACTACATTATACAGGGTCCACATCGTTCTCCAGATCTTCATCAAGTCCGAGGTCGACGTCAAGCTCTACGTTACAATCAATCTCAGCATCCAGGTCGACAGCTTCAGACTCGATGTCATTGTCCTGCTCACTTGCAGCATCCAAGGACGAATCAAGCACCTGCACAGCAGTATTGAGGTCGCGAAGGATGGTTTGCATGCGTTGCCATACAACGGTCCACTTGGAGTCAAAATTCGCAGCAAGGTTCCTCTCCATTGCAGCGTGCTCCATCGCAAATGCTCGGAGACCTTCGTGCAAAGCCGTATCGCTGTCGGCACTATGATGATCACCTCTGGCACAGAGTTAAAAACAGACCACGGAGGCTCAGGGCAATCGACTTACTGCTAGTCTTCCAGCTCCATGTCCAACAGCAAGAAGGTGCCGGGGCTCACATCCAACTGCGCATCTTGCATTGCCTGAACACGCGCCTGCTCCTCCTTCGCCAGCTTCAAATGCACTTCGGCAAGTGTGACAGCTGACAAAAGTTGTAAGTAAAAGTCAGAGCAATAACCAGCTGGGACTTACTGCTCTTGGGTAACACATATGGATCTGGCTTTGAATGATCCACCTCCCACTCCTCCAGCATCGTCCTCCAAGCTGAAACGTCTGCAGGACATTGTGCAAGCAGACCACTCGTGAACTTGCAAAAATCTTCGTGGTGGGCGATGGCTTCTGGTATCACTTCCAGCATCTGATGCAGCAACATGTTCTCTACACAATTGATATCAAGATTAGCGAGACAGGTGGACCAGTAAGATATGGACTTACCAAGTTCGACCATCTTGCGCCAGTTGTGGAACCCACAAACATTATCGATCGTCTCCCACCATGCACCCGGGCCCATTTCCTTCATGCTGGGGGCCACAAGGTTCAGTGCTGACCAGTTGCATTCAATTTCCTCTCCGTCAGTCCGTGCGCAGCCTTTTGCAAAGTTGAAGGAGTATGGGGCATGACATAATTTCCGGTGAGGCAGGAGGTGGAACTTGGGGACGTAAAATTTGAGGGCAGAACAGGGGAGCTGAAGCCGCAGCTCCAGCAGCACTTGCTCATGATGAGCCCAGAAATTTATGGACTATTGGCAGGCTATGTCGTAGAAGATGACAAGCCTCTTCGTGTCCATGGACTTGACGCTCGAAAGAAAAATGTAATCCATGTTACAATACCTGTAATGAAGTAAGTATCGGGAAGTGGGCTCGTGCACATGTGGACAGACCTTTCTCCCTTCTGTAAGGTGCTGAGCCCTAGCGGCCGAAAAAGCTTATGCCAAGAGCAGCTTACGCCCCCAACGCCCATGGACTGCAAACCTTTGGCCTTCCAGTTCAAAGAGTTCATGAGGGCGGCAAATCCAATGCAGGTGCGAATCTCCTCCTGGTCGACGAATTTTTTGATGTAGTCTGCATACGGCTCATTGTGTACAAAATAAGCCAAGCCAGGTGCCAGCCAGAGGTCGCGCTGATCGTGAGCATGCACACGGTTCAAAAGTCGAAAGTTGGCATTGTGAGAGATGAACAGAGTGTACAGCCATCTACTGGGGGGTTGAATGCACCGTGACGAAAGGGCGAGTAATGCAGGCTTACCTATCAGAGCCGTCGGTGTCATCCCACCCTCGAGGAAGATTTATCCCAGGATGCGGGCAGGCGTGGCACAGCACAGCCAACACTCCAGCACGAGACTCGCTGATACCGCCACTGTCATGCCCCCGGCCGGCGTGTTTTGCCATTTTGACATGGCGCCATTGCCTAATCATGAGCATGAACGAAGGAAGTCAATCCTGTATTTTAGAGAAGCTCTGTCAGTAAAAAAAAAACAGAAATGAGCAGCTGCATCGCTCAGCGGAAGCTTCTGCAAGCCAGTGTTGTCAGTCAACAGCTCCAGTGTCTTGTAAAAGTCGTAAGCTGTTATCTTCCCTTGTAGGTTTAGAACTTGGAAGAGGCGAAGAGTGTGCATGCTGGCACAGGTTCTGGGTTCCAGCCGAGTGGCCGGCCACCAGCCGTAACGAAGAAGTTGCTGGTACTTTGGGGATTCCATACAGGTGCAGAAGGAGACTTTAACTACGTGAATGCCATTCGTATGCAAGACGATGATGTTGCGAGGCTTGGCGTGGGTGCCACAGATTGCATCAAGCTTGTGGCTGAGCTGCACGATGAGCCCGAGGTCGAGAAGGCTGGTCTTCTGGAAGTATGCCCCTGTCCAGACCTACTACAGCTTTCAGAAGGTATTCTGGTAAGAAGAAACTGTGCTACACATACCTCGATAGCATGCAGTGGAGAGCGCCGGTGGCCGCTGACCATGCATGTCTGACAAAGAATCTCCCCACCATAGCAATCCTTGCAGTGGAAATAGAATGGAGACTCGGAAAGGCACGACGCGCAGGGGAAGGTTATGAATAGGCCTTGGCCTTCGAGGTGTAAGACCTCGTCAAGGTAGCTGTCGCGGCACCGGATCCAAGTTCTTATGGGATCGTCCTGAAAGCTCTGTCAATGCTGTGAAATGTTTTCACGATGAATTAGTTATGCACCAATTTCTCATATCACTTTGTTCGTCCCTGCATCACCACATGGATACCTTCTAGCCCAGGCTGTGGCTCAGGTTCTTGAGTTCTATCCAGCGCAGAGTCGGGAGGGTTTGAATCAGAAACTGGTGGATCCACCTCCATAGAGTCCTCGGGGAAGGTAGAGGGAGAGCGACATATTTGCAGGTCTTTCACCTGTGAAATGACATGCCTGCCATCTGCCGAGATGGAGATGCTGCGAGAGGTGGCCTGTCGGCTGTGAGTGTATAATTCTGGGGGTTTTGAAGATTTAGGCATAGTTGAGTAAACTTAAGGAAGAACAGCAGCAGAACATACCAAATATATAGCTTGTCATCCTCACTGTAACAGTTCAGTACTACTACATGGCAAAGCGCCTTCTGCCGATCACACGTTTTATCTATAACAGGAAGGTGTAGTGTACATTCACTGAAACCTAACTAAGCCTTGCATCCGCCGCATTTTTGTGATCTTCCAGCAGGTTCTCATACACCGAGAATAGTTCAAGGACTGCATCCATCCTTTCCTCAATGGACCTATCGAACTCCTGCTTACTGCACGGGTCTTGCGAGGCGAACTCTGCCTCCGTGCGAAATCCGTAGTCTACCCACCTGAGCAAACTGCCAGTGCAATACTGTGCGAATGACTGGCGGCATTCGCCGCCATGTATTGGAAGATTCCCATGCCGCAGAAGGGCAGACGGAATCAGAATGGTTGAGCCAGGGGGAAATTCGATCACCAGCTTGAGGTCAAATAAGACCAGGTGTCCACCACGCTTAGGGTTGAAGGATCCCAGGGCCGTGATTGCGCACCAGGTCTCAGGGCTATTCTGATCATCAGCGTGGTCAAAACAAACTGCATGCAGCCCTATGTTGAAGGTGGCTGCTGGGTAGATGCTGTTTGGGAAGTTCTGGTGGAGAGACAGTTTGCTGCTGTATAACTTCTCCAGGCATGCTGCAGCATGGTTGAAGGCTTTTGGTGCGAACGCAGCAAACACACCTGGAACATGCAGCTTTCAGCCAAGCGTCAGCTACAAATGAGACATGCTGACATACTGCTCCCAAAACCCACAATGCGCTGGATCGCGTGGTTGTGACAAATCTCTGTGAGCAAAGCCTGGTTTTTTGAAGAATTTGACATGTCCCCGGGGGCAACCTGTCCTCCTCCATGAGAGACTCCCATGGCAAGCATCAGAAAACATCCTCTCATCCTCTCCGGTGGGTTTGATGAGCAGGTGAGAAGGTGCCTGTAAGCCGTAAAGATGCTATTGCTGTGCTTGCCTGGCTAGCGGTGTGGTGCCATGTCACATCATCTGGCTGGCCTGCAAGAACCACGATCACTCACCTTTCCATGTCCAACAGCACGTGAGGGCTCCTGCAGCAACAGCTGTATGAGGAGACAGCTTTAGCAACGTCCAGTGTAGCGAAATGCACCTGCCATCCCACTCATGCACACGGAACCCCCGCTTCAACACATCATTCATCTCCCACAACCTCCCCTTCTTCAACGAGCCCATGCACTTCACAATGAACCCTCCGCTGCAGACGGGAAGGTCCCTACCTCAGAGGCCTGAGCTCACGACTGACAGCTTGCATAACTTCACAGCCAAAGGGGAATGCATCTTGTAAGAATAGATCTCGGCGGCCTTAATTCGTAGGCATTTTGCTTGCCTACGCTTCCGTTTCCCGTTCTTTGGGTGGCCTTCATGCGCAGGAGCTTGAGCCAGGTGGCCTCCATGCGTAGGGCCTTCGGCTGCATGGCCTGCATGCGCAGGCCCTTTGGTTGCGTGGTCTGCATGTGCAGGGCCTTCGGTCACGTGGTCTGCATGTGCAGGGCCTTCGGTCACGTGGTCTGCATGCGCAGGACCTTTGGTAGCAGTGTGTCCATGTGCAGGACCTTCGATAGCCATGTTTTCAAGAGGTTTAAAGGGAAGCAGGAGCACCAGGCCCTCAGCGACGGGTGAGTTCCTCCTGGAAGAACACGATGAAAGGGGAGAGGAACACATGGATGTGGGAGATGAAGGGAGCACTGCGAGAGGTGATGCGGGCTGTGATGTGGCGAACAACGGGGGTGTCATCAGAGTGGCAGCCTCCTCGCTCCGTTCCGCTAGCAGCGCTTTCTGCAGGAAGGGCCTCAGCACACCAGTGGTGGCCACCATTGTATTACAATTGCCCACAACACTGGGCAAGCCATTGTGCACAACTCACCAGCCATTGTAATTGTAATAACACTGGGCACATTGTAATCCAATGGCAATTACAATGCTGGCCACATTGTAATTGAAAAAAGAAGTGTTCACAGTGAGAGTTGAACCCCTGACCTCATGGCCGGAGTTTTGCTTATGTAAGCTACATAAAATATGTACTTTAACCACCACACTATTAGTGCTTGCTATTACTTCAACCTCAATTGTATATAATAAGTCTGTCCACTACAATATAATATACAAGCTTCTAATGCACATTTTAATATTATATCTAATACTATTACTTTAAAGAATTAGAAAAAGAGATAAACAAGTAAGAGAACATAAATAGACACTATAATAGTATTTAACAAAGAGTTAAGAAAGGAACAGTAACAAGTGTTAGTATTTGTAATAGAAGCTTGTATATTATATTGTAGTGGACAGACTCATTATATACAATTGAGGTTGAAGCAATAGCAAGCACCAATGGTGTAGTGGTTAAAGCACATATCTTATGTAGTTTACATAAGCAAAACTTTGGCCATGTGGTCAGAGGTTCAACTCTCACTGTGAACACTTCTTTTTTCAATTACAATGTGGCCAGCATTGTAATTGCCATTGTATTACAATGTGCCCAGTGTTATTACAATTACAATGGCTGGTGAGTTGTGCATAATGGCCTGCCCAGTGTTGTGGGCAATTGTAATATAATGGTGAGAACCACAGCTGCTCAGCATGACAGGCGCCGATACGACAGTAGCATATGGTGAGAAGACCCGCCCGGAGCGTGTCTGTGGCTAGTTCAGTAGGTGTGGACAGAACTCAAGACAAACTTACCTCATGCATCTGTTCTTACTTAGCGACCTATAAAAACATATGGAGGTTGAGCACAAAGCGAATACAAAGGAAGGAGAGGTTGTCGGATAAGGAGGCACTTCTGGGGCAGCCTAGTGACCTGAATGTCTGTGTCATAGGGCCAAGTGTTGACCCAGCGTGCACGTCTATTCAGGAGTAACAAAGCCACGCATACTCCTCAGCAAGGGAGTGGAAAACTATAATAAAACTCACCTAGAGTATACAGAGAGGAAAAAAAGCGTCGTCGTGGCAGGGAACGCGAGTTGAGTTGTATTGTAGTGGCAAGAAAGAAGTTGCACGTCAGACTTGATGCATCTGCCAACCAACTCCACCTGTCACTTCACGCATTCCAGCTTCTGCCTCTTCGCTCTAAATTCCTGTACGGAGTGTAGTACTGTAGACTGATTTTTTGTCGTAGTTCATATGTTAAACAGAGTAACTGTTACATCAAACCAGCTTGGGTGCTCGACAGCCCTCAGGCTTCACATACCTCACATTAATGCGCACCAATCGCATCCCAGAATTTAAAGTATGGCCCTCCTTCGCTGCATACCACTCAGTATACCCTCAATAACACCTCCCCTCATACGATACACCCTGAACGAGCTCACACTACCCCTCAAACACAGCGCACGTCTCATAGGTTCACAGGTTACAAGGCAACAAGCAATGCATTCCGACTAACAACAATACAAAGTGTAAACGACACACAGCAGTAACGACACGCGACGACAACACAGGCAACTGGCGACAGGAACAACACATGACATGCAATGCGATGACTTTTTCAGAAGGCTTTCCAGGGCAGATGTGCATTGTCCCGCGTGCATACGTATCACATCATGCCAATGCAATGATGTGGCCAAGAGAATGCACAAGAATGAACTCGCCGACGGCGTCTTCCTCTGTATTAAACTCCTTGAAGAAGCCAATGGGGTGACCACTAGTCATTCTCTTGGCTGTTGCCCTGCAAAGTTCTCAGGTCGCGATAAATTCTACAAAATAAATAAAACTTACTCCGAGCTAAACACACCAGGGGCTGTCCCACGGAAAACAGCATACCACTTGTGATGGCACGACGAGCTGCCACTACAGTCATGAGTCAACACTGCACAAGCATAGCTATGTGAATGACTGCTCGATGTAAAAGCCGTGCTCCTCGCAGAGCTCGCCCTAGGTTGGCGCACTGGGTAGTGAGCGCACCGTTCCCTGCACTGGGCTCTGTGGTGTGGAGTAGGCAGGCATTCGAAAGACTGATGTAGGACTAGACAACAAAGACACATCGTGTGGCCCCTGGCGATCCTCAAGTGTATTGATGCCGATACTCGACAGCGAATAGGGCGTACACTCCAGCTTAGCTGCCGGGGGTAGCGTAGCAACAAAGCCTCTGATGGCACAAGCGTCCTCCAAATATTCCCTCTTCTGATAGGGCCTTCTGATAGCATGAGCCACTACACATAGCAACCACCTCCAGCCTACCAACATTACTATGATACCAAATGCACACATAATATATTACTTACCACGTAGCATATATGCCGGGCCTGGGGGCCAGGCCATGGTAGATGACGTACTTCTTCTCGCCTTCCCTGTAGCGATGGGTCGGCGCAGCAGCAGAGTCATATTTCTTCTCCTCCACAGGAGAAGAATAGAACTTCGCACCACGATAGAATTGCATCGCAGCAGCTTTGTACCTACACCATGGTTAGAATAATATCATTACCTATGGACATAGTACTTACCAATGATCTGTGATGCCTGTCTCACATGCCTCCTCCAACTGATAAATCTTTTTACCATTCACCTCCACCGGTATATCTAATGGACCCTCACAGATGGGGTGATGCAGGGGACCTGCACGAAAGAAAATGGTGAGATTGTTCTAGTCTGTACAACCTGACTCACCTGCATCCAGAAGTGCGAGTTGAGGTTCGCACCTCATAGTGGCCTCACGAGGTGAAGAGTGTTGTCGTTGAGCAGACGTGAAGCCGCCGAGGGCGCGACGAGCAGGGCGGGATGGCAACGAAGCAACAGACAGCATTGCGAAGGCCTCTGCAGTGACATGATCAATATCCTTGCAGTCGGCAACAGAGAGAGCAAGATCATGGTCACCGTACTCATCGTCAGAACCAGCGACCATGAGGAGCAGTGAAGGGAGAGTAGAACAGATGGAGAGAAAGAGAGGAGGGAATGAAGGTAAATGGGAAAGGGACAAGTGGGAAGAGAGTAGGATTTGGGCGGGTTTATATACACAGTTCGCGTAATATTTCGGAATTTCTCGCGGGGATGGTCACACGCACTCATCCCCATTTGGCATCATGGTGGTGCCACACTCGGTCCGACTTACCTTCTTCTCTTCCTAAAGTTCTGTCGCACACTGCTTTACCTTATAGTCTATTGGCTGATGTCACTCCCCAAAGTGAAGAAGACATACCTCAGCAGAAACAAGAAGCGCGGTCCGAAGGGCAAGTACTCACACCTTTCAGTCATGTTACCTGAACTGAACTCCCATTTACCCTGACATTGTCATGAACTGGACAGCCAGCGGACGTCGGCCCATTGTCACCATGTTGACCTCTACCAGCAGTGGGCCCATATCTTTCATGTGTGGGATACTAGCAGTGGGCCCACCGCTAGTGTTCTTCTCCCAGTGCTCGGCCCACTAGCAGGGCATATTACAGTGTTGTAACCGTTAAGCAATGGGCCCACCGCCACAGGTCAGAGGGTGGGCCGACGCCAGAGCATGTTATCGCCATCGATGGGCCCACTGCCAAAGTATGATCAATGAGCAGTGGGCCCATCGCCACGAGTGTAAGATGATGGATGGGCCCACCGCCAAAGGTCAGAGTGTTGGCCATGGCCAGAGCATGTTTGTCTGAGCAATCGGCCCACTGCCAGAGTATGACGAATGAGCAGTGGGCCGATCGCCCAGAGTGTAACCTGAAGGATGGGCCCACCGCCAAAGGTTAGAGGGTTGACGATTGCCAGAGCATGTTATCGCCAGCAGTCGGCCCATTGCCAAAGCACCCTCAGTGAGGGCCTTACTGCAAGCACCCATGGGATAGGTCATCGCCAGGACATGTTTCCGCCAGCAATCGGCCCACCGCCAAAGGTCAGAGGGTTGGCCAACGCCAGAGCATGTTATCGCCAGCAATCGGCCCACCGCCAAAGGCCAGTGGGTTGACGATCACCAGGATATGTCATCACCACCAATGGGCCCATTGTCACATACAGCCCTGCAGTTTCTGGGCGCATTGGTGGTGATGACGTGCTCTGGTGATCGCCAATTCTCTGACCTTTGCCGGTGGGCCCATCACTCACCAGCACTCATGGTGGAGGGCCAATTGGTGGCGAAAACACGGCTTGGCGATGGCCAACCCTCTGACCCTTGGCAGTGGGCCCTTTGCTGGCGGAGCGATATTCCCATGCAGTGAAGCTTTCACTCAGGTCCTTTGGCGATGGGCCAATTGCTGGCAACAACATGCCTTGGTGATGGCGAGCGCAGTCCGCCCATCTCAAGAGTACACTGGAGGAGCGATGGGCTTTAGAGCTTAGTGATGCAGAAGTGAATGTATCCATTTTGTACTGGTATACAAGCTGTTACATAGCGGTCATATATTGCTAACACCAGAACGCTCAAAGACACTAGTTCAGTTGCTGTGATACACCTCGCCACGAATGTCCCTCAGAATGTACCCCATTTGGAACACGGTCGAGCTGGCATTGAGGTTCGCAACGTGCATATCCTCAGTGAGGTTGAGCTCACGCTGAAGACGTACAATGCGCTCCCGCAACATGGCGCGACGACGACTAACTGCAAAGCTATCACCTTCGTCATCGTCCACTATGAATAAGGTCAACATCAGACTGAAGGTTGCCAGGGATGTACTCACTGGAACTGTCTGCCTCTGCTGCGATCTGCGCAAACAATCTACCGAGGCGGGCCACTTGTGAGCCAGAAGCAGCATTCGTCTCTCCAGGGACTGCCATTGGCAGCAGCTGTGTGGTATCTGGGAATAAGCCTAGAACCTGTTCCCAATGGGTGGGACGATGGATCGGCAGCTCATCTGGAAGTGCTGCCAGACTTGGCATCCTGGAAGTAACAGTGACTGGCTCGATGCTGCCTTTCATATAGTGAATGACAGGTGCATCGTGGCGGAAATTGCTGTCATCGAAAGTGCGAGCTGGCGAGTGAGAGGGCGCCGATGGCAGAGGCGGTGGACTTAAAACATCGTCCAACAAAGGCCGCCTCTTTGGAGGCGAAGTGCTGGGACTATTTAGCCACCGGACCTGGCTACGCACAGGCGTTGCGCCAGGGCTGTCTATCATCAGAGCTCGCTGTCGTCCTGGCGTGGTGGGAGGACTATTGTCAAAGTCCAGCAGTTTCGGCACTGGTTCCACGTCAAGTGTCTTGTCCACCAGCATGCCCCTCGCCATCGGCGTACTTGCTTGACTATCGAAGTGGATGGATGTACGTGGCGTAGCGTCAAGGGGCTCAGCGATGAGTGATCGTCGAGGGAGTTGGGAGGTGTCAGGAGTGCGAAAGTCGAAAGTGTGAGCTGGTGGAGGAAGGGGAGTAGCTTCCAACAGGGCGCGTCGAGGGATTGGCGAGATGCCAGGAGTGTCGAAGTTGAACATTCCACCGGGCGCAGTGGGGGTGGAATCTGAGATGAGTGCACGCCTATGGATTGGCGAACTGCCACGACTTTCATCCCAAGCTGGCGCCAGAGGGTCAGGAATAAGTGCGCGACTTCCCTCCACAGGCGCCACAGATCCAGATGACGCCTGTACCTTTGGCGAGGCATGGCGGTGGAGATGCTCATGTGGCGAGTTGGATGGCGCAAATGGAGCCGCCAGGGACGGGGTAGTGTGGCGGGGCGCGAGGGGTGTCTGAGAAGCAGAGTGGAGAGGCAAGGAGATCTGGGCAGATCCAGGAGAGTCAAGGAGATCCGAAATGAGTGGACGACGGGGCTCAGCGATACTATCCTCCTCATCCGACTCGCCCATCGTAATGTCCAGCGTGTCAGGAGGTACGAGCAGACAAGTCTTCGATCAGTCCTGGATCGCGGGAGATCAGTTGTAGAAAGGGGATTGATATGACATAGAAAGGTCAGATAACATCACAAAGGAGTCAGATTCCACAAGGAGAGCAATAGAACTTACTGTTGGGAGCCATGAGAACTTGCGGCAGGTCACACTGACCTTGAGAGACTTGAGAAATCGCGCAAGTCCAGCGATCACGTGCAAAGCACGTGGTCGCGTGACGTGTGAAGTTGAACTTGGTGCAGATTGCGTCTGCCAGCTCATAGCGTCGTCTGCTCCGCCTCCGCTGTACTGCAACCTCTGCTTTTGAAACACCCTCATGCTTTCTTCTGCCAAGCTCACCATGCCTCTGGATATCGACCCCAACTATGTTCTGCAGGCCGCGCGACTGACGGCCATTGTTGCAGCGGCGCCTCGTCAGGACGACCCTCGCTATCCGGACTGGGAGACGAGGATTTACCTCGAAGTGGTAAGTCATCGGTCGAAGGTCTGGCATGCACTTACCGAATATGCCACACAGAGTCAGCTTGAAAAGAGTTTCCCGCAGCCCTTGAAGTCGTTGAGGATGCCTGGGATCGTCATCAGCGCGTTGCTGGAATTCACCCGGGCATACCAGCAGAAGGCCCTGGCACGGCTGGACCACATATCGAACGACGATGAGAGGATATACAAGAGGTACCCTCTGGCTGTGCGCGAGTATGGGGAGTGTGAGGACCTGGGAAGGCAGTGGTGGACTGAAGGTGAGTCACAAGCATTGTGAGGCGTCGAGCGACACACTGACTGCACCAGATCCATATTGCAAGCTGCCACCGGTGAAGAGTACGCAAGCGGAGGGCTGGGGCAATGTGCCAGCCGATGACGACACCCAGGGACGTGGCGAGGAGGACCTGGCTACCGGGGACCTCGTCACCAAGGGGAAAGGCAAGGAGAGAGCTGACAACGACGTCGGGACAGGCATGGTGGGTGAGCGTATCGTCCACGTGGAGGCGGGGGAGGACAAGGGAAAGGGCAAGAGAAAGGAGAAGGCACAGGGGAAGGCGGTGCATGCGATGAGCGAGGAAGAGGATGGGGGAGAGGGAGAGGGAGAGGGAGAGGGAGAGGGAGAGGGAGAGGAGCAGGAGGGCGAGGACGATGATGATGCCGACAGTGACGAGGACGACGATGCCGACAAAGATGACGACGATGAGATGGCAGAAGACGTGCCGGGTGCAGGCCAGCCCGAATCCATCGAGGTCGATGCGGCGTCGCCCCCTCCGCCAACTGCCAGACCAATATCGATCTTGCCAGCTGCCCCATCACTCCGAAAGCGCAAGGCGGTCATCACAGAGTCGAGTGAGGAGAGTGAGAACGAGGAGGCGGCTCCGAAGGTGAAGCGGATGAAGCCGATCGAGGTCGCAAAGGAGAAAGGCGAGGCCCCGACCACCTCTGGCTGAGCACAGCGTGCGCAGAAGAGGATGGCGCAGACCGAGGTGGAGGGCTCGAAGGTGAGCACGAAGAAGAGCGGGAAGAGGAAGGTGAAGGAGTCAAGCGATGAAAAGGAAGTACCGACCGTCAAGCCGCCAAAGAAGAAGCGTGCGATGAAGGAATACAAGAGCAAGGAGTTCATCGAAAGCGAAGACGAGACTCCGGCACTGCCTTCCAATCTACCCGCCAAGACCGCAGGGGACTCTAACGACGGTGTTGCGAAGACGAACGCCCCTGCCAAACCTGTCAAACAGACAACGAGGATGACGGCGACGCCTCATGTCGCACCGAAGGGGAAGGCAAAGGGGAAGGCAAAGGCGACGGCAAAGGGGAAGGCGACGGCGAAGGGGAAGGCGACGGCGAAGGGGAAGGCGAAGGTGACGGTGTCGCAGAAGGACATGTGGAAAAAGATGTCCACCCGCGTGTCTGACTTCATGTGGGCACACGCAACAGATTCGGTGAGTAACGATTTTGTGAGACATTGACCTGTGCTAATGTTCCTGCAGCTCGTCCCTTGCGTTGGCTGCCAGGAGAAAGAGTGGCCATGCAAGCTCAACACCGCCAACTTCGGTCGCTGCCTCGAATGTGCAGCACGAGGGGTCAGTTGCAGCATCGCGCCGAGGAACACGGACGGCGTGCCCCTGCGAGGAAACTCACACACCGCACAGCGTGAGTTCCAAGAGATGTGCGCAGTGCTGGTGGTAGAGGGCAAGCCACTGCCCACGTCGCCACCTCCATACGACGTCAAGGTCGACTCCGATGAGCCCGACGGTGCAGAACCCATGGTCATGGGAGCGTCGAAGCGCAAGCCGCCGAAGAAGACCAAGATGCGCAATGCTGCAGCATCCAGCTCCAAGGTCAAGGGTGGTGAGGAGGTCGAGGCGATGAAGCAGAAGGCGACCGTCACGCCCTATGAAGCCAACGCTGAAGGCGAGGCCTTGGTGGAGAAATCGTCGAAGTCCAAGCGCGCCACCAAGTCCGCCACCGCCACTGGAGCTGTGGCTCTGTCCAACTCTGGTGAGGTCACCAACTCTGGCGAGGTCTCCAACTCTGGCGCGCCTGCCAAGTCTGGTGTGGTCGCCAAACCTGGCGAAGGTAAGAAATCAGGACCCAAGGCAAAGCCAGTGAGGAGCCAAAACTCAGGTGCGCAAGATGGTGGTGAGGTCACCAGGACCTCAGTACGTGAGCCGGATGAGGTCCCGCCTGCCAAGTCTGTTGTGAAGGAGGGCGGGCAGACGACAAGGGTGGCGATGGGAGGTCGCTCGGGCCCAATGGTGCCCGTGATCACCAGGAAGGCGAAGGCGAGTGCTCCCAAGGCAGCAGCCAAGATGCCTCTGGCGGAAGGCGATGGCATGGAGGAAGCCGCCAGGCTGGCAATGGAGGCGGTGCAGGCTATGGCCTTCCAAACAGGGCCAGCTGCTCCGCCGCAAGCTAGCAGCAGCAAGCGCATGCTGACACCAGTCGCCGACGAACCAGAGGATGCGCCAGAGTATCAGGCAGAGGTGGCGGAGGATGAGGTAAGCAGGACATCTTGTCGCAGCTGGAGTCGATGTAACCATGAAACAGCGCGCGTCCTTGGAGCGGCCACATGACGATCGGCAGCGTTCGCTGCTGATGCCCCATGAGACGAGCGCAGGAGCTGCCGAGGTGGCACAGGAGGTGACGCCCTCCCTGGAGATATCCAAGGCGTCGAAGGGAGCGAAGTCCTCCACATTGGCGAAGGCAGGACATCTCGATGAAGGGCGAAGGCCAGCTAAGAGGGGCACCCCACTGGACCGCAATGCAGCGAAGAAGGAGGCGGAGGCGAAAAGGGATGCGAAGGCGAACCGCCTCAGAGCAGTGCCTCTGACCAGCAAGGGTAAGTGCGCCCGCCACAGCTTCGAATCCATGCAGCGCTGACCAGGGATACAGCACCCCACTTGCGCGACGTCCAGCGAGTGTCTACAGGAAGTCCCGCTCCGGTGAACGAAGGCGACACCCCCAGTGGCGAAGAAACCTCGCAGTCATCCAACGATGACTGCGCAAATTGTGCCGAGTTGCGACAGGAGTTCCTGGCGCACAAGGACGGGATGGAAGTCCAATTCCAGGAGAGGATGGCGGACCTCAACACCGTCAAGGCAGAGATCACAACGGCGCTCCAGCGAATCAACCCGCCATCCGCATTTCAAGAAAATGCCCGGAGCATTCGCGAAGAGGTCAAGTTGGCGATGGAGGAGTTTCGCAGGCCGGTCACCATCGAGCTTCAGGAGAGCATGAAGTTGGCGGTGGCGGACCTCGTCGCCAAGCGACATTGCCTGCCAGAGCTCAAGGAGAAGGTCAACAGGTTGGAGCAAGGCGCGAACCAGATGGTGAGCCAAGCGGACGTCGACAAGCTGCAGGGCGAATTGGCTGACCTCCGTCATTCGATGGAGCTCCAGGCAGCGCGGTCAGACAGCATGGAGAAGGAGCTCAGGTCTTCGGCGGCAGAGGCGATCGCTCAAGCGAGCAAGCTGGAGATGGAATTGGCGCTCGCCAAAGAGGATTCGATGGCGGTGGCGACGTCCGCTTTGGATGAAGCGAAGAAGGTGGGGAAGGAGGTGGCGACGGCGAGAGAGGAAACCTCGCTGGTGGCGAAGTCTCTGGACGCATTCCGAGAGAAGGTCGACTCCGCCATGGTCTTCACCGCCTTTCGCCCAGATAGACACAATGTGTAGTCATTAGAGTATTGATATACATGCTTTTTAACCTAGCATGGAATCTCCATGCACTCGATTCGCCACTGCCACTCCAAGTCAACTGAATGCCTGCTGAAGTTCTCGCCAACTCCCCTCGCCATTGCCACCATCTCCATGGCTTTACCTATGTAGATCTATGGGTCACATTAAACAATGTGGAAGCCTACGAGTCTACTTTGAACTGGAGTTATATTGTCAAGGTCTGGTGCCGCCACTGTGGGTCTTGCGACCTGCGCCAACTTGGCCACTCTCTTTCACTTTGGCGGCTGCTTTCCCCAGACGGACCGGCTTCAGCTTGGTTTCTCCCTTGTCCTTGACCTCCGGGGTCTGAGGCAGAGCTCGTCTTCGCTTTGCGGGAGGCTTGTCACCATCATCCGAGTCCTCGGCCCTCGCATTCTTCTTCCTCGGCGAGGCCACTACCAACTCGTCCTGAGTACCACGTCCATGCTTCCGAGGTGGCGGATTGTCTTCACCAGAGCTGTCTTCGCCATCGGGCTCAGGACGTGCTGGTTGACGTTTCCGCTTTGGATCAGGAAGCTTCTTCAAATCTTTCACAGCTCCTAGTGGATGCTGACTGCGGGTATTCTTGGCGGGCGACTCATCCATCGCTTGACGCTGACTGCGAGTGATCCTGCCGGGGATATTACTCTGAAGGGCATCGGTGATCAACCTTCCCTGGAGCGCTTTGGCTTGACCTGATGGACGGTCTTCCATGGCTGCGGCCTTCCTCGTCTTAGGTATAAATGGAGGCGGTGGCGGTCGTTCAGCACCACTGCTAGGTACGGACAAGTGTGCATCGTCCTCTTCGCCATCATCAGAGGCCCCACCACTGGTCTCCTGGCTCGGCCCTTCATCTCCTCCACTTGGAATGATTGGTTTGTCAGCCATGGGGGCAGGCTGGTGAGCCTTGTGAACTTTGGCAGCAGTAGCAGCACCATCGTGAGTTCTTGCAGAGGCATCACCTTCCTGCTCCTCCTGGCCCCCAAGGCCATCACCACCTTGTGGGGCACCGCGTATGGCAGGCTTGCTCACTGGCTTCACCATGGCATGGGTGACGTTCCCTTCCACCATGTCCAAGGTAATGATCTCGCAACAGCGAAGCAGCTGCTCTACTGCATCAAATGAGATTGCCGAGTTCGCCACATAGTTGGGAAGGTTGGTCGGTTCGCCCTCCTCAATGAACTGAGATCGTGTGAGGTCCCTCAGCGTCATACCAATCACGAGTGCAGATTGTTGTACGCCCTGTGAATGTAAGAACCGATATTTTGTCAGCCATGGTTTGTCGCCCAACCAGTTCTCGACGATGTCAAAGTTGTGCACCGCATGAAATGACGGCGGGAGGTAGCGCTGGCTATACGACCATTCACTCCAGGGAATCGGATCATACCTGGCGAAACGATACACCTGGGGCTATATGACGGATGATCAAGGGTGGCTATGAATCCCCACGAAAGGAGCTCACCACAGTCGCAATCTTGACTTGCTTCAGCATATCCTAGTATCGCGGTTCGACAGAAAGGGTGGCGAGAAACATGTCTCTCCTTTTGACGAGGTGGGGCACAGTACTCCCCACAGTACTCCTGCCAGTGAGACGCAGGGCTCGGCCTTGAAGCTCAAGCCTGAGCTCCTTTGTACTGGGCTCCAGTTCACTCGATGCTTCATCAGTCTCCTCTGTGTCAAATCTGTGCAGTGCGCCCAGAGGAAGGTCTTGGAGACCTCGCTTTTCCTTCGTCTTGGCACCGCCGCTACCACTCGCTTGAGGTGCACTGCCATTGTTAGCCTTATGTCCATTGGTGGTGGCGACTGCCTTGCCCTTCGCTTTATTCGCAATTATGCTCTCGCCATCCCCTGAATCTTCATCGCTGGCCGTATCTTCTTCGGAAGCCATGCTGGGTATATCTGGCGAACTCCGATCAGAGTCTTGGCTGCTTCTGGCATCGTCTTCTGAGTCGTATGCATCTTTCATCTTGCGTTTACGCCCACCGCCTTTGGCTCCACCAGGGGCCGCTTTGCCCTTTGTCGCCTTCGATGTCGCCTTTCCCGTGACCTTGCGCACAGGTTTACCCTTCTTCTTCACCTTCCCCGCCTTCTTGGGTGTGAGTGCTTCTTGGACCTCATGTTCAGATCCTTCTTCTAATGCCTGTGCTGATCCGTCAAGTGGTGGAAGAGGATCATACTTGGCGAGAGCAGCTTCGCCATCCTTGTCGAAGTACTGGGTGAATCGCATGGTCTGCTCAGGTCCATGTTCCTCTTGGCGTGCCCGCCAGTGGTCGAGGAGGCACGAACGGGAACACTTGTCATCTTTGAGGGATCGATCCACTGGAAGTTCTCAGGTAGCATCTCCGCTGGAATAACCTCATTGATGTCGTCTATGCTGTTCAGCTTTGTCCATGGCGACTTGCAGTTCCGAACACCCTTCGCCAATGCTGTAAACTGGTCAGCATCTCTCAACACCGAGTGGGAGTGTCATACCGTAGTGATGATTCATGAAGTCTCGAACTTGTACCTTCATCACCTTGAGAGGCGCTTCCACCATACCTTCAGGCACCGAGGGGAGCAGAGGAAAACCGTTGGCCGTCAACCGAATCTTGTCCATGGCCCGCATGCAATCGGCAGGTGTCTTCTTCACCGTCACCGTAGTCTCAGTCACACCTAAGAAATCAGGTCAGTGTGCCAGCGACAATGCAACTGAGGTCTTCTTACCGTATTCGCCTTTGGCCCACTCAGAGAACACCTTTGCTAGAGGCTGGTAAGCACGCAGCCACCCAGGATAGGCCCCGAATGGAGTTCCATTGGTGATGGCGTGGTTGACCTCCACCCTTCACTCAGGGGTTAGCAGATGGTGACAGTCGGACGGTCTACGCTCACATCTCTACCTTCAGACTCCCCGCTTCCTTCGGATATGCTAGCATGAATGCCATGCGAATGCCCATGGTGTCCCACATAGTCTTGGCAAACTTCTTCAGATATTGCATCATTCGCTGCTCCCTCAGCCTGTCTTAGGTCAGGATTTGCCTTATGCTACGTGACAGGAGGTACGCACTTCATTTTTATCTTATCATCCAGAGTGCCATTGTGCCAACTTTCCGCCTTTTCCTCATACACCTTCTGCTCCTCCTCGGACAGTTTTGCCCATTCGGCACTCCGTGCGACTCTCCACACCTTGGAGACATTGCAACCCTTATCTGCCGCAAGTGCTCGCGCGGCCTCAGTCACCTTGTCCCTCTCCAGCGCATCCCACACCTTGAAGGCATTGGGCTTGCCAGAAACATGCATACGCTTTTTCGTCGCTTTCTCCTGTGCATGGCGGGCATGGTTATTGAGCCACTCTCGGATTTTCTGCGGTGAGAGTTAGTGGGGACCTCACAGACATGAAACACTGCTCACAGTTTCCACAATGATGTCGTCATAATTTGACGTGTCGACAAACTGTGTCTTCAGCTTCTGGCGCAAGCTCTGAACCAGAGTCTTGCGTCCCTTGGCATCTGCCGTGTCATAAGACCGCAGCTTCTCAGAGAGTATGGGCTGATGCTCCGTCAAAATTACAAATCTCGCCAGCATGCTTTCTCGATGTCGAGGATGAGATTTTTGTGTTGGGACAGTGAAGGGGGTCGATAGTTCAACGGGCAGCGCTCTGTCCATTTCCTCATCGGCCGCCCACAACTCAACATGCACGTGCTGATGGCCCATTTGGGCTTACACCAATTACCCTCCTCGCCATGGTGTGTGGTGACTGCTGAAGCATTGTATGTGTATTTTTCGCAGTGGCGGGAGGTGGTAGTAGGTATGCACGAGCATTCATGCCTGGTGAAAGGCAATGTTGAATGCCGCTTCTATGGCAGAGCACACCACGCCAACTTCATCTCGTGAATGCTGGGCGGAGGCAATCTGGTGATCATCTGCATGCCAATCTGTGAGATAAAGGGCTTCCTTGGAGTTAGGCTCGGCCAATTAGATGGCGGTGACGAAGGGCCCAGACATGGCGGACCACCCGGCCCGTGATCTGGCATGGCGGCATCAAGTCTGGCTCGGCGGCATGATGAACATGTGAGATGTGCAAGGGACGTGCTTGCAAGCAATATGCAGGCAGATGAATGCATACTGTTCTTTGCCATTCTGGCCCCTCCTACATTCTCCCCTGCATCTGCAAGCCAACCGCCTGAGCCCGCCATACACCTGTGCGTTCCTTCAACCGATGCATGCTGTAATTGTCCCATTGATTGGCAGACAGTATCAAGATGAGCAATCTGTCACCCATGCCACTGACCGATCAGATAGCAGGAGTCTTGGAGCTCATGTTCTGCCGAAAGCTCCATCTGGCCACTCATGCAGCCCATTCTGCGCCATCTATAGAAGTGCCTCCGTCCATGCCATCCGCCCTCCTATTGGAGTGCAATGGCATTGCAGATGCTCTTGTGAAGGCCATCCGTAATCCTGGTAGTCATTAGTCTTGCCGCAGGTCTGATCACACTGATCACGCCATTGTAATAGTAAGGCTGCAGTGGGACATTGATAGATATTGCGACAGCCTTTCGATTCAGCCCACGGGGCAGAATGAAGTCCTCGAGGCAGAACTGGAACGGAAGTGGCCTCCTCCATTTGGTGAGAGCGAAATACACATAGACCAGCCCGCCACCCTCGTGGACATGCACGGACGCATCTTGGCTTGGATACTTCCAAGAGTGTTGATACCAGACCGCCAGGTGAGTGGCTTGCCCAGCCTTGCGCTGTGATCTGACAAATTTGTCAGACGAAGATGCTCTAAGCGACCAGGGCCCTACACCCAGCAATAGCAGCCAGTAAGCCTTCCAGCACCACCGCCAGTTGGCGACACAACCCGTTGTACTTCTTGCCTCCTGAGGAGTGTGCCCAATTCCCAGCGGGCTCCTTGTGTCTCTCGCCAGGTTGGTTCCAACAAGTAAGAGAGGTGGGTCTCCTCGCCACGCCATTTGCCTTGCGTCTGGACAGCCTTTGCAGCATATGGAGTCTGGGAGGCTGGAGACCTCCGCCAGCCTGAAGCTTGAGGGCGGAAGAAGTTGGCTGCGTGATATTCATGACTCCTCCGCATTGCTGGGCGCCATCCTGGCCGTCGTTCACCCAACACTATATGCTGCAGGACGCCAGTGCTTGGGTTTGATCCAGCAAGACCCAGAATTGCGAGAGATGGCGCTGAACTGGTCGTCGCCATTCAATGCGCTCCAGGTGATCGCCAACCGGGAAACTCCTTTCCACCGAGATAGCAAGACAAGATACACATTCTACGACCTGTTGGCAACGTTGGGCAACTACACTTGCGCGTGGTTGAAGTTCCCCGCCATGCGTGTCGCCATCGATTATAGTCCTGGAACTGTCATAGCCTTCTGTGGAAAGGCGATTCATCATGGCATCACTCGAGCAGATGGCGAAAGGCTCGTCTATGCATACTTCATGCGAGAGGATGTCCAGAACAGGCTAGGCATTCCAGTACCCCACTGGATGCAAGCTTCATATTACGCCTCACACATTGGCATGTGCACAGTTTATCACCGAGTCTGCATTCCTAACTCAGAACAGGTCCTAACTGGCTCGCTTATTAGAGGGACATCATGCCAAAGACTGATGGAGACGAGAACACTATGCAGGGGATGGAGACTGTCGATGGCAGCTTCATTGGCGGGACAAAGTTGGCGGAGGTGATGGCGAAATGTATGGAGTCACAAATTTCCGAATCCTAGCTGAAGGTTGGCGAGCGCACGGTACGAGTGCGCATTTCACATCTCGACAGTGTTCAGCTCAAGGTGTAGTTATCACTGATGGCAGCGTATGGTTGGCGGACCTCAAAGTTGGCGGAGATGGTGGCAAAATGTGTTCGGTCGAGAAGTTGTGAGTGCTAGTGGGGCAGATGGCAGCAGCATTGGCGAGCGCGCGGTGCAAGTGCACGTTTCCCTTTTGAACATTATGCTACTCCGAGTCAAGGCAAAGTTAGCACTGAGAGCGACATACAATTGGCAGACCTCTCGCCAACATGGCATCCTTATCTGCATAACGCTGATATGGTGCCTAAAGAGACCACGAGGTGATAAGGCCCAGGCATTGCAGCCATTCTTAACCACCTTGATGAGTAGTCTGGTGGGCAGCAAGACCATGTGTGATTTGCACGTGTTGTGCGATAGGGACACAATGCTCATCGATTGGCTTTGAATACGACTCCCCACTGACCTGAACCATGAGCAGATGCAACAAAAGCAGGCTCGTTGTAGACCTGGATGACGAGGTTGAGTTTGTGACCAAGGTAGCTAAGCAGACCACTAGGGGAGTACGCTATGTGGACGTACCTTTGCCCATGCCCACGGGTTCAAATGTGCCATCACCTTCCAAAAGTCCATCGAAGGCTCCAGCTTCAGGCTCCTTGTTTAACTTGGATAATGGCGACATCCTGGGCAACATAGGTGTGCCGATTCAGCTGGATCCAGCGGCTCGGAAGACAAAGGTGGGCACTCCCGCCATGACCATCTGACGGTCTGACCATGCGCGATAGACCCAGAATGACTTCATGAGGGACTGGATACCCCACCGTGATGACTATCTTCATGCCATTGTCGAGATGGAAGCCCCGCCTGAGCCCAGAAACTGTGCGGAATGCAAGGTTGGCGAGGGACGGTGGCGATGCCTGGACTGTATGGGCAGACCGCTCACCTGTACCGACTGCTGTCGTAACGGCCATCAGCGTGCTCCTTTCCATCGGATAGAGCATTGGCAGGGTCAGTATTTTGAGCCGGCATCACTGTATCGGGTTGGCATCTGCATCCATTTGGGGCATGGCGGAGATCCCTGCCCTCTGGGCGCCTTCACAGCACATAACAACCCTGCGCCGGTGGTGGCCCCGGGGTCCAATTTCTGGAATGCCTCCAATGAAGACCTAAATGCACATGATGGCGAGGTCCCATTCAACTTTGCACCTCTGGCAGGCACCCTTGATGGTGAAGCAAGGCAAACCGACGATGCTCCCGATCCCACTTGGGAGGAAGATGTGCCACCGGTGCTCTTCCGGCCACCTCGCCGTGATAGTTACGGGAATCGGATCATAGTCATTGTTGACATCTCTGGCATTCACCATATCGGCGTTGACTGGTGCCAGTGTGAGATGGCAGTGGAGCGTGACATGCAGCTTCTTCAAATGGGACTTTACCCTGGTACCGTCAAGGATCCCCATATCGCCTTCACATTCGCCGTCCTTGACGATTTCCTTCTGGAGAACAAAGAGTGCAAGACGGCGGCATTGAACTACTACAGCAAGCTCAAACGGGTCACGAGCAATGCCTTCCCTGGCACTGTTCCCGTAAGTGTTCACATGCATTCCCATGGCCCAACCGTTCATGCCAGTTCCTCGCCAGGACCGTTATTGTGAGCTGATGCGGGTGTCCCGCCAATGGCGCCAATTCAAATATTGCAAGTGGCACGGCTTCTCACACGATGCCCTCCATCCTGTGGAGAAGGGTGGCCTCGCCATCTTTTGTCCCGCCTGTTCCCAGCCTGGGCTCAACCTGCCTTTCGATTGGCAAGCGGATCCAGTGCAGTGGAAGTTCAAACGCGGCTTTGTCATGGATGGCAATTTCAGTGCAGAGCACATGAAGATGAAGCACCCCGAGGAGGACGTCGCCCTCAGTGACGGCCAGGCATTCATGGTCGGCCAAGAGGATTACAAGGCTCATCTGGTGGTGGCCATGGAGTCCCATCAGGTGCGTGTCTGGCTGCACGTTCTTCTTCTGCCCTTGACTCCTAAGCCCACCAGCGCTCCACTTGTCATGAGCACCGCGCTGTCAATCAGGCCAATGTGGATCGCGCCAACCTCGACGCCACAGGAATCGGGGCCACTGCTTGCGCCAGACATGGTTTCTTCGTCCCTCATACTGTCATCGATTTCCAGAAGGGAGAAAGGTTCGCATATGTCTCTTGTCATGATTCATTCTCACCGACGCACCCTCTGCAGACAAATGAATATGGATTACTCTCTCAGCAATGCGCTCCTGACCCTCACCGGTATCACCCTCATCCTCGTCATGTACGACATCATGTGCCAGTATGGCGTCCATGTCCGCAAACGTTTCCGCCACAGCGCCTATCTGAGGATGCCCTTCGAGCTCAAGGTAGACCAAGGCATCGGCTTGTTTCATGTGCACGGACACCAAGATTGCTGCTTCCAACGGTTCTCGCCCAACTTTATAGTTGGCGCTGGTATGGTCGATGGCGAGGTCATCGAGACCCTGTGGGCGCCGACAAATGAGGTCTCAGGCAGTACCAGGGGCATGACCCAAGCTCACCGCCAAGAAGTCCTTGACGATCACATGAATGACTCCAACTGGAAGAAGACGACTCGCATGGGTGAGCCTGGTTCCTGCTTCCCTATTTGCCACCTGCCTTATGCTGCCTATAGTGCCAACCTTGATGACAAAGTGGAAACGTGTGCTCCTGGGCTTCCCACGAAGCAAGGAGTCCTTTGAAGCTTTATCTGCATCCACAGATGAGGATGTCCTTGAGGCATGGCAGAAGGAGTACGACGACGCTATGGAGGCTCGCCAAAATGATCCGAAGATCATGGACACCTTCGATGTCCAGCTCATGAAGGGTGAGTATCCTTCCATCGTCGTGTGGCATGTAGTTGACGTGAATGCAAGCCCCGGGTAAAGACCTCACCCAACTCAGACTGGCGGGCGAGGAGTCCGCCAAGGGCTTGGAGAAGGGCACCGCCGGATGGTTGTCGACTGGCCTCAAAATTCAAGAAGCACAGTGAGTTTGCCTCATCTTAACAAAAATACAGCTCTGACGGCCTTCAGGCTTAAGCTTGCGAATGATATCCGCAAGGCGGGTCAAAATCCGAGCATGGCGGAGGACCTCAAGACTCTCGAGCGCCGTCAGCGCCTCGAAGTCAGCATTCTCACATTCCAATGTCGCTCTGAGAAGTTCATGGGAAGGTTGGAGGATGTTCCCGCCATGGAAGATCGTGACGATGGTGCGCTCTGGGATTCCTTGGATGAGAATCCTTTTCAAATACACCCGGAGGACGCTGAGTATGGCGAGGATGCGATTCCTCCCGAGCGAGCTTCCTTGAATTTACCTTCGCAGATCGGATTCGTGGCCGCCGTCGCCAACGGGCTCCAGACCCTGGCGGCCCAAGAGTTGGAGTTGCGCAAAGGCCTGATGAATGACATCCTCCACGAGCTTTGCATGGCGCTTGGACTGAAGTCTTACCTCTACCACAAGAGGGTTCGTCCTGCCAACAGCGTCGGAACCATGACCCGTGCACAGGCGGAGGTTTATGCTGCCGATCAGACCGTCTTGGCCTGCGCCAGGCTCTATTCTGCCAACCGACGCGCCATTATGTGCTTGGGCGCCACCGATGAAGACTTGGCCCTCTATCGCCCTTTGGATAAGAAGGACCTGCACGTGAAGACTGCCGTCATTGAGGCTAGCACCTCCGGGCTCAGGAACGTCAACCTGGCTTGGTTCTGGACCATGGATGTCGCTGGAGATCGAGGTTCATCAGAATGGATGGACGAGTGTTCATAATTGTCCGATCGATCTCTAGGCCTCCTGCTAATTTACCCTCCAGTCTATAGAGTGAATTGGCTGCATGCCAGAGCTCGATATGAGAGATGGAGGGAGGAGCGTGTCTTGGTCCACTCGGAAATGGCCTGGACCATAGCCACCTTTAAGCGGAATGCGGAACGATGGGCTCACTGGCTCGAGATGACGGATCCTTCCTGGCGGGGTCATGTTTGCTATGCCGCCAGGCAAGTGAGTATGTGGCGGACCTTCGCCAGCCACGCCACTGACGCCTTCAGCCACATCCTCGCCCTGGACATTGAGGACGAAAGGGCGGGCGATGAAAATGTGCTTTGAGTCAGGGTTCACTGGGGTGTACGCATATTCATGTTTGCTATATCGATGTAGTGATCCTCATGTATGTAATTCCTACTCACCAATATCACATTTGGCGAAGTGACCTCCATCCTCGCCTGAGGGCTTCATCTCGGCATGTGCTCTCCAATCGCATGACATCAGACATCAGATAAGGTCGATCAGATATCAACCTCGGCTCATCCACTCACCATCATGTCTGCCCAGTCTTCAACATCAGATGCGCGCCCCTGCCTGTTCTCCAGAGGGAGGTTGCAGTTGGAAGTCTACACTTGGAGGATCCAAGAAGCTGTTCTGGCACTGGAGCCTGACCCAGATCACTTCACCAAGGTCCGTTGGGAGGAAGGCTTGCGCCGGGAGATGGTACGCCTTTCTTGCTGATATCGCCTGACCCTGCTGAGTCCTGTGCAGTTCGCCGTCAGGGGTATCTGTGGCGACCTCGCGTTGGCGGGTCATGCTGACCATATTGACCATGGCGGAGTTATCGCCAGTGTCCTCACCGTCTGCACTTTCAATCGCGAAGTTCTGCACCTCATCAGCATTGACATCAAGGCGATTCCACACCCCACCACCCTCGTTCCTCGTCCTAAGAACCTACTCGAGGATTCACCCGACTACTGGTGGAAATGGGATCGTCAGGTTGGGCCGGCGGGGAGCCCTATGGAGGCCTGGTGGTACAAACTTGGTGATCCCTGGGTGAGTGGTACGTTCCAGCACCTTACAGTCTTGCTGAACCTCAAGAACGTAGGAGAAGGTGTACACCGTCTCCGAGTCTACACTGGTGCAGCTTGAACAGCTGCATGTTCGCGTCGCGAACCTCACTAGTTGGTTGCACGAGAGGACAGATCAGAACCTGGATGTGGTGCTGGAAGAGCTGCAGGAGGCGACGCGGCAGCTGCGTGAGTTAGGAATGTAATTGCCCAATGCCAGGCGTCCATTCGTGCTGTAGTATGTCGAATATAAGGTTGTCATGTCTTTGAACCTGGGCAATGTACCTGGTGCGGTAAGGCGAAACATAGTAGCCACATACTCTCCTCAGGAGGGCACATCCCCAATGGTGTCTGATGCATGGCTCGAAAGCCAATGCCACATGGGAGAGTTTGGCGAAGTCATTCTGGACTGCATATTCAGATGGCGAGTGATATCCACCACAGTTCGCCAACCCTACTCACGGTGGAAAGGACCGCCATTCGTCTCCACATACTCTACCCAGAAGGGCACATCCCAAATTGTATCTGATGCATGTCTCGAAACGCCGATGCCAATTGGGAGAGTTTGGCGAAGTCATTCTGAACTCCATGTTCAGATGGCGAAGGATATTCGCCACAGTTCGCCAACCCTTCCCACAGTGGGAGAGAGTGTGATACTGCAAGGAGAGCTGATAGTGAGCTAACCAGAATTGGAGGGAATGATGGGTGGATTACGTGGAAATTATTGGCTGGCAGTAGCTCCATCATTGCCCTGTTAGGCGGTGGATCAATCACTGAAAAATATGCCCATGGCGGTTGACTGATCGCTGAGAACTACACCTATGGCGGTGGGCCGATAGGTCTGAGCAAGAGGTGCCGCATGAGCAACGACTCGGCGTCGGAGCCCCCTTCTTCTGTGGTGTCCTTCGGCTCGTACGCTGATTTGCACACGTCCGCATCCTCGTCTACTTCGTGCTCTTCGGTTGACTTCGGGTACAATCCGTTCACTTCGTATGGTCTACTTCTTGGCTCGGGCAACCAGGTGTGGCATCCGCCCATGCTTCCCCCTGACCAATCTCCACGTTTCATACATCCGCCCATGCTTCCCCCCGACCAATCTCCATGTTTCATACATCCACCTATGCTACTCCCTGACGAATCATCCGGTATGTTCCTTCACCCACCCAAGCTTCACCAAGACGACACGGACACGATACGAGCCCAGTTGACAACCTAGGGCAAGGCAAATAACTCAGCTATGCCCGGGCTAGTCAGATATTTCAGGCGACCCATGCTTATGGGCTCAGAAATATACCTATGGCGGTGGGCCGATGGTTGTATAATAGCCCCGTGGTGGTGGGCCGATCGCTCAGAACACTACCTATGGAGGTCGGCCCATCGCTCAGAACCCTACCTATGGGGTTGTGCCGATGGCTGTATAATAGCACCGTGGTGGTGGGCTGATCGCTCAGAAATATACCTATGGCGGTGGGCCCATCGCTCAGAACACTACCTATGGAGGTCGGCCCATCGCTCAGAACACTACCTATGGCGGTGGGCCGATGGCTGTATAATAGCACCGTGGTGGTGGGCCGATCGCTCAGAACACTACCTATGGCGGTGGGCCGATCACTCAGAACACTACCTATGACGGTGGGCCGATCGCTCAGAACACTACCTATGGTGGTCGGTCCATCGCTGAGAACACTACCTATGGCGGTGGGCCGATGGCTGTATAATAGCCCCATGGCGGTGGGCCGATTGCTCAGAAATATACCTATGGCGGTAGGCCGATCGCTCAGAACACTACATATGGCGGTGGGCCGACGGCTCTATAATAGCCCCAGTGGCGGTGGGCCGATCACTCAGAACACTACCTATGGCAGTCGGCCCATCGCTCAGTACTACCACGGTGGCGGTGGCCCGATGGCTGTATAATAGCACCGTGGCGATGGGCCGATTGCTCAGAACACTACCTATGGCAGTCGGCCGATGGCTCAGAACAGCTCCAATGGCGGTGGGCCGATGGCTGTACAATAGCCCCGTGGCGGTGGGCTGATCGCTCAGAAATATCCCTATGGCAGTGGGCCGATCGCTTAGAACACTACCTATGGCGGTGGGCCGATCGCTCAGAACACTACCTATGGCGGTGGGCCAATGGCTGTATAATAGCCCTAGTGGCGGTGGGCCGATCGCTCAGAATACTACCTATGGCGGTGGGCCAATGGCTGTGTAATAGCCCCGTGGCAGTGGGCCGATCGCTCAAAAATACACCTATGGCGGTGGGCCCATTGCTCAGAACTATCACCGCGGCGGTGGGCCCATGCCTGTATAATAGTAGCATCATGGTGGTGGGCCGATCGCTCAGAAATACTCCTATGGCGGTGGGCCCATCGCTCCAGCATTCCCTTCATCGCCATGAGCCGATCGCTGACAGCTCCTTACACAGACCGATGGGCCGACGTCCGCTGGCTGTCCAGTTCATGACAATGTCAGGGTAAATGGGAGTCCAGTTCACAAACATGACTGAATGGGCTGAAGTACTCTGGCAGCATGCTCAAATACCTCATGTCAAAATGTGGTGACTGGCAGGCCTGCGAGTCGACTAAGCAGATGGGTGATTTCTACAAGAAAATCGCCAAGTACCTGCTGGCAAAGCACGGGTGGGATTTCACGCTTCCGAACGACCAGGCGCCCACAGCTGACACTGACATTACCCTCAACGATCCGTCTCCTGAAGAGGTCGAGGCTACATTTGACTTCGATGGGCTCGACGATGCTGAGGCTGCGCATCGTCGTGCGATCTTCCAGAACCTGCGCTCGGTGAGTGAATAAATTCTAACATCCTGCTGACAGAATCTGACATCTTTGCAGGCCATGGGCAATTGGTACCGCCACCACTGCAAGAAGATCATCGTGGAGTCGAATGACACGGATCATGTCACCGGTGCCTGTGCAATGATCATGCAGGCATTCAGCGACCTCGCCCCTAGTGCGCTGCATAAGCCCAGGTCCTCCATGCTTATTCGCGTGAGTACTACAAGGCCGAGGTCGAGGACACCTTCAACCAGGAGCTCGTGCGGCTCACTTCAGAGGCCGTTGAATCCGGCTGTACCCCACCTAGCGATGTGAGGTTGCGCCAAACTGTCACGAAGCGAATCTACGAGGCAAAGTCCCCGGAGTTCCATGCCACGTTCGAGAAGAAGATCGAGAACGAGTACAACCACGCTCTGGAAGATTGGAAGCACGGCCGTGAGAAGCCGAAGACTGATGGACCTGAGCTCACAAAGTACTATCACACATACATAATTCTTGCCTATCTTTCTCTCATCTATTCTAATGCCCGCATTTCCAGCGAGCTTGCCAATACCATGTACTGGCTCATGCCTCTCGCCGACTACCTCTCCAATAAATTTGGAATGGCTGTCTTCATCCTGCTTGTGGGTCCTATCGCAGAGCTGGGTGGTGCTCTTGAGGTTTGGAGGTATGTCTTCCGTGCGTGCAGCATTTGATTGCCGGCTAACCAGGGCTTCTCCGCAGTGCTCACTCAGGCCAGACCCCTGGTCTTGTGACCATGCATTGGCCGGACTTCGATCCGATTGGCTATGGCGATGCAGAGGCATCAATGGTTCAATTTGCAGAGCGTCTTTTTCGTAAGCATCGGTTTCGTCTCACCCCCAGGTCCCCTCAGCTCACTGTCCTCAGCTCAGTCCGAATGTGACAAGCGGGCCCAACCAATGGTTGGCCCTGCTGTGGACACTGACGTCAATATGTCGGATGACGGTTCAGCTCCTCAAGTTGAAGTGTCCGCCACTGCTAACACGGAGGCTGGTCCCTCTGGTCATGCCTTGTCGTCTGCCCACGGTGGCTCGTCATCTCCTGTAAGGATGTCATCTTTTGCATCCGCGGTGATCACTCCCTCAGGAGGAGTCATTGCGACATCTTCTGCATTGGCATCTGTCCTCATCCCTTCTGCACAACCCACTTCAGTTGAAGTTAACTCTCTCTCCTCCGCCAATGGTCTCTCCCCTCACATGATGTCCTCTTTGCCTACCTCACCACCTACCTCATCTCTCCAGGATGTGGTGCAGCCTTTTGTGGTGCCACCCATTGTCGTCAATGGAGTCGCAATCCTAGCCTTGAACTTTGATGTGTTGCCTGTGTTGGTCCCAAGCATGACTAGCAACACGTCCCCATCTTCTCCCGCCGCTCCTATGGTTCCCATGTCCTCAACCTCCCTCACTACCGGTGTTGTCATTCCTGACCCGGCTGTTCCAGCTCCTGTCCCAGTCGCTCCTGTCTCAGCCTCAGTCATTTCTGCCGACTCTGATGGGGTCGTCCTTGTCCCTGCGTCGGTTGTCACTGCATCCACACCTGCTGTGAATGTTGCTGCATTGTTCTCCACACCCAAATCATCTGATACAGCTCCCACTTCACCCAGCAGTGCTACAGCTGCTAGCGGAGTCCCTGCTGCCCCCAATCTCTCACGTTTCCTGCTGAAGGACAAGAAGATATATCAGCATCTCGTGCAGGAGCGTCTGTGGGGCAATGTTTGGTCCCGGCTCCTTCTCGACTTCGTGCGTCTTGAGAGCCTGGTGCCTGGTGCCACCAAAAGACTGGAAGGCAACAATAAGTCACGTCCGACTGCAGTGGCTGACTGGATGAAGGTCGCATGGCCCACAAGAGACATGGGCATTGGCGACTCGCACACTTTTGCGATGATGTGGTGGGCATGGTGGATGAGCCTCCAGCCATCTGCTCGTCCTGTTGGCAAAGACGGCAGACCACAGCGAAACGAGTCGGTTACCATCTGGGATGACTTGTGCGTCATGAGCCTGAATGGCCATCTTCTTGTCATCCTTTGTTTTGCATGGTGGGGTAGCGCGGTTGTTGGAGGGACTTTGCCAGATAAAGAGAACGATTGGCGTGCCGCTGTCGAGGATGTGGCATGGAGTCTGAGCAAGATGTTGAACTCGGTTCGTGGGCCCGTCAGGCCCATGTTGTCATCAGCTGGTGATGCCAGCGGCCAAGGGGCTGTATCTCCCACCCGTTCATTGCACGAGAAGTCTGGCCGCAAAGATGTGGCAGTCTTATCGAAAAGGTACACTCAATTCATTCAAGTTTTCTCACAGGTGCTAACCAGCTCTTCAGAAAAGCCACCTCTTAAGAGGCTGGGTCTTCTGCGAGGCGCAAAAGACCGCAAGCTTGACGCGTGCCCTGATCCTCCTTCCTTTTGCTTAGGCATATGTACTTGGCTCTTCGCGCACTTGCACACTCACGTACTCATGCTCTTCCAACCTTGCACTCCCACTGTTATGTCGTGATTGATATCTGTTTTGAAAGGTTTGCCCTTTTTGTCATCCTGCTGTTTGTGATGTTCCTGCTTGTTATGTTGTCCACCTGCTAGTCACATTCCATTTGTTGCTGCGTCCACCCATTCATCACCTTTCTGTTCTGTTTGTTGTTCGCTGTTTTCCCATTTTCGTATCGCTCGCATTCTCATCCTTTCGTCCCCATTCTCAGCTAGGCCCATGTGGCCTGTATGTTGACAAATGCTTGACATTCTTATAATGTACTACAGGGCTGGCTCTGGTATGCTCTGAATGAATAGAATATGTTTTAAGATTTTGCATTTTTTTTGGCACAAATTTGGGGGCGGAGAAGTGTGGGAAGATGTGGTATGTTTTTTCTTGCCAAATCTGGGTTTCTGTATTTTATTCCAAGATGGAAAATCCTGATATGTTGGGAGAGCGGACATCATAATGTGGGATGCTTATTAGTGCAGAATCATAATGGGGCCTGGTACGGTGATTAGCGGACACATTGTATTGGGCTGTGCGGTAATGACTGGGATGTATTATAATGTAGGTACTTGGACTGGTGCACCGTAGTCATCATCATTCCTCACCATAGTCGTTGTTCCTCACTGTAGTCGTTGTTCCTCACCGTAGTAGTAGTAGTCATCGTTCCTCACAATCATCATTCCTCACTGTCATCATTCCTCACTGTCGTCATTCCTCACCATCATCATTCCTCACCGTTATCGTTCCTCACCGTCGTCGTCCCTTACCATCGTTGTTGTCATCCCTCACTTGTCATCGCCATCCCTCGTGGTCGTCGTCGTTCTTCCTTATGGTTGTAGTCGTTCTTCCTCATGGTCATCGCTTCACCTTGGTGGTTGTTGTCTACTTTATGGTCATTGTGCCACTTGATTGTCATTGTCTCACTTGATAGTTATTATTGTCCATTGGCGTTGTCATCTCTCTCATGTTGTCATTGCCCTCACTACTACGTCCTCATCGCCCTCGCTTCCCCGTCATCGCCGCCTTTGCTCGCATGTTGTTATTGCCATCACTCCCTGTTGTTGTCATTGTCATCGCTATATTGTCGTGGTCACCCTGACTTCATCGTCATCATTGTCCTGGCTATGTCCGGATGTCCGTGCGATGGAGCAGGGATGAATCTTATTCGAGGTTCAGCTGTTCACTGGCATGTTACTGTAGAGGTGTGTACGTTTGACAGGGATCGCACTATAGCTGTTCGCACACATTGCTGGAGTAGTACATGATTTATCACCAGTGGTGGCCAGTATTGTATAACAATACTGCAGGTAGCTGGGCAAGGTGTTGTTCACTACTCACCAGTTCTTGTCAATTGTCAAAGTTATTGTTAACAACAGTCTGAGAGGATTGTAATACAATAACAACTTGTACAAAACAACTTGCACTCAGCCAGGCTTGAACCCTGGTCTTCTGGACACATGATTACACAAGCACATGCCACACAATTTACCAATTGCTCCATTAAGCCATGCATTTCTCTCAGCCTCAATTCTATATAAGGCTACTGTCTTCTCTAATATACATATTAGAATCTTTTGTAATAACTACTATATTCTGTTGTTACTGTGGCTTCTAAAAGTTAGTTGCCTACATTTTTCTATTTATTTCACTCTTCTAATAGCTTTATTACATCTATAAATTTTGATATTACAGTTTTAATCTTATTTGAATATTTACTGAACTAAAAAGGAAATGCTTAATATTAGGCACTCAAAGACTTATTAATAGGGACATCAATCACTGTTAGAAGCCACAGTAACAACAGGATATAGTAGTTATTACAAAAAATTCTAATATGTATATTAGAGAAGGCAGTAGCCTTATATAGAATTGAGGCTGAAAGAAATGCATGGCTTAATGGAGCAATTGGTAAATTGTGTGGCATGTGCTTATGTAATCATGTGTCCAGAAGACCAGGGTTCAAGCCTGGCTGAGTGCAAGTTGTTTTGTACAAGTTGTTATTGTATTACAATCCTCTCAGACTGTTGTTAACAATAACTTTGACAATTGACAAGAACTGGTGAGTAGTGAACAACACCTTGCCCAGCTACCTGGGCCATTGTTATACAAAAGTGGGAACCACAGCTAGATTTACCGTGTGCAAGTTTAGTCATATAGGCCTCGCACGTTGGTCGGTGATCAGGACGTCCAGTGTGGTATTGACGGTCGTTCGGTCAAGGTTGTATTTGGCGGAAGTTTGAGGTTGGTGGATCATGCTATTTCCATAGCTAGTGGTGTAATAAGAAATGTGTGATATGGCCATCCATGCTAGCTTGTTTGACGTTGTGACAACCAGTTCAATATATTTGATATGTTAGTGACTCGTCAGCATAAAGTAGTGTTTGTTCATAAGAGATGGCTTGACACTTCTATGACAGTTTTCAATGGAGGTGAGTGGCACAGTTGCGCACGATCTGCATCATCGTGAAGCTGATCGGGCATTTCTGATGTTCATCCATTCAGTTGATAGGCGGCAACACCTACTGCAGTCTGAACCTCAGGCCAAATGCTTGCTCTCGCAAGTATTTACAAGGAGCAATAAGATTCCGCTTGGTGCGATGACATTCTGCATGCTGAAGGCTGATACTAAATACCAGACACTTTCTGTAGTGCTGCAGCAGACAGAGGAAGAATCCAACACAAGCGAACGACTGTGGTCCACTACCGGCGAGTGATATATCACGCATTCGCTATGGGCACTTGGCACAGGAATTGTCCATTCAGTTTGTGAGCACCCCTGACAATGCACACTGTCACTCGTAGTCTAACCGGTATTTTTTCTTCTCGTGGCAGCTGCATGCAGGGTTCACGATGGCGTAATTTTTTTCCCCTGTGCATTCATCCCCGTCTCGTCCATCTACTACCTGAACCCCTCAGACAAAATGAATCCTTGGGCGCAACTGAAGCTCTTCTGCAATGCTGCAGTCTCTATCATGGCCAGGAAGAAATGTACTCCCAACTTCGACATGTACACTGTCTTGGAAAGCAGTGCTGCCAGCACGGCGCCTGCGATAGCTACACTCACTACCTCGTTCCACCCCAACGCGACATCGTGCGGCACACAGAATATGTATCTGGAGCCGCCAAGGTCTCTGCTCAGATGTCATTCTACAGTGCTCCCAGCACAGATACAGATGAACGAAGCGTGCCATCATTCAATATGTCGGAGATCTGTGGTCATGTTGACTCTGAGGTTGGAGATAGCGAGGAGGACGTCGACCTTTTTGACTTGGATCTGCAGTATCTAGAGGACGTAGAAAACTCATCTGGACAAAAGCCCCATCGGCGCAGTGCAGGAGTGAGTTTTTCACGATTTCGTTTGAAGACAATTGTTGCTTATGGTATGCAGGATCACCCTCTCAAAAAATGGGTTCCAGAGATCAACAACTATCTCACTGAGATGTTGCATCTCGAAGGGTGTTGTGGCTTTGACTCTGGGCGCTGCAGGGTTTGTGAGGAAGGTCTGGCTATGATTCACTGTGAAGATTGCTTAGACCTTGGCATTTACTGTCGCACATGCGCCGTAAATCTCCACCAGCTCATTCCTTTCCATCGCGTGCAGGTCAGTACAATGTTTACTATTATGGTGGCATGACGATCTTACTCGCAAATCCGTTGCAGACCTGGCGTGGCACTCACTTCGAGCGTGACTCATTGATAAGACTTGGGTTGCGGATTCAGTTGGGTCGCACCATTGGAGAGCGATGTTGTTTGCCTGTGCGAGCCACAGCGGACAACTTCTTGATATTGGACACTAATGGTATACACGAAGTAGGGCTGGATTCTTGTGACTGTGAGATGGCCGAGATTCACACCACTCAACTTCTCCGAGCACGATTGTTCCCTGCAACCTTGACAAATCCCAAAACTGCAGCGACGTTTGCACTCTGTCAGTTTGCCCACCTACTGTCCACTCAGTCGAAGATGTCCGGTTATGAGTTTTATCAGAGTCTTGCCCGATTGACTGATAACACTAGTGTGCACACCCCCAAAGTACGTCATGTCTCAAGCTCTAAGCTTAATCATCGCTGACAAAGTGTAGGATCATTATCCTGCCTTCATGCGTATCATGCGCATGTGGAGGCATCTCAAAATGCTGAAACGAGCAGGCTGGGGCCATGAACCTGGAGGGGTGCAGGCGACCCAACCTGGGTCATGTGCGATTCTTTGCCTGGTGTGTCCACACCCTGGCAAGAATCTGCCCCCGGACTGGGAGAAAACCCCAGAAGACCAAAGGTGAGTTCGTGATCAGTAATTTCGGTTGATTTACGCTGAATACTAACATGCGGCGACAGGTGGATATACCGGCTGTTCATCAGGCTAGATGCAAACTTTCACCTCAAACGTAAGAAGGTGTCTTCCGACAGCATCGATCCTGGACTTAACCATGGCTATGCATACTTTGTGGAGGAAAAAGCATACAAGGAGTATCTCAGCACATATGACTCCCTTGTGAAGGAAGAGCAAAGTACTTGCAACAACCACGATGTGGTCAAGTTGCCCAACATCAGGGGCTCAGTCGCAGGTACAGCGGCAAGTGGCATTGGTGCCGTCACATGCACACACCATGACATGAGACTGCCATGCAGCGTTGGCGACCTTCAAAAAGGAGAGCAATAAGCTCGTGTTCACAATCATTCGTGTCCTCGTACTGATCAGTACTGGTTAGATATGTCAATATGGATTATATGTTCTTCTCCACTCTGGGGAATGATGCACCACATGATATCGTGGTCTCCTACAACATTGTGTGTCAGTGGTCCAAAAACATACGGAACCGGCACCGAATATACGAATATTGTCCATTTCAGATGGACGGCCACAATTTCGTGTTCCTTGTCCCAAAATTCCATATCTATGCCCATCAACAGTCATGCCAGGACAATTACTCATTCCACAATGCTCCCCATGTGGCTGAGACAGACAGCGAGGGCGTTGAGCAGCCATGGTCAGACTCAAACCAGTACTCTTCAAGCACGAAGAAGATGGGCCCCAGTTCGCGACGCGACTTTCTTGACGATGTGTTCGCAGACTACAACTGGAGGAAAGTATGTGGAATGCATGAGTAATTGCAATGAGTATTCTGCTCATCTCTAAACTAATAATGTTAAAGCTGCCTTGTTTCTGGCCGCCGGAGCGCAACAATCAAGTCTTTGCATTTGCAGAACTTAACGACGCAGTGATGCAAGAAGATCGTGACACATGGAGAACTGTTGTAGAGTCATGGGAGAAGGACCCTTCGAAACCTAACCCATTCGTTGTTACCCGTCCTGGTACGTATTTGCGGCATATTACAGAACATTGGCCTGATATTCTGCACCAATGCAGCCATGACCCAAGCATCTGTGCACCTGCAACTGACAAATGAGGAGGCTGTGGAGTTGGAGAACAGTGAACAATGTGGCATGCTATGTGACCTCGTTTCCCCGAGTGTCATGATCATGGTCGGGATTGAGCTGCAGGAACAGCAGTAAGTGCGAGCAGTCATAACGTTTGTCATGTTCTCATAGCCTGCTGCCAGGTATCATCTTCGACAGGACACAGAGGGCCTTGGAGCACATTCCACGGATCTTCAATGGGCTAAGGTCATCAAGCGGTGTAATGCTCTTCATCACAAGATAGATGCATGGGCAGACATGCAGCAGTTGTTCATGCCTAGCACCGTGGCATTGCGCACGCGAACCGCGGCCGCAGCTGTCAAGGAGGTCCCTGTGCAAGAAATGGCACTCTATTTACCATCGGAGTCACCCTCTGGTACCCCTTGCAACTCTCGCATCCAGAGATACGAGTTGCGTCTGAGGGTTTCACAAGCACACGATGCGCTAGAGGATCTCCAGTGACATCTCCGCGTGCATGCCCATCTGTACAAGTTCAAGGACCGCTTCGTCCATGGGCAACGATATCTCACCCGAGCGAAGACAGTCATCGGGCACACACAGGATAAGGTCAACACCGATGCAGCATGCTATCGCTGTGCATACAAAGCCATCATCTCGTTGTCTACCTTACTTAATGAGCCTTTGATGCTCCATGACTTGTGCCTGCTGCAAGATGAAGATGTCCGAGGAATGACGGAGGGGATGCAGGGAGAAACTCAGAGCTGCAAGACTTTGTCTTGGATATGGTGGAGACATGGTGTGGGGAGTAGCAGTGCGACTGATGGCAGCGTCAGCAAAGGTTGGCATTTTTTACTTGTATGTTTCTAAGACTTCTTAATGCTCACGAAATCTTCTAGAGCTTCGTACCGAGTGGTGCAAGGCCCGTGCTCGTGCCCATCGCTGGATTGAGAAATGCTGCCAGTTGCCAGACGAGATGCACAGGGTTATTCACCACGTTCAAGCAGCTGGTAGAAACAAATGCGTGTAGTAAGGTGTCCATATAATCAACACATATAAACAAAGATGCAGCGATGGTCCGTAAACGAGCCTCGCGTAGACGCGTATTCTCTGAAGATACAGAAGTATACAAAATCATGTAGTTGATGTCAGTAGATGGTAGTGTAATTGTGTCTACATAGTGACTGCTAAGGTACAGACCAGTCGGACTATGTGAGGAGCCCTCAGGATGCGACATTGCATGCACTTATGTACACCACATGTCCATATATGTGTATGTATATGTGGTCTCCCTACGCATACAGTGGGTGTATGTACTCTAATCACCCAGTGTGTACTGGTGCGCACAGGCAGCCAATAAATCTTCAAATAAATGCAATTAAATACGAGCACGTGATCACAATGACACACTCGCACAGGCGCCCATCGCACGTCGAGCCTCCGCGTCCGCTCACCCAGCATCTGTACCCCAAGAGTCCCATAATAAGCCTAAGATTGATAGCCCTATACTCCTTCTAAATTGAAGATCAGCATGAACCCCCCTCCTCAGTGGAACTCTGCTCACCTGAATCTGCCTGCAGGTGGCCCTGCAGCTCCGCTGAATATCCCTCTCCAGCCCAACCCAGCACCACACATACAGGCCTTAAACCCGGTTGCATTCTTCCAGCAGTACCAGCAATTTGTTCATGACTTCACTGTGAATACCCCTGGTGCTGTACCCCCTACACTAGATCAGTTCCACCAGTAATTCGAGATGATAGGACACTTACCACTGCCACCACCTCTTCCTCTCGGTCCCGTGCAGATCCAACCAAATTTAGAGCTCGCAGCGGCAGTGGAAGAGGTGAGAAATGAGATAGCAGTGCTGAAATGAGACCTGGAAAATAGTGCAGTGGTCGGAGATGCTGCAGGACATGAGGCTGATGATGAGGGCACCCTGCCGTTGAGAAAGCGGCTGAAGAAGATGAAGAAGGATGAAAAACAGATTCTTAGCAAGCCCAAAAATGAATTACAAGAGGAGCAACTCGCCGTGTGGTATAACTCTTGAGCACCTTGTTCAAATGCTCAGACAGGAATGTCCAGAAGCCATAGACTGGCCCATAGTCTTCAATCTGTTTGAAGATGTGAGTGACATAGTGGAAGTTCAGCTTAACATTGTCTGGATGGATCTGCGTGTTAATGCTGCATGAGGTCACAGGTTATCCCAAATTATAGATAAGCTGTACCTTCAAAAAGTTGATTAGATAGCTTTGTAAGAGTTTACGAGCACGCGGCAATTCAGTAATGTTCACGCTGCATCCCATAATCACCTTAAGAGCCGCCGCAAGAGACAAGAAGTTGTCAGCATCTTCAGGGTGCATACGACGTTCAGGCTTTGGGGCTCGGGGCTCTTTAGTGCCATCCGCCCTGCTTTTGCCCTTCAAAATGTGTCATAGATGGGTGATGTTATCAGCTTTCCACTTTTTCATGCGCTTCTCATATGTTGCTTCAGCGGAGGGCTGCCATTTGTCCCATATGAGAGGAACCTGTGGTAAGGAAGAGCATTGGATCAATACATCAAAATGAAGACTGAATTGAGACTTACAATTATTGGGCAGTAATTCAACGCCATACCTTTCCATTCATCCGCTGTAAGAGATCCTCCTGCTGCATATCCAACATTGTTCGGCAGACGTGCTACCCACTGTGGCATCTCGAACTACAGACAGATTTCAGCATGCACCACATGGACAAAAGCACTACTCACAATCTTGAGGTATTCATGCACTTGATCAAGTTCACGGCATACCTTGTTCACTGCCGTTCGCTCTCGGAGGGCCTTCGTGTTGATCCATGCATCAAGCCACTGTGTCTTGACAACGCCTGAAGATCAAAGACATGAGCGATTGAAAAAACAACGCAAATATATGATACACACCTAGAAGGATGTTGTGCATAGGGTCGACAACTGTCATACGCACCGCATCAAAGTACGGCAGATGAGAGAGTTCATAGTATCGTGTGGCATGCTGCATAAAGAATTCTGCCCGCCTTTGAGGGTCCATTTCTTGCAGATATTCCTGAGCGTGTTGCCGATGTTCTTCACCATCTCTTGCTGGGAATGCTAGCAACACTCTATTCAGTGCAGAAGCATCGACATCTGGTCCTAATTGCTTACCACCGATTGTCATCCCTGCTTCCGTTTCAAGATCTGCATGTTTGATTTTGCACCTTGAGCAGAATCCTTCCTTTGTATTGTGATCACCGAAGCCCACAATTCGACACAGCGCCGGATGATCACAGCAAACTGCTAATAGAAGGACATGCACACGCCGGCCTGAAATGGGTACCGGTCAAGAAAGACTTCTTGAGCAGCATACGAGCTAACACACCTTCGGGTTGCAGCTTCATCTTGATGACAGTCCTGTCATCGTACAGCTTCAATAAATCATCTACATATGCCTTCATGAAATGCTGCAGCTCATCGGCGCTGAGTTCCTTCGGGCCTGGTGTGATACCGCATAGAACTAGATTTCTAGATTGATATCTGGTATCGTTGTCAGAGCCTGTGCTTTGGAAAGAGAGAAGTACATACTTGTCTTGAACTTCAAGGTTAGCAAAGCAGTTTGAGAGCACACCTGTGCTATGCTTCCCAGAGAACTGGCTGCGCTGGTAGCCAAATCTAATGGAAGTAGTGTTATAAGTAATACGAAGATTGAGGGACAGTGAACGCACCCATCAAAGTGGAGGGTAATACCGATGCGCAATTCATCGGGATTAGTGCGATCTTGACCATTGTAGAAGAACATCTGGCCATCAGGACCCAGCAGGGTTTGCCATAACTTTCCATCCTGCATGCTCCATAGTTGACCTGGAGGTGTTTGAGGATGGACACGCCATGGGTCAAGCGACCCTTCAAGCCGATTGACATATGCTGGTAGTTGCTCCGATAGGAGCGAGAATGGTGTCTGCAGAAGAGGTACTTGAGCTTGGGTGTCTGCAGCATCATCTGCTTGAAAGGCCTCCAATGGAAGAACAAGCCGCGCACGAACAGCAACTCTTTTGAAGAGGGGGATGTTGCACGAGGAGCACCGTAGTGTCAGCGATGGGCTGCTTGGAAAGATGCGACGACATGAGGGGCACATTGCCTTTATCTCGAAGTTGTCACCAAGGTGCAGTCTCTTGATAGCCGTCAGTAGTGTCGTAGGTGCATCAGCCTGAGTCGATAGGAGACCAACTGCTACGAAAATGAGCTGCATAACCTGCAAAATCAATGCACAAGTGCAGTAGGGAACATGATAGTGGAGGTGCAGCCACGAACATAGCAAAAGCAAGACACGCCAGAACCAGTGTTCTGCAGCATCAGTGAATATATCGATCGAGTTGGGTGGCATGTCGCGGGGCACCTCATGCACCTCGTGGGGGACATAGCGTACATTGTGTGGCATGTCTTGTACATCTTCATGAATCCTATCGGCATTTTGATGGACTTGCATCTCAAGGCAAGGTTCCATAGCAGGCTGTACGTTCGCATCCAAGGCCAGATTTGGACCTAACAGGTTGTGTGCATCAGGATCATTCACGTCGACATCAAACTGCACACCCAGATCGGGTGCAGGTGATATAGCGGTACAATGGGTAGCGTAGCTGAGAACAGATTCTTGTGAAGCACGGGCACTGCCAGACGAGGTGTCATCTGCAACCGGAGCACTGTGCGACACTTGCAAGTCGAGCGCAGGTTCACCATGATACGGCAGAACTTTATAATTACATTATCAGACAGTTTACTCTGTGTGACACAACACGCGAGACGTACCTTCTCCGCTGTGCTCCAAAATACTATCTTCGGGTTCAACGGCGAGCAATATGTTAGCGCTATCACTCTGGCACAGTTTGGGGGCATACGAGGGATCGTTGGAGAAATCCACTGGCATAGGCGATGGAAGTGAGCACTGATAGTGCGATTGCACGCCCTCTGCCTCCCCAACACTGTAAGGTCTTGAATCGGGCTGAGGTGTCTGTGAGGGCGAAGGAGGTGATGCTGTAGACAGGCCTGTGCTATTCTTCTTCGGACTCAACTTAAGTTTTTTCGCAAGTTTCTTGAGTATCCCGGTGGCTCCTAGCTTGACGGACCCACGCTCATCGTCTGACTGCTTCTCCGAGTTGTATCGAGGCCTGGTTTGGTGATCATGCTGTGTGTATTGAGGTACGTGTTTGCCTTTGCATCCTTCACACCAACAGGGAACTTTCTGCTTCTGATATTCATACTAGATGAACTGTTGGTTAGAACAGTGCAATCGGAGTCTCGTATACGATAAAACCTTACTCTTTTATCTTCTCTTTTCGATTTTGAGGGTAGGGGCATAGTGGGTGGGTCGTGACGTGGATGCGTAGGACAAGTGCTGAGGAGCAGAAATATATTTTCATGGCAGCCCGAAGTGTCTGCATCACAAGTGCATGCAGATCAGTCGAAGACGCATGTGCAAGAAGAGTCGACATGCGGCTATGAGGTGTCACTCTGAGATACGCTCCCGTGGAGATCACGCGACGTGTGTCTGCCCATGCCTACACTCAGACATGATGTACGTTCATCTCGACGAATGACTCGTAGTTCATGCACATGGTACATGTGTTTACAGGTATGTATGTGAAGCTTGTACTTTGTAGATACTTCATTGCCGGCAAAATATATATCTGAGCTCAGTGTATACAGATACCACGTGGTTTCCACACATGTCGACAAACTCAGTGGACTAAGCCCTTGAATGCAGTGATTTCTTTTCATGGTTGGTTTGTGCGGTGGTGGCTGGAGCATATAAACACGATCCCTGCATGATCGCGAGAACACCTGGAAGGCGCCACCACATATGCATATCGTCAGGCAAGTATCCAGGTGTCTATGAGGGAACACTGTAGGTTGGTATGGTGTCATGTACCTGCCTGGTTGCAGGCAGAAGGTGATGTCACCATAGATGTGGATTCGGTTGAAGCCACCATTGCAGAACCCCTTCTGGCAGGCAGTTCTGCTACTATGTCGGCAAGTCCTTTGACTTTCCTTCCTGCATGTTAGGCGGTCAGTCACTATGTGGGTCCACGGATGAGTACCAGAGGTGGTCTCCCCATGACACAAGGCTAGTTTGTCAGTGGCTATTTAGTAATTTTACAAGTTCGTGTTCATTGATGTCGTCCGAATGAAAATAAAATATTTGGCATTCTACACTGAAGTCTCTAAAAGGAAATCCATTACTGGAACATATGATACGGAAGATTACATGCTGCATTCTATGTGAAACAGCTCTACCCGCGGGACACAGGCGGGGTGGCACGACAGGGCGCGACAGGACATGATTTTGCCGCGCAATCGAGAATAGATCTCGAGCAAATCTCAGACCTACCAGGCCGGCGATGAGGTTGTCGGCATCCGGAGATCCACAATAAAGGACCGAGAGCAGCCGAGGGAGAGGGGGGAGAGCACGGCATAGAGGAGAGTTGTAGGAACCACTGAATAATATATCAGACCTGTAGTAGCTATCACAGTCAATGTATCAGTCCTGAATTGTTATGACCTTGTTTGATATATCAGTATGCCTAGTCTCGGAACCAGACGTTCGGTGGTAGCAGGGCATCACGTGAAACTGACAGCAGAGAGCGAAAAAGAGATGCACAGCTACCACCTAGAACGTCTGGTGAAATTCATATAGGCCGGGGGGGGGGAGGGGGCGGATTGTCACACTTTGTGACCAGCGCATCAGGGTGATGCGTCCTACTACGCATCTTCTGTGTAGTGTGTAGCAATCACGATACACCTTCCCCTCATACATATTCTGCCTCTATGTCCTGCCCTGAGAGTTCTACCTCGACTTCTCACTCATCTGCAGCTCCAACCCATACCCACGCATCTGCAACCACTTCTGCAAGTGACGCAAACTCAAGAGAAATCCCGGCGATGGCAGCGCAGACTCCCCATGACTCGCATAAGAACCGGAGAGCAAATTCAGTGAGAATCCTGCAGACGGCATGAGAAGAGGCATCCAAATTGCACGGATATGACTCACGCGCATGCCGTCATCGCCTCATTGAACGATTCAGAGAGGCCAATAACAAATTCCCTTACAGCTGGCAAATCGACATTGGAGAGGCCCTCATTCTGGGGCTGGATTGCTCTGTAATAGTGGGTACAGGCGTGGGGAAAATGATGCCGTTCGCGATGCCTCTGTTCGACGATGATACTCACGAGAAAATTGTTCTTGTTATCTCTCCACTCAATGCATTGGAGCATGACCAGGTATGTTATATTTCTCCATCAATATGTCACTTCTAATGTGCCGAGTATCGACAGCCTTTCGTCTTGATGCCGTGTCCGTGTCCACGAGGAGGCTTGAACTATTTTCCAAGCAAGTCTCCCAGTTCATCGCTGATCATGAGTGCAGTGCGTTCGAATTTCGCCAGAGGATCTGCAATCAGTTCAGGTACATTCCAGCTCAAGGCCCAGAGAAGCAGAGGCAGGTCCAGCTTTTTCTCTAGCATATAGCCAAGTACTTCTTTGACCCGAGAAGCGATGTCACCTTGTTGTGCTAGATAGTTTCTGAAGTTGCGTGTGCAAATCTTGTGCGGTGGATCACTCGGCTCTCATTGGCACCCAGGTGTATCGTCAGTGTCTTCGTCTTCGTCATCAGATGAGTCCGCACTATGCTCATCCCAGTCCGGGTCGTCAAGTTCTTCATCATCCTGCACGGGATCTCCAGCATTAAGCTCTGATAATAAGGTATAGAGGTTTTCAGAACTTATAGGACTCTGGTGTAGCAAGTCCGGGTATCATGCAGAAGGTCCGGGTATATTGTGTACTACGACATTGTACCTGCTACCTACATCTCTAGACGCGACGCGCGACACGCCTGACGTGCAGAAAGACACGTCAAGGTCACGTGAATGTGACAATCCCCCCCCCCGCCTATACAAATTTCATCAGATGTTCTGTCTGCAGGCTGTGCAGGTGTTTTTCGCTCTCCGATTGGGCCCGCACTGACAGAACGGCTGGTTCCAAGACTACAGTATGCCAGGGACAGGTGAGATAGGCAACGATGGGGGTTGCGAGGGTGCGGAGATTGAAAATAGAGTTTAGGAAGACGTTTAGAATCTGGAAGGGGGGCAGGCTCCTAGAACCATCCATCGCTATAGCGTTCTCGCTCCTACATCCCAGATTCATGTTTTAGAGATCACATGATATATGTTTTAAGAGGATCACCACTTTGAGAAGGACCTTCCATTTTGAGAACCCGAACAAGAGGAGGAGAATGCTATAGGATGGCTGGCCAATAATGTCTTCTGAGGTTCCTCCGTGCCCAGCGCTCTGCCTTGCTTCGCCTTAGCGAAAAGACCGTTTAGGCAGTAGCCGGCTGTTTGCTTGTAATACTTTCATCAAGCGGTTTGTGGGGTCTCTCGTCCTAACTCCTGCACAATTTGCGTGGTGCCTGTACTTATTACAGTAACAACCCGGTGTTCAGTTTCCATCGTGCCCTTCTCATTGTCAACTAAATGGTTTATCAAATGCATTCATTCTCGCCATTCTCGAGCAGTGATGTTACCAAGCCAGTGGTACTTGTGCTGTAATCCTCCAGGACTTGCAAGACATCTTTGAGTTGAGCTGCTGTCAAGATCATGTGGGATGAAAATGTATTATGTGTTACATGCAGTGGTACGGTAGGCTATATAAAAGTTGTGTGCACTGCAGTGAGAGGACTTGGTGCTGCCGCCATGAGGGCGAGAGACCCCACAAACCGCTTGATGAAAGTATTACAAGCGAACAGCCAGCTACTGCCTAAACGGTCTTTTCACTAAGGTGAAGCAAGGCGAAGCGCTGGGCACGGAGGAACCTCGGAAGACATTATTGGCCAGCCGTCCTACAGCGTTCTCCTCCTCTTGTTCGGGTTCTCAAAATGGAAGGTCCTTCTCAAAATGGTATGTCTCTTAAAACATATATCATGTGATCTCTGAAAACATAGTATGTAGGAACGAGAACGCTGTAGCGACGGATGGTTCTAGGAGCCTGGAAGGGGGGGTCGACCCCCCCTTCCAGACATAAGGTTTAGAAATGTCTCACTTTGTTCACATGCTCGTCGGAGATCAATTGGCCGACGTGCCGAAGTGATTTAGAGACGAAATCTAGCTTTAGAACGTCTCTAAACGGCTAAGGGAAGGTATCCAGTAAGACCCCCCCTATAGATAGCAGACGTCAGACACGGATATCCGAGGCACGAAGGTTGAAGCAGAGTGGCTACAACTGCCTTTGGGAGACTACAGTGGTCCTACTCCACTGTCCACATCAAGTCCACATACACCAATTCCTGCCGCTCACGCGACCGCTCCAGGTCCCGCCGTCAGCGGCGGCAAGCGGGAAACATATCCGTGCGCGGCTTAAGCCTGGCGTCTGCCGACTGGAAGTGCATGTGCCTGTAGATACGCGTTCAGAGGTCTGGAATACCGAACGCTCAAAAGAGCTTGGAAGGGCGCGCGTGGAAGATGACAAGGAGAAGAACCAGGAGCTCGCAAAGGTGAAGCAGAGGGAGGAGGAAGAGCCGCGCTTGAGCGAGGTGCGCATGCGTAGCGAGCAGGTGCCGCAGGTGGGCGCATATATCCTGGGTATCGTGCGGATTGGTGCGTTGATGTGTTATGCGTGTTTCCGGACGCTGGCTTGCGCAGGCCAGTTGCACTTGCATCCAATCAGCGAGACCCACCAGCTTCGACCGACGCTGACTTACATGGATATTCTGACGCGGAAAAACAAGCGCGGTCGAGGAGGAGAGGAGTCCGATGATGATTCTGACGACGGTCCACTCCCGGACCCTGACGAACCTGCGCCGGCTCCTGCACCGAAGAAGGAGAAGAAACCCGCCGTGGACGCGAAGGAAGTCCAGGTGTCAGTACGCAAGACCAGCGAGGACAAGGGCATGCATTTCCAGGGCGGCCTGACAGCTGTTCGGAGAGAAATGCTCACGATTATGCACGCGGAGGAGGATGAGAAGTGGGATGATTATGAATATTGCGATGGTGAAGTGGGTGTTTGTAGCTTCGCGCTTTGGACGTTCTGCTGACCTCCATCCGGTCTTACAGGCAGCTGAGTCCAATAATGCCTTCGAGGCTGTGTTTTCTCAGAATGCCGAGCACTTGGAGTGCAAAACAGATATCACGAATGTGCTGAAAGATATACGTGGTTTGTAGCTCATACCATGCTCGTAGGTTAGTCCGTTGGTTCGTGTATGTCCTCCCGATTGATTGCAAATGTAGCACATATGTTTGAGGCGCTGTCAGCCTGTCGGCGAACTCCTTCGAGTGCGCACACTTCTGCTTTCAGTGACAGCTGAGCGCTCGCGATCATTAATATTGCCCTGCACGACGTCGAGCTCGTCGCTCTTCACCATCCCCAGCTCTGTCAGTTATGGTCAGCGATAGTGATACTGAATCAGAGTCTCAACCCTCTGTGTTTGAGTGGCAGGCAGCTGATTTTGCACATGTGTCTTCAACTCAACGTGTAGGCTCAAGCCGGGGAACTGCTGAAGAAGCGCGATTTTCTCCTCGAGAGCTTCAGCTCGCTGTCGACGACTTGCGTGCGATTGACCTCGCTGCTGCAGAGCATGTGAGCTCTTTTCGAGATTTTCCGGAACTGTACTGAATAGTCTGTCAAAATAGGACGCTACATTGCACATAGTCATTCAACGCGTTTCCAGCACTATGCTATGTTTCTTAGAAGGCATCATAGAGTCTTCTATTTTCAGTGATGATGGCGAACAAGATGTTTATATTGCGATGGGCCAACTTCGTGAGTTTTGTAGTCACCGGAGAACTGACTCTGACATGGCTGTCTATAGTCCAATTTTCCTTCATGTCCCTACTATTCGATTACCGGAAACTGTTTCATGGAATTGCTGCTCGTGACACCAGTCACACGAGTGCACCCTCCACTGTCGTCTGCTGGGTAGATGTTGTCTTGTCGAAGTTGGGCGACGCTGTCATTTCGCTGATCGGTAGACATTGCACTGATGTCAAGACACTGGAGTGGTCATTCTCGACGCTAAAGCAGCAGAGGGAAACCGATTCGCTCTATGCCGCTGTGCAACTCCCAGGTGAGACGCACTGTCGTTCCTTAGAGGAAGATAGAACATAACGTGCCCCAGACGGATGGACTGATGTACCGAACGTGATCAATGCGGAGCATGCCTCACCTGCTGCTAAACGGCTTGCCTTACAGCTAACATTCGCAGTTTATGTGGTGGGGCCCCAGCTGGAAGATGCTGGTACCACGAGTGACCAAGAGTGAGCACGGCAGAGTCAGTCGGGATGATAATTAACCATCACAGCTGATGTCGGACTCGCAGAAACGATGTTTTAGGCGTTCTTTAACTCTACACGAATCGTTCATCAATGTCAGACCGTGCATCTGGGCAGTCATATGCAGATCTACAATCGGCAGAACATGCAGAGACCGAGAAAGTGCGATATGCCATGATGTTGTCTCTGTTTGCAGTAAGCGACCTGCATGCTGCAGAGTTTGAAGCTATGCACTCATTATGTAGGCCATGGATTCAGTACAACTTGATGAAGATCGCACCCCTTTCCGGCCTCATACTCAAGCCGCTCTATTGCACTATATGACTACTATCATGTATCCCGACAATTTCTGTGCTTCAGCTCATGATCTTGTCTCTCCATGTGCTGCTCTTAATGTTGCACAGACTATCTTGCTCAAGTGGGGACACGTTGTCCCATGGTGTTGGTTTCTGTGCGATGATCCTCGTATATTCAACTCAGAGGTCATTGACTACGTGGTGCGCCTCTCTTTTGACTCAGCCACTATCTCCATGTTGATGGTCTTCGTTGAGACTATCAATTGGCTCCATCATCTGGATAATTCCGATAAAGACACGGACAAATGTGCAGAATATGTTGAACCTTGGCACGAAGAGGTGGCTTCTGTGATCGCTACATATCCAAGGGCTGCAATCGTTTTCGTGAACGTACATTGGTTCCCTCGTCGATATGCCATGAGTACTTATCACATTTATCGTAGCGGATACTCCATCACACTGTCTCAGTGCTGTTGACGGTTCCACCCGGCCACCTCACGTTGTCTTCGCTTGATGCTCTGAGAAAGAGTTGTTGGGCAGCTGCGCAGCTGTTGCGTTCATCTCAGCTTGGAGACTTGGACGTATCGTCACTGTATGCCGCGATGTGCAGACTATTTATGCTGCTGCGTGACGGCGAAGAGGATCTCGCGGGTATGTTTGTTGAGATTCCTCCATACCAGTGTCTTGATTGGGATTGCAGTCAAAGACTGGATAATCGAGTGCTTAACGTTTGCATCCCGAGATAATCTGTCTTCAGTGATGAGCAGTATCTTGGATGACACCAAGCTCAGTTTGACTCTCAGGATGGAGGAGAGTGAGTGTACGTGTAACGACTATTACCCATAGGACTAACAGTCTTCTCGTCAGAGATCTCAGGTTTGGAGTGGTGAGCAAGCTTTTACGACAACCTTCGCTTCATAAATCATGGCTGTAGTCTGGCTCTTGATGAAGATAAGCGGTCAAGTCTCAGAAGCAACGAGACAGCTTCTTTCAGACAGTTGCTACACTTCATCACGATCCTGTGGCACGGCAACGTCAAGACAGCCTTCCGTCGAGAGATCACATTACCATTCATAAACGCACTAGTTAATTGGCTGGTTTCTCAATTTCCCGGTGCCGACTGCTCGGTGATGCTACGAGACAGTCTCCTCACTAGCTTGACGGTTGTGGAACCTCTTTTGTCCCAGGATGGCGTTGATAGACTCTGGGACACTGATGCCGTCTGGCAAATGGCCATAGAAAGCCCTCCTACAGACTTGCTCATGGCATGTAAGTGCATCGCTACCTCGAGCCTCCAGAAGTTCACGGACCTGCACAGCCTCGTTTGCTGCATATGTGGTGACTACAGCCCCCTCACGGAATCAAGACGTGTTGGCTTGCTCCGAAGCTTGGGACTATCTGCGCGACGTTCTCTTGCTCGTCTTATCTCACCAATTTTTAGGCGACGAGGAGCCTCTGGCATTACTTGTGTGTCCGATGGTTTGCCAAGCTTTGTCCTCCTTGATTTATTCCGCAATTAGCGCAACATGTGCGTGGTCCTTATTGTTCAGTGGTACTCCCATGATAATTTGTTAGCAGTGCAGTATATCCTGTCTTCTCCGTGGACCATGAACCTTTGCGCAGAGTTGCAACAACTCGCGAATGCGAGTAGCTCTGATGACAGCACGTATACGAGTGTCCTGCGAGACAGAACTTTGCCGTTTGCGGAGGCTTTGTTATTCCACGTAAGTATATCAATGCGCCCGATTGCCGCTGCGTGTAATTTAAACATTTATCTAGATTACTGATACTCTGCCATCTGGCATCTGCAGAACAGAGGTGAGTGATTATCTGAGCATTATCCGAGTCTCATGTGATGACTGACCACTGCATGAAATCAGACCATGGTCCGCAATTCAGATAAACAGAGTCGAACAGGATCATGCTTGATCGCGTGTAGAATAGATTCCGTACCTCGCCTTATCCTCGTGAGTTTCCTGGGTATTTTTTGTGTCAACTGTTAGAATCATCCTGCCCCACTTCACGATAAGGTAACAATACCATCCGTGTAAGATGTATGTATAATAATGATTTCCAGGTCAGTTCAGAACGCTCGGCCGTCCTACTGGTGTCTAACTCCAAGCGCATGTTCTCCGATAGGATTCGTTGTATCCCAGTTTCTCGGAGATCGCAAACATGGCTTTCAACACCATCTGCCAACGTGTCTGATCTCGATCATATCCTTCCGCCGGTCCCATGGTTTTCTTCACAAAAGAGTCGTTGTAAAAGAATGTAGAAGTTCCGACCCTAGACATGGCAATCCCTTTACCGAGCCCAGCACACATCCGATAGAAGATCGGTATCCAAGTTGGTGTTCGCTCGACAACACGTTTATTCTATCAATTGAAGAAGAGACGTCGCGTGACACCGACCCTACAGACTAATGAACTTGGCGAGCATAGATAGCACAATGGAGATAAGCTGCAGACATCGATATCCCGCTGCTTCAAGGACGCGTCATGACATTTGCTGAAGCCTCTCTGGGAACCTGTCTGGCCGATTGACATCTCTCAACCACTTACAGGGTGCCGGTGACAGATAGCCCTGGCCCGTTAGGCCTGTTATGGAGCTCCGAGATCAAACCCGGACATTTGTATGCGGAAATTAAGTGTCAGATTGCAGAATCATTCCATCGGCTTGCTCATCCCCAACATACGCTGATGGCACTTTTGTGGATCTGTTGATTTTGCTCAGGGGATATAAAAAAGACGAACCAGCATTCTCCCACCCTTGAGCACCATGTCCGAGTCTCCTCATCCGCATGTCGACCTTGAAGCGCAGAAGGACTTCTACGCTCGTGCGGTTACGATCGAAGACGTTTGCGATGGGAGTGGCAACGACGACTTCGTTATCACCAGTCAGTTTCGCCGCACGCTCTCTCGATCTGGCGTGGAAGCGGGTGCTCGGTTGCCCGCTGAGTTCCGCACGCTTAGTATACATGTTGAAACGAGGAGGAGCAGCGACGACGGCAAGGCAGGTGCTACACGTAGAGTCGCCGTGAGAGGTACGTTTCCCCTTTCCCACAAATATAGGTACTAATTAACTCCATGCAGAGCTCACATCTCTCGATTGGCATAAGATCTCAAGTGATGAAGCGTTGCAACGCTTAAGCGTCTCTCCCAAGACAGGGCTGGAGAGTGTGCAGGCTCAGCGCCGCCTCCAAACGAATGGGAAGAACGTCATCTCCCCGCCAAAGAGGAATACGATTCGCAAGTTGATCGAATGGGTTTTCGGCGGATTTGGTAGTCTCCTTCTCGCGGCTAGTATCCTCTGCTTTATCGCATGGTGATTTTGATATCTGCCTTCGAGTCTGACGTCCTGCTAATGTCTGATCGTGGATTACACAGGAAGCCCCTGGGCAATCCTAATCCTCAGGCATCGAATCTGGCACTGGCCGTCGTGCTTTTGATTGTGTTGTTTGTTCAAGCATTTTTCAATGCCTGGCAGGACTTTTCTACATCTAAAATCATGTCGTCCATCAAGGGCATGCTGCCGTCCGATGTCCTCGTTCTGCGTGATAGTACCCAAATGACGTTTGCCGCCGCCGATCTTGTTACAGGTGATCTTGTTTACCTCTCTATGGGTGAGAAGGTACCCGCCGATCTGAGGCTCATCGAAGTCAGCGGAGATCTACGCTTCGACAGAAGCATCCTCACTGGCGAGGTTGTTCGATTCCCCTTTGCCGTCGACGTTGCTCATTGTGGTTTTGCCTAGAGTGAACCCATCACAGGACGTGTGGACAAGACGGATGAGAACTTCCTGGAGGTAAGCAATTACGAATGATGCATGACATATGACGAGTCTGATTCCTCTCTTCTAAAGACCAAGAACATCGCCTTGCAAGGTACTCATTGTGTCAGCGGTTCTGGCCTTGGCCTCGTTATTCAGACCGGCGATAACACGGTTTTGTATGTTTCACTTCTGAAGTTGCCTTCTTGTTTCTGAGCGATACTCGTGCAGCGGTCGTATTGCCAAACTGTCGTCCATCGAACCCGCGAGACTTACGACTCTCCAACGCGAGATTCTCCGTGTCGTCTTAATCATAGCCAGTCTTGCTACTCTCGTGGCTATCATTATTGTCATCCTGTGGGCGGCCTGGTGAGTAGACAGCCTATAGGACGAATGATCGTTGTCCTCAATCTATAACCTAGGCTCCGTCGCGATTACCCCAACTACATCAATGTCTCTGGTCTGCTAATTGATATCGTCTCAGTGATGGGTGAGTCAGTCCTCTCCACGGGCGTATAGGCACAACTTATATCTGTTCGCGGATTAAGTGGCGTTTATTCCCGACGGGCTGTATGTTCGTTCTACTATTTCGAAGAAGATCGTCTGATGTGCCTCTATGTTAAGACCTGTTGCAGTAACTCTATCTCTGGCAAAAATCGCGGGCACCTTAGGCAGCCACAGGGTTTTGTGCAAGTACGTTGACTCGCTTATTCTCAGGAATATCTTTTCGACGGTTTCACCCGCAGGTCTTTATCCATCGTAGAGACTCTGGGTTCCGTCAATGTGCTTTGTTCTGTCAGTCTGTTACTTTAATTAAAGTAATGAGCTGCATGCTGACATTCTTATAAGGATAAAACCGGAACATTGACCCAGAACAAGATGCACGTTACACATGTCGCTGTTCTCGATGATTTATTCGACCCTGCTAGTTATGCTTCTGTCATCCGGGATTCACCTTCGGCAACTGCAGCCAACTTGGCGCAAATATCTGCTGTCGGGGCGATTTGTAATGCAGCCGCCTTTGGAGGAAGTACTTCTTCGCCTTTGGAAAAGGAGCGAGAGAGACCGGTTGTCGGAGACGCGACAGGTATTAATAACTCTTACACGGTCTTCTTGAATGCTAGACGTGCGACTAGATGTTGCCATTCTACGGTTTTCGGACGCCGTGGCAGCAGCGGATATCACTCGTGCCAGGTGGACGGAAGTCTTCAAGATCAACTTCAACTCAAAGGTACGGATGTCAAAAAGTCGTACTAAACAGTGTCTAATTTGTTGTTCACTAGACAAAGTTTATGCTTAAGCTTTCGAAATTGGCTCCGAGTGCTCCAAATAATGTTGCCCCAATCGCACCTTGGGATAGCTTCACCTCGGCCGACTATCTTCTCACCATCAAGGGCGCTCCGGAAATTCTGTTACCTCGTTGCAAATTCGTTCTCGACCCCACGGGTGGAGAGCCTATTGCGTTGTCGGAGCCAATTCTCGAACGCATCACCGCTGTTCAGGAGAAGTGGGCCAGAGATGGTCAGCGGGTTCTCTTACTTGCTCGCCGTGCCATCAAGGGGAATGCGATTCCGAAGCACCTCGACCCTAGTTCGGATCAATATGCAGATCTGATTGAGAGGTTCAACTGTAACTTGATAATTGTAGGCCTGGTCGGTCTCATCGATCCTCTCAAGCCTAGTATCGTTCACACCGTGAGGTCAGTCGAAATTATTCTCCGCTGTTCTCACTTCCTGACGACGTCTTCCAGTACGTGTCGTCGGGCTGGTATCCGGTTTTTCGTCGTCACGGGTATGTCTTATGCTCTTCCATGAGGTTGAAGAGCTCATTGCCTTTGGCATTGTAGGTGACCATCCCACCACCTCTGTGGCGATCGCGAAGGAGGCCGGTATCATCACCGACGCAAACGTGGTGCACCGTGTCTCAAACCTGGACGAGAGACTGGATCCACTCTCGATCGAGCCATACAACCCCGACTGCGAGGATCCAACAAGAAAGAGCATCGTCATCACAGGGCCGGAATTGGAGCGTCTGAATAAGACTCAAGTCGAACAGCTGTGCCAGTATCAGGAGATCGTGTTCGCTCGTACCACGCCGGAGCAGAAGCTGCGCATTGTGCACGAATTTAAAGACAGACACAATGTTGTGGCTATGACTGGCGATGGTGTCAATGATGCCCCGTCTTTGAAAGCGGCTGATTGTGAGTTCTCTGAGGCGAAGTCAGATGTTCCAATGGTGCTGATGATCAGACAGGTGGCATTGCTATGGGCGCTGGTTCCGACGTTGCGAAGGAAGCTGCCGACATGATTTTGCTGGATGACTTCTCTGCCATCGTCATTGCTCTGGAATATGGTGAGTTTGACAACGATCTCACCATTTTTTCCCTGCTTTGTCTTCGCTATGGGATATTTTCGATCTGACAAGTCGGATAGGTCACCTCGTGTTCGACAACTTGAAGAAGACAGTGCTATATCTGCTTCCTGCTGGGAGGTGAGATAGATGTCTGAATGCTGGTTTGTGCTTCCGCTGAACGATTCGGCAGTTTCTCCGAGCTTATGCCCATCCTCCTGAACATCCTCATCGGCGTGCCCCAGATGCTGAGCAATATTCAGTGAGTACGTCGACTAGGAACCGTTGAATAAGTCTAAATATTGAACAGGATGATCTTGATCTGTGTTGCCGTGCGTTTTTATTGCTGATGTCTCTGTTGTCTGTAATTTTGACTATGCGTATACAGACCGATGTCCTTTCTGCGTTGAGTCTCTGCATGGAGAAGCCTGAAATGGGTCTGTTGGAAAGGAAGCCTCGCAATGTCAAGACAGAGAGACTCACCAATTGGCGGTTGATGCTCCAGGCTTACGGTTTCCTTGGCATGCTAGAGTCACTTTGCGCCATGTCAATGTGAGTAATATGTCTTCCTTGTGACACCATCCGCTCACAATACCCGCCCGTAGGTCTTTTTGGTACCTGCAGACCCGTGGTGTCCCCTTCTCCAGCCTTGTTCTTGGCTTTGGAAATTGGCCACTGTTAAACAATGAGGAGTTGTTCAAGGCGCAAAGTGTCTATTTCTTCACTCTGGTGCTCATGCAATGGGGGTGAGTCTTATGCACCTTCTCGAACGATGCGACTTAACGGTGTTCTTCGGTAGCAATCTCTTCGCAACTAGGGGGCGAAGGCTCAGTATCTTCCAACACACGCCTGCGTCAAATTGGTACCTTTTCCCTGCCGCTGGGATGGCACTTTGCATCGGAATCTTCTTCAGTTATGTTCCGTTGTTGTAAGTTGACACACTTCAGCTACATGCGCATCTCATAATGACGCCTCGCTTCCTCTTCTTCCAGCCAACGAGTCTTCCAGACCCGCGGAATTCCTGTCCAATTCTTCTTTATACCTATCACGTTCGGCCTGGGTCTTCTGATGTAAGCGTTTCTCGTTCTGTTATGGTCTCAAACTTGGCGCTGACGAAGGGGTATCAAGACTTGATGAGATTCGCAAGTTGGTAGTCCGGACACATCCTAGGAGCCTTATTGCTAGACTTGCATGGTGAAGGCTGTGGTGTCTTACAGCAAATACTGCAAATACCTTGTGTGTTCCGTAGAAGTCGCATTACTTACTAGTAGATGTACAATTTTCTGTTGGATAAACGTGATCTTTCCTTGCGAAATATCACTGGACACCGAAAGCTTGTCGTGAGTTGCCTCACGAATGAAATCAGACAGGTGGTGAACAGATGAGATTAACTGAGTACACGCGTCGTACCGCGCGACGCGTTTTCCACGTGACCGCGAACGGTTGGATTTCGAACAACCATATCTGGGTTCCTCACTTGTCCTGCGCGTTGCGGAATTGCCCTTATTTTCTCATTCACGACTTCTAACGACTGTTCGACTACCCCGATGGGATTCTGTAGGAGATGTGGTGACATTGTGGCTGGTCCCCGCTGCAAATGCGGAGGAACATCTGTCGGTGAGCTGCTTGTACGCGCAGAGACGTACCCATGTCCTGATAATATTGATACTGTGCAGCCGCGGTCGTAAAGTGGAACCAAGACCACAACAAGCCGAGCCCAGACAGATGGTCTCGCACCTACGTTACCAAGGAGAAATCTATACCACCGTCCGATACACCAGCAAATGCAATTAGCGATAATTATCTGATTTCATCTACAGGAGCAAGCACGGACGCACCCGCAAAGCGCTTTCCACGTCCCAACCCCACATACAGCTTTTCTCCAGTGTCCCTCAGCTCTCATGTTTCAGCTCACATTGCATCTGCCACTACTTCGCGTCCGCCATCGCCGCTCAAGAATTCTGTTTACAGCGAAGACTCTTCCTCCATTTCTCCCGATGCCGCCGCAGGAATTTTACCCAACCCAAATGGCTCGGAGCTTGCAAAAGTTTACGGCTCCATTTTGCAACCCCAGGAATCATTAGCTACGTACACCTGCGCCTTGTGCTCTTCCCCCTTCCCACCTGATGCCACCATTTATCCTGATCCATCAACCATTTCATCCGAAATTCCCCTGAGCGCTGGCTCTCGAAACCGCTTCTTGTGCTGTCCTTGCTTCACGGAAAATGGTGGCTCCAAGGGTAATTGCCCAACATGCCATAGGCCCGTGCTTATTCTCAAGAGTGAAGGCGCATTCATAGAGAATGGGGGTGGGGTGTGGCACAAGAACTGCTTCAACTGCTCGGGTTGTTTCAAGAATATCGGAGATACTCCGATGGTAGATCTACTGGGAAGACCCAGCTGCACAGACTGCTTCGACAGCTGTTTGAAGAGACCCGCCGCAGATAGCCCTCAGAGATGGGGGAACGATAGTCCGAACAGTAACCTCGGAGGGACAAAGCGTAACAACAGGAGCCGGGAGGGCAGTCCCGCTTTGGAAGAGCTCGAGCAGAGGCTAGGGATTGTCAGAAGTCGAGAAAGCACTCCGACCGCTGAGAGAACCCTTGCTGGAGGAAAGAGCCCTAGGGACGTAGGCGGCTCACCGCCAAAGCACCATTCGACTTCGAATGCGGCCAGTCCAACTGTAGAACAACAATTCGCGCGTGTCAAGGGTGATACATCTCTTGTCATTGACTCTTCTCCATTTGCTGCGAGTCCGCGTGATGCTTTCTCTAAGGCTTTGCAGAGATTCAAGAGCCCAGAGCCAGATAGTCCAGACGAAGGCAGCCCCGTTCGCCCGAACGGTACATACAGGCTCAAGACACCAGACTTTGGCTCGCCGCTGTCTGATGGCAGTCCCCGCCGCTCTTACAACAGGTTCAAGAGTCCTGAACCAGATACACCCATCTCTAGCCCTGCCTCGGGAGCGACTGGTAGCCCACTATATGGTAGCTCTGCTTCCAAGCAGTCCACTGAGGAAGCTATAGACGAGATGAAGCGAAGGTTCCTGAGACAGATTTCTCCTTCCGCATCTTCTGGATATCGTAATACATCCTCTTCCGCGACGACGACTCCTACACGACAGCCGAGACTGTCAAATAGTTCTGCTTTTTCTGGTGACACCAGAACGAGCGCATCGAGGATACCTCGCGCATCCACTTCTCCTAGCCTGAAATGTAGTGGGTCTGCCCATTCGCTACGCTCGTCTATCCGCCAGGATGTGATGGGAGGTCCTGATTATACTCTTCGTCGTGACCGCACTGGCAATGCCGAAGTAGAGTCGCTATTGGGTACGTTCCCCCAAATCAGCGACCTCATTGACTTGGAGAGCCCGGAGGATTCGCCCAATGAACTAGAAGGTTCACTATCCACACCCCCGCTCTCTTTGTCTGTGTCACCCTCTTCCGCTCTCAGTCCCATTGGGCTTGGATTGAGGATGAGAACCAGCATGTTGGATTTAAAACCGGACTACCCGCTGTCCGTGCCAAATACTCCGGGTCTGGCTAGTGACATGTCTGATACGACGTCAGTATCGCAGTCGAGTCCGCCGTCAACGCCTCCTTCAATTAGCCCGCCCTCTAGACGTGCCAAGGAAGATGCAGGCACCGGGAAGGTGATCAGTCATGTTACAGGGAACAGCAAATCTGCTCCCCGCTTCCCTGATACTACTCCCACGCCGAAGTCCAAGACTGCTGCGCCTAGTAGTGCTGCGTTTTCTTCACCGACACTGCTCTCCGCCAACGCTCGCTGTGCGAAATGTGGTCTCGCATTGTTCAGCACCAAGCACGGGGGAAAGTTTGTTACCGTGCCAGAGCTACCTGGCGCACCGCCCAAGACCTACCATACTGCATGTTTCAGGTGTACGCTATGTGAGGGCATGTTCGAAGAAACTGAAGGCGGCCGCGCTGTCTTTGTGAGAGGGGATCAGGGTGTTTGTCATCTCGAGGTAACACATTATCTCTGCCCTGCAACATTATACCAACTGAAGTGCGGTGCACTAGTGCGCTCCTCCGGAGAAGATCAAGATGCGCCAGATCACTACCCAGATACCGAAGCGAACTATCTCTGCAACCGTACCTCTGCAGCCCGTGGAAACCCACCGATCTTCTTACAGTGCCACCACAGCTACGTCGAGCCGCTACGAAAGGCCTCCTCCCTCGGCACCGCCGTCAACTACTAGCTTTACGTCGCGTTTCGGTGGTTCCGCAGCGTGTCCCGGATGCAGCCAAGCAGTATCTCCCATGGAGCGGGGGGTTGTACCTGGCCCTCAAGGAACCAGATGGCATGCGACGTGTCTCCTATGCGGTGGGAAGGACGCCAAAGGGCGGCGGAAGGAGGCAGGCAAGCCTGGCTGCGGGAAGAAGCTGGACAGTGCCGCCAAAAATGATCGGGACGGAGGTGTGTGGTGTCGGGAGTGTCTGGTAGGCGTCTCTGTTCCAACACTCTAATCCCGGACTGACACCCTTGGCTGTAGCTCCTTCTTCCTGCAGCGATGCGCCAGTCGCCGGCGCCTGTCCGGTCGCCCGTTGTCGCCTCGCATACCGGGGGGCGTGGTCCATTCGGAGGTGTCGCACCACAGCTTACCGGGACGACGACCATCGCGCGCCAGTTCACCGGCCTGGGCGGCCCCTCCGATGCCACATTGCTCAGGCAGATGACCGGCGGTGGTCTGAGCCCCACACGGCAGCTCACCTCCAGCCCGACGAAGATGTACGACGGCCCTCGACCGGGCGCCGGGCGCTATCCGCGGCCCAAGTCCGTGACGGGAATGCGGAGCGATAGTGGGGGGCGCGGTATGTTCTTGGTGAGACAGCTGACCGGTGGGAATGGCGTGTAGGGTAAGGATTTCGGACTATGATTTATGGACTTCGTTGCGGGGAACGTACTAAGCTATGTATCATATATATCGCACTGTTCAACTAACGGTCCCTTCCTCTACTCGTGCCTAGGATCCACCGTGACCTATGTACCGCAGGACGAGATGTTGGGGACTGTGTGTACGTTTACACTAGCAGTCTGTTACATGCGCATTTGTGGACGTCTTGGGAACCACTTCTACCACTAATCCAACAGGTGAGGACAAGCGCGCTGCGACCAGATATATGAGAGTGCAGACTTGCAACTGAGCACCGCCATACTGACTTAGATGGTAGATCAAGACTATTTGCAAATGATCTACAGGGTCGAGCACATCTCTCTGGTGAGTCGAATAAACCTCAGTCACTTCACACCTAGGTCGCATATCTCAATATTAAATTTTAGATATACAGACTAGGCAAACTTCTCCTACGCCAGTGCATTACTGTGACAAGACTCGCGATGAGACCGGGAGTTGAAAAGGCCCTCTACAATTCCTCGAGGACCTGCGCACAGTGCTCTTTCGTCTCCTCCGAGACGTTGGGGTTAGAGATCGCCGCCTGAAGGAACCTTCGGTGAGCTACACTTGTACGTTAAGCATGATGCAGCATACCTTGTGGCCGATGGCAACGTTGGAGTCACGAGCCCGTCGCTGGCCTCCATCTCCTCGAGTCTGTGCGATGTACGCTCTTTCTCCTCCTCGGAGTTGTTGGGGTTAGAAATGGCAGCCTCTGTATTGGACCAGTGAGCAACCTCAGCGAACTCAGCGACCACGCGTTGGTGCTTATTGAGGCCACGCGCAACCTAGGTGAGCCTCGTGTGAGCTCAACAATGGCAATGTCTCGGACACGGGTTACCTACGTTTGCTGGGTTAGCGGATGCCATTAGTGATGTCAAGGTTGTTAACGAGTTGAGTAGGTGAGTTTCTTCGAAGACTGTAAGAACTTAGCTCTTAGATGCGAAACTCGCCCGGGTTTATATGTCTGCTGGGTTGCTCGAGTGGTGACTGGGTTGTTTTTTTTCTGCTTGGAGTGCGCCACGCAACCGCTGAGGTGACCCCAACTTTGAGCCGCAACGGACGTCAGAACGATGTCACTCGAGCCTAGTCCATGTGGTGCTTTGCACTTTCTGGTGCACCGTTTTTCTCGGATCGGCAATTCGTTACATTCCGCAGAGCCACTGCTTGACTCGCGTGGACGCTGTCAGAGATGCTATTTAATTTTCACCTATGACTTTCAGCAGATCTTAAGTTGTAGGCTCGCTGCTGACATCGGGCGGCCAGCTAGTTGTTTGTGGTCAGTATAGATGAAGTTCTGCACCCCTCGAGTGATATCCTGTATTCTGAGTGACTCGTTGACTTGCAGAAGTGCCCTCGGACTATTGTGGCAGATCGACAGACGTACTAGGTTCTCAGTGGTAGCAATATTGGCTGAATGACGTTCAGATCCTCTACAGCACTTACCTACTTCCATGCAGCAGTTGACGATATTGTTGCGATGACAAATTCCACTCAGGCAGTCCGGCTAAGCATATCAACTCTGAGATCATCCGTAGTGGGTGTACCAGAAGGGTAGGTGACCTGCCGGATATGGCATTCCCACTGAGGCTGGGTGCTGTGGTTACACATTGATTTTTTTCCGAACAGCTTTTAGCTTCTTCATATGCTTGTTTGACATCACATATGCATTATTTATGACAGGTTTCTTTCTGAGGACATGCGAATGTGTGCACGGATGGACGTCTGAGATGCTACGCAGACTTCGTTATTTTGATAATATTTTGAGCCACGACTTGTATCTGAGGCTGGATGCTGTGGTTACACATTGATTTTTTTCCGAACAGCTTTTAGCTTCTTCATATGCTTGTTTGACATCACATATGCATTATTTATGACAGGTTTCTTTCTGCGGACATGCGAATGTGTGCACGGATGGACGTCTGAGATGCTACGCAGACTTCGTTATTTTGATAATATTTTTGAGCCACGACTTGTATCTCCTGTGGCGAGGGCGACACCCGAGACGCACACATCAAGCAGATCGAGGTAGGGCCACACTGAGGTACGTCTCCCGTTACGCGTTACAAACAACAAATAGTCCGTTGATTGTCATGAAGGCGCCCCATCCAATAACGGTGAGAAGGCGAAGCAGCACTGTAGTGATCTTCTCGGAGACATGTAATTCACTTTCCGTAAGTCGACAGCAGCACATCAATTTCTGTTTGAGTGTCGTACTCTCCGTCGATAGAAACCAGTCCAGATACAGCGTTGGAACGATTGGCATTGGTTAGAGAGCATTAAATCCCTAACGGTGTCTTGTGACACCGAAGCCCTGCACAAATGTAGTGCATCAACAAAGCGCATAGCAAGTGAAGTTACAAACGACAGGACAGGACATGTAGCGACTTGCGCGATGATTACGCAAAAACTAGTAGATGAGTAATTACATTGTTATCAAATACCACTGTGGAAATAAATATTGCGGGTCTAAGGTTGCATTGTGAATCATGATGGAACAAATACGCGCCACCGGACGTTAGCGGTTTTCTATAAATTGGGACTGTGAGGTGAAAAGTGGGGGGAGAGCATCGCACAGATGACGCTCAAGGGCGCATACACCGACGCTGCGTCGCGCTTAGTTGCAGGTGGGCACGTCCTTCGGGTTACCAAAGCTTGCCGTCGGGATAGCCATAGGGCATTCGTCACTTCATCTTGCGCAGCTGCTGGATAACGTCCCGCATGTCCATCTCCTTCACGACGTTCTGCCCCGGGCGCCCGATCCGGAACGGACCCTTCGGCACCTCTGCGGCAACCTCGACGGTCGTCGAGAGCTTGCGCGCGTGGGCCACCTCGGGATGGGTGCGTTCGGGTATGTGATATGGCGGGAGCATTGCGGTCGCCAAGTCGATCTCCGCTGGATATGCGGGAGTTTGTGGCCTCCTCGCGTGGGAGCCCTCGCCCATGCCGTATGAGGGCATCGCTGGGAGGGCTTCCGCGAGATCCTTGGGCGCGACGCCGAAGAAACGCGAGAGCTTCGCGGCGCGCAGCCGGCGGGTGCGGAAGTCGGGGGAAGGTTCATGGGAGGGGCTGGGAGGCCGTTCCTCGGGTGTTGGAACTGGCAGCTGTGGAGGGGCCCAGACGAACAGGTTGGAGAAGGGTGGTGGAGTTGCTGGTGATTGAGGCTGAAACTGGCGTGCTGGAGCGGTGAGAGGAGTGTGAGAGTTGACAGATTGTGCGGGAGGGTCGGAGGAGATGGTGGAGAGAGAGAGCGATTGGACGCTGGCTCCCGGGTCCGTTGACGGTGGGAGAGACTGCGAAGGAGACTCTCGTTCCGCTGTGGTTGGTCCTGGCGGCAGCACAATAGCATCATGCAGAGTTAGCGCATCTGGCCTATGACTAGGAACAGGTGACATAGGCTCTGAAGCTGTGGACATCGAGTCGCGCACATGCGCCTGCGCCACGGACATGGTGTCGCTCACGAAGGTGGTACGCGAATCGCGACTCCTCGACGTCATGCTGATAACCACGGAGGCAATGTCATCTGCAGACGCCGTCGCCTGCGTATTTGTGATTTGGTAAAGTGTCGCAGGAGGAGTGTCGCCAAATAGCTGCACGGACATTATCAACGCATTCTGATACAAGACGGAGGAAACAACACCCACCTGCACCATCTTCCGTGTCCTTTTGACAGCCATCGCCCGTTGCTTGTCACTCATTGGCTCACCAAGCCCCAACTCATCCGAATTCCTGGCATCGCCGGCCTGCGCATCTAGTTCACTTTCCTCTTGCACCACGTTGGCAGCAAGCCAAGCAGAACGCGTCTTCTTCAACGTCGCGCGCCCTGGCCTGGACGACTCCGAGTTATTGCCAGGTGATCCCGGACTCCTGAGCGGTGCGGGCACGACCATATCGGCAAACGCGCGCAAATCGAGACTGAGTCGTCGCTTGGCATCTGTCCGGCCGCTGCCCTTACCGCGACGTAATGACGTGGTGCGGCATGGAAGCGCGTTGCTGTCTAAGATCGGACTGACCGTCGGCAGAGCTGAAACTGGCGGAGTTGGTGTCGCGGAGGAGGGGGACGGGGGACGTGGCGCTGGAGACGCGGCGCGGAGCAGGACGTCTGGGGGCACAGAATCGCCGAGGTGCCGCGTAAGCTTCGCCGCGCGAGTCGGTTGTAGTTGCTCAGAGCCAGGCACGAGAACGGACGATGCTGTCGAATTGCGCCTGCTCTTGCACGGCCGAGGCGAACTGTCACGTACGTGTGCGGCAGTGGGAATATCAACGATTGGTGTTTCAATCTCGATGTCAAGGACCACAGAAGGCGCAAGCGATTCGGAGTACAATGGACTGCTAGACTCGGAATGTGAACCGTCAGGCAAAGAGAACACAATTGGGGACAGAGGGGAATGCTTGGGATGCGAAACGGCGGTGGGAATTGCGAGAGAAGGTCGCATCGATGCCATTGAACGAATACGCTGCACAGAAGTGGCACGCACTGTTAGGGTGCCGGGTGTGTCGAGTGTTGGTAGATGGCCAAGCGTCGCGCTACGTTTCAGACTCTGCCGTGAGGGAAAGCCTAACTTCGTCGGCGAAGGCAGCGGCGAATTGGACTTTGACGAGACTGGGTCCTCCGATATGGTTTCGATATGGGTGTCGCTTTCCGAGAAGGACTCGTCGATGCCGACCGCGACGGGTACCTCCCCGAGCACACGACTGAGCTTTCTGACCTTCCGCATAAACTTCATCTTGTCAGATGGCGCAAACGCGTTAGTAGTTGGGGGTACAGCGGGCTCGGAGGGTGCAACGCAAGTAGGAATAGCAAGGAGTGGCGTATGAGATGAGTAAGAAGATACTGAACCAGACGGCGGACGAGTACGGGTTGGCGGAGACGAGATTAGACTGGCCTCATTATCTTTTGATAAACGACCTTTCTTGTCATGACAAGGGCCTGCCTGCTTGGAGGACGAAGAGAGACTGAGAGAAAGAGAAAAGTTCCTGCGAGTCCGCTTGGGATGAACCATTCCCGCTGTGGCGGGCTGATGCGTCGCTTGAGGGAAATATTGACCGATTGATGGGGAAAGGTTTCAGCGTGGCTGCAAGATCCACAAAGTGGGATATATCGCAGATATATCCCTTCCTGAGCTGCGAGGAAAATCCAGCACTGAGAGAGAAAAAGGCCCAAGAAAAGACGGCACAAGTGAGGAGCGCCGATCTCGCAGCCGCAAACTGATAGCCTCGTGTCTTGAAAGTTTCCTAGCAACCAAACATCTTACTTGCCTTTTCTGGCCCGTGCACTCCCGTTGGCGCTTCTGTGCCTGCCCGCCTTGGCTGCAGACACGCGCCTGACGTTCACGATGTTCCACCTCCTCCGAATCTTTGACCTTGCCATCTACGGGATACATACACCATAACTCATAGGTACTAGTGAATGTATAATGCGACTAATCTATCTGTAATGCGATCATGCAAAGAGAGCAACAAACGACGAATATGTAAATGCTATACACTGCATGAAAACTTGTGAGAGTGCCCAGCATGACAGTACTCAAAGATCCAGCATCGCAACAGTGTCCACCGTCGACTCTGTCCGATCGAACGGATTCCGGGGTTTCTGCACTGGTGACGACGGCGTAGTATCCGTCCCCTCCGAGATCTCACTGCCACTGTAGCCCTGTTTTCCGAACAGCACGGAAATCCGCAAGTCGGGCGGCAGTCTCACCAGAGACACACGTTTGGCTGCCCGCGTCTTGTTCCAATCCTCTGCCTGCTCCTCCGAGATCTCCGGTGCTGTGTAGAACTTTTCGTGTGTGGTCTCCGAATCGCGTCCCGCGCTTTCCGTCGAACCCTGCGGGGCGAGCGGAGACGCATGTGGGCGTTCCGAAACGTCAGGAAACGGATATGAGCCGTTCGACAGCCTCGGGCTCGTGCCGTCGATAGGTGAAGCTTTCGGGGAATCGAACAAGGTCGACGCGCGCGGACGCGCAGAGTCAATCGTCTTGGCAGACCCAGAGGCCTCGCCGGACCATTCCCTGTTGGACAATGCAGAGTGGAAGGACTCCTCAAAGGACGAATCTAGCCCCGACGAAGTCTTCGACGCGGATATCGTGCTAGGAATACTCATGGGGGAGGACACGAGCGGTGAATCTGTGTCGTTGAGGTACACAGAAAACGTCATTCGGGGCAACACCGGCGCACGCTGGCTTTCCAGCTTCTGCGTAGCGGCCCGCATCGCAATCTTTCGCGTCCACTGCCAGTTGCGCTCGTCCGCCCTCAGATCGTCCGACAGGACATCCCGATAGCACATCAACTTTTCAAGGTTCAGTCGCACTTGCATGATCCGCTTTGCTGCTCCTTGAACAGCGAGCTGCACCCGATCGCGCGTCGCGCGCTGGAACGGCGTAAGCACCCCCAAGTTGCGCACAAAACGCATGTCAGTGTCGAGCTGCGTCTGTGCGTGGGAAATGCTAGTTTCAAGCTCCTTCAGCTTGGATCGAATAATCTCCGACCGCTTTGAGCCCCGAGAGCCCTCGCCGTTCTCCGAAAGCGGTGACATCGGCGGCGAGTTTAGAGTCGACTCCAAGCTGTAGGCTCGCGGCCGACCTGGTGGAGTCACGCTCAAACCATCAAGCGAACGCCAGCGATTCGTCGCAAGCTCCGTCTTCACCTGGTCGAACGTCGCCTTGAACAGCCGGGACGTGTTCTCTATCGGAGTTGTGACCGGTTCCGATTCCGTTGTCTGCGCCGACGTTGGGGACGTGGAAAGCCATCCTCCTGCAGACGCGAAGTCTCGAGGAGAATTACTGGCATCTTCCGGCGTGTTCGCGCACCACGTTCGGATCCGCGGAGACTGATGTGGGCTCGCACGATGCTGAAGATCCCGCATGTGCGAGGCCGCAGCAGCGATGCCCGTCAGTTCAATATCCCTGCTAGACATTCCGAGCGCCCGCATGCGGACACCGGCTGTCCTGAACGCGCTCGCGTAGTTGATGCGGGAAATCCACTCGTTCATCTCCTTCTCGTCTGGCGCCTGCATGAGGAAGTGTCGGCCGTCTGAAATAACGAGCCGGAACGTGTAACGGTGCTGCAGCGAGCGTTAGCACACGCGCGTTGAAGAGACAGAGTACGTGCCTGGGTGTAGGACCTGTCATAGACAGCAACAGCGTCCTTGACCGTCAAAAACTCGTCCGGGTGAGGCGCAGCTGCCTGAGGAAACACCGCACGACCAACGGACGGGTCTATCTGTGCCCGCAGGGACGCGACGAATGACACGTCGCGAAAGAAAAGCAGCTGGGACCCAGTCAGCAGGACGCTCCACTCGCGCCATTTGCGGTTCATGGCGCGCCGGCCGCCGTCTATCGTATCCTCCTTGCGGAGCAGCAGAGCGACCTTTGTCACCTTCAGCGACCACGTTTCACCCTGAGGTGGTAACGCAGTTATCGGTAGCGAACTTTGGAAGATCGGACCTGGTCCGCCGGGCGTGCTCAAGCCGAACCATGGCGACGAAAGATAGCGGTTCTCCATAACGCTCACCTCAACCACGCTAGCCATGACGAACACTCGGAGGAGCTCTTCTTCATCCCAGGGTCCTCCAGTGCCTTGATAGCCGTAGGGACTCTCGACTGGTACAAGCGAGTGCACGTTGATACGCAAGTCATCGAGGAGGTTCTGGTTGAGAGATGATCAACAGGAAGAAATTAAGACACAGCAGTATAAACTGACGCGCGCTATAAGGTAATATGGATCGATCTTCGAGTTCTTGCCTAGAAGAACAGTAGAGCTAGAACTGTTGTGACCTCCGGGTGATGAGGTGTTGAGGGTAGATGTTCGTCGCGCCGCTTCCGGGATCAAACCGCGTTGACCGTTTACATCAAGAGGATCCTCAATGAATATGAACGGCGCAAACACGATATTGTCGTAGAAACACTGCGAATCATGTATAAGCTACGTCGTCAATAACAACCAGGGCCACCAGCACTTACGTCCAGCACTTCCTGAGCGACACCAGGAAGGCGGGTGTTCTTCACGTAATCCTGCTTCGTCATCTTACGCTTATTCGACTTGTTGAACGCGTCAGTGTGAAGCATGATCAGACTGAACGCCAGTATGTACGGGTGGTCTGTTCCAACACGTTAGACACCCGTGCCGGCTATAGTACGCCACTATTGCATACCATCCGATGTGAACAGGTTCGGATTGCAGCGCACATATCTTGCAGCAAACGCTTCAATGACTCGGTCGATCTGCTGTGTTTCACGCGGTAGCCCAACGTCCATCAGCAGCTTGCGCAGAGCGACGTCCAAGGGATCACCAGCGAACTCAAACTGATCAATATAGGCGCGCAGCGCACTGGCATGGAATGCGTCTGGACTAGACAGACCAGTTCAGTTTAACGTCATCAGTATACGAGTAGACACGTACTTCGAAGCTAATACAATCGCAACCTCAGCTTTGCCGACTGCTTCCATGAGACGATGGAGATATATTTCAGGAGACTCCTCTTCAGAGCGAGGTCGAGGAATCTCAATTGAAGGTTTTGAGAAGGACTTCCTTGAGGAACCCGGGCTGGATGTGGGAGATGCAGTTGCGAGGTCACTGAACATGTTGGGGCCAAGTGCTGGAGCACTTGAAGATGTGGAAGGAGAAGGAGTGGAAGAGCCAAAAAGGCTGACGGACAGGCGATGCAGCAAAGGAGGGTTTGTCGACGAGCGAGGTCGCGCAAGCGCAGCTCGCGTGCGTACAGGAGCCGGCTCCTCAATTCGGGAGAGAGGAACCGGTACGGGAGGGGGTGAAGATGTGACGACTTGCGGAATATCTCCAAAGATCGTCGAACGGCGAGGCCTCGCGGACGAATCCGCCGTTTGAGGACGCCTAGGACGACGAAATGCGGATTTAGAACTTCCTGGACTCGAGGGCAAATTCGAGGGAACAGATGGGGGGTCATCACTGGCTTCGCCCTTGAGTGAAGACGAGCCTGTCCGTTCTGAATGTCGTCGATGTAGTGGCGGCGGCTGCGGGGAAGGTGGTATCGACGTATCGACATAAAATGGTGACACGGGCTGCAACATCGGCAGAGAGGGACCTGAAGACTGATCGTAAACTGCGGGCACGATCGCCGGCGGTGCAAGGTGGGTGTCGTTACGTCGACGCGACCAGAACGAGCTCTTGCGTGACAATGGCTTTGCAGGCCGCACCGTCTGCCCAGGCGCCTCATCCTCGGACTCTCGCTGCTTCTCTTTCCCCTTCTCGTTGGATACCAAGTGTAATGGCCCGACCGAGAGACCTCGCGAGCGCATACGTTCCCCTACAATGGCCGTCGATGCCTCCGAAGACGATTCAGAGTCTACCTGGAAGCTCTTGGCACGTCTTATCGTAGATTGCAATGCTCTGGACTGTAAAGGCTGGGAAATTGGAGGTGGTGGTACGAACGTGATCATGTTCTCCTCCGAAGACGATGAGGACGCGGAGATGCCGTTGGGCATAACGTGCGGCAGGCCGAGCCCCAACGCGGCGCGAGCGAGTGCGATAGAAGACGATTCCCCGGGCGACGGCGACCCTCGCCTGATGAGAGACGGTCCAGAGAGGTCACTGCCCCTCCTCACCTGCAACGTTCCGTCGATGCCAGTATCCACTTGAGCGGTCTCGTGCATCGCAGTCCGCGTATCCTCCGCAGGAGTGGGAGGCAACTCCTTGTCCCTGAGTAGAACACTGTGCTGTGCTGGCGAATGGAGGACGCCCAATTCATCGGACGAGACTCCGGCCATGGGTTGCGAACCGACCGCAGGTGGATTGGCCGGAAAGCAGCGTCGTCTCCAAAGAGGCAGGGAGAAGAAATGAGTGGTTGTGTGCGTGGTGGTTGTGACAACATGAGTCGTCGTCGTCGTCGCGAAGACGGGATCGTGGTGGCCGTTTGACTCGTAAGGCGGGGGCGGGGGTGGGGTCGACTCAATGCGAGTACGTGGAGAGCCCTTATTGCGCGCGAAGATCCCGACCATACCGCGCCGGCGGTATGTCAGAGAGGCGCAGAGGATGTGTTCGAGCAAGAGCAGCCAGGACAGAAAGAGCCTCGTCGTCGTCTGCCAGTGGCGGTCGTCGCTGGAAAAGGCAATTGACGTTGGTACTAGTAGCTCATCCTCACGACAAGTATTTTCTCTAGTACTACGCTGGCACTATATTAGTACAAATACGTACTGACCGTCACTCGTAGCAAAGCTCAATCGTCTCCTAGACCCGACGAGGAGAAGTTCTGTGCTAATAAAATTTGGCCCGGAACGCACGCCACTGTCGCCAGCGGCCAAGGTTACGTAATCGCATTTGTGGTAGTGCTCGCGCGACTGACACAGTATGTTTCCATTTGCACCTATTGTTTCTAAGCCACGAAGCCACGTTCGGACAGGAACTTTCATTGTTCCAACGATTGTTATTCAGCCTGTAGGGACCCACTGGACAAAGATGCTGTGACGGCGTTGTGGAGCAGATTCCGTACGGCCAGGCCTTTGTTCAGCACCTCCTGGTCGATTGGAGTTAAATACAGCCGTGGCATGCTTCTTTCTCTGTACAACCTTTCCATCTTTTCACCTGGGGCAGAGCGTCGGTCTGCCTCCGTAGGTGAGTCCGCCGGCAGACCTTCTGCGTCTGTTTGTACTGATCCGAGACCGTGGGCGTCTTACCTGCGCTCTCTTTTCACTGCGACCAGGTATGTCTCATGACGTCATGATTGCTGCAGGATCTCATCTGTCTGATCTACAGCGATGACTTCCAGCTTACAAGTCACTCAGGTCTGGCGTGGTACTGATTCCGAAGGAAATATCCTACCCCTTCATTGGGCTCTCGTCGTTCCCACCTCAGGTCCAGACAGCGATCCTGTTGGCAATCTCTACAATGCTGCCGGGAACATTGATACGTTTCACTATGAGGAGCTGACGAACGTTTCGTTGAAGAATATCAACTGGCGCGGATCTCTCGTCGTCTGCAACTTTCCAACAGACGCGCTGCATGTTGTGGAATCGATTCTGCGCCGGACCCCCGTCGTACGCCATGATTATGGTTGGAATTGCCAGAATTGGGTTTGGGCCTGTCTGCGACAGCTCAGGCGTTCCGGTTTTGACGTTAGGCCCAAGATCACTTGGGAGGGCCTTCGTGCCGAGATGTTCAAACTATTGGAAGCTTGGGAGGCTGGTGATATCTAACGTGTCAGGTCGCTGTGAGTATCTGCTACACATCATCGTGTACAGCAGAGTTTGAGTTTTTGTTTGCAGAATTTGTTCGTCGAGATGCTGTCAAGCGATGTTGACTAGGCGTCGCTGTGCTATGTCCTTGTACCATATGTTTGTATGCTCTCAGGTTATCTCACATTGCTATGAATCGCTTTTGAATGGTAAAACTCGTATCACTCGTTCGGAAAGCACATGCGAATGGCACCATACTGCGGTTTGCGAGACCCAGGATGAACATGACATGAGATCAAGTACTAATGTATCCTGTTCCGTTTCTTCCTCTCCTTCTCAATAGTTTGCTTCTTCTGCTCCAGAGTTTGTCGCTAAATTACGGACGTCAGTCGAGGGGGCCACTAACATAAGAGGGTAACTTTACCTCAGCCGCACGCTTCTTCTCTCCGTGTTTCATCCGCTCGTACAGCTTCCTCTGCTTGTTGCTCATCATCATCTTGTTCATGTCCTCTTCGCCTTCCGCAGCCTCCTTCACCTGCTTCGTTTTCTTCTGTGCCTTCTTCGCTTCTTTCTCGAAAGTCCCGTAGTCAACACCTGCGGCCTCCGCCTCCAGCTCCGCCGCCCTCAACGCAACCTCATCTTCTGCCACCGCCGCAGCCTTGAGAGCAACCTTTTCTGGTCGATCTTCATTAACTTTAGATTCGCCTTCATCGGCGTCCCCAGCTTCTTCAGCCTCCTCGGCATCTTCCATGTCCACATCTTCCCTGAGCCCAACCGTAGGATCATATGCTCCCGCATGCTCGCCAAACGGACTGAGATGGGGAGGGAGCGTTTTCCCCTGCAAGTACGGCTCTTCCAGCAGGATCTTACCCGCATTGATGCAATCCGCGACCCACTGTGGCTGCACATACTTGCGCGACCGTCTTCGCTCCTTTTCAGCTTCTGTCTCGTCGGGCCTCTCTACTACGGGACGATCAATGATGACGTGAGTGATGGACTCGTCCGTCTCGTCGAACGGCGAGCCGCTCCCAGAGGACGCGGGCCACCCTATCCGGCCACCGAACGATCGCACGATGAACTCGAAGATAGGGCGCGAAGTTTCGCGCGACAGCCAAAACGTGCATGGGGCAAATAGTCTAGATGAAGTGGATTGTGGTAGGGCGGAGAGCGTCTTGAGGGTAGGTAGTGAGGTCGTCTCGTCGGTATGTGACGTTGACGGTTGCGGAATAAACTCCTCTTCGTCCTCCTCGGGCACCGCAGAGTCCGTAGCCTCCATGTCAACATCGCCATCGCCATCTACGGCAGATGCAGTTCCAATGGTCTTGATGGTATGCCTGACATCCTTGCTCGAGACGCGTTTGCCGTTCACTTCGACCTCCTTGGCCTTGGGGGCTGCTAATGGTTGCACAGGTTTCGATTCCTGTAATTTGAATGCACCGACACCGGCACCGCTCTCGTCTTTTTCCACGTCTTGAGGAGGTGGATAGACGAGGCCGGCGTCTGTGTACAGCTTGAAGAAAACGAATCCTAGGAGAGTTTGGTATAACTCCAAGAACGTGAGCATGACGCGGACATCGACGTCTGTGGGAATCTGCAAGGACATCGTCAGTGCGAATCAAATGCTGTTACAACGACAAGATACATTTTGGGTAAACTGGTATGGCACAAGCCATGTTACTGTCTGGTCCAGAACCTCGGCTTGGTAGTATACGCCCTTTATTGATAGGAAAATCTTGCGTAGAGCGTGGGTGTGCATAACATATAGCTGCCATTCCGAGGCGAGACGAGAACAGTTCTCAATCAAGGAGGGTGAGACGCGCTCGTTCGAAGGAAGGGATGCAAATAGGAAAATCATGCAGAGGGCATCATCGATGTCCCGGACAGCGTCGATGAAAGTCGGATATCTGGAATAAATCTTCATTATATGATAACACCAGCGAATGTCCATGGAGACCTACCTCTCCTTAATGATATGGTCCAGACGATACACCGGCTTGTTCTCCTCTAGACTTTTGGCACTGCTCCATTCTCCTCTTCCCAATGCACGGGAAAGTTTTTTAGCAAACGCCTTATGCTCTCTCAGCTTTTTCAGCACGGGCTCGTGCGCAATATACGCAATGTCCTTGGTGTAGTAGAAAGAAGTAGGTGCCGACGAGCCCTTGTTTGCGCGCTTTCTACTCCGAGGTTCGCGAGGGAAGATACCTATTGGTTTTCAGTTTCCTTGACGAATGTCCCGGGTAGAATTGAACATACCCTTCAGGATACATAGTCGTCGGAAGTCAGCCAAGGAACATTGCAGTTTCTTCACTGCCGTCGAGCGGGTTATATATGCTTTGGCAGCACCCGCCTTTCCCTTCTGTTTCAAGCGGCCCATGGTATGGAGATGGTGCAGACAAGTTTCGAGTGTGGACGCAGCTTGCAGTCACCGATTGGCAGACTTTTTCGAAAGAGTGTACTGCACGGGCGCTAAACACCTTGTACTCTACACCCGTGTTCTGCAGACCTCACTCAACACAACGCAAAATGAGGCGAGATTTGCTGCTCTGGTCTATGCTTCTGCCGCTCATCTGTGTTGATAATTCTACAGCCAATATGTTCACGTACCCAAATCCGAGCTGGACGAGGCTCAGTTGCGTGCCCTCGAGGAACATGAGATTAGCCAGGGTCCACTCTCAGTGCTGCAACAAGCAGTGAGAAATCATACGCAAGTCCTCATTTCTCTACGAAACAACAAGAAACTGCTTGCTCGTGTGAAGGCATTTGACCGACACAGTAACATGGTACGTGAATGTCCATTAGTACTACATCGCGTGCACTGAAATGGTGCGCGACAGGTTCTCGAGAATGTCAAGGAGGCGAGTCGTCTCGCAGATCCATCGTTGGCAAATGTTGACGCTCGCTTTAGATGTGGACCGAGGTTCCCAAGGGCAAGAACAAAAAGCCGGTGAACAAGGATCGGTTCATCAGCAAAATGTTCTTGAGGTCAGTCATCTCATCTACCTGTCGGGGCTACTTTCACCGACACTGTTGAACCTCCAGGGGTGACTCAGTTATCCTGAGTGAGTTTATCGTCAAATCTTTCGAATAATATCACCCATGATGAACCCCCAGTTCTTCGCAACACTGCGTAAGCGTTTTCTGTGGCAGCAAACGGTTTGGTGCTCCTTGTGATTGCGCTACGGATGCGGGGCCTAGTGCCCTCGCGGTCCTTGCGCAGCATCCCCTGTGGAACTGGTGAAGAACTGTATTGTGAGTATGTATAAAGGTATTGTACATCGGTCAGTCGCAAGACCAGAGATATGTAGTACATTGCCACCAAGATCTGCGTTCAATTCGCTGTGTTGTGGCAGATGACAGTTAGATACAGGCCTGCGCTGATCATTCGCTCGTAAAAATTTCATCCAATGGAAGTGGTATCCCAACAGCGTGGTCCAGCATCAAGGTCTTCAGACACGTAGTATCAATATACGACATGGCCCATACGTGCGAAGTGGTGCTCACCTCAACAAATTCTTATCGGCGTCCTCGATGTTCCTTATTGCATCGAAAATCTCACCAAGAGCAATCCACGCGAAGCTGCGGGCACCGAAATAATTTGTTTCGATGAGAGCCACCTTGTACGCAATCCACGCTCTCTCCAACGACTCATCCGGTGTCATGTCTTCGTCTCCAGATATTTCCGCACGCATTCCATTGATAAGAACGCTGGTCTGCTCACGCATCTGTGACATCAAATCCTTGCGCTTGCGGGGCTGAGAACACTTCGCCACGATCGTTCCAATAACGGCCTCTTCTTCCGTGAGCATCGCTGAGCGAGTGTGAGAGAGTGTATTGTCGGTGCAAATCGCGCGCAGCTGCGAAACATATGAATGGAATAGCTCCCAGAGTCCGATTATCACATCGTCATTAAATGTGATGTCTTGCAGTGGGAGGAACTGTCCGACACGATCCTCGACGGCCAACCGAACATAGTCGTCAAGATGTGGTTCTTCAGAGTAGAATTCATCCAAGACGTAACGAGATGACTCCTCGTGGCTGTCCTCCAGATGTCGACGTTGAACACTGGACGCTCTTGCAACTGTTCTTAAGGCGGGGAGTTCAATGGCTCTGTATAGCTTGCCAATGGCGCGTCTGCTTTCGTAGAAGTCGGGAGTTTCCCTCGTGAGTGTCTCGGGTGCGTTCCAGTCAGGTTTTGCCTTGAACTTGAGCCTCGGGATATGCTCCAAAGGGACAGGCATGCCGCTCTTCGGATAGTCTACGGCATCGCTATGCAACTGCGCAAGTCGGAGACAGTCGAGGTCTAGGATCCCCTTTGGACTCTGGTCTGCAATTATAAGCCAGTTGATGGCGATGATCCCTAAGGTCTGACGGACGCGTTAGGTCAGACAATGACAGACGCCCGGCTAGAATGAAAACTAACGTCACTGTTGATATACTCCGCAACAAATTCCGCCACATCGTGCATTGTGCTTTCATGGTCGTTCAGTTTTTTCTTGGCTGGATCATAATCGGCAGCGTGATATGTTTTCTGCGGCAACAGTGATCGCATTGTGGTAACATTGTAGACGTCCCCATCAAGATCACCTCCACCCAGGCAGGACGGCAAAGGCCGTGCACCTAGTACGGAGACTTAGGGGCCTAGAAAAAGACCACATCTATAGCAACGGGCTCACCTTTGATGGAAAAAACAACGCTGTTTCGCAAAGACTCCTTCTCGAAGGGAGATCCTGGAGGCGGTCTACCGATGGCACGGACAAGCTGAACGTCACCTGGATGAATTGTCGGTGATCGTGAAATCAATGTGGGACCTTCTAGATAGATAAGTCCAGAGTGATCTTGAGAGTCAATGCAAGCGAATATCTCTCCCTCCTTCAAGAATCCATGGACATCAGCGACGCCAACCAACGTCCACCCATCGGGAACAGGGATTCTGGCGTGATGTTTGAGCTCTCGCAGGACATGATTGACAGCAAAGTCCATCATTTGCTGCCAAAACACGTCCTCAGAGAGAGGTCCAACACCAAGTCTGTGCAGGCTGAGCATTGTAGAGGTGAGTCGGTACGAGGTCCCAAGACCATGCGCTTCCAGCAATCGCCCTGCGCGCTCCAACGAAAGTACGGAGCCTTCTGCATCACGCACGGCGTTATCCTGCAAGATTTTGAACACTTCGCAGGGTACTCCAAGGCCCTCCAGAATCATGATGAGTGGCCGGTTCAGGTAGTACCTCCCGGGCTTGTCAAATGCCCTTGCAATCTCGATGTCCAGAGATTGAGGGGCGTCGAACTTGATCATCGAATCCCTTAGGCAGACAACTCGGCCAGACAGTTTGTAATCGACGCTCAGCATTCCTTTCGATCCCATGAAGCGTATTTGAAAGGTGCGCGGATATGCTTTGTGGCGCCTACCTCGAGGGCGCTTAGCGCACAATTTGCCCCATATCGTACGAGCTAGCTCTGCAGAGATGGTACCAACACCATCGGTAAATGTCCACCGGCCGTCTGGATCCTGCACATCGTTGAGCACAAATACTTCATCTGCTTCAACCGATACAGAAGCATCCGTGGCGGTAAATGCTTGTGATATCCGGGCACCATAACGAGCAGGACAGTATATGAGTAGACGGTCGTAGGGTAAGTGGCGAAACGATCCTAGACTCCGGATAATGGTTGGCGCGTCGATGCGCCCACGCTTGGGATCCGTGAAGGGCTTCACAAACCAAACCGCATGCTCTTTTAGAGCGGATTGTGAATAAGCAAGAAAGCGGAAGGGGCGGCCTGCGATCGTGACGCCGTTTAATAACAAGTTCTTGATTGTGCGATCAACAAAAGCTCGCCCGTCGACTTCACGGTCAAATCGATGTTGAAGACGCGTTTCGTCAGCGAAACTGACCCGCACGAAGCTATCCTCGTTTCCTGGATATGTGCGCATGACGCGGTTTGATCTCTCCGGAAATGGGCCTTCGAGATACATGGTTGTGGGTGTCACGATCACATGAAGGCAATCAAAATTGTCCTCTGACGGCGGCGGCATGGGTGGTATGGGTTTGGAAAGGAACTCGCGAGACAGACGCGAGAATAAGATCTCCACCGACTCCTGAGACAACTCGGATTCTTCGCCATACCAGAACAACGTCTTGGCGTGCGAAGCGAAATCATGAAGAAACATCGCAGTAGATGATGCTCCCCTTTCCCTAACCATTAATTCGATGCTCTCCCGCAATCCCAAAAGCTCCTTCAAGTCAATGAAATGGGCACGCGCCAATGCTTCCACCTGGAATGCGACAGGCCAGACCAATCTTGATAACCAATCCGAGTAAGTACGGCGAACTTGGTCGGAGAATAGGCCACGGTATTGAATTGGATAGGAAGAATGATCGAATCTCGTATGCGTCATGCGACAGATAGAACGGAAATTATCCAGATCATTGGAAGCCTTGCAAACCAGTCGCATGGACAGTGAAGTAAAAGAGGCGACGCGGAGATGATCATCGTCAAAGGCACACCATCGCTGTCTGATCGGAACATTCTTCATTGACAAGAGGTTGCTCATCAGAGTCTCCAGGTCGGATGGCCTTGACTCGAATGCAGGAGGATGATTGAGAGAGAAAAACACCGTGGGGGCATGTGGATCATCCATGCTCGCAGAAAGCGAGAAGATCTGAGCCGTTCGGATGGAAATAAAGCGGGTGTTCGTGGAATCTGGAACTTCCACTCGAAACTCTTTCCTTTCCTGATTGAATATGAGGTGGGCCCCGACGCAGTGCTTCTCCCATTCGACCGAATATACACCATCGCGACACTCCCGTCCGAATTGGATGGTTCGAATAGACACACTTCTCGCATCCAACTCCTGGGCTCTTTCTTCCTTTTCCCGCAGGAGTCTTTGGTTAACGTACGGCAGACGGCAGATCATTTCTAGTACCTGAGCGTTTGGCTTGTTTCTGCTAGGCTGAAATGTAATTCTTGTACGGCCGATGGACTTCTTCGGCTGTGGACCTCCATACTCCTGTAAAAACTGCCAGCCAATATCTTCCGAAGGTAAAGTCATGGTACCCTGACGTAAGTGGTTTCGCCTGCCATGCTGAAAGATACGCGCCTCAAAATTGAGAACACCTGAAGAACGGGTAAAAGCAGGGCTATGTAAGACATCCGCTATCATATCTTTAAGATCATACTGGGTCACGGACGGCCCAATATTTTGCATAAATATTTCCATGGCGGTGTGAGGGTAGAGAATGATGATGGGGTCGAAGTTGAGAGCGATTGGGCGCGAAGAAAGTGGGAGTTATAAGCGGGAAACAAGGTTTCAAATCAAGCACTGCTTAAACGTAGAGCACGAGAAGACAGGAGGACATTGGTTGGAACCCGTCTCTGGGCTAGGCCTCATGCAAGGGGAAGATACCGTACTCTGTAGATGTTGGGATGAGACGAACTGCAGGTGTCAAGTCTGCAACGACGTACTATTTGGTGAAATTGTTCCACTAGTGCAAGTCCAATAGTCAGTGGGTTCAGCGTAGAAATCTGCCACTGATACCTGTTTATTATCCTATCCACCACGGAAATTTCAGCGTGTATACAGTGCACGTATGTGAGATCGTCGTGTACAGCGCCTGATTGTACGATAAGGAGCCAGAGGAGGTTTAGAAGTGCACTTTTGTGGGCTGCCTAGTTCACACGCAACAATTCAAGATTCTCCCTCAAGGAAGCTTAACTCGGCGAGAGCAGGCTATGTGCGCGCTCCATCCGAACTGAGCAAGCTGGAAGCTGAACCACATCGGAGTGTGGGCACCGTGACCAAATGTATACTTATCACGTGATCGCTTTGGCTTTCCGAGCCTGTCTGCACGAAGTCGACGACAAAAGTACCCTGACCTAACGTTGACAATACCTCGGTGAAGTCACGGTGGTCCCACTATAATCACACCAAGACGTACGTCCCACAAGGAAAGATAACCTCAAGTCGAGGGTGCACAGCCAGCTGTGTGGGAGGGTCATGCCTGAGCTATCGGCAAGGCGATAGTTGGTAGAATTTGTCTGAGCTCTCGGCGACCTGCCGCTAACTTGTCCTCGATTAAAGTCTGTAACGTCCCGGTCAATGAATAACGGACGAGAGCTTGTGAGTGAAAGTGCGAACCACGTCGCTGATATGTCTGTTTCTCTCGAATTCCCCACGAATCCAACGGACCGTCTCACTTCGTGTTTGAATGTCTGGAATGGCTGCAGGGCAATGTCAGATTGCTTGGCAGAGCGTGTTGGCGAAGGCGTTACATCGGGACGCACGGACGGCTTGACGATATAGATTGAGCACTCTTTGCCTCAGTATAAAATGTTTCAGAGTTGGACCCTGCGTGGCGAACGCCATCCCTGCATGTAGAGTTGGTATTGGGAGTCTGCTGACGTGAAAAAAATTGCAATGCAAGAAGTTCTGAGGACACAGTCAGCCGCCACAGTGAAGGTTCGGCCACAGGCAGTGTGGTGACCGGCCCGGGCGCTTCCTCCATGCGAAGTTTGAAGTCCGTGCCACAGGCGCTTTCAGTCTCCAGCGCTCTTCGTCTTCTAACTGTCACCTTAGGACATGGCCGCTGTGGATATCGAAACTCGCAAACCGGATGCGGAATCTTCACCACTACTGCAAAGCCTAGTGGTCGATGACCTTGTCGAAGGAGTCGCCGGAGTCGTCTTACAGGACCCGCAACCAGACACAGATGACAAAATAGACACTCCACCACGGCCACTTAGGGTTTACACTCGCTCGCAGGTTCTGTATCTGCACAAATCTCCTTTGGTTAAACCCCCGGATGGCATGCCTCCCTTGAAGGACTGGTTCGGGTGAGAATAGCGTGCTGCTCTTCACACCCGCATTGCTTACGCCTCATCGGCCAGAGATTGGAATGAGCAACAACTTACGACGAAGAAAGATTCAGAAAACACCAATGGCGCGACAAATGCTAGAGATAGACGGTGTGTTGCGACAGTTTTCTGTGTCGGTCAGAATACTCATGCCTCCATAGCTTTCGACGGGACCCGGAAGATACAGGTAAGCATGACTGCGTGCAGACAATGATCTCGTATATTCATGTTCTTCTCATGGTAGATGCTCCAACCAGACCCACATTCCGCACTGCGCTAACCCAGCCTTCACAAATGGGCAACTTTCGGCATCAATCACTCCGTACGACCGAGCGTGACAAGGATAAAGACTCGGAAAAGGAGCGGGAGCGGGACCTTAGGGACAAGGAAGGTCAGGAAAGACTGCGGAACGTGAGTGGAAATGCTGACGGCTGCACTGTGGCGTTGCGTTAACAGCCCGTATCCAGCTTTCTGACAAATATGATCGCGACCGCGGACTTGCTGCCACTAACTTGCGCAACAAAGAGAGAGACTCAGCTCCGCATTTGAATTCTGCGACATCAAGGCTTGGGCAGCCACAAGGATCTGTCGCTGCCCGCCGTGCTGAGGTAAGGGATACACCTAAAAGAAAGCTTGGAGAAAGCAGCGAGGACTGGAGGAGAGGTATGTCTACTTGCAACCTGTGAGGGTCGTGTCCCGTGTCATTAACTGGTTCTGCAGGACCTGATACGTCACGCACCACCAGAGACGACAGTAAGTTCTCCTTCGCCTTCAAAGGGTTCGGACGAACATCAGAGTGGCCACATGAATGATGATACTGTTTCCAGGACCTGACAATTCTCGAAGAGACCGTGAAAACCGTGATCGGCCTCGTTCTCGGGTACGTGAATCTTCCAGACCTAGACGCGAACCTTCTGCGGGTCGACGAGACCGGGACCGCGACGAACGGGACAGAGGTCGTGATCGCCGTGGTGATGGCGATCGTGACAAGGACAAGGATGACTATCCTCGGCGTGATCGCGACGACTATTCCCGCCGGGATTGGGATGACTTCCACAATCGTGACAGAGATCGGGACGACCATATCCAGCGAGACAATCGAGACAGGTATGATCACCCTCGTCAGAGAGACATCGACCGGGACCGAGACCTGGACGATGACCCAAGACGATGGAGGGATGATGGCAGACGAGACGAGAGGGTGGCCACTAGACGGGAGCGCGAAAGGTGGGATAGACATGACGAGCGTGACAGGGAACGTCCTGCTGCAGGTGACGACCGTGATACTCGCCCTAAGCGCGGGCCACGCGAGCGAAGAGGAGGTGCCGCTGACGACGGCAAGGAGAAAGACGAACGCAGAGAACGGGACAGGGACAGAGAAGCAGAGCCAGCATGGATGGAGACGTATATTCCAAGCACTTCAGGTGGAGGCATACTCGGAGGTAAACCTGTGGATGGCGAACTGGATGGCATCCAAGCCTGGAAGAAGGGGATGAAGGAGAAAGAGCGCAAGGAGAAGGAACTCCAGTCTAATGCCGACACAACGACGCACAAGACCGTGACGGATCCATCTGGCGATTCCACTCCTCCTATTTCCAATCCCATCGAAAATCAGCTTGACGAAATCCAACTCTTTAAGTTGATGATGAAAAGGGAGGCGGAGAAAAAGGAAGATAAACCAACAGTCACACAGAATAACTCCAATTCACCAGGAGGTGCTTTTAACGCTAACCAAGAACCGTCAACGGTTTCGAACGGTGCGCAATGCAACGGCCGCTTTTCCACCTACCTGCTAATGTTTCTCAAATGCCTGCTCACCTCCCGTCTCCTCGCTTTTACAAACAGATACTGCCAGTACTCCTCGCACATTGGAAGAGTCTGTTAAACAAGCGGCCATCGTGACAGGGAGCATCCATCACTCTTCTCAGCCGGATAAATCAGACGTATCCCCCTCAGAAGGGTCGCAGTCATTATTATCCGCCTTGATTTCCTCTGCATCAAATGAGTCGTCCCTGCGTGTTCCCAAGCCATCCACCCCGTCCTTAGATTTGGACAGGTCTAGGGTTCTACAGTCCCGTGTCGTAGCAATGTCCTCTTCTACGTCATCACCGTCTACCGCTCAATACACAGACATTCCACCAGTGGGTTTGTCGTCCTCGAATGCACCCACCACTTTCAATCCTCCACCTGGGTCTCGTCTCCTCGCATTCGGTTCTCGTGTATCAGCTGCTTCACCCGTCAACCCCGACTTCCTCCCGTCGAAGAGTCTCTCAACTCTTGACCCTATTGCCCAATTCGCTCCTCCAGGTGTTCCTCCTCTTGCTGCGCAGAAGGCAACGAACGTTTCTTCACTCGCTTCCGTAAATCCTTTACTCGCTGGCACAATGCACAGCGCGCCCGACGCTTTGTCCGCTGTGGGATCTGAAGGACCTCTTGGCGCTAGACTAGCACCCTCCGAGTCGTCACAAGTCATTAGGAGTTACTCGCCGCACGGTAATTTATCTCAAGCATCTCATCAGTTTGAAGATTTGCACGATATACCACCTGCCGCTGGGCAGATAAATGACACCCTTCGTCGTGCTTCGATTATGTCAGAACGAGCGACATATGGCATTTCCGAGAGCGGAACTCCATTTGTCGATTTGGGAGGTGGCCCACCTGTTGCAGCCAACATTCAAAGCGGTTCGTTCAATTCCAATGGAATTATGTCTAATGGCCCTACTTACGCTAGTGGTAAAGGGAGCCGATTTGCTAAATTTTTCGATTCCAAGACCAGAGAGGCACAAAGCATTCCTGCCAGGAAGGTACAGCCTGGAGCAGGCTTTGCCTCCTCTTCATCTCATCTGGGTACGAGAATGGAGCAGATGCACCTCAATGATACGTTAGGCAACGGTGGCGAATCAAGAACTATGGAAGACATTTTCGCCATGCTGCAGAACTCCTCCCAGGTCAGCAATCTTCCCGTTGAATCACGGTATGCAGACACTAACGGCGGAGAATTTTAGGGTCATCGTGTTTCACCGCAGATACCTCCTCCCGGCCGACTTGCCTCCGGAAGCCCCTTTGGGCAAGGTCACGCAGAGCTACATGCTCTCCAGCAGCAAATCCACCCACAGCAGCATTTCCCGTCTAACAATCACCTAGACTCACTGTACGACAGCCGCTTTGATGACAGGAACTTTGTTCCGGATGGAATGGTTCCTGGTCTTCGACCGGCCGTCCCGCGGTCCCGAAGCAGGGAGCCTACTGGAGTCCTCTTCAACGAGCAGCTTGACGACCCGTTACACTTCAACATGCAGCGTCTCCCTCCCCAGCGACACGTTGATCAGATGTATTCCGGTCCTGTACCCTCGTTGTACTCTCAGCAAGCAGGAATGCTGCGCAACGGTGGCATGCCGCTTCAGCAGGCACAATATCGTGGCGGCCCGTCTCCACTTTCGAACCAAACCACTCTCCAGGGACCTTCGCAGCGGTTACCTCAAGGGCTCGCAAATCTCGGTGGACGCCCGCCTCACGACCCATCACAATACCCGGGAGGACCTATGGGTGTTGGACTGCATGCTGGCTTGCAAGGCAGCTCGCCTGCGCAGCAGATCTACAATAACTTCACAGGAGGTGGTCTTGGGTACAATGGCAATCCACAGGTCCGCGGCCCTCCTGGTCCCCAGAGCACGCTTGGTGTGAACTCAATGGCCGGGATGGGTCTGCAGAACAATATGGAACTACGAACGCACACCCAAGCGCAGTTGCTGGGGATGAATGGAGGTGGTATGGGTGGGGGATTGAGAGGTTCGGGGTCAGGGTTTGGTCCCCAGCACGGACTTTCACAGATACCAGCGTCGCACGTCTCCATGCGCCAGCAACAACAGCAGCAGCAGCATATACCTCCTCACTTGGTGCCGCATATGCTACCTCTCCATCTGCAACAGCAGCAAGGGCTGTCTGGGGGTAATCCACAGGGCGCGCAGGACTTGATGGCCCTCTTGATGGGTGGTCACAGGGAATGAGCGTATTTGTCTTCGAGTCGTCCATCAGCTTTCTTCTGTCTCAGAACTGTGCATTTTCTTCGTCATTCAGTGTATCATATTCTTGACTCGACGGCATATTCACGTTCCTCGTGCACTGCTTGATCCTATATCCTTACTTGTTCGTCAGCGCGCAGGTATCCGTCACGGTGTATCTCCCTGGCACTGCACTCATAAGTCGAGCGCGGAGATGCAGAAGGCGTCCACTGTTGGTACCACTAGTACTGTGTATTTTATCGTGCATTATTGGACTCAAACGAGACACTGTTTGAGGTAAAGTACGACTTTCTCTTTGACGTGGCCGAACATAACGTCATGAGCCCCCTTTTGGTAATTTATACTCTTAGCCTCGCGTGACTGTGCCTCGGATATCGATGAGTGGCGGGCATTGCAGTGATTGTAATTGATGGCGGGGATACTTAGATGAATGGAACAGAAACCTTTCCAAGTCGAAGCCAATGCTCTACCAGACATCTTTTCGTGCTCGTCTGGCGCAGCTGGGCCGAGTTAACAAGTTTGCAGGCCAGGAGTCGCCTTTTGGAGTCTTGGCAGCCGAGGATCGATCTCATCTTGTAGATCTCGCATCGGAGATCTTGGATTTTTCAAAAATTACCCCTTGTGGACATTTCTTGACTTATCCCGCTAAAATACTCAACCTATCTCCAATTTGTCGTCATCAAACTTCCTGTCCCGGTTCAGCCTCTTCCACGAACTGCTCAGCTTACAGCTGCCGATGTTCTTGTTCTTGTGCTTCCATATACATCGTTGCTTTCCTGAGAGTGGGACGTTCGCTTCTCCTCGCGCAGTACAAGGTCTGTGAGAACAGGGAATCCTCGTTGCGATACCTGGCATACTCACTAGACATTCTCGCATGTCATCAACTCCAAGTGCTCCGAGGAGGGACAAAGTGTAGGTTTTCCGACGTTCAATGCCCTGTCAAGTGAGACAGCATCAGACTAATAGCAATATCCTCTGCGGGGCACCGTCTCCAGCGTCTTTTCCGGTTTTCACGAGGTCGCACTCCCACCGGCATACGACCCGCCCATACTTATGTGCTTCTTGTGGGTTTCTGTGACTGTTTAGAGCCTAAGTGATGTGAAAGACCGCTCGCGAAGGGTGGTTATTACTCCTTCTATTGCTTACTGGACAGATGTGAGTCCTCTATTGGTCCTCATTATATCTGATGAAGTCGTCACTGATGCAAGGCCCTTGATATGTATACCTTGACGTCGGGTAAGATGCGCTCGTTTGCTGGACGACCCGTGGACTATCCTGGCGTAAGTGCCCGGGAGCTACGGCTAGAAGCAAGCGATGGACGGTCTGAATCCCACCTCATGATGCACGGTCCCTGGCGGTGAGATGTGGAACGAACCTCCCAAGTACTGCTGGCTATCAGCGACGGTGCCGAGCGCAACAGGTCGTGTCGCAGGCGCTCGTCGGTCTTCTGAGCGCCACACTAGCATTCTTGTCGGCATTGCTCGTACTTCGGGTCACCTGCGGTGATGTCCGCACCCCTGCGCCCGACATGGAACTCTGCGTGCGGCCCCCTCGTCTGAAACGGGGACCGTTATCAGCTCATGCGTGCTGCCATTGCTTTGGGCATTCGGGCTCTAGTAGGCTCTAGTGAAGCACACGTCAAGAGTACGTCAGATGTCCACAGCGAGCTCACAATCCGGCTGGTGTGGGCGCTCTGATGATGGACACGATAAGGCGTGACTGATGGGGGCGTACGATGGAGAGTAAAGGAAGGCCTAGCCGTTGACCGTACGTGGTATTCGTAAGTAATCGGGCGCACCCCGACCGCTCCTTACCGGCAGGATAAAACCATCTGTAACATTCGCAACGAGTACTGCGTATTGGTATTGCTCTTACAGCAACTTGAACTGCGCACGGCGCCGCATTGCCTACGGTTAAAAGAGTGGGATAATCCGTTTGCGCTGCTGGCCTGGGGCCGGCTGATGCGGTTATGTACATACCTTCACCAAATCTTTGGAACACTTTGACAGTACTGTCTACACTCTTCGATACTCCAACGGGGAATGAAGGCGAGGCGATTCGGACGAGCGACAGGGAAGGTCTAGGTTTACCTAAATCACCCAATAGTGGTGCGAATCTGAGAGACGCTGCCTGCAGGCGGGAAACGTGTAGCTCACGGCCAGAATCGAGCCAATAGGCACCGCACCGGAAAAATCCCTTGGGTTCTGCATGTATTAGAAAGTCCGGGAGACCCGAGTTAGGCGGATACACGCCCGTCCAGCGTTGCACTTGACCTCAGATATCTGCATTCTCGCCTTGAAAAGTCAGATTTTTGATACCTCGAGCGTCGCTTGTTCTTGCCACTCCTCCTGCTCAGCACCCTCGCCAACGCTTGCGTGGCACAGGGTCGGTTCGAGAGCGAGACCCGTGTGTTCGCATTTGGCACAGCAACACCCGCTGGGATTTGGTTTTCCCTCTCCTCGTCCTGCAGTTCTTTGATCGACAACCTAGAAATCGGCATACCGCCATCGTCTCTCATTTAGACCCACTCAGTCTGTCTCTCTTGGTCGCGTATTGCAATCCAGCTGGCCATCCATCGTGATCTCGCGAGGTCGGCATTAATTCCAGTCATTTCTCTTGGTTCCCTCGGTCGTCAAGAAAGCTAACACCCGTCTGGCTCTTGTGAGTGGAATTCGATCGCTGTTGCAGAAGGTGCTGATGGGGTTGCAGATTACTAGGTTCGAACAGCGACAAGATTGTTGTTGGCGGTGAGTACGCAGTGATCGGTGTGTCTTGTGAGATTGGAGTCTGATGCAGCGATGTGTGGTCAGGCCCTGAGCGCATACGGAGAGAGGTTTCTAAAAGCACAAGGTGAATTTAACGCTACGTCACTATTCGTTCCCCCGGCGGTGTCGAGGAACGTGGGGCGTGGGAATTGCCAAGGCGGCCCGAGCAGACCCAGGCGACGATACGATCCATCGTCCAGATCCCATCGATTGCTTGCAGATCTTTTCTGCTCGCTTTTTTCACCATTTTATTATCCTTTTATTTTCTTCGAAATATCCTCTGCCCCAGCGACGTTGTTCTGCTCCACTTTTGCTCGCAACAAAGGTCGTAGAGGACCAGAGACTCAGACTCAGAGCGCCGCAGTGGGTGCATCAACGTGGCGATCAGCCGATGGGGCTTGATAACGGTCATTAGAGCTCCGCCTTTTTTATTCTCAAATTGTCCGCATATTCAACCCCAAATTACACCGAAATCCCCGTTCCGGGCGGCCGGTGGCCTTATATCTTGTCGGGACCCAGCGCTTCTCTCTTTCTTCTGTCCTCGTCGAGCACGACGTTCCCCTTCCCTACGTTCCCGTCCCCCTCCCTCCCTCTTCTTCATTACGACATTACGCGTTGACGACAACTCATTTTCTACCAGTATCCTCCTCGTCTTCGCTTCATCTTCGCCTTCCGCCCAATCAAAGCCACAATTCCGTTTTCTCCACCACGGATTTCCTTCTTGCAGTCATCGCATGATCCTATCCGTAAGTCCCGTTTCCTCTCATTCTCTGTGCGTTAAGCCACGCAAAGTCAGAGTGTGTAGTCGTATCTTCATTTTTTCGGGTGGCCGGCAAGGTCTCGATCGGACGCGCCTCGAGGACGATCACCTCGTTCACACTGTGATATACTTACTTTGGGTGGCCTTCGATGACTGGCTCATGTCAATCCTTGGTTGGTTGCTGTCTGGTGTTCTACGCACACCCCCACCACGCCTATCTCTGCCTCTTGGCCTATCTACGTTTCTGGGACTCTTTCACGCTTTCAGGCCTCCTTGGGCTCTGCAACGATGTCCACTAGCGCGTATCCCGACCTGTTGGCTGATTCTCTTTCTTCTCCGTGTAGTAATCAGGAGATCGCACACCTTTCAGACTCGAATCCCTTCTCTACAACAGACATGAAGGACGTATCAACCGCGTCCAAAGCTGCCCGCCCGTCGGCGTATCCCAAGAAGCGCCCGTCTCCCTACGGGATCTCCAAGTCTCGGAAATCCCCTCTCTACCCTCCATCTCTTCTTGTGCGGAGGACGCCGCGCGCCGCCAGGGCCGAGATGACTGCACAAAGGCAACGTAACGCGCAAATCTTGGCACTGCGAAGGCAGGGCATCTATCTCGAGGAAGAATACCAGGACGAAATCCGAGCTTACATGCACGAAATGGAGGTTAGTTGTCCTTAGTGTTGTGTCGTCTTTCACATTACTCATTGCGATGAACACCGCGATGCTGTAGCGACACACGACGTGCTCCATTACATCAATGGATCAACAGCCGGAAATTCGGTGGCATATGCGACCGTGTCTAGTCGACTTCCTTGTGGAGATCCACTTCACCTTTCGGCTTCGCCCTGAGACACTCTATCTCGCGTTGAACATAATCGACCGCTATGTGTCCCGGCGTATCGTCTACGTCAAGCACTACCAACTTGTTGGCTGTGCCGCGCTATGGATTGCAGCCAAGTTCGAGGACGCCAAGGACCGAGTTCCGTCTATAGAGGATCTTGTACAAATCTGTGGCAAAGGGACTTACGACCAGATTGCCTTTATTCAAATGGAGGGTCACGTTTTGCAAACCATCCAGTGGTCGTTGGGACATCCAACTGCGGAGGCTTGGCTGAGGCTCCTGTGTGCCGATCGATGGTTGGAGGAAACCAGAGTGCAACACGTCGCACGTTTCCTCATGGAAATCACGCTTTTCTACCGAGAGTTTGTGAGGTGTCTTCCGTCGTCGATTGCCCTCGGATCTCTCACTTTGGCGCGCTACCTCTGCGGCAAGGCTCGTCGTGCGTTCGAAGAGACAGAGGAGTGTCTTGAGGTCGTGGAGCTTCTGGATAACCGATTGTCGAAGCACGTCAATCATCTTTCGGAGACGCTGGTTAGGAAGTATTCGTTTGCTTTCTTTTCCAAGGCCGCGACACTCGTCGTACACTACTACCTGCATGGCGGGCGATTCGTTAGACAGCCATCCCTTTCGTTCCCCATGACTCCCGTTCGGTCACACTCGGCGAACATCGTCAGTACTCCCATGAGCGTTTCGACAACTGCCTCCGACTTCTCGGATGACATGCCAGCGACACCGACAAGTCCCATGTTCTCGAGCGATCCATTCTCTGGCTCGTGCTTGTCGGACGACAAGGAGAATCTGCCCTCCCCTATTTTTGAGCCGATTATCCATAAGATTCCCGCGGAGCCTATCCCGGATCAGTTCCTTCCGCACGACTTCGTCACTTTAAGTCGCCCGGCACTCCATAGCCTGAACGTCTCACCTCGTGCGACAGTTGTTGCATAGGTGCTCGTTGAGCTTGACTGTGACTGTACCCTTCCTCGGCGCATACGCCCACGAGCATGGTGTATAAGGTTGTAAAAAGTTCTCGTGGCACCAGTTTCTCAAGAATCACCGCAAAATGTAACACCACTACCATACACGTCGATTATCGGCATTTCAACCGCAATCTGTCTCAGCCAGCATCACAATCATCCATGCATTCTTTCTTTCTCTGCAATGTTTTGAATCTCCGTCATCTCGCCTCGAACAAGATTCCTACTCGACGAGGAACAGGTCGCCCAGAGGAACTCCATACGCCGTCGTGCTAGTGTGTGCCCGATAGGCGGTGTACAATTACTGGACAGCCCATTCATCTGCCAAGAATCCTCTTTCGTTCGCCTCGTCGGGATCCAACTGTCTGTTTCCTTCATCGAACGCTCCCAACACATTCACTCGACTGTCTGTTACCCTATGCATATCATTGTTTTTCTCTGCGCACCATTCCCCAAGTCGCCTTACGCGATGAGCTCGACAGGCTCTTACCCCGTGTTTAAATTGTCACCTTTCTTTCTACCTTATTCTTCACTTTTATTGTACCATTCTTCTACGTTTATTTGCACCGTCTCGTCAGCATCCCACCATTTGTCGTTCTCGTTCTTCAACCGCACTGTTTCGTATATTCTTAGTTTCCTTACAGTCTCGTCAATGTTGCAGCATTCCACATCACTGTCGTTCTCATCCACCTCACGAGCCTGAAGGGCCCTCATATCCGCGCAATCCCTGTCGTCTACATTACCAAGTAGCAAGCCCGAATCCGATTATTATTTGCATCTCAGCACTGGTGATCTCGGTCAAGGTCACGGCTTCCATTCCAGCGCAAGGAATGCATCATCTGTCTTCCTGGTAACTAGGGTGAGGTAAGATGCCTAGCCATGGGCCCGCGGGATTCGAGGTCTAACGGAATTTTGATGATGATCTGAGGTCCGAAGGAACAGAAGGCGCGTGCACGGGAATGATGCACGATTGCGAGACGTCGTGCGGGCTGCACAAGGAAGAGAGGCGCTGGGCACGCAACGTTTGCTCGGCGAACTCGTATCGCGGAAAGAGATGGCGAACATCGTATCAGTGAAATGATGATTATTGGTATCGCACTCGGGCGCTCGCCCGTGGACTAACTGCAGCACGGCACAGGATCGTTCATGTGGTAGTGCGATCATGCTAGTATACACGGCTAAAGAGTACAACGCAACATTGTAAATATACCTTTCTTTCTCCGGTGGTTCTACGTCCCAGACGGCGGCCTACTCCAGAATCCATTCGCCGTTGGTGTGCTTGATGTTGACGGGCCGCTTTTCGTCCAGGCTGATTCGTCCGGCGTTCAAGATGGCCGTCGTAAGGACGGTGTTGGCGATCGTCGGCAGCCCATGGCCGTCGAACTCAGAGGGCTGCACGTGCCCAGCGTTCACACTGCGCGCCGCGTCGATGAACTTCTCGATGGAGATGTAGCCGTAGCCGCGCTGGCCATCAAAGTGCCCGCTCTCGGAGGGAGAATACTTCATGCTGCGGGACAAGAAATCAGCATTACAGGGCGAGACCAGCGAAAGAGACCTTCGTACTAAAACGGGTTGTACCATGCCTTGCCAGTTTCATCTTGCACGATGTCGTAGCCTCGGTGGGCTTGGTCGACATTGATCTCCCCCTGAATCGAAGATTTATTACCGCGCAAAATGTTCCTGAATTATTGTTACTAACCTTCTCGGCCATATAGTACCACTGCTGGGCCGAGTGCACGCCGGACTTCAGCGGCGCGGTCCACGAGGCTGAGTACACTGCCGTGCCCCTGTGCTTGGAGCTCGATAGCGACTGCCAATCGACGAGGAGCGTTATCGTATCCTCAGTCTGTGGCACGCAGTTGTACGGCTCGCTGGTAGCGATTCCGGTCGCGGCGCTTGCAACAACACGCGTAGGCACGGCCCTTCCTTGCATAATCCAGCAGTGGATATCAATATGGTGGGAGGACAAGTAGTAACTGAATTTACAAAAATTAAACGGAAGATTCACGGGGGAAATATCGCTGTAACTGACCTGATATCCGAGTCCTTGCCTGCCCATGCACGGAAGGTGTCCAGCTGACTCTTCGGCTGGCTCATCCATGCGCTGAAGAAGTTAAATTCACCCAAGCTGGCAGCACGAGCTTTTGCGTCGCTGTAGACGGGATCAAACCTGTAATAACCAACCTGGATGAATAACAAGCATCGTCATACTAGTAAATGAACAGACCGCTTGTGATGCTCCACGAAGCATACTACGTTGTGCTTCTTTGCAGCCGCAACTAGTGCATTGTGGTGGGGTAACAGCTGGACTGCGGGCTTTGTGACCAATACATGAAGATCGTGCTCAATTGCGTATAAAGCAATAGGATAATGTGTGTCTGCAAAATTCTCGCGGTGAACTACACGAAAACTAACATCACGATACGACGACGTACTGTCTGGAGTGAATATAATGACTGCATCCCCGGGAGAAAGCTTGTCGATGGCTTCCTTGTCTGCATGGCTTTATCAATGCCATAAGTAGTTCCTGCTGTTAAGCGTAGACTCACAGGCTACAGGGTTATAATTATCTGCCTTTGGGAAAGACTCGAAGCTGGAGCATGTTGGTGTTACTGCGTCATAGGTGATACCAACAGAGTGTAGTCAGCGTACCTAACATCCATGTCTTTGTACACCCCAGCGATGTTCTCTTCGAAGTGTTTCTTGATGGCGGGAAACTTTGCTCCGCTGACTCCAACCATACTTAACTGGTCCACCTAGTACGGTGTGTGAGAAGGCCTACAGTTCGCCAGCGCTCAGGAGACGTACCTTGCCCAGTCTCCGCAGGTCAAAAAGGGTCAATCCGACAACCTAGGGTATATCAGTACCATCTGCAGCGGGAGATGTCTTAGGATGCATACCCCGATCTGTGAATGTTAAGTAGATGTAAGTGAAGCGCTAGAGGCAACACAATCAAGACGTACTTTCTTGTCGGACTTGGACGCTCCTTTTTCCGTCCATCCTGTGGTATACTCTCCCTGTATAATTATCAATGTAAAATGTACTACCACGGGTGAGCCAGTGATTCGAACTTACAGCGCCACCTGCATCCCAATCGTGCCGGAATCAACGGACCAGTAAATGTCCGCAAGGGCGATTGCAAGTGCTTACACATCAGCACGTTCAACTTCTTCATTTCGGTTGTCATTGCAATTGCCTACACACAACCCAGATAAAGGAAGACAGCAGGTGAGGGGTCCTCATCGTGTTGCTCGAAGACTTCCTATAAGTATGTCCGAGAGAGTGTATCCAGACTCGATCCGGTAACGGCCCGGGAAAGCTCGCGGCCCGGTCGAGCCGTAGTCATTGCCGCCACTGGCCCGCCACAGCACACACATCGTCTCCGACAGTACTGCCGCACTTCTTCTTCGCGCATATGTACGAACAGCGGTACTGGTGCTTTGCGGATATCGTTGATGCCAGGATTTCTCGAACTTAAAAGTACAACACCCATAACAAGCGCCGTCACGATCACAGACAAGCGTTCTCTCAGGCATTCCGAAGGTCGCCTTGTCTCCCTCTGACAGATGGTGGTGAGCTTGTCCTTAATAAAATACTGAAAGTTGAAACCTATATTAGGACGATCCACGTACTCTTACGTGACTGACGAAGGCCTTGTCTGCCTCGGTGCGGTGTGGATAACAAACCAAGTCTTCTCATACTCAAGCTGGCGAATGCCATCGAGGCGAGGCGAATCTAAGGCGGAGCACGGTATGGCAAGCAGGGAAAGTATATGAACGTGCGCGCGTCCTGGTCAGATACCAATCTTTCACCGTGACGATGACCTGCATCGATAGACTGCGCATCCGAGTGGCTCGTGAAAGTGGGTTTGACGTCAGACTATGTAATTTTCCAATTGCTCGTCCGTCGAACATCCACCTCTCAAGTCTGAACGCCCATTATCACCCTCCTGCATGGTCTAGCAAGCATTTCGCTGCTGTGCTCCTGTGCATCCCACTTCGTACCCTTTTCTTTTCCTCTTCTCTTAACTACCCAGTCGACCCAAGCTTCAACTCAATGATATTCGCGCATTTGCATGTTCTTCAGTACGACTAGTGTCTTCATATCGTTGCCTTCAATCTGCGCCCAGCGAGATAGTGGACATCTCACATTTTCTCTCCAAAGCAACTTACCGCAGTATTTAATGCACTCGAAGTCTTTTCTTCGTTGTAAGTGAAGTAGCCGGCGATGTGCCCAGTAGGTTGTGCATGTAGTAGGCTTCTTTTGAGAGCGCATTATGACCATCGACCAAACGGGCCTCTCTGAAGTGGTCGACACCTTCTATTGTGCAACACTTTCTGCTGTATGGCGAATATTTGTTTTGTTGCCCGGACAATGTCACTGTGCAGCGCGCGTCGGTGGCTGCGAATTGGAAAACGCGCAGCGGTGGTGGAGCACGTGCTATGCACGATCGAGCGGTGCATGGTTCTAGTGTGGGTCTTTCGCCACCCACAGCAGCTGCTGCAGCAAGTTGCTGGCGATGGCACGCAAACCTGTTGCACCAGACATCCATGACACACTCACCCCAGGTTCCGCTCTATAAACATCCAATGTCTCCGACTCCGCTTACGGGAAGTCCTCACTTCATTCCCCGGAAGGAATTCATTCGGGATCAAAGAATCATTTCCTCTTTCTCTCTCCTTGCGCTTTCTGGCCCTGGCTTGGTCAGGCTGTACAGCTTCCCTGGACCTGTCATCTCTGCTCTTCGTCGTCTCTTTGATCAGCAGAATCTTATCACAAGTGTCCGCGAACATGCGCCAAAGAGCTTTTTCGAGTTCTCTCTCGACCACAAGCCATGGGCGAATGCAAAGAGCATCGAGTCCGAATGGCTAATTGTCGCCATTCTGACCACTGTCATGCAGTGTGGATTCACCTTCCTGTCCACCATTGACTATGGTCGCGAGCAGGATGATCGCGTAGCTATCGCATTCTCCAGACCAGTGTCCGTTCCATCCGCTACCATCACTTTTACTAATGGGTCCGCGACGACACTTGCTCAGCCTACTAGAGCACACTTCGCTATCTCGTTTGCATCTACTACCGTTCTCCGTGTCATCGATCCGCCTCTCCACTCAACACCGGCCATCTTGCAGGCGGTTAGAGGAGCATGGCCTCGCGGTGTGGTCTCCGAAAAGAAAGTGGGTGATGCGACTTACGAATTCAAACTGAAGGGGTACAAATGTACGTCTACATTCCCGGAGGCATTACGCAGGACGCAGAGCCCGGCGAAGAAATAGCTGCGAGCGGACATCCTGGCGTGTTTCGGCTGACTCGTCCATGTCTCCGACGAGCAACTGAAACACGCAAATCTGCCCCCCCCCTTGTCCCACCAATCCATCCAAGTAGTCGATTTACTGATTTGCTTGTTCTTTCCAGGGTTTCAGGAGGATAATTTCCCTACTGATTCGTTGCATCACATGCTAACTCTTCTCACTTCTCTTGATGCTCATGCATTCTCGCTACTTACTTCTCTCTCTCTCGCCACCAATCGGACGAGGGTCAAAGACCTATGGATATTCTCAGGACCAGCGGAAGATCCTGAATCTCCCAATTCTAGCCCTGGAACCGCCAGCTTAGAGTTGAAGAGGGAGATTACACCTGGCTCGGGTATGCTTCCACTAGGTAACGAGAAACTTGCACCGGTCGGCGCATATCGTGTTCTTCCAAGCGGCATGGTTCACCCTTACGCTGATGCTCACTACACTCATGTACGCGGACCCACGGATACCGCGCCTGCCACCTCGTCTCCTCTCAAACCGACCTCTGGTTCCTCTCCTAAGGCGTCAGGGGGTGTTCTCCGCAAGGCGTACCCTAAGCTACCGCTTGCGTTCGCAGCCGAGATGGACAGCCCGCAGATCGCAAGCACGAGTTCGCGCTCACCTATCGACCAGAAGCAGCATCCATTTGCTAGCTCCGTGGGGAGCTTGGACATGACTGGCGTCGGTTCTGGCCTTGGCAGACCGGACCGGTCATTTCACTCCATCACCCCCGAAGTGCTTTATATGACGTCGGGACACCACAGCAGTTGCGAGAGGCATGTTCCTGCCGACACGAGTGGATCGTATCATTATAGCAGCTCGTTGGAAATGCAGCCTGTCGAGACAAGCACACCGCCTCCGATGGACGGAACCACTGCAGCGTCTCTTCCACCAGCTGACACTTCATCTCACACCGCGTACAGTCACTCGACTCCGCATGATCGCTCGTACGATGACGGTTATGCACAAATGCAGGACCGGGATGCTTCACGGCATGACACATACGTTCTGTCGAGGGACCCCGCCCCAGACGCGCCGCGCTCACCGACGCCACCTCTTCTCAGTCCAGGGCTCTTCCGCGACTCCGCGTACGCATCGACCATGGTACGGAGCTCGTATGAGATCCCCATTTCGTGGGCCGGGCGCGACTCAGAAGGCGCGTCCCTGAAGAAACACGCGCTGGCCGACATCCGCGAGCAGGACGAGCTCGAAGGGCGCGCTCGCGTTAGTTCCGACAGGGAGCGCGCACGTGAACGCAGACCTTCCGGGCCGCGGTTGCCGAGCGCATGGGCTTCGACGCCATCGTCCGCTCCAAAGGACGAACGCCGGTACGATGACGTCGCGCGAAACATGCTGCCTCCTACCATCAAGGAGCACCCCAGCCAGGAGCAGGACGACTTCGCACGTCGGCACGACAGGACAACTGGGCTAGCTGCAGAGATGCGCATGGTGTCTCCGAAGCACGACGAGTCAGAGGGTGCGAGGTCGAGGAGCAACACTGTTCCTGGTAGTACTCAGGCAGTGCCGAATGGTGCAGCGAGGCCTCAACCTACACGGAGAGACACCGATTCGGGCTGGGTGCTGGTGAACATACAAGGGCAGACAGGGAAGGGGAGGGACAATGCATCGAGTCCCACTCGGGACCGTACCACTGCTCCTAACGGGGCACCCTTGATCGCCAATGACCGAGTTCCGCACCTCAGGAGCAGTTCTGATTCGCGGGTCCCGCGTTCGCAGGGCGCAGTGGCTCAGAAAGGTGTCGGAGTAGCGATGTCGAACATGGCGGCGGCGAAGGCCATCGTCATCATGGACGCCGTGAGCGCAAAAGAGCGAGAGGCCGAGAAGGCGGCGCAAGGCTCTGGCCTCAGGCGAATATTTGCGAAGGGCAGGGAGAAGCGGTCGGACTCTCTAGACGGACTTCCTCGAGGCAGGACTCCCGAGAGTGGTGTCTCGAAGAGAAGCCTGGAGACGGAGAGGTACGAGAAGATGGGTTCGAACCACAATTGGCGGTTACCCGCTGCTTCATGATCACACGATAAACACTTCAGTCTTGCTTGATTTGCCTTGTACAGTATATTCCAGTCGTATAAACTTGGTGAGTGGTCTCTGTCATAATGTTTATACTTTCTAACCCCATTCAGTTGTGACGGTGCCATACCCACATGCAACTACCCTGCTGTGGGCGCCCCGGATTGCATACCCTAGTAATGCAACGTAGTTTGCTGACATCCTGGCCGGTTTTGTGTCGTCTATGCTCTTCTAACTTAGAACGGTGGGATATGACTATAGGTGGAAGTTCTTTTGATCTGATGTGACAACTCATATGGGCATCTTCATCGACAGTTGAATATCTTTATTGTCAATGTCATGTATCATAATGGTGATAGTAGCACTCTAACCTTCAGCATGTTCGAAGACTTCAGCTGAGATGGTAACAATGAGCAAATCCACGTCGATGGGAAGAGAAACCGCAGTGTGCAAATTCCACACCGGTAATGAAGTGAACGTTCCGTGTTCCTAGGGAAGCAGAGAGCCGCCTCATCCGCAGACAACCGCAATTGCAAATACTTCGAGGTCAGGCGTAGGGCCAACGTAGGGCTTTGGGCAAGGGTTTCGGAGCTGGTTGAAAACGTCGTGGGTGATGACAACGCACAGTCAATTACAGTTCAAGGCGTGCATGGTAGTAGTCCATAGCTCAGCACGAAGAGATCCTTCGAATATTGTCTGCATGATTGAGCTGAAACATAACAAACAGATGACAGGTTTCAACATTGACTGAACACGGAACGCAATGAGATGACGAATTGACAAAACATGCGAAAGAAAATTGTACATGTTGCTGCCGGACCGCATTTGTGCATCAGTGGTGTACGGCGCGCTTCGTTGTGTTCGGACGATGGCCATCTGACTGGTAGTATTGCGCAAGAACGACTGTGTCTAGGAACTTCAGTGAGCGGTAACCATACACACGTATATTACTCTTCGCATTGTGGGAGCGTGTGGAATGTAGTCCCTCGACGGGTCTATATCACGGTTGATCTTGACGCCAAAATATCGAAGGTTTGCAAGAAATCTGGTACGGCATATGAGTCTCGTTCTTGGGGCACTATTCGGCAATAAAAGCAAAATTACCTATGGCGAACTCACACGAGAAGCTACTCGCAACGAAGTTGAGTGACGTGTATGGGTCCGTAGTGCCGAAAATAATAGCGCATGTGCCCTAATCCAAGCCTAGCAGACGGAAGTTTCGTATCGGGTTAACTGCAGGACAGACTCGACAGAGCAGCTCGATTTGTGCGCCTCAAACGCGCTGCACGTGACCTGCGACACGCCACGATATCCCCTGAAGCCTTTTCTATTAGAGAGATTGTTCAAGCTCACATTGAGATGCACCGAGTACCAGATGCGACGATTTGAATAAAAAGCAAAGTGTTGAGTATAACCAAGAGAAAGCAAAGTGGTTGCCAGCGCGCTCGATCTGCACGAGACGCAAGATTCATCACACTTAGAAGTTGTACACCCATCAGGAGGAGTTGAACGCATTGGATTGACATAAAAGTAGACATCGGGTATCGTTTCGAGGGAGATATAACTTTTGAGATAGAATCCGACAGCGGAGGAAGTGCAAATAGCAGAGCGAGGTTCCGGAATGCTGTGGCGAAGACACTGAATCCTTCTCAACTCCGTACTACTGCACGAAACGACGAACAGGATGAAGATCAGGACGTGTTCCTTCGGCCAGTCCAAACCGTCACCCGCCGAGGATGGCAGTCCATTGTTGTGTCAAAGACAACGCTGGTGAAGCGGGTTGCCGTGCGTGGATCGGGTGGGAAGCTGTGCGCGGTGGTGTGCCGGAGGATGACGAGGCGCTGGAGTGCAGACTGCGATGGTGAAGATGGCCGGTGTGGATGGCGGTTGTGGGTAGAAAAGGGCTCGGGGTGAGAAAACAAAAGGCAAGCGTGACAAGGCTGAGTGGGAAATGGGGAAGGAGAGGAGTGGCTGAGGCTGGTCGGCCTCGAGCGGGAGACGCACTCTGCAAAAATGCGAACACCCGCTTCACGCTTTTCTGGCCACCTCTCCCCCTTCCCTTCTCCCCCCATCATCCCTTCCCCCTTCCCCTTTCCACACCACAATCATGCCCACTTGCAGACGCAAACGCGTCGTCCTCACCGAGCCCTCCCCAGCCCTCCTCGAAGCCCTCCGCACTGATCCCAACAGGGAGGTCTATTATCTCTCACAAACAGGCGAGATCTTCGAAACATACGAGTGCGGCTACTCTTCATACCCTCCCACTCTCCTGCTCATCCACTTACCATACCTCTCCCAGTGAATACACTGCCCGCATGTCCTTCTACCGCCGCAAACAGTTTCAATGCGAGGTCACTGGAAAGAGTGGCTTGGACTACTTCCAGGCGCTCGACAGTGAACAACAAGAGGCCCGCACCATGCACTCCAGATTTCCCGACCCGCTCAAGGCTGCCGTGCTCAAAGCAGTCCAATGGCGTACGTCTCACGCCTCCTCTGCGCCGCATACGTGTTTTTTGATGTGAAACCTCTCTCGCCCGCTGACAGAGGTCATGGGCCGCCTTGACCACCTCGTGGAAGCTGTTTATGAACGGTTCAAGGACAGATACTTCCCAGACGAACGTATGTCCCCCCTTCTACCAAAATTCTTCCCCCGATGAGCTTACTCTTGGTGGCAGGCGTGTCTGTCGACATTGAAGGAGACAAGTATGTATTCTATCCCACTCGTATCCACGATCACGTCCAACAACTCCTGTGCAGGTACGCCGCCCGCGTCGTTCAGGTCTTCCCTCCGAGAACCACTTCCGCTCCTTCTACCTCCGCAACAAGTCCCGTTCCCTTGGCGTCCACCTCTTCTTCTCCCTTGTCTGATGAGGAGCAGCAGCCTATTCACAAGATTGCTGAGGACCTTAAGACTCCCGTCAAGGACGCCGCTCTAAAGGACGACCCCTCTCAGTACATATACAAGGTCCAAATATTTGAAGAAGAGAGACATCCTGGTGCGAACAAGAGTCATGAGAAGAGCAAGGGCAAAGAGACAACGAAGTCTCAATGGACAGGAAGTCTCATGGATGTTCGATGTCCTGTCATGAGGTGCGTTTATCTCCTGTTTCGCGATGTGCGCGTTGCTGAGCAGCATTATGCACGTCTGCGCGCCTAGTCGCGACCGTCTTGCTTTCTCCAAGTCTATCCTCCGCCGATTCATCCGTGATTGCGTCGACAGAGATGCGGCTGTTGCATCCCCGTGGACCGTTAAACCGGCTATCGCGGAGCGATTTGGTGTGAACACTGTGATGCCTGAAGAAACGCGGAAGGGTGTGGAGACCATCAAGAAAGGCGAGATCGACAAGCGGAAGAAGGTTTGGGAAGACAAGGAAGGTCCTGCCACAAAAAAACAGAAGAAAATGTCGGCTGCTGCAGAGGAGAAGGGTGAGTCGATGCTTACGCTATTTCTTGTCTGCGTTGCTACTAAGTTCATTCAACTAAAGCCAATGCCGCTGCAGAGAAACGCGAGCGCGAAGCCCGAGAGAAGGCCGAGAAAATGAAGGTGAAGGAGAGCGAGCGGCTTGCTGCAGAGAAAAAGAAGAAGAAGCCCATACGCTACCCTACTGAAGACTTAGACGTGGTTATAGGCGATAAAGAGAAGAAGGCGGGCATGAAGCTGAGAAGGCCTGTGCCGAGTCGTGTGGCAATGCCATTTGGTGATGACAACTCCACCAACGAAGGATTCATAATGTCCTGGAACTTCCTCGTTGTCTACGGGTGCGTCTACTATTTTCTTCTGTGAGTGATGGTAGTTTATGCAGTGCGCAGACAACCGTTACATATGTCTCCATTTACTATGGATGATTTTGAACAAGCTATCCGGCATTCTATGAACGACCCACAGTGCTCCTTACTTGCTGAGGTTCATGCAGCCCTGATTTACAACCTTCGCACCGTACCTTTCAATCGCCACAGTGCGCTCCTCTCACTACTCCGTGTCAAGGAGGAGATGGAGGGCGAGGACGATGTAGTTCTTGGAGTGTCAACCGACGAACTCACAGCCGCCATGGCGGATGTGGGTAGCAACTGGGAGCGAGCTCCTCTAAGACATTCTGAGGGTAGGTTAGGGTGGGAGGAGTCTTTGGTCGGTTGTCTGAAGGACGTAAGTTATTGCTCAATATGCTCCGCTTGTCCTCTATTCTCATAAGCATTGAACAGCATGCGAATGTCGGAAACTTCCCCCGCATACGCGAGATTCTGACCCGACTGCTCTTCGCCCCCGAGTCAACTGCAGAGCCATCAGTGTCATCCAATGCTTCTCCATCTGGTACCCCTGCACCCACGTCCCTTTCTGTCCCTACTTCTCCCAGTACAAGATATTATTCGTTACCACCCGAAGATCGGATTGCAATTCTGTCATTTATGTGCAACCTAGCGATTTCCAGCAAGGCCATCCACGCACACATGGAGTGGTGCGAGGAGCAATTGACCGCGTTGCGGAAGGAGAAAATCGAGGTGAACAGGTCGAAGAAACAATGGTAAGTTGTTTAATCTGTGTGCTTTCTGTCTTGCATCTAATGGCATGGTTTCCCAGCGCTGAAGAAATGAACGCCCTGGACGAGAGTGCCAAAGAGCTGAAACCACTGAATGGCGTTGACGAAGACGTGGTGATGCAAGACTCTAGCGATCTCTCCGAAGCCCCTGGCTCAGAGGGAGAAGCAGAGGGCGGCATTGTCGCCCGCCACAAGCGGCGTACCCAGGCAAAAGATCGAGAGCTCGCGCGAGCGAAGTCCGCATCGGCCAAGCAGGCTTTGGCTGAGCACCGTCGGCTGGACGAGGAGCTCAACAAGCTTGAACGCCGACTGGAGGGCATCGAGCGAGAATTCAGGAAGCTGCTCGGGGCTGTGCGGGTCAAGCCTCTGGGCAAAGACAGGTTCTACAATCGCATCTGGTGGTTCGACGGAATGGGTGCGGCCTCGCTGGTTGGCAGTGGGGGTGCTGTACAGTATGGCACGGGCCGGATTTTCGTGCAAGGGCCCAGCGAATTTGATATAGAAGTGTTAGAGCGCAGGGAGGAAAATATTACTGCTCGTAGAAAGGAGGAGGAGGGAGAGGAGGGCATGCTTGGAGTCGGCGAATGGGCGGTGTACAACGATTTAGACGAGGTACGCATTTTTGTTCTGGTGCCATTCTCTATTTAGATTTATTCATTTTCACAGGTTGACGAGTTCATTGCTTGGTTGAACCCGAAGGGCGTACGAGAGCTCGCGCTGAAGAATGCCTTCGCAAAGTGGGGGCAACACCTCGGACCAGGTGTGAAGCGGCGTTCAGCGGTACGTGCCCGTATTTCATTCGTTACATGCAAATTCTCATTGTGCCTGTCATCCCTCAGGACTTGACAATGAATGCCAGATTGCCAGAAGCGCGCCGCAGCGCCCGGACAAGACATGGAGGGCCAGACATTGCTAGAGAGCCCTACATGTTGTGGACCAACCGCAAGGCTGTCAACGGGTCGTGACATCACTACGTTTATCATCTCAGCACCATCCCATCATTGACATCACATCTGCGGACCTTGCATATTACACTGTACGGCATTCTGTTCATAGTTATAGGTTATTTTCTCCGCAATGCTGTCCCGAATACATTCCACAATAAGAAATTAGTAATATAGTGAAGGAGCCATAAACATTCGTTTAGGCATCTTCAACGTATATGGCCAACATCGTGAGGTGTATATGGCTTGAGGAAGTCGAGTTTAAGCTTTTCACCGCAGTCTCGTTTGGATGTAGATGTATCTCACACCAATCTCGAGACATAGGGCATCATCGAAAAAAAAAGAACTGTATTTCATGCAATGCTACGCAGTTTGTGTGTGCGCAATAACTTTGATTAGCTCTGTTTAGCAATAAGTCAGTTAGCAAATTCTGATACAAGGCTGAAGAACTCACGAGGTAGCTTAATATTTTCTTGCACGACCGTCGAGACGATCTGGTTGTCTGGATTGGGAGGAACAGTGATGACGCCGGTCGCAGAGTCGACCGTCCATCCCAATTTCGCAATGTACGCGTTCAGGTTCTCGCCTTTTTTTTAAGTGGACTCCATTAGTTCTCACCGAGGGCGGAGCAAAACGAGACATGCACCTGTCAGATCGAGATACGTGCCCAACCGCTCGCGACCTATCCGCGTGAACGCAGCCTTCACAGCACGGATCGCGACCTCCCTGATAGAGTCCTCGAAGCCGACGCACTCGACCGTGTAGTTGTCCCGCAGCGACTCGACCTGGTCCGAGCGGTAGAGCGACCAGAACGCGGGAAAGCGGCACTGCTGTAGGAGGTTGTACAGTGTGGTGAGAATAGGGAGGAGGGAGGGTAGTGGGTCGGGCTCGTCGGGGTTTGCGTTCACCGACCGTTCGTCGAGGAGGGAAATACAGAGGTTGAAGTCGGGGAAGGGTGAAGATGTGAGTGCTTTGATGAGAATGTTGATTACAACATCGGGATTGTACAGGTCAGGGTTGAATTGATACCTACCGGGAGTCAGGACTACTCCGATTCGAGTTTTTAAGGGACTCACAGTTTTAGGATGGCTAGATTCGCGAGGCAATCGTACTCCTCGCTGCGAATCTGGTGGTACAGGTAGTCCTCGAGAATTCCAACATTGTTGGGGTTATATCTGTCTGCACACAGGAATTGCATATAGTAAGTCAAACAGATTTTCAGCCTCGGAAAGAACGAAACGCACCAACACCAGAGACGAGATTCTCGATTAGCGGTGTCCGCGTCGGCGGTTCTGCCCAGACTGATGCTACGGATGGCATGGTCAAATATGTATTTTCTACCGTTGAAGTGTCCGACGTTGAAGTGTCTGGTAATGACAAACTCTGAGAGAGACGCTGAGAATATTTACAGGACGCATCGCGTCGCGGGCGTCTGTTCCTTCACCTCACTCATCACCATGGACGCTGAGCAGCAGCCTCTCTCTCCAACGCCTGCACCCGACCACAACGGTGCAAACTACGCCGAACACGATACCAATAGCACAGGAACGACCACAGAACCCCCAACTGCCTCATCACTCCCCGGACACTCCGCGGGATCACCCAAGCCACTCGCAGTCAACGGAATTACATCTTCTGGTCCAGCCTACAAAGTGAAGCTCATTTTGAGCGGACATACCAGGTCTATTTCAGCAATCAAATTTAGTCCCGACGGGTCGATGCTGGCGTCGTCAGGTGTGTTCGAAAAAGCCTCAAAGCTGCCTTGGTGTTCACGCGTTTCTCGAAGCAAGCTGCGGATAAATCGGTGAAGGTATGGAATGCGGACACTGGAGAGATTCTGCACACCCTGGAGGGTCACACAGAGGGTATTTCTGATATTGCGTGGTCACCCGACGGCGAATACATTGCGTCTGCTTCGGACGACAAGACCATTCGAATATGGAGCATTGATTCCGTGAGTCTAAATTCCATGCAACGCTATGTCGACCATCATATGTTTTGCATTTCTCACCTCGTCATTGCAAGTAGATGTCTACCGTGAAGGTGCTGAAAGGCCACACGAATTTTGTGTTTTGCGTAAACTTCAGTCCGCGATCCAACCTGCTCGTCTCCGGCGGGTTTGACGAGACAGTACGCGTGTGGGACATCGCGCGGGGTATGTCTTGTGTACATACGTGACGCATTGCAACTGAACATCTTCGAGGGAGAAACTTGAAAACGTTACCGGCGCACTCTGACCCCGTCACTGCTGTTACCTTCAATCATGATGGCACTTTGATTGCTTCCTGTGCGATGGACGGGCTGATGTACGTCTTTCCTTGTGCACATAATTAATTTATCGGACGTGGACACTCCTACCAGCCGCATCTGGGATTCCGACTCTGGGCAGTGTCTGAAAACATTGGCAGATGACGACAACCCAATTTGGTACGCTTTCTCCTTCTGATTTCGTAGAACACTAATTCAATCCTCGAGAAGTTCTCATATTAAATTTACGCCTAATTCGAAGTTCATTCTCGCTTCCACACAAGACTCCACCATACGCCTCTGGAGCACGCAGACGTCACGGTGTGTCAAGACATACACCGGTCATACAAATCGCACGTATTGTCTGGTTGTTGATTTTGCTCCGGGAAAAAAATACATCGTGAGTGGAAGCGAGGACGCGAAGGTCTACCTGTGGAATCTGCAGAGTAGAGAAGTCGCGCAAGTTCTTGAAGGTCACAGAGGTGAGCATTTCATCCTGGTGAGGAGTAACACGAACTTGACCGAATGCTCTACAGACGTCGTGATTGCTATAGCGGTGAGTTCAAATGTGGTTTTGATCGCGAAAACCCGCTGAATACAGTCTTCGAAGGCCCATCCAACTCGACCTGTCATCGCCTCCGCTTCCATGGAGAAAGACCTGACTATACGGATATGGGAAGATCGTAATGCTGTCGGTGGGTATTGAAGTGCACATGCAGACGAACTTTGTAAGTCGCACTGCTGTATGCATCATCACATCTCGATCTTCGACTTGTGAAATGTCTACTACTGGCATTCAGCGCCGATGAAAACCGGGTGGTACCCAAGCAATCTACGCCGAGGCGACATTGGGATGTACTTGAAGGTGACACCGATAATCGGTACCACTTTCCGTGTATGGAGAACTGCATTGTACATACAATGGCGGGCAAGGGCTGCAACTTGAAGTCATGTCTAAGTCTACATAATGTAAACAGATGTTCTTCAACTTTGAATGTTACAATATATCTCAGGACGAAGTTGGAAGTGCCGTCGTCCAGTTTGTAGCTGCACTGCAACTCTGCTATATTCGTTCACAAAAGAAGTGGTCGCTGGGAGCCTTGTCCCGGTCTCGACGCAGTTTGTTGTGCATATCTGTATTCTACCTTCACAGCTACTGTCAGTCCACAGCGCTCGCCTTTGTCTGAATGTGAGAAGCCGAGCAGGTTCGAGAGTTGCAGCTGGCGAATGGGAGGTGTTTTGATCGCACCTTCAAGTTCGAGCAGAATCCAGGCGCTTCGCGACGGGCGCGTTTGGCGCCCATGTGGCACTACTGACTCAGCTTTCAATCTCCGCTACCCCGTCCATATATAGGCTGGCACACTGCCCTGTCTTGCTATCTCCATCTCTTCATCTCTAACCACACATCGACCGCCCACCAACCACTCTCCTATCATGCAGATTTTCGTAAAGACCCTCACCGGCAAGACCATTACACTTGAGGTTGAGTCGTCCGACACCATCGACAATGTAAAGGCCAAGATTCAGGATAAGGAGGGGTGAGTTGCTCTTAGATTTTCAGCCGATGGGACGATCCGGCTGACAGACGTGTCCGCAGCATACCCCCCGACCAGCAGCGCCTGATCTTCGCTGGCAAGCAGCTCGAAGACGGTCGCACCCTCTCGGATTACAACATCCAGAAGGAGTCGACCCTCCATCTTGTCCTCCGTCTTCGTGGCGGTATGCAGATCTTCGTCAAGACCCTGACGGGCAAGACGATCACCCTCGAGGTGGAGTCGTCCGATACCATCGATAACGTCAAGGCGAAGATCCAGGATAAGGAGGGAATTCCTCCCGACCAACAGCGGTTGATCTTCGCTGGCAAGCAGCTCGAGGATGGTCGTACTCTCTCCGACTACAACATCCAGAAGGAGTCTACCCTTCACTTGGGTATGTATCCCAACGATCTGTCTTAGTCTCAGTCACTGACCTGTTATGCAGTTCTACGTCTGCGTGGTGGTATGCAGATCTTTGTGAAGACCCTGACGGGCAAGACTATTACCCTAGAGGTCGAGTCTTCGGATACCATCGACAACGTGAAGGCAAAGATCCAGGATAAGGAGGGTATTCCCCCAGACCAGCAGCGCCTCATCTTCGCTGGTAAGCAGCTTGAGGATGGGCGTACGTTGTCGGACTACAACATTCAGAAGGAATCTACGCTTCACCTTGGTGAGCACCATCACTGTGTGAGAATTTGGATTTGAACTAATAATTTTGTCAGTCCTTCGTCTCCGTGGCGGAATGCAAATCTTCGTCAAGACCTTGACCGGCAAAACTATTACTCTTGAGGTCGAGTCTTCCGACACCATTGACAATGTGAAGGCGAAGATCCAGGACAAGGAGGGTATCCCTCCAGACCAGCAGCGTCTCATCTTTGCCGGCAAGCAGCTGGAGGATGGGCGCACTCTTTCTGATTATAACATCCAGAAGGAGTCCACTCTTCACCTCGTCCTTCGTCTCCGCGGCGGCATGCAGATATTCGTGAAGACGCTTACTGGCAAGACTATCACTCTTGAGGTCGAGTCCTCCGACACCATCGACAACGTGAAGGCGAAGATCCAGGACAAGGAGGGTATCCCTCCAGACCAGCAGCGTCTCATCTTCGCGGGCAAGCAGTTGGAGGATGGGCGCACTCTTTCTGATTATAACATTCAGAAGGAGTCGACCCTCCACCTCGTCCTCCGTCTGCGCGGTGGTATGCAGATCTTCGTGAAGACGCTTACCGGCAAGACAATCACGTTGGAGGTTGAATCGTCGGACACGATCGACAACGTCAAGGCGAAGATTCAGGACAAGGAGGGCATTCCGCCCGACCAGCAGCGCCTGATCTTCGCTGGGAAGCAGTTGGAAGACGGTAGGACGCTCTCGGATTACAACATCCAGAAGGAGTCTACCCTTCACCTTGGTACGTTTGTGTCCTTCCACTATCTGGATTGTTGACTCACCCATCGCTGCAGTTCTTCGTCTGCGTGGCGGCCTCTGAGGTGTCTGCGTCTCGTGCATGGCTGTACTATCATTCGTATGTTGTAGATTAGCGCTCATTTCATAGCGTTTATACACGCGTCGGGTTATGGATCTTGTGCGAGCCCATGTGTATGAGGGTGAACTTCCCAACCAAAGAAAATGACATGAAGCATGTAGCACATGAAGTTCTGACGACAGTCAACGCAAATACAGTCAGGCTGTTGAGATTATGGGGGTACGGGTTGCTACAGTTCCTGCAGGAACTTCAGTGGTACGAGCATTCGTCTTCCGCCGCCGTTTTCTCTTGTGCCCCGCACCATCCACCGCAGGCAGCTCTGCAGCGCCAACAATCTCGTCGGCGTCCTCATCCACATGTTTCCGCTTCTCGCCCGCCTCCTCCGCCTCCTCCCTCGCCGCTGGCATCTGCTTCGGGGCAGCAGCGTCGGGCTTCGCCTTCTTCTTCTTCACGCTCAGCGGGTTCGGGCCCTTTGGCCCCTTCCTCTTCTTGCGCACGGGCTCGGTGTCGGCGTCGGCGTCGTCTTTTAACGACGTGGGCAGGGCGGCGAGCTCGGGTGCGGATGGGTGGAGAGCCTCTTCTTCGACCTGCACTTGGCATCAGCGGGGGGCCAGGAATGGCATAAAAGTGAAGAGAAGGGCGTGAAGGGGGGGAGACGCACCGATCGCTTGGCGGCGAGCGTGGCGGTGCTGGGGGGCTCGAGGATCATGACGGAGCGGTTGAAGTGCACGAGCGGGACGGCGGGGACGGCGCGGAGGGCGGCGCGGAGGGCCTGCGACTGCGTTGCGACGACGTATCGGTGCTTGTTCGTCTCGCCTGCGCGGCGGGTCAGCAGCAGCAGCGGTAACGGGACGAAGGGAGGGGCCGGGGCGCACCGACGACGCTGGCGAGGCAGGTGTCGCTTGCGAGCGGCTCGCGGTGGTTGCACCGACGGCGCTCGAAGGTCTTGGCGAGGTCGACTGCGGGCTGCTGCGGCTTGCCCTGGAGGTAGAGCTCGTGGATGCAGCACTGCGTGATCACTGCGCTTCGCGGGGTGGTTAGCGTGGCAGAACAACAAAAGCGGAGGGGGGCTCACTGGGCTTCACGGTGCCCTGGAGGACGGCGCCGAGCTGGGTCGCGAGGGCGAGGTTTTGGAGGATCGCGGCTTTGCAGATTTCGGCGTCGACTGGCGGGGGGTTAGTGGGCGGCTGCTGCTGGCGGGTGAGAAGGGGGCGCACCGAGGACTTGGTAGGGCTCTCTGAAGCCGAAGGACGTCGAATAGAGGGACATGAGCTTGCGGTAGGCTTTCGCTCGTTTGATGCGCATTTTCACTCTCGCTGTAAGCTTAAAGGAGAGATGTGTGTATGCTCTCGAGCGATGCAGATATTCAGAATCCGAGGAGCTGAAGAACAGAGTGCGCGACGCGCGAGATCGTTTTTGATCGAGAGGAAGATTGTATGTATGGTCGTGTTATCAGCGTCTTCACCATCCACCACGTCTTCCTCTATATACACTCTTGTTCTACACCCAAGAAGGTACTACCATGAAGGTGCCCGTCGCCCTGCTCGCCTTGGCCAGGTAAACGCCTTCATTCATTCATCGTGCGCGCCATTGACACCGACGTCAAGTTCTTGCTGCACAGCGCTCGCGTTCGACCTGAAGGGACGCATTCTATGGAATGATGTCTGCAGCAGTACGCCCATCCTCTCCCGCTGTACTGCGTTCTTTGCTGACGCGCTGCATTCGATGCTCGTGTATTTTGCAGGTCTTGGCGAACTGGGCCAGGCGAGCGTCGTGCTCGACCACGGGCGGCTGCGCGGAGGCGTGACGCGCGACGGCGGGTTCACGATGTACGTACCGTACCGCGCTCCTTGCGTTTAAGTTCTCGTACTCACAGGATCCATGCGTTCGTTCGTCGGACATCGCAGCCCGGACGTCCCCGCAGGTACGTACATCCTCTCCGTGCTCGCCCACGACCACGCCTTCGACCAGGTACGCTCCGCCCCGCTTCCCTCTCTCTCCACGGGGGTCGCTCACGCACCCGCAGCTCCGCATCGACGTACCGGCGAACGACAGCTCCGCCGCGCCGGAGGTGCGGCCGTACACGCCCGGGACGCCGCTGGACCCGGCGGCGGCGGTGCAGTTCCCGTACCCGCCGCTGCTGACACCGCGCGCGCGCCACGACTACTTCGTGCCGCCGGAGGCGTTCAACTTACTAGGGATGTTCCAGAACCCGATGATGCTGCTCTCGGTCGGCGGGGGCGCGCTGATGCTGCTCATGCCGTATCTGATGGTGAGCACCCTTCCTCCCCCCGTTGTCCGTTCGCGGTGTTGCTGTGAATTGGGGTGCTGAGCGGGTGCTGCAGAAGAATATGGACCCGGAGACGCTGCAGGAGATCCAGGGGCGGCAGGCGCGGATTAATAGCATCCAGAGCTCGATCCAGAGCGGCGATATCAGGACGGGGTGCGTTGCTGCTCACCAATCTTTTGTTTTGTGCGGCGTGATGGCTGAGGGTTGCGATTAGGATCTCGGAGCTGCTCAGTGCGGGCGACGAGGCGAATGCGAGCGCGAAGGCCGCGGCGTCGGGCGCCGCGAAGGGGGCGTCCACTGGCGCGAGGGGGCGTGGAGGGAAGAATGTGCATCGGCGGCGGTAGGCGGGGTGTGCTGTGGTAGAAGTGGAGTCGTTGTACGTATTATGTAGTGTTGCAACTAACGGGATATTGGTGATTTCAGAAGTCACGTCGCGCGGCCAAATACCACAAATTTCTGCATCGACGACCTCCAATTTTGAACGCAGATATCCCTTCAGCGACAGGGCCGTTTTTCTTGAGTCTTGTCTCACCTTGTTATCGCGCATACTGAAAAAATCTCCTTCCTCCACTATATCCGTTTGCTGCTCTCAGAAGTGAGTTTGTCATCCGATTGGATGTGATAGGCAGGGTAGGGATACGCATTTGTGGTACAAGAAGATCTGCGTTAACATATTGGAATGTCTTGGTCTGTATGGGGCCCGGGCATACTACAGGGTTACAGAATTCATGATACTGGGCCAGATATATTGGTGTAATATGTGTGTAGAATACATATAGTGCTTGTGTGTACATCACGAATGAAGGATGACAGTTCTGAAGATGCAAGGGCCTGAGTATCATATCGGCTGCAGCATGTCTCCCACCATCCCGAGTGCCTTCCATCACTTGTTTAAAAGTTAAAACCATCTGGATATCAAAATAAAATGAAAGATACAAACGGGGGAGCGTTTATGACCGTCTGGCAAGGGAGTCCCAGCACTGTGATCACAAATTGGATGCCACAGGTCGGAGAATCAGGACAGGCTCATCTTCAAATTGTATACCATGCGCTCTCTACGATACTAAGTAGTCCTCTCAGTCTTCAGAGCAACTCCTTCAGCACTTGGACTGTCTGCCGCACGGGAAGTCGGTTCTGAGCTCACCAGAAGAGCGAGTATTGGATTGACCGAATATGTGTGTTTCTTGGTAGCATGCCCTGTGCGCTAACGAGGAGAGTCCAAGACGGCAAGAATTAAGAAAAACGGCCCAGCCACTGAGGAGATATCTGCATTCGAAGTTGGAGGAGTAGGCGGAAATCCGTGTACATATACTTATATTTGGTCGCGCGACATGACTTCTGCTCGAACCAGAGGCCTGCAAGTGCCGGAAGAGTCCTTGGCTGACTCTACGTCACCGTGCTTGCCTTATCGAGCAACTGACTTGCCGGATTGATGATTCGAACTTGGCTTCGTATCCCGCCTGCGTCATCGGTGTGTTCTTTGGGAACGAGCCTATCAGAGGGCGATCCAAGCAGCGCGTATATAAGGTCGGCCCACATTCGAATGGCCTTTGCGTTTCTCCCGCACACTGCGTGCACCTGTACAGTGTAAGAGGTTCTTGTCGTCTGTAGCGTTAGGTGAGTTAACTAGTGGTGTATTCAGAAATATTGTTGTACTGCCGACGTTCCTACGCCACGCGCGCGATCAAGACGGAGGGTACGGTAATTACAGAGTATGCGCGCAGTTCGCGATCGGGTGCTAATGGTGAATACGATCGATGCCCTCGCGCGGCCGTATCAGGAGCGCGGGGGGTCGTCAGCGGGAGTGGGGAGGCGGAGAGAGACATGGGGGCGCGGCGGAGAGCGGTTTGGGATGGATGGAGGCGTCGGAGTAGTCGAGGGCGCGACGGAGGACGGCGTTTCTAAACGTTGGGGAGCGCGATTAGTGGAGACGCGCGAAGAGGGGTGATGGGCGGACCTTTGTTTGAAGCGGGCGAGGACGGCCTGCGGGGACGGGTCCTCGTCGTCGTCTGCTCTGCTGCGAGGAGTGAGTCGCGGGTGGGGGAGGGAAGAGGGAGACGGACCTGTGGTCGTCGTCGGGAGAAGTGGTGTGGATGATGTACAGGTTGGGGTTGCGGGCGTCGTCGGCGAGGGCGGCGCCGGGGGCGGGGATGACACGGAGGGCGGTGACGGCGAGGAGTGGGGAGAGGCTCTGGGCGGACGGGGGCGCGGCGGAGGGCGGGCGGTAGTCGAGGACGAGGAGCTGCTCGCCGGGCCGGCGGGGCAGGAGCGCGCGCGGGTCGTCGTCCGCGTAGTGGTACTCGACGGCCGGGTGCACGAGGGCGGGGCCGGACGCCTGGAGGACGTAGAAGGGAGGCAGGTCGGAGGCCATGGCGGGGAGAAGGAAATGGCCGGGAAAGGGAAGGAAGGGTGCCGGGAAAGGGAATCGGAGGTCAGGAACGAGATGATGTGCCTGGGAGAGAGACTCGAGCTCGAGCCTTTTCCCTCTCCCCTCCATCCTCCTCCTCCTCCTCTCCCGCCGTGCCATGCCTCGTCGCCCGCCGTCCTCTGCCCGCCCGTCCACCGCATCGCACCGCCCGTCCACGTCCCGGCTCCCGGCGACGCCAGGGCTCGCGACGCCAGGCTACGGGCCGCAGTACACGGACTCGCAGGAGTACACGATCGAAGAGGACGAGGACGAGTCCGAGGCAGAGGACGTCTTCGCCTTTGGGCCCCCGTCCACCGCCGACCCCGCCTCCTACTTTCCCTCTCCCCCCGTCGCATACCCGCCCCCTGCCTTCGACTTTCACGACAGAGCCCACGCAGGCCCCATACCAGGTCCCTCTACTCTATACCCCCGCCATCCGTATCCCCTCAGCCCGCCCCCCGTCGACTCTCCCCCCTCCACCGAGTCCCAGTCTCAGTCCCATGATGGCGACGCATACAGACTCCAGCGTCTCCAGCCACCACCCAGTCTCCCCGCTAGCGCTCCTGCCACCAACTCTGCCACCGGCACCGGCACGCTCTCTGGCGTCAGCTCCGCCATCAGCTCTAGAGAGGTGCGCGTCTCCTTGCCTCCGGGCAGAGAGAGCATTCAAGAGCTGTCCTCCCAGCGCAAGCTCCCCCCAACCCCCGCCTCCACAAGCTATACCACCAGCATCCTAGATGTCGACAGTCGCGAGGGGTCCATAAAGTGAGTCCCATCGCCCCTTGTCCCTCGTCCTCGCTCCATTTCCTGCCCGCAGAATGGAGGTGGATTTAGAAGACTACGACGAGGAAGATAGCCCGTACCCAGAGGTACGCGCTTCCGTCTCCAATATCGACGATCCCGATATGCCCGTCATGACCATCCGCATGTGGTTCCTGGGCCTGCTGCTCACCTTCATCGCTGGGTGCGTATCTCTCCGCGTGCCCTCCCCTCGCTCCTGATCCGTCCACCCCAGCGGCGCCAACATGTTCTTCTACATGCGCGCCCCGTCCCCCTCGCTTACCCCCAGCCTCGTCGTCCTCGTCACCCACCCGCTCGGCAAGCTCTGTGCCTATCTCCTCCCCATCACCACCTACCGCCTCCCGCGCTTCCTCGGCCGCCTCGAGTTCTCCCTCAACCCTGGGCCATGGAATATCAAGGAGCACGCCCTCGTGTACATGATGGCCAACGTCGCCATCGGAGCCCCCTACTCCATCCTCGCGACCATCGTCTCCGACCAGGACTACGGCCGCAGGCTCGATTACTGGTTCACCGTCCTGCTCATCATCTCCACCCAGTTGACCGGCTTTGGGCTCTCCGGGCTCTGCAGGCGGTTCTTGGTATGGCCCGCGAGCATGATCTGGCCGTCGAACCTGATCACCTGTACGCTGCTGAACACGCTGCATGCCGAGGAGGACGACGGCCGGGGAGGGGTCACCAGGTTCAGGTTTTTGGTGTACATTCTCATCGGCGCTTTCTTTTTCTTCTTTCTCCCGGGTGCGTACTATAGCTCATCATTTGGCCACTTTGCCATCTCTGACGCATGCACAACAGGGTACTTGTTCACCGCGCTCTCAGTATTCAACTGGATATGTTGGATCGCCCCCAACAACATCCCAGTGAACCAGGTCTTTGGCATCAGCTCTGGGCTCGGTGTGAGCGTCATCACGTTCGACTGGACCCAAATCAGCTGGAATGGCAGCCCCCTCATGGTGCCCTGGTGGGCGCAGACGCAGATATTCGGCGGGTTCGTGCTCATGTACTGGATCATCACCCCGATCCTGTACTACACGAACGTAAGTCCCGCCATCCCAGATCCCGCTCATCCGCTGATGGAATGTTCTCGCAGACATGGGACCTAGCGTACTTTCCGCTGATGAGTTCGAATCTGTACGACCGGCACGGGCACCTGTACAACGTGACGCGGGTGCTGGATGCGAACAACCAGTTCAACGAGACGCTCTACGACAATTACTCGCGGTTGTACCTTCCCGCGACATACGCGATCGCGTACCTGACCGCGTTTGCCCTCTCGTCGTGTGCGGTCGTGCATACGATACTCTACCACGCACCGACGATCCTGCGCGGCATCAAGCGCTCCCGTGTAGAGAAGGACGACATCCATGCGAAGCTCATGCGTGCGTATCCCGAGGTCCCCGACTGGTGGTATGCGCTCGTGTTCCTCTCCTGCTTTTCGCTCGCGCTCATCGCGAACGAGGTGCGTTGTTGCGTTTTGTGCTCTGGCACGGTGCTGACGGTGGTGCAGGTATGGCATACGGGCGTGCCGTTCTGGTTCCTCATCCTCGCGGTGCTCATCCCCTCGCTGTATATCGTGCCCTCGGGATACGTCTTTGCTGTGACGGGCCAAGTGGTGCGTAGTTCTCGCGTGTGCTGTTCTTTACTTGTGCATTGATTCGTCTCCCGTAGATTACGATTAATTTGGTCGTCCAGGTGATCCCGGGAGTGGCTCTCCCAGGCCAACCTGTTGCGAATATGGTGCGTCTCGTTCTGCACGAGCTGCTCCCGCCGCTCACAGCGCCTGCAGATCTTCAAGGCGTATGCTCTGCAGACGCTCGCCGAGGGCTCGCGCTTCGTTCAGGACCTCAAGCTCGGGCACTACATCAAGGTGCCGCCACGAGCGTCCTTTATCGGTACGTCCCCCAGCCGCGGTACGTTGTGCGCTGTACTGACGTCCGTGCGTGCAGTGCAATTGGTGGGGACGTTGCTGACAGGGTTCATCCAAGTCGGCGTGCAGACGTGGATGTTCAAGAGCGTCCCCGAGATCTGCACGCCGAACCAGAGGGACCAGCTGACGTGTCCGTACGCGAGCGTGTTCTTCTCCGCGTCGATCCTCTGGTGCGTCTCTCTCCCCAGGTATGCGCGATTGTACCCCCGGGCTGACGATGGTGCGCTGCAGGGGCCTGATAGGCCCGAGTCGGCAGTTTGGCGCGTCGTCGATGTACCACCCGCTGCTGTACGCGGTCGCGATCGGCGCGGTGCTGCCGATCCCGCTGTGGGTCTGGCAGCGGCGGTACCCGCGCTCGTGGACGCGCATGGTGAACACGCCGATGATCGTGAACGCGATCGCGAACATCCCGCCGTCGACGGGGATCAACTACTCGTCGTGGTTCGCCGTCGGGTTCATCTTCCAGTACGTCATCCGCAAGCGCAATTTCTTGTGGTGGAGCAAGTTCAACTATGTTACGAGTGCGGCGCTCGATAGCGGTGAGTGTCTCGCGCGGTGGGCGCGCCGATGCTGATGCTGAGTGTGTTTGTTGGATAGGGACGGTCATTTGTTTGCTCGTCTTGTTCTTTACGCTGCAGCTCCCGAAGAACGGCATCGCGCTCAAGTGGTGGGGGAACTCCGTCTGGCAACGCAGTGCGTCTCTGTCTCTCTCTCTCTCGCGCGTATCCGTCTTTCGGCACACTTGTTGACGAGCCGTTGCAGCCGCGGACTACCGGGAACCGCCACTGTACGCGGTCCCGCCAGGAGGGCTCTCATAGCCTTGGCGCCCCCCCTGGTGCTCGTTCCCTTCCCATCTCGCCTTGTTGCTGCATATATTGGTATTCGGTATCTATGTCATCGTGTATTACTGCTCCCTCCCACTCCTTGCTCCTTGCTCCTCACTCCGCGCATTCCTATACCAACCCACCAACCCAGACTCAGGCCAGAGTCCTACCTACCCCGGCGCAGCGCAGCACAGCCCCGCCCGTGTAACAGGTGTTTCGTTCGGATATCCGCTCGTACAAGTCTCGTGTGTTTTTTTTTGGTTTCGGCCGTGCTTTTTGGAGGCTCCTCGGGCTTACACGCTCCCCCTTCGTTCGTTCGTTTTCGTTCGTTCGTTCTCCCCCTGCATTCGTGGGGTTTTTCCCCCGGTTCGTTGGATCTAGTTTGTGTTGTCGCCGATGCTGTGCTTTGAGAAGTGCTGGTGCATTATACGTACGTACGTGTTGGAGAAATGGATCTTAATCAGGCGGAACTCGGAATTAGCTTGCGGTCTGCCGCCGTGTGCGCGTGTGGACGTTCTAAAGACTATGATGATGATGAACTCTGCATTTATATGTCAAAGAGACAGAACAGCTGGAATTGCGGTGCGGCAAAAAAATACATGTGTATGTGTGTATGCGGGACAACGGAGAGCACAAACAACGTCGGGCAGAAACGTTCGTGGGGGTGTCGTCCTTCCCGTCCTCATCTGCTGTAATGGGCGAGGCGGGCTAGTGGAAGCGGTCCCAGTCGGGCTGGCGCCCCATCACGCCGCGGCGCCGCGGCCCCGTGGGCCCGCGCTCCTCGCGCGAGGCGGTCAGCACGATGTGCTTGTCGACGAACTGGATGGGAGAGAGCGCGTCAACACGGTACGGATACAGAAAGACGGGAACAGGGCGGACGCACGTCGTTGAGGATGCTCGCGGATTTTGTGAGCGTGGCGAGGTACGCCGTCAGCTGCACGTCCTCGTACTCCTGCGTGCCCGCGAAACGAGTGAGCGAGGCGCGCGGGGGAGGAAAAGAGGGAAAGAGGGAGCACGCACGGTGTCGAACTCCTCGCGGAAGCCCCTGCTTGCGCTCGCGGGGAGCGAGGCGACGAGCGCGGAGAGCGCGCGGAGCGCCGCGTGGTCCGTGACCGCCGCGCCCGCGATCGCGTCCGCGACGTACTTGACGAGCAGCACGATGCGGTCGTTGAGCATCTTCACCGCCGCGCGCTGCGCGTGCAGGTGCGACTCCACTGCGAGCGCGTAGCGTCAGCGCACAGGGACCAATAAGAAAGAGGAGGGGAAAGGGGAAACGCACGGCTGGTGCCGCCCTCGCCGCCTTTGGCGGTCCAGTCGACGGCGATGCGCTCCGCCTCGCCGGTCTCGACGGTGAACGGCGCCTCGACGAAGACGGAGCGCGAGGTGCGGTTGCGGATCTCGACCGTCGGCTCGTACGCCTTGAGCGGGAGCGGCTGTGCTGTGAGGTCCGCGGACGCCGCGAACACGGTCGACGGCTGCAGGATCAGCAGGAGCGGCGTCGAGCTGTAGGCGGTGAACTGTGCACGGGATCAGTATCGATAAGCGCGCGGACGGCGAGGGCCGTGGCACGCGGGAGGAAGAAAGGCAAGGTGCTCACCTGCTCGTGCAGCGCGATGTGCTGTGGCGTGGGCCGCGTGGCGACGGTGTACCACCCGATGAACTCGAGGGAGGGGAAGACCTGCTTGTCTGTGCGCGAATCAGCGGGTACAGGTATCGCGGGACGGGAGAGACGGCGTACATTGTTCTCTGCGGGCGACGAAGAAGCCCTGATCGACGGTGATGCCGTCGTTTTCGACAGCGAGCTCGAAGGTGTTCACGATTTCGACCTCACGGCCATTCTGTGTGCCCAGGAGCGCGCCGAGGACTGCGCTTGCGCCAGCGTGAGCGACGCGGGGATACTTGATGAGGGGTATGTAGGGAGTACATACCGAACGGCTCGTTAGACTTCGTTTGGAGCTTGCGGCGGGTGAGGTGTTCAGAGATGTTGAGGATAGGGAGAGGGTGGCTGAAGGAAGCAGTCAGCCCGTAACTTCCATAAATATAGGGCAATGGACATACAGCGCAAGAGAGAGGCCGGATGTCGTAGTGGATGGGAGGACAACGGGAAGATCGTCTGTGTCCATGGCACTAGTACTTGAGCTCATCGCTGGTGGTTTGCAATGCAGACGTCGTGCGTCTCTTTGCCAGCACCATTGAGAACGCCCAACCAGGCGGCAAAAGCAGCTGGAACGGACGATTATTCCCATTAGCCGACTCGAACGACTGACCTCGTCATTACTAGTGACGCGCTCTACCAACTGAGCTAAACGGGACTCATTTATCAAGTATTCTGGTTATTATAGTGTGCTTCGAACACACGCTCGCATGCACTACGCTACTTCAACACAACCTAACACGATATCGATAACGAAATTAAGTAGGTTATACGCCCACCCTATCGACAGTGTTAGAGACACCGGCAAAAATCAAAGAAGTACACTCACCTATGCACCACCTTGTTCTATAGAACACAGCAAGTCGGCGAACAAATCTCGCGCGAAAGAGAAATTTACACTCACCTGCCCTGAGAACCTGATGATCTCTCTCTTCTCCAAGACAAACAGAGTCCGCTCCAGCGCATGACTCGAGTACCCCTGCTGCGTTACGAACTCCCGCACCAGGCTCTGGTAACTCGTGCTCCACCCGATCGGCAGCCGCCGCCGCACCTCCTTCTCTATCCGCCCCATCTCCTCGTTCAGCTCCCCGCGCGACAGCCCGTCCGCACTGCCCGCAGATACCGCGTCCATTGTCGACGACTTAAACAGACGTATTGCCTCCTCGACGTGGTGGCTCTGCACCACTGGTGTCAGTGTGAGCTTTGCTAGGGACTCCGAGATTCGGATGATAGCTTCCAGTTGTCTGGGTAGATGTCTGTTATTAGTGCAATTCATGATTATGCCTTCACGGGCACGAACCGTATGGTTATTGGAATTGAGCTCCGTTCATCATTGTCCTGCTCTATTTGCTGGACTTGCTTGCGCAAAGAGACGAAGTGACTGCTTAGCATCTCCTGTGCCTCCGCCGACAGCCGCGGTGCACATTTCCTGAACATAAATGTTGTCAGAATGCCATTATTTGCGGTGGTGTTTCTGGGAGAGCGCGCACGCTTTGCAGTATGCAATGAACCGCTTCATCTTGTCGATGTCGATCTCGCCGACGGCCTCACCGTTCTCGTCTGCATTCTCATTTGGCCTATTCATATGGATGTTCATGACGTGTTTCGCGATCATCTACGGCAACCAGTTGTTAGCCATACAGATCGGCCAGCGAGATATGCTGGAAACGTACTCGGTCGCGTTGTTCGTTATGCTCGTCCTTGATAATGAAAATCATGTCAAATCGGGACAAGATAGTCGTCTGAAAGTCAATATTCTATATACTCCGTCAGGTCACTGGCACTGCTCTCAGATCAACCGCTCTCACCTCTCCGGGACTACGGCCCTCGTCGTAACGCCCCCACACAGGGTTTGCGGCGGCGAGGACGCTTGTTCGCGAATTCAACACAGTCGTAATGCCGGCCTTCGCGATAGAGATCGTCTGCTGTTCCATCGCCTCGTGTATCGCAACGCGGTCCTCGTCGCGCATCTTGTCGAACTCGTCGATACAGACCACACCAGTGTCCGCGAGCACCATCGCGCCGCCCTCGAGGTAGAACTCGCGCTGGACGCGCCTGCGTGAGCTAAGGTATGAGATGGATAATGCAAAGCTCGCACCGATACTGAGTCGCGCTGGACGGAAGCTGTGAGACCCGCCGCGCTAGAACCCTTGCCAGAGGTATACACGGCGATGGGGGCAACCTTCTCTACGAACTTGAGCAGCTGACTCTTCGCGGTACCGGGGTCGCCGAGAAGAAGCACGTTGATGTCGCCTCGAAGCCGCATCCCGTCGGGCAGCACTTTCTTCGAGCCTCCAAAGAGTAGACACGTTATAGCCTTCTTGATGTCTGTGAACATTATGAATACGTGATGACAAAGACGTCGACGGCGGTATTCACCAAGACTGCCGAAAATACTGGGCGCGACGCTCTTTGCGAATCGCTCATAGAAGCCTTCGCTGCGCGCCATCTCGCCAAACTCTTCCTCTTCCTCTGGCGTAAATTGCAGGCCGAATGGATTTGACCCGCCCGAGCCACCGGCGGACGGTGAAGAAACTTCGAGGTGGACGAGCCGAAGATATGGATTCCGCAGAGCAGCTGTGCCAGCTGATTTCTACGGCAAATATGAGATGAAGGAACTACGAAGCGGACGAACCCGCCACTTACATTCTTCGCCGAATTGTAGGTCGAGTAGATGCCCGTGGCGATTACTCTCGAGCCAGGGACTACCTGCCCTGTGAGGTACCTGTCTGCAGACAACAGCATATGCCTCGGGAGCTCTCCGACGGGGACCATATCTGGGGCCTCCTGCAGCTTGAGTATCTGGTGGTCGGAGAATGTCGATTTGGAGTGGATGATGAGGTATGGGTCGAGCGGGCAATCCTTCTTCTGATTCTCAATCTCGGGAGCGTCGCACACGCGCGGGAGGCCTCTGTCAGACCCACTGCCGATCCCGCCGAGGCCGCTGGCTGGGAAGATAATTTTCGTGGAGCGGCAGGCGCGGCATTGGAGGTGCAGTTTCGTCGCGCGCGAGGAGAGCACGGACGCGGAGATGACGATGCCCGGGATGCGCACCATCTTGTTCATCGTGTTCGCGGCGAGGTCGCGAAATTGCTGCAGGTTGAGCCCGGACTTAATCAGGATCTGGATGTTAGGGATAGATTGGGCGGCAGCTTCGGTGCTGCTGCCTGCGACGGGGAAGAGGATGGTGCGGGCAGCACGTGCAGCGGCCGTTTCAAACTGTTTCATAGGATAGGAAACGTAATAAAAAGTGTATATGTGGAGACTCACTAGAGGGAGAATCTCTCCTGGTTTCTCCTGGATGTCGTGGGCGAGCTCATCATTGTACAGTCCGATGTGACGAAGGTCGACCTCGAGTTGGTATTGCTTCAGCAACAGGTTCGCGCGCAATTTGTCCCTGAGCGGTAAAATAGTATCACAGCATGAGGAGAATAGAAGCGCGACGCGTACCTGTAGATGAACTCGCCTCCGATGCGGTACTGGAGAAGAAAGTCGAGTAGGAGCTTTTCGGTGTGTGAGGGTGTATCGGGAGAGGAAGCATTGGGGAGGTCATGCACGGAGACAGAGTAGACACGGTCAGCGTCAAAGCCCGACATGATGTGTGCAATGTTGTACTGGAAGACTCGTCAGATATGAGCTCTGTATGCCATGTGGATGAGAACATGACACGATTTCCAAGGAAGAGAGCGATAGTGGAATCAAGCCCTTGCGAGCAGGCCACTACCGGGGGGCTATGAAGCACTCAACCAACAAAGTTCTTTATCCATGGAGCTGAAGGAGCTCTGAAATTGCTATGGGAACTTCGTTGACACGCAATCAGCGCCTTCTGAGTTGGTCTTCGCTGCTCGACCTCCGCGTCCCTCTCCACCAGGACAAGTCTCCCTGTGCTGCGAAATTACTCACTGGAATCCAAGTTACTGATATTCAGCGTATACACGATCCGAAGTTCCTGAGTAGGCAATTCCAGACGAGGAGGATGTATACTCCAGGGAAGTTAGAAGGAAGAGTGAAATGAAACGCGCTTAGACGCGACGCGTTACTTGAGGGCAGGGCTGCTCGCGTCCACACTACTGTCCTATGATAATTATGGATAGAGTCAGAGTTGACTGCGTAGCCCGCCTAGCTCAATCGGATAGAGCGTCAGACTCTTAGGCGGGTTGATCTGAAGGCTGCGAGTTCGACCCTCGCGGTGGGCTAGAGTTGTATTTTGCTTCCCCAATATTAGCCCCATGTTTCATGTCAGCCAGCACAATGCCTTCCGAATTGTGCTGTATGTACATGTGTGGCCAGACAAGGTATGGAAGAATGTATTATCTTCTTGGTTCATTCATTCTACGCGGAGAAAAAGTGGATAAATGCAACCCCAGATGAGTACTGCATGAGTAGCTGGAGCGGAACGAGATGCTTAGCATGAAGTTCCGGATTCTGCGGCGGAAGAAATGCAAGCAAATCGTCAGCAAATCGCTGTAACGCAGGCGGAAGAAGGAGAGGCTGGTCGCCGTCATTGTTCATTAGCGCTTTAGCAGTAATGATCCAGTTCCGCCTCCACGTGTGTGCAGATAATTTCTCATCTCTGTACTAGATTTCCCAAGTGGATTCAGAACCCTTTGTTCAGCCTCTACGATCCCCTTGCTATTTTTTCTTCCATCATGACTCACCCTGATCTCCTGTCTACCTCTTCTCTGCTCAAGCTGATCAATCCCTCTGGTGTTTATTTGTTAGGATATGCCTGGCTATGCGGAATGTGTATGTCTTTAGTTCTCCTACGTTTCTGTGCATGATGCACTTAAGTCCTGTACAGCGATATGGGTCTCATTCTTGGGAGGTGAGAATTTTAACTTTCGTAATGAAACCCTTGTTCATTATCGCGAACGGTCGAACAGGAGTAATTGCATTGAAAACGCTGCGTATGTGCATCGTTCAGTCGCCAAAGTTGACAATGTTTAAACCATTAGTAGCGAGACACCAGTTCGGGACGCTTCAGCACCGCACGTTCCCCGTGTACTTCGTGATTAGCATCCTACTCGCATCCGCGCTGTTGGGCCTTTGGGCATACGGCCATCCCGCTGTGCTTATCCACTGGGATGATCCCAAGGTGGCGGATGTCGCTCAGGCGTACACGCTCGCGGCTGTCGTACTCCTCCAGGCGGGTAACTACTTCGTCGTTGGGCCGATGACTAGCCGGTGAGTATCCACATGCCGTCTCCGCGCATTCGACACGCTTTGAGAGGCGCGTATGTTCCTTCCGGTAGCGTGATGTTCAAGCGTCATAAGCTGGAGAAGGAGGAGAGCAAGGGTTACGACGAATCTGGGGTACTCATGATCAAGTCCTTGCATTAGTTCAGTTGCTGAAGATTTCGCTCCTCCTACAGGTATCTGATAGCATGAAGACCGTGAACAAGCAGTTCTCTGCCCTTCACGGCGCGAGCTCCCTGCTCAATCTCTGTGCCGTCATTTCATTGTTGTTCCATGGTTTATGGATAGGAAACGCCGGCGTGGGGATAGCGGCGTTCAACCTCTAACGAGGAAAGTTGGAGGATCCCGCAGAGGTCGGCGCTCAAGCCCCGCATTTTGGTATTGAATCATCAAGTGGACAAGTCCGCAGCACTATGAATCTACGTCTCCGTTGTTTCTCTGTACTTGTAGCTGAATGATCACGTTCACCGAATATTCTAGCGATCTGATTTGAGGGCGACAAGAAATTAAATGAGATTGCTAGGAAATACATTCTCGTACAGTGTCATGCGCCGACAGTCTCCATGCTCGGCAAGAAGCCTTCTTTGAGACTTCGCTCTAACCTCCTGATCTCCTCCACAGACGTCGCTCGCGCGATCGCCTCCTTGACCTTGTCCGCTTCCTCCTTGGACATCAGCCGGCCTGCCTTGCCGGGCGTGACGACCGGGCGTGGTTCGTCCGTGGTGACGGGCGCTTTTGTAGCGTGTGTCGTGACTGTAGTCGACAGTGTTGTCGCGAGCTGCGTTGGCAGGTTGTCCGCCGTGAGGAAGAGGCTTTTTGCGGCATGGCGCTCCTACATGCGACGATCTGAGCGAAGGGGGACGGTACAGGAAGAACGAACCGCGCACCTTGTCGCGGATTCTCTGGAAATCAAGAACTCTCAGCCCTGGTATTCGCCATGCAAGCCACTCGCGATACCATTTCCTCTCGCGCACGGGGTTCCCCAGCAGCGAGAGATATTGCAGACCCTTCACATCCTTGAGAGGCTCGAGATCGCCGAGCTCTGTGATGCTATTGTTCGTGAGGACTAGCGTTGTAAGGTTCGGCACAGAAAGGTGCAAGGAGGGCGAGATGGAGGCTATTCGGTTATTAGCGAAGAAGAGCGTTCGTAGTCGGCGGAGAAGAGGAATGTTCCCAAGGACGGTGATTGAGTTGTCAGTGAAATCTATAGCATCGTGCTGGTCCTGGAGTAGCGTGTATATGAGCAATAGAACGGGCTGCAGCAGAAGCGACAAATACCTTGGTTATACCAAGATTTTCGATGGCCGGGATTTTGTAGCCTGTGAGCAGGTTTGTAAGTGCTGTGAGTGGGATGGGACAGGACGCACCTCGTAGGTCGAGCTGTCTCTCTTTGAGGGGATTGAGTGAGGAAGGGACCGACTGAATGAGCTCTGGTGTGAGCTTCACCATCGCGGGTGAGAGGAACTTGAACAACCTCAGCGTTGGATCCGCGTGCTTCTCAGTCGCGAGTTCGTGACGCGCCTTTCCTGCGCGGTTTCCGCTTGCACTCGACGCCCATTGTCATCATGAAGCCCCTCTACCAACGGCTCAACCTGTGAGCTGCCAGTGCCGTTCCTATGCGACGTGCAATGCTGATGAATTCTCTAGGTACACCGATGGCAAGGAGGCATACATTTTCGTTCCAGTTGAACCCGTCGGCGCGCGCTCCTTGACAATTTACCGGAATTCGGGGGATATTGTTCTCAATCGTGAGTTCTCTCCTCAGCGTGGTGTTTGAGGCTCATCCATTATATGCAGCGCTAAACATGCCCCTACCCGCTATCGCTGAACGCTCTGGGAAGACAATATATGGAATATACGGAATGATCTCCTTGGCCATGTGTGAGTGTGCTCCGCAGGACCGTCTACAGACTCCTTTAATTGCCCTGCGTAACAGCTGAATACATCATTATTATAACTGGGCGTGAACTCCGAGGACGTCTCATGAGCCAGAATATATACCGCGCCACTGACTATGATATCCTCCCTTTGAACCCGGATGTCTCTGTTGTATCTCCACCAAACAGAGTGGAAGCGCATCTTCTGGCCCTCGTACGGTCGCACCTCACCAACGGCTCATTCTTCTTTAGTTATGGATGGGACCTTACCCGGAGACTGCAAGCGCAATGGGCGTCGTTACAGAAAGACGCCGACGGGCCGCTCTGGGAAGTGGTCAGTCCCTGATAACAATTCGTGCAGTTTGCCGTAATATTTATTGTTGGGCCAGGCGGATGATAGATTCTTCTGGAATAAGTGCGTGGAATGGAGTGGGGTATGTAAGGCAGCTCACTCATCTCCGAGTTAGGTTCCTCCATTCGAGATTCATAGATGCGACTGAGGCAAACGCGGATCAGAACGTAGGTCGCTCTCCGCCGTATTCTCTACGTTATTCCTCACGTAGCTCCCGTGCAGCTCAGTCCATACATCCTCCCAGTCATGTACGGAAGTACGCTTCTCTCACGCTCGCAATTATATCCTCCATTAACAGTCTCGGCCCGCAGCGTTTGACAGTCGTGCAGAGCGTCTCTATGGTCAGCACTTCCGCATCTGCCTCATCAGCCGGCGATCTCGCTACAGGGCGGGAACGCGATACTTCCGGCGAGGGATCGACCACGACGGAAATGTCGCGAACTTCATTGAAACGGAGCAGATGCTGCTGGTCGGGACCGACGATACGAGCGTGCAGCTCAGCTTTGTGCAGCTCCGCGGCAGCGTGCCACTGTTCTGGGCGGAGGTCAATACCTTGCGGTACAAGCCCGACGTACAGATCATGTGTCTGGATGACACGGTGCGATTTGCACATCCCTGCCGTGTTGCTTTCATGGCTCATGCGTATATTAGGTCGCCGCTACGCGCAAGCACTTGGATCAGTTGCTCAAGAACTATGGCGACCAGAGCCTCGTGAACTTACTGAACCAGAAAGGACACGAGCATCCGGTGAAAGAGGCATTCGAACGTTACGTGAACGAAGTAGGAATATCCTTCACCCGAATTACTGCTGCATGTACTGACTTACTCGCAGCTCAACCTACCCGGTGTCAGATATGAGTACTTCGACTTCCACCACGAATGCAAGCACATGAGCTGGGACCGTATTAGTGTGCTCATCGACAGCCTCAAGGAAGACCTAATGAAATATGGGTAGGCTATCACTTTCCCGGACTAAGGAAGCCTCAGCTGACCGTCTCCTAGGTATTTCCACCTCGACGCGTCGAAGGCTGAGCCAGTGAAGATGCAGAGGGGCACCGTTCGCACGAATTGCCTGGACAACCTCGACCGTACGAACGTCGCGCAAGCTGCTGTGGCCAAGTGGATGCTCAACCGCCAATTAGTCGCTGTAGACATCCTGAAGGAAAGCGACTCAATAGACAACTACGACGATGTCATGAAGGATTTGCGAGAGAGTAGGTTTCCTTTTTTCGTGATTGTTGACAGCCAGCGTGCTCACTCGCTGGGCCAGTGTGGACCGATCATGCGAATATGATCTCGATAGCGTACAGCGGGACTGGCGCGTTGAAGACCGACTTTACCCGCACTGGGAAACGCACGCGAGCGGGATTGCTCGAGGATGGGTACAACTCCGTCATGCGATATCTGAAGAATAACTTCTTCGACGGCGCGCGGCAGGTGGGAGTGTCGGTTCCCCTCATAAAATTTGCTGACATAATTTGCAGGATGCGTTTGACCTGATGACGGGAGCTTGGGTTCCCCAGAGAGCATGGATTCCGTCGACACTTGTGAGGGATTACAGACCCCTCGTTATCCGTGCGGTAGGTCACCGTCTTGTTCGTCTAAGGCTGGGTCCGTTCCTGACCACATATAGGTCCCATACGCGCTCTTCTTCTCGCTGTTTATGATAGTCGCTGGGCTCACTCTCCCGCGCACCTCTGGTAAGTCCGCGCACCCAGTCCCGCACACGTGCGCGCCGCTGACCCGGGCTCAGACTATTCGCTATTCTACTACTACTGCCTATGGTTCACCATCCTCGCGCTCTCGCTGGTGTTCGTGTTCGCGCACGGTATCGACTACGTCAACTGGCCGCGCCTGAACCCGCTCACGGGAATTATTTTCTACGAGGGGCCGGGCTACCGCTCTGGTCACCGCGGTAAAGGCTTTGGTATCCCAGCGCTCGACGTGCGTAGACTGAAGGGGGGTCAGCGCGCGAAGGTCATGTCAGAGGCCGGCCGCCGCGCGCGGAGCAAGCTCGAGGAGATCGAGATGGGGACGAAGGAACGGCTGGACTGATTCGCTTTCGCTCGCCTCGGGACTGCTATGGACTTTCTACCGCGGGATGGGCGAAGGGTCTTTCGGTTCTGCTCACTGCAATATATATGTTTTTACGTCCTCCCGTATATTGATGGATATCCATTTTCCTATTCTTCGTGGATGGCAGGTGGCCGCGAGCGCATGATCACCACCGCCGCGCGGGCGCTTCGTTTATCACGCCGCGCAGACGGCTCCATTGGAACGAATATTTTCCGGCGCTCAGCGCTCAGTAGGCACGCGCGGCATGATGGTGCCTCACGCCGGAGCTCCAGCAGGCTGTGCAGGTGTACTGTAGTCGACGGCGACAGGGACGGAGTCTCTATCGGGGGTGTCGGGAGGGCAAGCGATAATTCCGCGCCACAGCGGAGTCTGAGCGTTTTGCCAAATTTGCACCGTGTTGTTGTGCTCGACGCGCTGCAACTGGTCGCTCACACACCCTCGCTCTGCGCCACATTTTTGACGTTATCTTTTCTCTTGCACCCCTGTGAACTACTACTACTAGGCTTGTATCCGTACGTGCGCACAAATGAGCAGCAAAGGTGTGAAGCGCTCGTCCCCCGGGGCGGAGGCGGAAAAAAACCCCCTCGGAGATGTGGACCTGGGCGACGCGGATGCGGCGAAGCTGCAGGAGGTCCAGAAAGACATTGCGCGCATAGAGCTAGCGCTCGGTGCGTCGTGCCGTTTTCCGTTTCCCTCCCTTCCCCTCACAAAAATGCTGATGCGTTTAATGGGCAGAGCGGCGCGCACAGGAGAAGCTGCTGCCCGTGTATGAAAAACGCCGCGAGGTCGTGAAGGCGATCTCCAAGTTCTGGGCTGTTGCGCTCATGAACCACGGCATGTTCGCACTGCACGCACAGCACAACTCGGACCAGGTGGCGCTGAGCTACCTCGAGGATCTCTGGCTCGTGCGGAACCCGGCCGAGTCGCGGTGCTTCACGCTCGAGTTCGTGAGTGCTGGTGCTCTCCCGCGTAGTTCTTATGAATGACCGTGGCGTCTGTGCGTTTTGCTTTGTATAGTATTTCAAGGAAAACCCGTTCTTTTCGAACGCGGTGCTTAAAAAGGAGTACAAGTACGAGGTACCACCTGCCGCCGAGGGCGATAAGCCGGACGAAGATGGCATCACGGCGACGATGCTGGAGTTCTCATGGGAGCGTGACGTGCAGCCGCAGGTATGCGCTCCGATCGGAATGATGCATATAGAGTGCTCACAAAGGGGGCCGGCTACAGGCTACTGAAATTAAATGGAAAGACGAGTCGAAGAACCTTGTGAAGCTGTATCCGCGGGTGAAGGAGGCCGACGACGACATGCCGTCCGAGGGGGGCAGCTTATTCAACCTGTTCGTGTATGGGGATGATCCGTTCGATGTGAGTTGGAGCGCGGCACGCGAATAGAGCCCCATGGTTGCTGACTTGTGCATGTTTAGATCGGAGTCTTGATTGCGAATGACATCTTCCCGGAGGCGATCGAGTACTTCCTGGGGCAGGCTGGGGGGGACGAGCTGGACACTGACGAGGAAGATGAGGAAGAGGAGGAGGACGAGGAGGAGATTGACCTGGAGAAGCCGCGGGTGAAGAAGCCGAAGCACGCGTGAGGGGGCTAGTGTTCGCTCGAGGTGTAGTTCTGGCGTGTACTGGACATATGCTCTACGGCGTGAAGGGATAAAAATACGAGTGGTGTGCCAAAGATAGCGGGGGACGAATATAGACGGGCAGGGACTGGCGAGCAAACATAGTGCAGCCTGCCAGGCGTCTGGGCGGTTAGAGCTGAGTTTGCGGGTGTTTGGATGTGCCGAGCGGAGCCGAGGGCAGGGTTTTGTCTGGCCTGTCGTGCAGCAGCGTGAGTTGTTCTTAACCGGTTCGAGTCCTTTCTTCCTCTGCTCTGTCTTTTTCCCCGTCGACGCCCTCGCCGTTGTCCTCGGTTTTAAAACCCTCGCACTCCTTTGCACCCACAGTCTACACGACTCAAATCATGAAGTTCGCTGTCCTTTCCGCGCTCGCCATCCCCGTCGTGGTCTCTGCCCATGGCGTCAATGTCGTCCGCCATCACCCCCGCCAGGCTGCTCCCGTCGCCGCCGCCTCGTCCGCCTTACCTGTCGCGTCGTCCGGCTCTTCAGTCACGTCAGCGCCCGCGCCCTCTAGCTCTGGGTCTGGCGCCGTGGCAAGCTCCGCCTCTGGCACCGTATCGAGTCGTTTTGTCAGCGGCGCGACCACCCTCAGCTTCTCCATGGCCTCCGAGAACCCTACCGCTGTTCCTCTCTCCGATATCACTTACAGCATGAGCTCTTGGCCCACCGCGCCTCTCTTTTCCACCTTCGCACCGGCCGCTACCAACTCCCTTATCTCTAACGCTCCCCCCCTTCCCAACGGTTCGTAACTCCCCAATTTGCCGTGTTATCTTAGTTCTCCCCCGCTTACACGTAAATTTCAGCGGCTCTCATAGTGCCAAGCCAATACCCGGCCCTGGACAAGACCCCCCCGACCGATTCTCCGCAGGTACAGCAGTGGTTGTCGGAAGTCATGAACTCGGGTATTCCCATCCCCGATTTGTCCCCAACCAACCCTGGCGGTTGCGGCAACAACTCTGCCATCCTTGGCGAGGCGGATCGTTGTTGGTGGACGTGCGGTGGATGCACCACCACCACCGACATTACCACCTGCCCTACCAAGTTCAACTGGGGTCTCACCCACGATGACGGTCCTGGCCCGTATACCCCCGGTCTCTTGCAGTATCTCGAAATGGTTAATCTTCGCACTACTTTCTTCGTCATCGGTTCCCGCGTCATAGAGTACCCGGTAACGCTGCAGACCGAGTACATGTCGGGGCACCAGCTTTGCGTTCACACTTGGAGTCACCCGTACATGACTACGTTGACAACCGAGCAAGTTGTCGCGGAGTTGGGTTGGGCGAAAGCAATCATCAAGGCAATCATCGGAGTTACCCCGTTGTGCTGGAGACCTCCGTATGCTGATGTCGATAACCGTGTTCGGGCTATTGCTAAAGCCCTGAACTTGGAAACCATTATCTGGACTGGTGTGAACGTCGGACAGTCTAACCACTTCACGTTCGACACTAATGGTTCGTATATTCGTCGTTATTTTTTTCTAGGACTTATAAAGTTATCGTTATCAGATTGGGATTTGCCCGCTGGTCTTGTCACTCCTTGGCAAGTGCTTGACAACTGGAACAACATCATGGGCAACGTCAGCCAGCTTGACACCGGTTTCATCGTGCTCGAGCACGATCTCTTCCAGCAAACCGTCGATATGTCCACCGGCTACATCCTGCCGGATGCTCTTGCTCACCAGCCCCAGCTCAACATCACCCCGATCCATGAGTGTTTGGGTAGGACCTTGTCGGACGTCTATCTCGAGACAAACAACAACGCATCTAACCCAATCTACGTTAGCTGTGTGTAATTTATATTCAGGGTAGTATCTTGACATATTCGCTAACTTGTTTGTACAGCGTATGGTACTAGCTCGTACTCCGGAACAGCTGCTGCGCAGTCTACGTCCTCCGGTGGTTCCAGCAAGAGTGGCCAAGGCGCGTCGGGCGCGTCAAATACCAACGGTGCCACGAGTTCGATGGCGCACTACTCCGTCGTGGGCATGTCGCTCGTCAGCTTGCTCGCGGGCATCGGCGCAGTTCTGCTATGATGTCCTTGGCTCCCGCTCTGACAGGATACAGACTGGCAGCCTCGGACGCCTGATTACTGTTGATCAAAGTCGTGCGGATCTTGTAACATCTGTCGTCGCAACCCGCACTCGTCGCACTCTTGTCTTTGTTAATGTCTCGTGTCCTCGCCCTGTCATGTCGTATCTCGTGCGCGCGCTTCATTTCTTCCCTATGCATCCCCGATCCTGCCTTACCGTCTGGACACTGATACCACGCATTGCCCTTTATCCCTTCCAGTTCTTGTGGTGAATCTCACCTACCCCTACTTTAGAGTGTCGTTGGACTGCTTGGCTGAGTCACGAACCTTAACGCCATTTAATTACATATCCTCTTCGGCCTCGCAGTAGAGAAGATTTACAATGGCAATTATAAACGAACCGCCGCATATGGTTATGCTCGAGCTCGTCACCGCTTTGGTTCGTGTGAGCTAGTTGCATTCAATAATCGTCGCGTCTTGACGCGTCGGCGGCTTGCCGGTGGGAAGGAACAGACAGCGTTGGCGTAAATACAGTAGCACTGCGCACGGTGTAGTGGTAACAAGGTAACCAAAGATGGTGAGTCAATTCATTAGATGAAATTCGGTATCAAACCAAGGCGGTATGGTAGTAATTGACTCTGTCCGTGGGTAGTAAGTAGATTCACAAAAGTTCACATATAAAGTCCGCGACGTCAACGGTAACAGACTGGAGAATTCAGACAGAAGTTCGAGGCGCGAAGCACCCACACCACAGCCACGCACGGACGTAAATAGCTCCCATTATAATAGCACCCGCCCCACGCACCCATCACGTCTATCTGCCTCCGTACGCAATCGGACGGACGGATGCAAACAGGTAAGAAAGGGGTCTCCGCGGTTATAGCAGCGTCAGCACGCCGCCTGCGATGCTGCAGAGGCCCGCAAGCACGATGCCGAGCAACACCTGGTGGTTGCTTGAGAGGCGCGCACCCGCGCTCTTGCTGCCGCTGCCGGAGGAGCCTGAGCCTGAACCCGAACCCGAGCTGGAGCTTGGCGTCGTCGACGGCGCGCTGGGCGTGAACGTTGCGGAGGGGTTCGACAGGCACGAACTCGCGGCGGCGCTGGCGGACACGCCCGAGGGCGCCTTGCTGTTGATCGTCGCGTTCCCGCCGAAGCTGCACGACTGCGCGTTGCGGTTCGTCGCCTCGTAGAACTCGCTCATGATGTAGGAGAGCTCCACGGCTGCAGAAAGACGCCCGGTGCGTAACGCGCGTGACGGGGAGGAACGCCGTGGTGGGAAGGCGAGGCGGAAAAGGCGCAAGGGAACAAGAAAATAGAGTTAGCGAATTAAACGCGAGGAGATCAGCAGGGGTGCGTGCGTAGATAGTTTGGAAAGAGACGTACACGGATTGCAGCCAGACACGCGCCCGTACACGCCTGTCGAGCCGTTGCTGGCGATGTCGTTACAGTTGCCACCCTGAGCGGCGAGGAGCCCGCACGCTTCGTTAATCAGGTTGCCAATAATGGTAGACGTGTTCGATGTCTGGGGTGTGAACTGACAGCTCAGCTCGTTCTCTAGGCAACTGCACGCAGCATCGTTGGGCGTCGATGGAATGGTTGTGGAGGCGAGGAATGTCGAGTTCTGTTGCGGACATGCCGGGTAGCTGCTCGAGCCCGCACTGGATTGCGATGGGCTGTTAGGAGGAGAGATCTCGCCGTACTGTGTGACGAGACGTGTGAAGTCCGCTGTAGTCGCGACCGAACCGTTGGCGGTGATGTTGACGATTCCGAATTCACCTGCGCTGCTAGTGGCGGGGAAGTAGCTGAACGCGATGCCGCCAGACCAGATGTTTGTCATGGGGCTGCTGAATAGCGCCTGAACCTCGGTCCAGAGACGGGGCGGGGAGGTCACGCAACCAAATTCGCTGAAGTAAGCCGCAACATTGTATCCCGCGAATTCGCCGTTGGTGTTGTCGTAGACGCTTGCAGTGGCATCGCCGCACCATTCGCTGTAGCGCGTGGTTAATAACCGTCAAATTCAGAATATGAAAGATCGCACTAGTTGTTGAGGCCAAAAATGTCGATGGCAGTCGCATCAGAGTTGGTGTTCGACGGGTCGCAGCTCAGGTAGTTGGCGAGGGGGGCAACCCAGTCTGAGACTCCGTCAATAGCGGCGTAGCCGACGAGTGCGGACGAGGAGACGGAAGCACTGGCCACATGGCCAACGTCAGGAGTATCACCACTACACGGATCGGCTGGGACTTACAGGTAAGCCCTGGTGTCTCGAGCAGCAGCCTTGACGAAAGCAGCAGTGGAGGTCTCATTGGCTGCAATCACAACCTCGTTACCGACATTGTAAGCCAGGACGTTGTCGTACTTGGAGAACACATTGATAGTGTTAATATACTGGTCAAGCAGGTTGGTAGTCCAGGACGGGGTATCACGGTTGATAGAGCCGTTTACGGGAAGCGACAGATCGATACTACCAGATACTGTGAGCTAGGAGCGCACGATATAAGCACCCACAGACGTACATGGTATAGATATTCGCATTGCTAAAAGCGTTCATGCAGGCGTCATGATTGAGCGTCGAATCTACACTGTATACACGTATCGTGTTGATGTCGAGCTGCTGGAGGTATGTAAGGTCACGCTCGCAAGCGGTACCGTTTGCAAGCGGGTCAATGAAGCTGTCGGGCTCCTCAAATGGGTTGTTAGCGTTTGTCGACACGGCACCTGCAAACGGTGAGGGGCACCGTTTAGCATAACTCTGCAGAGCAGGGGGATGTCATACCTTGCTCCTGGTATGCTATACCCCTGATGTAGAACCTGCTCCCATCCGCTGTGTAGAGGTATCTGCCGCTTCTCGAGACCTTTTGAATCGAGTGGGCACCTGAGGCTAGGAGACCCACGGCGACCAATACCGCTGCTATTACAGAGACCTTAGGCATTGCAGCGGGGTGGTATGAAGGAAAGGCAGTGTCTCTGTGCTTGAACACGAGAGCGAGGCAATATCAAAAGAAAGGGAAGAAGATGAAATAGGCAGGATGTGGTAGAGCTGGTCCACAAATGCATCCATTCTGGCGAGCCTTTCCCAGAGCATCGGCCTCGAGACTCCGGCCTGGCTTATACACAATTTTACATCATTCAGCCCCCTTTTTGAAGCCCGCCTAGCTCAATCGGATAGAGCGTCAGACTCTTAGGCGGGTTGATCTGAAGGCTGCGAGTTCGACCCTCGCGGTGGGCTAGTGATATGTTTTCCTGGGGAACCTTGTTCATCGTACCCCCTTCTCGAGTTTTTGCTCACGCTTTCGCCGGAATCATGTAAATACACATATAATCTAAGTAGATGCATGGTATCGAAAGTGTCTTTGACTTTGCTCCTCCGATTGGAATAGCTGAATACAGATGGCCAGCATCGATACGAAGCTATCCACGGTATGTACAGCAACTGTGCATGTCGGAGTGACTGTGAAGTTAACACAATGATTTTTTGAGTAAACATACCTGATCATGTACGGCAGTATAGACACTATGAGGGTCGCGAACGCAGCCCACAAAAGATAAAGCGCATTCCCCGTAGAGACTGTGATCCCTAGAGGCACGGGCGAAGCGGCGGGCCCAACCAAAATGCCATTGACGGACTCGGCTTTCTTGATGATAACGGTCCAAATGGTCGCACCTATGAGCAGCATCAAGCTACCAATGATTGCAAAAATAGTCGATGCAACGAATGCGAGGGGATGCTTCATCAATCCGCTGCCACGAAAATAGGATCAACAGAAATGTGATAGAGACATCATGTGAGCGGAGACGAACACGAGTAAAGCCAATGCAGTGCATATGGTTCCGATGAGCAGAAGGTACCAAGCTCCGTTTGAGAAGGAACCAAGATATGACGAGTCAATAAATTTGGTATCCGTTATGAGGGCATCAGTGAGACTTGAGTAGTTAGCGGACATGTCGGCCGTTATATCTTCGTAAGGTTGGAAACGATTAGCCGTGAAGTGGACGGAACAAATGCCATGGCTGGCGTTAACGTAGGCACAATAGGAATAAAGGCCAAAGTCGTAGTTCTTGCGGAGCCCTGCCCCCTTCTGGAGTGGTGCGGAAGCATTCGAAGTATAGAGACCCTCGATAGGATCTCCAAGGGCGCCTGCAAGTCCTTGTCTAGACAAATATGAATTTAGGAATAAAAACTTAGATTGGAAAAGCATACCCATAGCCAGACATGTTGACGTTAATCTGCGCAGCTCACGAGGTCAACCACGGTTGCATGTCGATGGAAGATGGCGAAATCACCATGGATATGCCTCGAGGGACAGACGACGTGTTTATTTGACCGACCTTATGAGGTTCATATAGATCAGATAGACGTGCGATATGCGACGAAGTACGGAGACTTACATGCATGAAAATGAGGCATAGCAATGACACTAGTCTAGTAGACGGTATGTCAAACGGACGGCACGTTATCTAAACGAGAATACTCACGAGAGAAAAGAAGCAGAGCCTACACATATCTCTCCTCGCATGGTATCTCGAGAAAAGCAGAAGCTGGGAAGAGGGAAAGGGAAGTCAGCACTACTTGCACAACCACCGTGACAACCTCGAGGCCTGCAGACGCGACTCGGCGCCGTTTACGCGTGCCGTGATTAGTACAGTCACGTGCTCATTCATCTTTACCAGATTGAGCAAGCGGCGGTCGCGCAGGGGTACGCATACGTTCATGTTACCGCAGCTTGCTTCGCTCTGAACACGTTCAGAACCTCATGTTCATTCATGCTGCTCCTGATACACCACCGCGTGGGAACATGGACGAAGACACCTCCTCGAAATCTTCGTCTTCAGGCCCGGAGAGCGCTTTCCTAGCTTCTTCAGGCGCGAACGCGGGGAAACGTGCCGATACTGACTCGAAATCTGGAATTGTCAAACGCGCCATGGAGATGACTGCCGACAAACTTGGCAGGAGTAAGTCGGTCGGGACGAAGGCGCAGATGTCTAAAAGCCAGCCCTCGCTCCCGACGCAGGGTCGCCGACGCATATTCAGTTTGACTCGTAAGGGCAAAGACAAGTCTGACCCGGGCGATGCCAGGACAAATGAAGGTAATTTCCCCTCATCTTATCTGCACGAGCTTCTGCATTCACGCAACACACACCGTATTTGTTAGGTACTCCTTCTCCTGTGCTGCCAGTCACAAGCTCGGGTTTCTTGTCGCCTTCAATGCGGTCACGTAAATGCGTGTCTGGGGTGCCCCTTGCAGGAGACGATGATTCACCTTTCATTACTCCACGGTCCCCACGGCTTAGCCCAACTAAGCCAGAGCCACAGACATTCCGCGGCAACGGATCTGTACGTGTATCATCTCAAGTCACGATAGTTTATTGATCCGAAGGACTACAACCCTCAGATGCGTATCGGGACTCAAGCTTTAATACAAGCTCTGCAAGCAATGCCTTGGGGAGAATACCAAGATAATGACGATGATACCTCTCATGAAAGTACTCCTATAGACACAGAGAGTGACGAGGACGATGGAATCGGTCAGACATACTTCATCATTCCGCTGCCAATATGCTGAAACGGTTATGACTAGTAAATCGACTGGCTTCCTCGATCCATACATTATACCGTCCAGTTGCACGAATGAAACGTTCAGAGCTTGCAACCTCTCGCCGTCGCGCTCAGAGTCCGGCGTTGCCTAGGATCGCCGATAAAGATGAAACTGGACAGGCAGAAGAGTCTATAATGTCTGATGAGGAACTGGAAGACGATTTCGAGCCTGCTTCAGTATCTGATCACGAGGGTGTTACTATCACGGGCAGTCAGACTATGTCGACGGAGCCAGCATCGGACGTTGGCGGCTCAGTTACGGAGACCCCAAAGCATCATTCTGGACGCTCCGGAAGCATGGCTACTGTGAAGTTGCAGCGCAGGGCTCGGCTGGCTGACAAGCTGAGGGAAGTCTTCGAACTGAGCGGTATTCAAGAAGTCATTGCAGGTACTTCCTTTCTCCTCTCTTATGCCCGCTGATACTGAATTGAATTCAAGAGATGCCGTGTTGGCTCCTCAGATCTGTCTGTTGGTGTCTTCGTCGCAACTCAGATTAGTCCGCATCTCACATTTTCTCAGTGCTACAGGGTTACATGTATCTCACCGACTCCTATTTGTGCTTCTTCGCACATATGCCGTCCAGAGAGGTCAGCGGTCGCGCGCACATTATCACTGTCCGTACCGGTACTGACGTTTCGTTGCCATGTCAGGACCAAGTGCTCAAATCAGGAACATTAAGCAAAAGAGCGCAACGCACTAAACGCTGGATTAGACATTGGTTCGTGTTGAAGAATGACGTTTTGTACTGGTATCAGTCATCTTCAGTAAGCGTTCCGTCACACATGAATGATGGCTTACTCACGCATCCTTACTTGTTACCCAGGATCCCTACTTCCCTCACGGTATTGTCGACTTACGCTATGCGATCACTTGTGAGCCGACCGGCGAGAAAGAAATACGCATTAGGACGAATCAACAGACAATAAAGTTGTCTGCTGACTCCGTTCCCAGCCGAGACGAATGGGTGAAGGCCATCCGCAGGGTTATGTTCAAGGCTCAGAATATGGGCGACAGTGTCAAGGTGTGATTCTTACATGTTTTCAACTGCCTTGAACCTTAATGTTGTTGGCAGATTGCTATCCCATATACAACGATCGTCGATGTTGAGCGGTCATCTGCCATGGACTTCAGCGAAACAATCGAAGTGAAAGTAGTGGACAAGAGCGACCAATACTCGATTGACTCTTACTTCTTTGCATATTTCCATGATTTACCAGCAGCTCTTGAAGAGATTCGTGATGCAGTGCGAGCTAATCGGGGTCTACCCGACAAGGCGACGCCGGCCGTCATCGACACCACCGTTACACGAGCCTCCCTCACCTCCCCTCATTTAACAGATCGTACTCAAAGCATGCCTGTATCGAATCCGCCTCGGTCGTCAACCTCAATGTTCAAATTGCCGTCGATCTTCCGGCCTCTGCAAGATTCCCTCCCTATTGGCCGGTCCGCCAGCACCCCCGAACGTGACAACGAAGATTTTACCCACATTTCCAAGAGAGCCAGTTCCTCTTTCATCGCTGTCACTACGTCTCCGAAATCTCTGCCGTCACCGAATGCTGGTCGTTCTCCAGATAACTCTGTTACATCATTGTCCACTCTGACCCCAGTCACTTCCGTCAGCCACACGTATCCCCCGTCTCCTTCACCTTCGCCCTCCATATCAGAGTATGTCACCTCTCCGACGAAAGACAGTAGCTCGTGGAACGTTGGCGTACCGTCTTGGCTGAGGATGCCTTCACGTAGGGTATTTGGTGGTGCCTTTAATACGTCCAGAGTTGGGACCGCTTCGACATTGGCGTCGACTTCGGAAGAAGTGTCGGAGGTATTCTCGACATCTTCTAGTCGCTACAACGACTTCGGATACTTTAGCATTCTGGAAACTCCGGAAACGATCATTGACGCAGAACATATCGAGAAGTTCCGCACTTCATTCGCGTTCGATGACAAGGAGAACCTGCTGGGAGGTGTGTACAAAGCTTCTCATTTTTTCTTAGATAAACAATATCATTTTTGCAGTGTTCCCCGGATATATCTTCCGACTGTTACCCGTCTACGGACGTCTCCACGTGTCCACCAACTACTTCTGCTTCAAGTCGACTGGTACTTTGACGACAAAGATAAGGGTGCGTTGTTTTAGCGTTAAATTCCACGAAGTTTAAACAACCCTCCGTAGATGATCCTGCCGATCCGAGACATTCTGTCAACAGAAAAGTGCAAGGCATTTCGGTTCGGTCACCACGGGTTGGTGATTATGGTCAGAGGGCACGAGGAACTCTTCTTTGAGTTCTCCGATGAAGAACGCAGAACAGCATTTGTGACACTCCTTGAGCGGCAAATAGAGGACGTGCGTCATCGTTCTGTAGCTGGCGAGACCACATCCTCTGGACTTGGGGAACATGGAGCACTCCTGTTGGAAGAGTCCGGTCCTCGTGCATCGTCCAAAGTGCAGGTCGGTTCACAAGCAGACTCAGAAGCAGAAACATCTACTGCTGACTCGCTTCCCGCCGTAATGTTCACCTCCACGTCGTCAACGTTCTTGACCTTCAAGCCTGAGAAGTCTCTTCATTTCACGTTCTTGACCATCGGTTCTCGAGGGGATGTTCAGCCTTACATCGCATTAGCGAAGGGACTAATCGCAGATGGTCATCGCGTTCGGATCGCAACACATGGAGAATTCAAAGATTGGATAGAGTCGGTACGTATGCAATGTTCCTGCTGTTTAGAGGAAGGAAACGACTCAACATTTCAATTTTCAAGCATGGTATTGAGTTTGGATACGTCGGAGGCGATCCAGCAGAGCTGATGCGAATCTGCGTTGAGAACGGCACTTTCACCGTAGCATTCCTCAGGGAAGGTATGCTGAAGGTTTGCCATGTTATTCAGATTCGCCTCCCGTGTTTGCTGAGAATGCTGTTAGTTCCGCGGGTGGATCGACGACCTGCTCAGGACATCGTGGGAGGCATGTCAGGGAACAGACGTCTTGGTGGAGAGTCCCAGTGCCATGGGTGGCTATCATATTGCAGAGGCACTCCGAATACCCTATTTTAGAGCATTTACGATGACTTGGTCACGAACCAGGTTCGTGGATAAGCATTGTTTAGGTTTGGCGCATCGTACCTAACATCACACAGAGCCTATCCGCACGCATTCGCCGTGCCGGATCACAAGGTAAGTTCCTGCTTCCTGATCGGACCCAAACTGAGAATACTGATGCTTGAGAGTGGGACAGATGGGAGGTAACTACAATTACATGGTAGGCTCGTTTCGTCCGTTTGGTGCTACATCTGCTAAGAAGTTCTCGCATTTCCACACAGTCCTATGTCTTGTTTGATCAGGTATTCTGGCGAGCAACCGCCGGGCAAATCAACCGTTGGCGGCGGAATGTCCTCGGTCTTCCCTCCACAAGTTTGGATAAGATGGAACCTCACAAGATCCCATTCCTTTACAATTTCAGTCCTGTTGTAGTACCTCCTCCCTTGGATTGGCCTGAGTGGATTCGAGTCACAGGTCGGTTTGAACCTTACTCCCCTAGGACTTTACTAAGTGCCTTAAAAGGATACTGGTTCTTGGACGACGCTGACGTCAGCTCCAATAAATGGACCCCTCCGGTTGATCTAGAAAAGTTTATTGCAACCGCTCATAAGGCGAAGAGGAAGGTGGTATACATCGGCTTCGGCAGCATCGTGGTATCTGATCCGAAGGCAATGACACGCTGTGTCATTGAAGCCATTATTCGAAGTGGTGTTTACGCCATACTCTCCAAAGGCTGGTCGGATCGGCTGGTCAAGCCAGCAACAGATGTTTCGGAACCTGAGGAACCTCTTCCGCCGCAAATTTATCCCATCTCTTCAATCCCTCATGATTGGTTGTTCAAACAAATCGATGCTGCTTGTCATCATGGCGGTGCAGGGACTACTGGAGCTAGTTTACGAGGTGCGTTTTCCTACTTGTGGCCGCTTCACTTCCTTACCTGTTGAATAGCTGGAATTCCAACAATTATCAAGCCATTCTTCGGTGACCAATTCTTCTGGGCTGATCGAGTGGAAGCTCTGGGAATAGGAACCGCAGTGCGCAAGTTGACTGTGGACAGCCTCACATATGCGTTGTATACGGCTACCACTGACCAGAAGCAGATTGATCGTGCAAGGGAAGTCGGTGAGCAAATCCGCGCGGTGAGTGAGCTTTTTTATTCGGTTGTTGGCGGACGAATTGAGCGTTCTCGTAGGAGGACGGTGTTGCAACTGCAATTGAAGCGATATATCGCGACTTGGAATATGCCCGATCCTTGATCAAAGGTGGACCCCCTCGTGATCACGATTATGATAATGAGAATGCTACCATCCGGGAATCTCGTGCACCTGAACGTTCGGGTACTCGCTCTGGAGAGAGCTCCGTCAGTTCGAATCATGGGACTGCTAGTGACTGGAGCGTTATATCTGACGACTCACTTCATCAATGACTGTCATGAATGTATGTTCAATTTCTTAGACTACTTGCACATCCCTCCGACCCATGTATCTATAATCTGTTGTTTACTGATCCACTACTGATTTATCCTTGTACTATACCCGCGCGTCACTTCTAATGGGCATTAAAACGGTTGCAACGCAACCTCATGGTGTGCCGTTATCCTGCTTGTAATGTCGGTCAAGTACACGCTTCGTGAACTGCCCAAAAGTCTCGGATGCCGTGATTTGCTGATCAGCGTCGGGTTGCATGAAAAACGCAAACGTCTCCCTAGAGATGATTTCTACTCCAGCACCCGCACCCACACGAACACAGTGGGGTGTCGCTCGCAAGCTACCACCGGTGGCGAGTTCAAGTGCTTCTCCAGTTTGGAAAGCCAAGCAGTCAACAGGAATAGACACCTTGGTCAAGTCGCCCCCTCGAGTGCGGATATACAATCCAGATTTAGGCGAGGGTGACTGAACCAGAGTCGGGGAACCGTCGGACTCTCGACGAAGAAACATGGCCTGTGAGAAGGACAAGGAACAGTTATAAGGCGATCGATCATAGAAATAATCGATATACTCACGGAACAAAGTCCGGTGAGCAGAGAATGATCTAGGTGGAATCCACACCAGCTGTCCACAGGCTCGTCATCCGCGGGTAACGGATTATCACTGGTGGGAGGGAAATAGTGTAAAAGTCGAGCTTTGTGAGTCTGTGACGCTTTCAAGAGATCTACCAAGGATACGGAAGAATCCACCAAGTGCGACGAAGCTTCAGCGCAATTCAGAGAATCAGTGCCAAGGCGATCTTCGGGTCGTCAAGGGCTCACCAAATGGTTGACACGCCACTGCTAGGTCACACCCGACCTGGAAAATGAATCTATGATTCTTGAGTAAGTCGATCTAGATATAGAGAGAAAGAAGCCCACTTTCCCAGTTCTTTGAAGGCCTCTTCAAAGCCCTCTACTTCCTTGACGTCATTGGTCGGCCCTTTCATTGCGTCAGGTGCATTCTCTACGTTTCGACACATTGAGAATCACCTACATATGTTACGTCCATAGTACTCAGGGTATGTCATGCGTTGAGCTTCGAACACGCTAGGCTCGTCCACTATAGGATTCGCATAATAAGAACCTTTCAAAGTGTCTGGGCGGAGTAAGATACTGCTTGTAAGACTCTAGAGTACGAATAGGAAGTAGCACTGACCAGGTTTTCCATTCATGATTTCCTACGAATAGACTGTCAATCCTGCGGATCCGATCATACGCAAACAAAGGATGTGTACCTTGCCATGAGACCATCCAAAACTAAGGACGTACTCAGTATCAATAAACATTGATGTTACACAGACTAACCTGTATCTACTTTTCGGGTCTGCGAAATGTTCTCGTGTTTGAGGATCGAGATTTGCAAAACGATATGCCAATTTCAGCAGGCGCTCTCTTGCGGCAGCATAGATCGGAGGTAAATCACGGATCACCAGAATCCCTAAGCAATCAGGATTGGACCCAAACGCCTTCTCTTTGGTCGTATGGTCAGATGTAGTCAGAGGATATCGATGCGGTCGCAGAAACTCACCGATGGCTTGTGCAAGCAAAAGCGGCGAAGCGACCAAAGTCGGGTATGAGATCGATACAGGGCCTTCCGAAGTAAAAGCTACTGGACGAGTGTTTTGTTGATAAATAGTAGTCATTGTAGAGCGACGAGGTGTTTCTTGCAGAGGGGAGCTGACTCGTATGATCTGATCAGTCAAATGGGGGCCAACATATTACTGAAATTGCGTGATTGGGTAGACTATCGCAGTGGCTGTTATCAGTTATCACCACATTTCCACCAGAACATGATTAGAATCGTACACCTAGAATGCGACTAGATACTAGTACAGGTCCGGCCAAGATAGTGAGATATGAATTTTTAACAGGAGTTCACCGTAGTCCGTGTAGTAATGTCACCATTAGTACCGCCAGATGAGTCAATTATCCCAGCTTCTGCTAGGGCAGTACGCAATGCAGTCCCAGTCTCGTCTATGGAGTGCAGAAAGCGCAAAATCTCTCGACACAATTGCCAATCCTTCACAGTAACTGCGCTCTTGAGTAGCCGAGCAGCGTCCCCGTTCATACTGTTCCCATCGAGCTGGTCTAGGTTGTGCAAAACAAGCAAATACGACCCAGCGGTTTTGAGACGATGAGAAGTGAGACACATCTAGTCACATACATTATGATCAGACGAGGTCATCGGAAATACCACGGTTGGATTATACCTCAAACAAGATTTTTGGGTTCCCTACTACGTCGAAGAGTCGTGGCCATCGTGTCATTTCGATCTTGCGAGCGCATCCCACGACGACATCCAACGCCGCGTCGAAGTGGTCCAGGAATTCAATGGTGATTGGAAGAAGGGTCCTCGACCCCACTGAACTGTCGCCTTCACGTGAGACGCCGGCGTCTTCTTCGACTACGCTATGCAGGAGGATCTCCAATGCATGCGCAAAGAAAACAAGATGCTGGTAATGGGAAGCAAAGAAAACGGCCTCTTTGAGCTGACTGTTCTCCAGGTGGAACAACAAAACGTGATGCATGAACAAATGTGACTAGAAATAAGTGGTTGTCAAATTATAACTCCCATGTTAACCGAAGGGGACAACTCACACACGTGGCATGCCTGAACATTGTAAAAGCCATGCTTGACCTGATAGAAATTTCTTGTTCCACGCCAATAATAATACCCTTGTCCATCAAAACAGCTGAGAATACAATTAGATTGGAATACCGTCAAAAAATCGCAATGGGATGCAAACTCACAGAGCGGATAGAAGTCGAGTGGTATGTTAACGCTTTCCTTGACCGTTTCTGAAACGTTCGTTTTGTCCGCTTGAGGCGCGGAGGATTCGATGTTCAAGGCATTGAGCCACAATCGTATACCTTCACCGTCGAAGCCCCAAAGGGAGTTCTCCAGAGTGCCAATGCCGCGAAGATGTATCCAACAGAACTCAATACGGTCTGCAAGAATGCGCATGTCGTATTTGACCTCTTGATCGCCTGACTGCAAGAAAAGGGTCAACTTCCGCCCAACGAGCATGGCAAGGACTATTAACCCTTCTTGGACGAAGGAGAACGAGCTTGCCGCCAACGATCATCAGGACTGTTGCAACAGCGAGATCATCCACAGGATCACCAAGCTCTGGAAATACAGAAATTACCAAACTCCAACTGATGAAGAGGACTTTTACATACGTTTCTGCGCAGTAGGTATCATCCAACTTAACATTCTGACCGCACTCGGAGCCACGATGATGCCCCTGAAGGTGATACTTCCGCAGAGATGAAGTTTGATCGTGTCAGCAGTAGGCACTACCAGATAATGATACAGCGTGTTGTCTGCAGTATACACGAGCAACGAATTGTCGACTAATGAGAGTATGACCACAGGGGAAAGCAGCAACTCCCGGTGCAGCACGTTCTGGTTGCTGAGTTCGAGATCGCGTGAATACAACCGGATCTATGGTGCTGGAGTCAGTGCAGGTACGGCGGTGATGCGAAAATTGAGGGGCACCTGGTATGCGCCTGAAATGTCTACTGCAGCAATCAATACATGGTGAAACCAAAGGAGACCGCCCCTGACAGAAAACGCCTGTTCCTGGAATTCGTCCGAGAATATCTTCCACCGTCCGGACGTAGAGCTGTAGTGAACCAGACCGCGACGACCTGCGATGGCAATAAAACGTCCATCTGGGCTCAGAGAAGAATATCGTATGGGCCAATTCGCAGACATGTAGGCTTCAGGAATCTGCACGCCATTTCAACTCAGAGGCTGCACCAAGAGGACAGATGGGAGATACGCAGACCTTTATATGTTGCCAAACATCAGACTCAGGATTGATTACGCTCATGTCAGGCTGATCAGCGCCGCGATACACAAGGATGCGATCGTCCATATGTAAGAATGCATATTGCGTACTATCCTGAAAATTCAATCTAATCAACATAACCGACCGCCTCCTGCATGCAACTCACAGGTGATGGTTGACCCGTCGTGGCACTCTTGGCAAAGGGGATCACGAATAGTTGGCCATCTACCTCTACAATGCCAATACCATCAGCCAGAGTTGATGGGGAAACAAAAGGAGACATACTGTTTGGGGAGCACTGCGCCAACACGACCAACTCGAAGTTGCCTGGAGCCCAGAACTAGTACGCTCGTAAGTCAACGATGATTCAACATACACGGCAAGAACATACCAGGTCGTCTACTCCATACATGAATGCATCCTGGAACCTGTACCAACATGTCAATGTAGTCCTCATGAAAGTCAGCTGTAACTTACTTCGCCTTATCTACGTCATGCTCTGCACCGAACCCCCACGCCAGGCAACGACCGCCAACACTCCAGACAGACCAGCCGTTCTGCCAGCCTACTGCAAGCACATACCCATCAGAGCTCCACTCCATGGCACATACCGGACCTGTCCCTTCTCGTGTGTACATGCTTGGTATCTGGAGCACCTGCGCCTTCGGAGAAAGGCTCTCCTGTGAAGGGAAATTTGAGTATTCGACGGATCCGCTGCAAATGAGAGATAACTTTAAGTTAGTTAGTTGAGAAGGGAAAAGTCATACCTGTACGTGCCAATGGCAATCAACGAGAACTTGGCGTTAATTGCAACGACCATCGCCTGTCTGGGCTCTACATATGGAAGTACTGTGTCATCCGTTCGGCGCCGTTTCTGCACCCACCGGGGTGGGACGACATTGTGGATGCAGGTGCCCTGCCACTGGATACGTCGATCGGCATCGACGCTATTCCCTGAGCCTCTTGGCCCGTCGGTATGGGCACTCTTGTTAGAATAGTCAGTTTGGTCCTTCAAATTTAGAACGGACAGAATTACCGAGCGCGATTCTTCTGGAACCTCGCTGACATCTGATGAGCTCTGAGGAATGTTCTCACTGTCGAACTGTTGGACCAGGTACGCCCTGCCGTCGGTGGTTATCCAACACTCAAACCCCGTGGACTTCGAGTGCGATATCTTGGAAACCGCAACTGAAAATACGCCGATTAATGAGATTCGAGATGGAAGACGATGGTCCTTACCATCAGCATCCACCAGCCAGGGGAGCTCATTCTCATTCACGCTCCAAGTCTGAAAGTTTCTACCCAGTGCAGCTCCTCCATTCACAGTTACCTCTTCATGGACATGAGGCCACGGAATGCGCTGGACTGAAGGCGGACTCTTCGTGGAGAACAGTATACAATCACTCCGAGCAGAAACACTGGTAATAATAAAGTAATTTAGAACACATCAAAAAGGTAACACATTTGCAACTCACCTGAGAAGAGAACCCTCTATCCTGATGGCACCCTCTAGATGGAGGCTAATTCCTTGTAGGATGACGGCCTCACCGGAGCCGGGTTGGAAGTGCCGCTGAGCAGTGCTACCGAGTGACGAGGACTGGTATGGTGCTTCATCTGGACTATATTCGACCGAGACCAGAACCAGATATGATCGCGTAGTCTGCAGAGAGTCATTCTCAGGAGCAGACAGACAGCACCAGCACGACGAACCTGTATAACAATCTGCCTCCCGTTCGGTGCCCAGTTCAGAGAGAGATTCTCCCCATGTTCCTGCACGGATGTCGGTGTCCGCGACAAGTATGCGAGCGCAGCGGATGGCTGAAAGTATACATAGCCAATTAATTAGACTCAGTCGAAGCCAAGGCTCTAGCGCACATACTCGAATGCGCCATGCAGACACGCCACTTCTTGTCAGAGTACAGAAAAGACTTTTTCGCGGACTAGGTGAGAGACAGATGACAGGTTCAGCAGGAACTGGTAAAGCGGGTGCACTAGAGAGTTGTCTCGCAGCCGAGGTGGGGAAATACATGGGGCTGCAGACCGCCTGTAAGCAGGTTCTCGGATCTACAATAATGTAGGGTGTCGCATGCTGTGTTGACACCCTCACCGATGATGTGATGGTAGTAGGCACTTGGAAGTACGCTGACTTCGTCCGCCTCGACGCGGAAGCGTACGCGTGAAAGTCGTAAACTGGCAATGAGTGGGATTGTGCACTAATCACGGATGGACAAATCGTACGGTGCTACAAATACAGGTTTGAACGAACTACAACGCGTGGACCGAAAACAACAGAGACAGCGAAGAGACTATAGAAATATCGGAAGAGTACTATGTAACAGAGCAAGCACTGTGCATTCACCGAGATCGAAGCCAAGACATTACTTTCGTCCATGAATTATCGGATCCCTTACCCCGATCCCTGCTGATGTTTGGTTCGTTCTGCACGCCCAACCTGGTCTCTGGGAGGGTGTGAGACTCGACAAACGAGTCAGCCATACCCAGAGCCATAGGCTGCATGCGTGACTGGCGGATCAGATTCAAGATGACGTAGAATCCCTGACGAGACTGTGCACGTAGTCAGAATGGGTGACTCGCAGTGCAAGTGCATACATACCCTTTGTAAATTCGCCTTGAAGCGTGCTACCCCGTGGCTTTCAATTCGTTTTGTCATACCCCACCCAAAGCCGGAGAGGAACCTGGCTTCCGTGTTCTGCAGTGTTTTACTTGTACGACAAAGCTACATCAGTACCACCCAAAGGATGTCACAGAAGTTCGCTCACCCATCTTGAAGCTGTTGGATACGGACACGCTCCTCCACACGCATAACCTTCACATGGTCGAGGTTCGTGGTTGTGCACCTCACAACCTTCCCAAGTGGATCAACCTCACTCTCTTCAATGACCCAGCTTTCAGCCCTGGAAATGATTCCCTTCGGAGCCCATCTTGGGAGAGAACCGCTCTTCAAGATCAGGCGAGTGGTCAAGAGGGATCCCGAGGTGTTTATGGCGCGCGAGATGACATCGCAAGAAAGAATATGAGAGGCGTATGGGTTAGGGTATCTCAAGCAGAACGCCAGCGAAACGATTGACCAGGGATCGCTGCAAGCTCACGTTGAACTATCAAGACCTAGAGAAGTCCATGCGGAGCACTTACTCGTACAAAAAGGACTGCGAATAGAACCTCATTGCAAACGACCCCGGTGCCACTGCAAAGCTTTACCCCTCGGAATCTGGGATTAGAAATACTAGAGAGATACAGTATTGTTCGACTTGACTATGGTGGTGACGATGAGGGTGGAAGAGAGAGCACTGGTTGCATGAGAAAGAAAGAGGTGGGCCAGATGACCCTATAGCTAGCGCTTCTAGTTCTACATCATCCGGATGCGTCACGTGATCTCGATATTTCCGCCAATTCATTTTCGGAACGCGGAGACGATGTCGACGGCACATCCAGAAACCGTCCAGACTCTGTTACAAGCAGCATCCGAGCAAATCTATGTGGTATATGGAATTACAACGGCCCTCACTGATATCCCTCATCCCGCGTCACCCCATCCTCGGACACGAATACCCTCAACCCGTCGAATGCGGGTCTAATCCAGACTTGATCGCCGCTGGCAACATTCTCCAAGGCTCGATTCTGGAGGGTACTCAGTCCAGGCTTGCCCAGCTCTTTGCCCCCGAGCGTCTCTGCGATAGTAACGTAGTCGTCGTGCGACAGTTCGTGCCCGAAACCAAGCCAGTACGTCCGCTGAGCCTTCATCCGCCTTGCAACCTCGACAGATTGTGCGATACTGAGATGCGAAGGGTGCGGATGTATTCGCAGACAGTCAAGAACGAAGACCGGCGGCGGCCTTCGTAGGAAGTCGCACCCAGATGGCTTTTGCAGCATGTCCCACACGTCTTCGGGGATATGCGAGACGTCGGACATATAGACCACAGCGTCTTGGATTACAAATCCGAAACACATGTAAGGTTGCACTTGACCGGACGGTTCTGGCGAATGCAGCGCTGCACCTTTACGGATAGGTGTCCCTGGAATGTCAGGCGTTGAGGCATTCGTGGACGCAGGAGAAAGTGAATATGGACTTGGAATAACATCCAAAGGTGGGGAGGAGAATATGCGTCCGTGGTGAACTGGTTTAGTCTGGTTGTAAGTTTTATCGCCATCGTCATATCAAACAACTGACCTGAAAATGGAGTGATTTGAATTCCAGTGTCTCCGATTTCAAAAGGGACGCGGTCCTCTATAATGTGCCATTTGAACTCCGGGACCTGGTCCAAATAGTGTTAAGGCGAACGTTAGGCACAAGAGAAGATGGGATGCACATCACCACCGCCGGAAGCAAACTCCTTTGACACTAGATACGGAAATGCGCGCTGGACTTCTTTGTAGGTCGACACTGACACGTACAGATCCACATGAGATTGTATCGCGCCATGGAGTGTCCAGCCTAGAGATCTTTTCTGAAAAAAGAACACAGAAAATACACGCGAGTGCACTGACCCCGGAGGTCATCAAGACCATTCATAGCTTATCAAGATAGACACTCAGTGTGACAGGATGCATTATTCATTCATTCAAAGCGTACCATCGGCATGGGCATGAGTTATAAGAACGGCATCTATGCGGCGGAGGCTATATTTCGGGAACCACTCAATCGCAGCGGCTTGGAAGCTCTTGCCCACGTCAATCACGATTGTTCTGCACACAGCATCAGCATCAGTGTGGTGCACAGCAGGATGTACACCACTCACACAGTCTGCCCGTCTCGCCCACGGATTCTGGCCACAGCAGAAGTATTGCGCTGACAATTTTTATAAGTGAGCAACAAACGCTGACCGGTACCGGGGTGTGCGGCGTGTTGAAATAAATCTCGTACACGAATATTCTTCTTACCCTCCGGCGCTAAGGTCGAGAGACACGTACGACAAGGCTTCGAGCCGGGAGGAGCAGTGAGACAGTCTACATGTGGTATGCTGGAGGATGTGCCAGTACCCAAGAAAATAAGTTCCATGGGATCATTAAAGGCAGGAGAATCAAAGTCTAGGGAGCCCATGGTGGTCAAGGTATGAGTGCAGTTCGATGGCACAGCGCTCAGCAATTCAGCCGCGCAGGTTGTGAAATATCATGATCGGCCGGGCAGAATGGTAGTTAACGATATCACGGCAGCACGTGTGGAAAAAAGGTCTCATTGGCCATGGATTGCAGGCACCATGACAGGGCCGTTGGCGTTCAGTGTCGAGCGTCCGGCAATGGGATGGTCAAGATCAGTCTGGCTGTACGTCCGCAGCCGTAGCGCGTAATGACGAGGAGGTGCGCCCGTCACCGATCCGGCGATTACAACAGTTGTCCACGTGGTTGTGTCTCGGATCTCAACTTTGGCCGACAACGTACCGTACTTACTTGCAATGTACATTGTACAATGTACCGTAATGCATATCGTTGTTCAAGTGATTATTTCAGAGCAAACAGTTCATACCTGAGATCTGAGACCTGAAGCAATCTAATTTTACACTCGAGAAAGCTTAAATACACGACGTATTCATAGATGGTTTGTTTCTACACGCTCTACTATGTCCGGTGTACGGAGCGCTCACTTGGTGAAAACTGTGCATACGGTGAGACAAACAATGACTGGGATGAAAACTGCAACGCACTGGACACGACATCCTCGTCTTGGACAAGGTGGCTTAGACCCACTTTCTGGGCATGGGGAGCAAATTTGGAAGATTTTCCCTGAGGTGCATATATGACGATAAAGACACACTTATGGCATCGTCGTACTTACCCTAGGAATATCGTCAGCACATCGTCCAGCGCGGTATGAGTATAAGAGCTCACCAAACGAGAGCGTAGCGGAAATTGGTGGCCAACGATCGGTGAATGCCATTACACACACCCTGGAACAAAGTCAAATACATCAGCCTCACTAGGCAATACCAGCCTCAAAGTGGTAGTCGATGAACCTCAATTGTAGCACCTTTCCTCAAGCAAATTGGATCCGCCAAATCTGGATGAGCACCGCGTTTCTTGGTGTACACCTTCACGAGATCCAATTCAGCCCATAATCGTTCAATGAGATAATCCAGGCTACGCGATATCAGTCAGGACTGTGCTCACGACAACTGGCTGACCGCTTACTTCAGACCCATCTCGCAACTGGTGACTACACTGTGGTCAGCTCGGGCAAGTTTGTCCACCTGCTCAAGGCTGATGGCGTCTATCTTGTTGTAAACATCTAAACAACGTTAGCAACGTCGATCAAAGACATAACGGCAGACCTACAGAGACAAGGTATATACTTGCGCGTTCCTGTAGCAAAATGAGTCGTCAGCAATTATGCGATGACAACGGACATGTCGATCCTACCTATAAGGACGTCTATGAACTCGTCGGTTGTAATCTTTACCAAAAGTTAGAACGCATGTCGAAACAATGCCATAGCACTTACATCCTCTCGGATCATGACATCACAATTGTGGAGTTTATCTAGTAGATTTTCCGAAGAGACATTAGCGTGCTCCTACACTCCAGAAGAATAATGATGTTCACAGCCGGCCAGAATAGTCCTTATGGTCTTTTCATCTGTTCTGGTCAGCTTGACCGTGGTATTCAGCTGGCACAGGTATAAGGCACTCAGTTGGGCTGAAATTGAGATACTCTCACTGTAATCTGAGTGGGATGAACATGTTATACGCGCAAACGAATGTTCGAATATTTTTACTTACTCCTCCCGTTGTCTTCCGCTTGAAGACGACGTCGGGTTTCCTCTTGTTCAGGCGGATACCGACGGCATCCAATTCAATCTCCAACAATCGACGCTGCTCGTCAGACTTCGTAGCATCCAACATGATCAAGATGAGATCAGCAGTTTTGGCTGTGGATACAACTTGACGACCACGGCCCCGACCCTGACTGGCGCCTTCGACGATGCCGGGCAGATCAAGAAGTTGAATACGAGCTCCCTGATATTCCACAACACCAGGAATAGCCTGCAAGCGAAACGTCAGGAATAAGGAGCCAAGCATACCGTGGTATGACTTGCCGTTAGAGTCGTAAACTCATATGCTGCTGACTCGGAAACCGTATGAGTGCACTTGTTCAAAAGGGTGGACTTGATAGAAATGTCAGGTTCTGTAATAGCCTGAATCAAGCACAAGGAGTAGAGCTCGCCTTTCCTACGGAGGGAAACCCAATCAAGGCGACTCTCGCATCCCCGGACTTCTGTACGTCGAAACCAGTACCAGCACCGCCTGATTTAGTCGTTGGTTCGAGAAGTTGTGCTCGGTAACGAGCCAACTTCGCTTTCAGGAGACCCAAGTGATACTCCGTGGCCTACTTTGTGGATGATAAGTTGTTGACCGAAAGGATAGATCAGTGAGATTATCACCTTGTTCTTCTGGGCTGTTCAGATCGAATTATGAATGTGTTTACTCGATCAGAGCAAGGATATACAAACTCCTGGCCATCTCCTCTACATCGAACAATGTTGAATAGCTGATGCAAACAGACCGGTGCAAATGCAAGCATCTGGCTCACCCTCTATCTCTTTGATCTTCACAGAGCGAAGGAGTCAGTTAAAGCAGAGTAGGACCCTAAAGGTACCTGCCTTTTCTACGATACCCATCTTGCCAAAAGACTGTGTGGAACGAAGAAATAATTGTTGAGCTGAGGGCAATTATGAAATCAATGTCTGAAAGAGGGACGACGGGCGCCTATGTATGCTGAAAGGAGTGGCGGTAAGATGATCGGGCAAGTTGGCAAATGATGTTGCGGTAACATTGCGGCTCGTACTTTGTACTCAACCAATTCCGCTCCTGGTCCTCGCAGGGAATGAAACGACATACGCCAACTCTGTATACGCATCCCGAACACGACGCGGACTCCGGACTCGACGGAAGCTGGTCCTCAGCGTCGTCCAGACTCCCTTCCTCTTTGCATTCTACCGGCTCCAAAGGTCGGTCCAAAATCAAACAAAGAAGCGCCTTCGCCCCCGGTCCAAATGTTCCTCTTGTGACCTCACTGGCTTCGTCTTCATCCGTGCCAGAGAGACCGAGCTACCCTAACGTCTATAATCAGTTCCTGCGACGCTACAGATCTGGTCGTGGGGTGGACGACGATCCTCGCAATGAGCCAGATAGCCACTTCTATCAGCGAGGTCTAGGACAGCTCCTCGATATTGCGGATAGCGATGACGAAGAACTCCGAGGTACTGCTGTAGGCGCAAGTGGTGAGGTTCATGACCGCTTGTCTAGTCTTATGCTTGATGCCGAACCAATTGAACCGGAAACACTGGAGGACAGGGAGCGCTTGGAATGGCAGACAATGCTTGCCTCTGTGCTGGCAGGGGACGTCCTCAAGGCTGAAAATACGCGCATCGCAGTCGCGTTGAAGTCTTCGCTGGAAGAGGAGAACAATGTGCGGTCAAATATCTGGTTAGGTATTAGGGCGCGATTACAAGGCACGACAGAAGAGGAGGAACGCAAGAGACTGGAAGAACGGAGGTTACGCATCGGCGATGCCATTCTCAAGGAAGTTCTCAATTTCCGAGTAACTGACCTTCCGTCCGACTCAACTGAATCACTCGCCACTCATGCACTGCGGGAAGTTAGCGCGTTGCTCCGTCGACTTGACGTTGCTCATTCATTGTATTCGAGCTTGCGCAGCTTCTATTCGGACTACCCCGCCGCACTAGATGACGACTTCCAATTGCGTTGTGATACCCTCAATACCTGGTCTACCGTCCTGACATCTCTTCGCCAACTACTTTACCTCCTGCGTAGGTGGACCGGCAGCGAAGCGCTTGACGTCACGCAACCGACCTCAAATCCTGATAACCCCTTTCCCAGTCGCGCTCCCGTTGACACTTCTAACGGGACGACGTTCGTTGACCGACTGCTCAAGGAGGAATCTGTCCAGCGGCAATTTGAGAAGGGTTCGATGACTACCATTCATGCTCTTGTCGGCACTACTCGCGATGCCCATGTTAACCTTGCTCCAATGTTCCAAAAGATGAACCTCCCTCCATTTGAGCAGGAGCTAGTCCCTCTCGTTTCTTTCCTGACAAACCTTGCCCAAGCGGTCTTGCGCGTACGCCTGGATTATGCCCAGAAGTTGAAGAACCCGGATATCCTGATCATTGATCAGTTAACAGAAGACCTGAAGGTAAAGATGGGTTTTGCGTGCACTCTGAAGAGACAATACGAGGCGTTTTTGATACCCGACCCCGGCGGAAACTGGAATTTACCTCCATGCATTAGCGAAGACTATGATACTGTTATTCTCGACACTTTGACTTACTTCTTCAAGTTAATTCACTGGAAACTTAAAAGTGGCGCGAAGGGTATTCACTCCAAAGAGACAGATGTCATTGAGGCTCAGTGGGTGACGTTCAGCGATGTCAGTTTAAGCATTCCCGGAGGGGCGTCTCTTGTCGCTGAACAGTTGTGGTGTGTTTCCTTCTACGACTCAGAGTTGCCGGTTATTGATTTTGGAGTGCTTAGTGCGCTGACCAACAAACTCATGGTCCGGGTTACTAGCTATTTTGATACGCAAATTCGTATTCCGACCATGAATGAGTCGCCCCAGTCGTCATTGCCGGATGGGAGGCCTTTTAATAGCGCCGACACAAGTACTCTCCAGACGCAGTTGAAGCCAGGGTCATCATCAAGCAAGAGCATGACTGACGAACAAGTGGTCGGCTGGTATGCCAAGGTTCTGGATGGCATCAAGCAAAGGTATCGGAAGCTTCACCGACTGGCGCGGTCAGCAATTACACTATGCCTTGGGGAATGGGAGGCTGATGCCCTTCTATCTCGACAGTGTCCTCAGTCAACGATTTAGCAACTCTGCTGAGTATGACCTTGAGGACGTCCCTCTCGATGTCTTCTTAGCCGCTCTGATAGAGACGGATCATTTCATTATTCTCACTCAAACCTTCGAGGAAGAAGGGACCTACATCATCGCACCTCCCGCACTGATGAATCATCCGGATATCATTCGTCGGATGCTCCTGGAAGCCTTCCAGATAAACGAGCTGGATGAAGGGAGCTGGTTGATGGAAACTGGTGAAGTCGACGAAGATGTGCACGAGGAAACACCGTACCTCTTGGTGTTATCTCCTCGCACCCGTTTCGTGTGGACTGGTGTCGTCTTCATGTTCCAGATCCCCAAATTCGACCTTGATTTGAAGGATAATCGGATTCGTCTCATCACAGAAGGGCCGCAGCACCGCTTGACCTCTGCAAAGCGACAATTTTTGGACCTCTTCACCGCCGTTGACGAAGAGGGAGAACCAATCGAGCCACCGGTGGTGCCCTTGACGTGTCTGGTCGAACAGCAAGCACACTTGCCCCTGGTTAACCGCGAGCTGCGCAAGATCAGCCGTGCCAGCCATCGGCTCGCGGAATCCATCGTCGACTCTGTGCATCATGTTCGGGACTCCTTGCGGGATACCACTGGTTACCAGGAACTGTTGGAGAACTGGTACAGTTTCGCGTCGGAACATGGAACACACTCAGAGAAGTTTATGGAGGGCGCGACACTGCGGAAGTTCAACAGGATGTTGATCAAACTGGCCATCTCCTGGGTATCGTTCATCTGTGACGACTGTGATCCGAACGACCGTAGGACGTTCAGATGGGCGGTCACTGCCCTTGAGTTCACACTCCATCGGACGAAGCGGAATAATATTCTAAATTTACCCGATGACCAGTTTGAGATGTTGAGGCAAAAGGTTGCTAGCTGTATGACACTCTTGATCAGCCATTTTGATATCTTGGGGGCGCGGTCGACACTCGAGGCGAAGAAAGAGAAGGAGCGGCAAGAGGAGATGCTCCGTCAGCAGTCGGTCCCCGCCGACAGGACCGATAATACGGACGACCTATATGGCGACGCTCCGGCAGATCTGGAGGATATATCCACCGCATATACTGATCCCACCGTTCGTCTATACTGGGAGAAGGCAACACGCGCTATCCAGGAGGTCGAGGTCCAGCGGTCGCGTATAGGCATGGAACGACATGTCGTCGGTCGAGTTTTGGATGAAGGGAAGCTTGTGGATCGCTCGTTGGTGTTTCTCGCCGGTTCAAGTGCGAATGTCTCCATACGGTGGCAGCAAGGACGCTTCATTGGTGCAGGATCTTTTGGTTCAGTATACGTCGCCGTCAATCTGGATACTGGGTCTCTTATGGCTGTCAAGGAAATCAGGTTTCAAGAGATTGCAGGTCTTTCTAACTTATATTCACAAATCAAAGACGAATTGAGCGTCATGGAAATGCTCCACCACCCTAACGTCGTCGAGTACTATGGCATCGAAGTGCATCGAGACAAAGTTTACATTTTCGAAGAATACTGCCAAGGAGGCAGTCTCGCAGACTTACTGGAACATGGTCGAATAGAGGACGAGGGGATCATCCAGATATACACGTTGCAGATGGTGGAAGGTCTAGCCTACTTGCACTCTCAGAACGTGGTTCATCGCGACATCAAGCCGGACAGTGAGCTATGGTTGATTTGCCTGAATGACAGAACATTAAAAAAGCATTGCCAGACATCTTGCTCGACCACATGGGTGTTATTAAGTTTGTTGATTTCGGTGCTGCGAAAATCCTTGCCAAGAATCAGCGCTCAATTCAGCGTTCGCGTCGAGTTTCTGATGCGCCGTCTAATTTACCGGAAGGAGGCTTCGGGATGAATAACAGTCTCACTGGAACACCAATGTACATGTCGCCCGAAGTCATCAGAAACAGCTCGCACGGCCGGCAAGGTGCCATGGACATCTGGTCGTTGGGATGTGTTGTGCTCGAATGCGCTACAGGAAAGAAACCTTGGAGTAATCTTGACAATGAATGGTGAGGTTCTTTTTTTTTCTACTTTGACATTGGGTACTGATCCCATTCATAGGGCTATCATGTTCCACATTGGAGTTGCAACACAACATCCGCCGCTACCAGATCCAAGCCAGCTCAGCGAGATGGGCATAGACTTCATTCGTCAATGCCTGACCATTGACCCCATGCGGCGGCCGACGGCCGTTGAATTGATGAACCATCCGTGGATGCTCGATTTCCGCGTATTTCTCAGCGAAGCGGAGGAAGCTGAGCTTGCAACCAACCCACCGTTGGAGATGCCCCCGCAGGAAAAGTTTGTATCGGCGAGTGTCGCTCGACAGGCGGCCATCATACAAGAAAAGGAGGTGGAGACAATCGCTTTCCCTTCCCCCAGCATGTCGCCCGTGGAGACCCCGACCGATTCCACCGACCTCGACCAACTACTAGACGTCGATACCAGTATTGACAGTCCAAAACAGTAACGACTTCGACGCCATAGATGTTTGCTTTACGCCTTAGCACGCCCATATATGTAGCCTAGTTCTCTCTTGCATGTACTATCGCCCTATCTTATCCACCCGCCTTCTTATATTCAGGGAGGCAAGCTCGAGTATATTACACGAATACAAAGTAAATCACACAGTGATCTACAAGTTCAAAAATGATCTACTCGATCATCCAGCGCTTCGAGTTTGGTTGCGTATCACTCTTGCTACTTGGCCCACCCTGCTCGCTGCTGCGACTGTCACCGCGACTAAGAGATGGGTGTACAGGCTCCGGACGTGGGATTATGGGTATGTTTGGATCTATCCCAGGGTAATTGAATCCAGTGTCAGGAGGATTGAAGGAGGCAGTATCGGATACGAGGGGGGCTTGTCGCGGAGTGCCGTACGTGGTAAGGAGCTGCGATCCAGGGCCAAACGCAACGGAGTAAGTGGGGAGTGGCAAGTCATTCGATGGGAATTCCGCCTTTTCAAGGTCCACCTTCTCGTCGATGTCTTCTGCAGTGTCCTCGATAGGTTGCTGCGCATTCACTGCATACACAAACCAGTGAGTAAGCACGACCGCGGAGATTAGCAGCAGAGCACGCACGGTAGCGCGCCAGGCCCTTTCCGAAGTTGATTCGGCAGATAATGCCCAATACGACGGTCACGAAGGTGAGGAGCACCGACGCGGTCGCGATGAGACTGAAGAATCGCCATTGTACGAACGTCCAGCGGAAGGTAGGTGCGATGAACATGGACGCCCATCCGGCAAGATACATGACAGAGAGAACCATGAAAATGAACATGGGGATGCTGGCTTCCCGCCGAACAGAAATCCATCCCTGTAGAGGCACAGGTCGGTCATGAAACAGGAGGATATCAGGGAAACAACATACGATTGTCAGCCATGGTATAAGCAACTAAGAGATTATCAGCCGTGGTATCAACTGTTGTAACGACGGGGATCCTCACCACCTCGACCACGATAGTGACACCCTTGAACAGAGGGGCATCGGTGGTCAATCGCCCAATGGCACCGTTGTACACCTGGTCAATCCATACGGCACCCGATACTGCAATGAAAAACAGAGCAAGCTGGATGGTGATCGAGAGGATCAGGACGGCGTTGTAGACACGATTGATGGTGCGGGAAGCCCCAACACGTTTAAACGTCTGCCAGCCAAAACACTGCACAGCCGTCAAGAGTTAAATGTAGACGGAATAGTGATATAACAGACCTTCATTAGTCTCCAGGTGAGGAAAGCTGATGCCACCAGAACAACGGCATTAAGGACAAGACTGGGTATCTCTGCGTTTGAACGATCCCTCCAGTAATTCGGCAGAAGGTCTACGCCACATGCACCATTAGTGGTCATGTCTGTGAATTGACTTCGGAATTGGGCCGTATTGAACTACAGTGGTAGGTGATCAGAAGGGCACGAATACGTCTTGAGAGATGTAGAGCATACAATCTGAAAGCCGGCCCAACCGGTAGCTAGGATGTGGGTAAGGAGCGACGCAATGCTGTAAGTCCAGTTGAGAAGATGATATCAATAGCCACATATGATTAATCTACCGACATGTGCGGGACAGACTCGTTGAGAAGAGCGACAAGAGACATCGCTAGAAGCCAGAACTGGAACATGATGAACACCAGATCTTCACGTTTAGTCTCGTCCAATCTGAAGGAGGACATTCATGAGCAAAATACCGTCGTGCCGTACCCGATACTCTTACATTCCAATGGGCCAATTGAGCACGACCAAACAAGTGTAATCCAGCGTAACTTCGCCCAAGTCAGGCACACCATCAACTACGACTTCGGTTTGATTGTTATCCTCTACAGCTACTATTGTCACAGAACGACGGGTATATCGCTGGGAGAGCTCCCTAAGCGCAGGAGTAGAATATATGAACTAAGTCCGGCGCACCTTCCTGTTGTCCGCATTTTCAACCTGACCGCTGCTCACTTCGGGGCTGGTAGCAGTGGCTTGAACGGTTACGTCGGCTGTATGCGTTGAAACAACTCGGGGAGAACTGGAACTCGACACGTAACCAGAGGATGGCTCTGATGTCGCCGATTGACTATGCCTCGTCTCTTCCTGCAGGTCCCCAAACGACGATGACGGAGCAGCAGTACTAGAAGAGACCGCTTTCGTCGATGACGATGCGTGCGTCGAAGAGACAGCGCTTCTTGTAGCAATGGGAGAGATAGAAGACGAGGCGGCGGAGCTAGAGCGCGAGGGCATGGTCGTAGCAGAAGACGAAGCCGAGGACGAGAGAAAGATACTTGGCGATGTAGGTCCTACTGTACCTGAGGCACTGCTTGCAGCATGTTGTCCGCCAGTGCTCGATACGGCCTTACTGTCGGACGAATTGCCTGCCCACATCACCATGCAAGAGCTTGCATCTACGGTGTTCGGAACAGAGGTGCACATGCGCACTTGATTCTGACCGGCTACCAGGAACCCTGGTTGGGTGGCATTGCCTTTCTGGACAATGTCACTCAAGAGTGTGGCCGCCTGAGCATTGATTAAGAATGCCTGGATCTGGAAGACAACTTGTACGGCAAAGTGGAGGAGCGCGACGGTGAAATAGATAGCAGTAAATCGGGATAAGGTGATACGATCCCACTGAAAGCACAAACGCGTTTAATGTCGCGCATACTACACCAGAAGGGACTGCATGCACGGAGTGGCGTACTCCATGATACCGACAACCAGGAGACCAAAGTTATTGGGATCAGGAGGAGAACCTCGATGCGTCGATGCGTGCAGACCTCCAGCAGAATTAGAGAGAGAGATACGTACGAAAAGCCTCAGTTTATTCAACACAAGACCAGAGGTCCTGGAGCTCTTGAAGTTTGTGCGCATAGCGGAATCTGCAAGACCATCATCTCAACACAACATTCTCGGGCGAGCGTCCCTCCGAAGACCCACCAGCAGCGAAAGTGGAAAGCCAGTCAGAACCGTCGAAAATAGACACAGTGCGCCTCTAGGGCGAGTGTGAAGCGGTAGTCCTAGCCACCGTGTTGAGAGCAGAGACAGCAAGTTTGGACAACGGTCCGGCCGAAAGTACGGACTCAAAAGAAAGGGAAAGGGAAAGAAGGGAAGGAAACCAGGAAACTGAACGTGAACGTCCGAAGGGAAGAGGATACATCGTTGTACTGGGTTGCAGTCCACGCCTAATCGGGATCAGGTATCCAGGGCTGGCAGAAAGGTGGAGTCCAACGTTGCCACTCGTCACGGGCCCTACCACCGCCTCCGGTTATCACCTCGTGCACTGGAGCATCGCTGAAGCATGTTTCTAAGATGAAGCAGGGCTACAAGTTAAACGGTTGCACATGGGGCAAAGCAAGGCATCAATCTCGACTGTGGACGGGAAAGTCACAGAGTCGCGACTGTTCCACGACAGATCATTACGTTGTGGCACACCGTGGATGACAAGGCACAACTTGTGTGCAGCTCGATGTAATAGACAACTACAGATTGGCTACCGCTACAGAGGAAGCTTCGCTTCATGGAGTCCAACTTAATTGCTCATCATGCATCATGACCAGCACGCCCGATACGCGGCACTTGCGACTGCGCGCTACATTTGAAACCAATGTTTCTCTCCGCTCCCTACCACAAACCAGCTTATCGTTTCCTCCTCCCGGTCATCTGGCGGTCCCAGCTCTTGATACGGAGAGCTCGTAAGAAGTCGTCTTGTGACAACGCCGTCATCGAGGAGATACTGCAGAACCTCGTTGACTTCTTGTCGGTCATACACCAACCTCAGTCTCCAACGGATCTCCGCCTGTCGGGCCAAGTAACATCAACAACTATCCAGCTGCGCATTGACATGTACGAACCTGGGTGATTCCTGGTCTGGATAAAATGACTGCGACTATCGCTCGGAGAGCCGCATCCCATAAGTCACTGATTTTCTTGCCGCTGATATCAAGCCATCTCCTAGGGAATAGTTTTGTTCTGGAGTCCTGCGAATTTGACACACTGACTGTCCAGGGATCGAGACTGTCAGATGAAACCAAGACTATTGACTTGTATCCAGTCCAGCAGGCGAGAGGGATCGATGCCTCAGTCATGCGTCTGCCGACCGACAAGAATGACGCATTGCTTGAGGACTCAACGTTAGCCTGCATAGAAGGAGTGTCAGCTTTGTATGACATTCTCCAAGGGTTTGTACGAAGTACCAAGAGTTGTTCGTTTGTCAATCCTTGCGTTTTGGCACCTTTCAAGGCCATGCATATCTGCTTCATAATCTCCACATTCTCCTCGCTGAGTTCTTCTGCGAGAACCTTGGCCGCTTGATCGAGGCAAGCTTGACAATCGACGAGTCCGTTGGAGGATAACCGACAAGATGCCTCAGCCCCCTCGGCCGTCTTCCCGTGCTCAGCTTCGGGCTGTGTTTCCAGCTGTATGTTGCTTTGGATGACCAAAGGCTCGACAGAGAATTCTGGAGATGCCCGAGGGGCTGCACTCAGATTGTCGTTGACGCGAATTTGGATAGCCGTTTCGATATCGTCATCGTCTGGTCGTTATTCAGAACGCGTGAATACGCAAGTACAGAAAAAGACATTACCAGCTTTCTTGCTATTCCAATCAATCTTTGGTCGGGCTGCTCGCGCTTGTGTAGTGTCAATCTGAAAGTCGATCTATTTGCAGGTTTCGTGATCGGTTCGCAACCGATTGTGCAGGAATACCGCACCTTTCCCTCCGAGACGAGCTCAAGCAGAGCGGCGCTGTCGCCGTCACTCACAAGTAACGGCCATTCACGCCAACAGCCAGTATCCTCCTCTTGAGCCAGCAGATCTTCGAGGGCCGAGGCATCCTGGAATACTTCTTGAGGTAATGGACCGCTAAGGGCATTTTGGTTACTTGTAAAATAGGGATCGCATCAGAGCTTCGTGCTGGTATGCCTTGATATCTACTTACTTGTCAGATATCCTCAGTGTTCTGCCAGGTCTTGATTTTTTGGGGTCTCGAACGACCTTGGTGAGGATACCTCGGGAAAGAAGATTCATCGTCGCATTTTTGACATATTCCTCGCCTACCAGGTGCAGCGCTTTGGCTGCCGCTTCTGGATCATAACTCTCGTGAGGGGTTCCAAGCATCATCTGTGTCGACATGGTATCAAAGAGGCGAGCACTCCAGAAAACATAACATCGTTACCTTCAATGCAGAATCGGCCACATAAGTATATTCCAAAGGATAGTCGTTAACCGGCGGTACTTCGTTCATCTTGGTGAGGAATGCTTGTTGTGCGAACTGTTTCTCTCGACCCTCTTCTGCAACCACGTTCCACATGAAGTCCCAAGCCGGAGCTGGCAATCTCTTGTCTACAACTTCCCATGTCGTCTCTACCTGTTCGACCGTAGCAGGTAGAGCAATCTGGACATCCGAACTCTGTTCGACAAACCCCACTCGCCTGCAGCATCTTCAGCGCCAACTGAGAAGGAAAGAAACTCGGGCGTACAATGCATTCTTGTCGACGTGCTTGCGCAAAAACTTGATGTGAGCAACAAGGTCAAAGTTAGTGGTGCTCCCCGGATCTTTGTCCGGTAAGGTTTCGCTTCCGCGATGCTGGACCCACAGGTTGTACCACTTGTCTTCTAGACGAGCTTGGTATGCTTCCGCCCCTGGACTATCTTTGAGGTGAACAATTCGCTGGCGAACGGAATTCCTGGCAACGCCAGGAAAGACTTGTACTATAGCTCCAAGATCCAATCGCCCCGTGTTGCGACATCGTGCCCGGACAACAGCAAAAGCATCTCGTGCTAGCTCGTCGAAGTCTCTGTTCCATTGGAAGCGAGTCCTCCTACCGGTGTCATCGGCGCTTGGTTCACCTAAGATGACAATTCTCGAGTCATCAGCAATTCGGCGGAATCACCGAGGGGGATTTCTGACCTTTGACGGCATCTTTCCCCTTTTTCTTCTTCTGGCTCGTTTGGCGAACAGGTAAACTCCCCTGCTGAGCAAGGAGGTCTTCTATTGACTTCTCTGGACCGTCGGTGACCACCACAGGCGGAGCGACAGCACCCGACCGAGGAACTGTCGAGACGATTGGTGGTCTGCTAGTCGGTAGTACCTTCTTGGCTGCGATGGAAGCCTCACGAATAGCTTCCGAGATCTCGGCTTCCCACTTCGAGTGATCTGTCCCGGAACTTTGCATAAAATTAGCTCGGACACGACGGACGCGAGTTGCAGCCGGCCCCTTGAGCGGTTCTGGGTGGATCCTGTTGACCATGTCGTCCCAATCTTGCTCTTTCTGACGCTTGGCTTCAGCAGCCTTCGAAGCGAGTGCAGCCTTCGCCGCCGTATCTTTTGCTTTAGCGTTCATAGCACGCCTGTGTCTCCTCTGTGCCTTCTCGAGCTCGTGGACATGTTTTTTGTGGGCTTTCTCGAAAAACTGCTTTACTATGTCCTTCGGTGCAGAGATCACCCAAGCGAGGTGATCGAGGTGTGCTTCGCCGCCATCCTCGTCTTCTAAAGGAGTGTACCCATTGGCTCCGTTGAGAAACTGCCGAAGGTATTCGCTTTGGTTGCAGGAGAGATTATATCCGCTAGTCCAAGATGTGGCACGACGAAGACACCTGGCCAATCCGATATTCGTCGTCGTAGCAGGGAGAGCGATCTCCGCGAGTGAGCTGGCGTAATCATCATCGATGCTAAGTTTCTGAAGTTCTCGCCAAAATCCCGAACATTCTTCAACGGTGGAAACCGACATGTCCTTCAGGAAGAGGGGAGAATCTTCTGATAGAGCCCAGATATAAAGAGGGGCTTCCGAAGTAAATTGCCAGTAAATAGGTGCTGATAGAGGGGTCCATGTGTCTGCAGTAACCGCGTCGAACGCCGAGGGGTGCTGCCCATTGACGGTACAGGTGACAAGCGGTTGAGCAGAAGTTGAAGGTTGAAGCGGAATCGCAAGTCGAAGGTACCGCAGAATCTCTAATAAATCCAGGAGACGAGCTCTAGAGCGAGATCGTGCTACCTCTAGTGTTTGCTGGATGTCGGGTGACACTTGCCCAACAGGTGTCCACCGATCACTCTCTGAGTTGAGGACACGAACCAGATCTTCGCTGCTTGTAAGACAGGACACCAACTGGCAATACGTGGCTATGGGTAGTTCCTCGAAGTAATAGGACATCTGAATGATTCTTTGTTCGGATGAAACAATGTACGGGGAAGGCGATCCTTGTTCGAAGAGTTTGACGGTGGAAAGATGCAACTCCCGAGCTCTGGCTGCTCTGCCAGCGATGAAACCGTGCGCTTGCGCTAACGTGCCTTTTTCCGTCAAGAGGGCCGTCCTAATAGTGTCGTCGCTCTCTCCGAATAACTGCTGTATCTGGAAATCCTGTAATGGGTTCGCGTTCGTACGGTGCGAAGACAGGGTGATTCCTGGAGCGAAGCCCCGTAGAGCTCTTCGGGACTCACCGCCGTAAGCCACAGGTCCATCCAGAGTCTTGATGACTTCGGGTGCAGCTTGCGGGACGTTGAAATTGGCCAGATACGCGAGCAAGTCTTCCTCTGGAATGTCAGGGAAATATATGATCCGTACAAGTCGATACATGCCCGTTGGTGTCTTCACAGATGTCGTGAGGATCTTGATCTTGTGGCGAGACTCAAGACCTTTGAGTGTAGCCTCGACCGTACGCTTATCCAACCGCGCGCCTGGGCGAGTGCTGGCTACCCCTCCAGACTTCGTGATTGCCTGAACAACGGCCGCATGAGCTTCAAGGAACTCCTTGGAACTGGTGTTCACGATGCCACCAAAGTCTGATATGACTCGGAGTATCTCACTTTCTCGACGAGACTGTGAAATATTAGCCTTGGAGCGGAATCCAGTCACAGAACTAGTCTGCGGCTCATTTGTCCTGGGTCGCTTAGCGAGAGGTTCCGGGCTGGAAGTATCCGGATGCGTTCGTTTCGAAGTAATATCCTGCATAGGATTTGGAGCATCTGCACCAACAACGGCAAGGGTCGATTCACCGTTGGTAGCTTGGACCTGACGACTAGGAGTCAGCTCCGGTATATTGGGACTAATGAGACGACTGACATCAGTGTGGGCGTCGAGAGGTCCGCCTTCCCCTGTCAAGCGTGGATCAATAGGCACCTCGATAGTCGGTACAGAAGCGGATACGACGAGGGACGCAGCGGGAGGTAGAAAGTGATCATGTTGCGTTACTATTTCAAGTCCCGCTCTTGCCGCGGGGGGGTCGCCGTGGAGTGAATCTCCCTCAACCTGATGTGCTTCATCGTCAGCATCGACATCCACCGGATGTTCCTGGAGGGTGGCTTGACTACGGACGCCGGGTCCTTTGCTCGGGGAAGGTTCTCTCAGCGGACTACGTTCGATGCTGAGATGCCGCGGTTTAGGTTTCCTAGAGGAATGCCGAAGGGGAGTGGTAGAGACTGCGTTGCTGGACACCGAGTCCCGCGATTCAAGAGGTCCAGTGGAGTTATTCTCGCATGCCGCAATCGAAGGCCCAGCTGCTTCAGTTACGTGGACGGAAACTCCGTCTTGCATGGAAACATCGTTGTCTGCAGTTGGCAATGCGTCGTTGAGATGTAGCGCAGAGGGTTCCTGCAAGGAGGAAGCGTCTAGTGTAGACGGCTTTGCGGCATCAACCATGAGAATATCATCCGTAACTGCTACATCGGCATCTGACTCTGCAGGCTTTGCCTTGGGCAGACGGCCGCGTTTCTTGGGCACAGTGTTGGGCAAGTCGCCACTTTGGCCTGCCCCAGCGACGGATTTCTTCTTAGGCGGACGACCGCGCTTCTTGGGGACTGGCATCTCCTGTGGAACATCGCCTTGCTGTCCAGAGCTCTCTGTCTCTGCAGAGGGATGGATGAGATTCGTTGCAGTAATCGACTTCTTGGGAGGTCGGCCTCGTTTCTTGGGCACTGGCATGTCCGACTGGTCACCAACCTGTGATCCGGGGCCATCTCCCTCCACAGACGGACGCTTCTTCTGTGGTCCACCTCGTTTCCGCTTTAGTGGCGGTTCTTCTCCGGCATCCGAATCGTTGACCACATCCACATCCGCATCAGCCCGTTTGCGCTTCTTCCCCTTCGTAACATGAGTGGACTCATCGCCACCTCGAGCATCCGCGACAGATTTACGCTTCTTACTCTTCTTCGCCGACGAAGCATCACTGCCGCCGAGGCCACTTTTCCTCTTGAAGCTGTCGACATAATTGTTGAGGGTATCCTCATCCTTGTAGAAAAGCTTGTCATCCACCGGCAAAAAAGTGCCAACACTGGAGCAATCAACGTCGAGATAACGGGACTCCTCGAACTTCTCCCTGGTTGCGATGGTCCGGTAGTGGGCCACGGTGTAATACTTGTAACGTTTCTCGCGCCCGTGTGTCTCGCCTAGCTGAGCTACACCAAGGTCGCTGAGATGAAGAGGAGGAGGGTCCTTCTCCAAACGGGATAGAAGTAACTCGACCGTTCGCCTGTCAAAATCGCAGAGGGCGTTGGATAGCTCCTAGAAACGTGTTATGATTTCTTGATTTATGCGAAGGATGAACATGCGCGGTGACGTACGGATAATGTCATGCCTGTCGTACCTGCAACGTCCAGGAGATTGATCATCTGCTTGTGAAGCGTGAGGTTCATCTTCAATTCTGTAGGCTCCACTGTAGAGAGAGAAATCTCTGCTATTAGTATATGGTCGTCCACGAAGATATACGTCCTACATTCTCCACTAACGATGTGTTCAGCATCTCCTGACAGTGGGATCTCTTTATCACCTTCTGGAGGCTCGTCTGGGGCAATTAAATGTACACAAGTGACCTTACGATTGGGAAAATGTACATGAGGTACTTGGACTTTCTCGATGACTCCTTGGTCTATGAGGTCACGTATGCGAGATCGGAAGAAGCGCCGATCACTTTTTGTCGGGTTGGCAAAGCCCTGGACCTCGCTATGAGGACGCACTGAAGTAAAAGACGGCCGGGGACTTACGATCTTGAGAAGCAGGTTTTGAGACGCGTGCAGATGATGCGGGCTGTTCTTCAGTAATTTGGCGATGCGGGCCCTCACTAGGGGTAGACTCGACAGGTGTCGCGAGTCAATGGCAGAGAACTCAACGTCTGAGCTTGACGGCCCCATTTGCGTATCATCGTCATCCTGCTCTTCCTCGCTCTCATTTGCCTTCATTTCTTCTTCGACGATTTTCTTCCATATCGGACTGTGTTCAAAAAAGTATTTGTGGACGCAGAAGTTGGTGCTGACTCCAGGTCGTCTTTTCTTCACACTGGGAAGACAAAATTACAATGAGCTTCCCATCGCAGAAGAGAACACCAATCTTACATCAAATCCAAGTCGAGCAGTTGCTTAACGAGGTAGAAGCAGCTCTTCTGATCATAGCCAGACTTCTTTCCCAAATCCACGACACTGATACCATCTTCTCGGCCACGTGTGATGAATTGCAGAACGGTGTAAACCATCGGCGTTAATTTCGATGGCTGCACCCGAGGGAATAAGCTCGCATATAAGATAAAAATAAAAATAATCTCGCGCACTCGGATATGGGACCCAGTAATGGCAGAAAACGAGATCTCAGGATTGACAGCGATCCTGAGACCGTCGCCATATTCGTTGGTCAAGTCTTCCAGTGATCTGATCATGGCATCCGGGATGATGTCGAGTGTAGTAGGCAAGAGGGGGTCTTCAAGCTCTTCGCCCTTGGCCTTTGCCTTCCTCTTGGCGCTTGTTTGTGGGGCAATGTACACTTCGGTCGCGGAGCCGGGAGGGATAGTACCCACCCGCACTCCCGGCTGCTGCACGATCACAGACCAGATGAACGCGCAGTACGCATCGTCGATATTTTGGCGCGGAGAGGAGCTGCTGCGTGAGTAGAAGCCGTTCACAAACTCATGCAGACGTGAGACGTTGCAGCCTGGAAATGAGGTCAGTTGCGAATTTTCATGATCTTAGCAACAAGCGGTGTAAACGTTCTGCTTGCAGCTGGGATCGAACCCTTGACGGCATTCGCGAAGCAGACGACGATTCTATCCTCAAACCCATCCAAACCGGACGGCACGTCGCAATGAACACTCACCAAGATCTCCGTCAAACGAGAGCTCACGGAGGCAATGGCGGACGAGCTCATCCATGGGGGCGAATCTCCCGCTGATACATGAGAGTCATACAAAGATAGGCGGGTTGTTGTAAGTTATGGGCTACTTCACAACTGAGAACACTCACCACAGTCGCCTTGCAACCGTGAAAACTTATGAGAATATCGATGGATGCTTGATCGTCGAGGGCTCGGAGGGCGGGATAAGGGGCGCGGGGCGCTCTCTCCCGCCTTCTGCTTACGTAATATTCACCAACTCGGCTTTTCGACAAGTTGTGGGCAGACTACCGCAGATAAATCCAGAGGATGATGCAAAAGTAGTCTAAGGATGCCATACATAAGGTCGAAGTACGCGTGCTGTAAAATAGTACAATGCTTTGTATCGTCAAGTCGTGATATAAGGCGTCGGAAGACGCTTTTAAGTATCAGAGGATACTGCCACCCCCCAAAAAAACAGCGTCTAGACGGTGCGAAAACCCGTCGCTAGCCAACCCAAGATGCAGACGAAGGAAAAGTTCACGACTTGTCACTGTGCCTGGCACTGTTCCTTCGCCTCCCACATGCTCCGAAGGACGTCCGAGAATCCGACCTTGCCTAGCTGTGCGTTCTGCTCGAACCGCTGCACGAGCCAGTTCTCCAACTTGTCCGCCGCGCTCCGCCAAAGAGCCATGCGGGCCTGTATCTCTGCCGTCTGCTGAAAGATTGTGCGGCCGTCATTCGTTGGCGAGTAGCGTATGGTCTCGTAGCACTTGGCGAACTGGCAAAGGGAAAGGTTAACGGAGGTGATGGTCGCGGTTTGCGTCCTCGGCTCGATGAAGGATATTTCCCGCACAAATGCGTCCTCTGACCCACCGAACAACTGCAACGGACGTTTAGCTCAAGCAGACGCGCGAGGTTTAACAAAACTCACCTTGACGATCCAGCCTGGTGTCTTCTGCTTACAACCCAATACACGTTCCGTTCGGATAACACCCGTTGTTGGATCGACAGTACGGTCAACGACGTCGATAGTAACAACGTGGGTACAGTGAGGATTAGGGTATTTATGCCACATCCCAATTACCACATGGGACCACGGGTGCCTACACAGACGGGGATAAAATCCTGCAACCGAGTCAAGAATACCGGGGTTACTCACTCATAGTGGAAAAGCTGCGAGAAATAATGCATGTCCGCGGACACCAGGTAAAAGAGAGGTGAATAGTGCGAGAAGGTGTAGAGTACAGATGGGTCGCCGAAACAGATCGCACACGACCGGAAAAGTTGGAGAGCGGGACTTAGGTAGGGACAATTTCTTTCAGCCGGGTTCTTCCGTAGATTTCACGGCGTGTGTACGTCAGCAAGGGGCATGGGGCCCGTGACGCCTGTGTTCCGACAGCGGCTTCGCAACCTCCTGCATCCTGCAGATCTTCAAAGAATGTGCTCAGAACTGCACGTACATACATGCTCCTTCATTATGTAGCAGAACAAACTTGAAGTGCCCCGATGAATTTTCAGCTTACTGTATCTCGATTAGGTTATTTCCGCACCGATCACAAACATGGCGATTTTGAAATGACTCCACGGGCATGGAATCCGGGGTCCGCTTAATTACGCCCGTTCCGAGTCCGTACGACGCACTCAAAATACATCGTCACGTATCAAGTAAAATAACGATACGCAGGGGAGTAGTCAATGCAGCGTTATGCCCATGGTCCACCAGCAATCTTCGAAGCACGCCAGTCAGCGCCCCTCCAGTGGAACGGCACGTAATTCGGCCAGTCTTGCCTTCATCTTAGGTCTGTGTACGAGACATAGATAAGAGCACGGCACGACGCACGTAAGAAGATATCAAGTCGACTTACACCTCCAGCAATTTCCCCTCGAGCGTCTCCTTCTCCTGCTGTAGTGCGAGGCGCTTCTCCGCATCAAGGTTCGTGCTGCAGTGAATGATCTCCGTCAATGGCACTGTCTTGTTGGAGTGGAGATGGGACACGCACAACACATATCCGCCTTGCCCATCAAATTGCAGTATCATGGCATGATACTTCCATAGCGACGGCCGGTGCGACACAGTCAACAGCGTGATCCCAAGACGGGCGGCGTACTCCATCATCTTCCCCTCCATCTCGACGGGCACAAGGGAGGTCGCTTCGTCCAGGACGGCGTACTACAGCACAGAGTTAGTATCTGACAAGAGGCGTACGCCGAATAAGTATGGACACCAACCTTCGGCTTGTGGTAGAATAGCCGTGCCCATGCAATTTTCTGCTGGTCGCCTCCACTGAGCGTCTCGCGCCACTCCCGCGCAGCATCCCACCCGCCATCACGCTCCACGACGTGGTCCATCTGTACCACAGACAATATAGCAAGGAGATCATCATCCGTCACACTTCCTGGAGATCACATAGAGATGACAGTCAAAATTCCTGGAATGTAGGCGATTATGGAGCGGGGGCGTACTGGCTTCCATTTCGTCGCGCCCGTGGGGATAAATTACCTGGTCGCGAAGTGTACCCAGTGACAGGTATGGTCGTTGAGGAATCAGGATAAATTGCGATGCCGGCGGTTTCCGAACAATGCCCCCTGTGCAAAGAGTGGGTTAACAGCAAAATTCATCCGATACGGGCAAATGCCTCCTCACCATAGACAGGCCAAAGCCCTGCGAGTATACGGAATAGAGACGACTTCCCGCACCCTAGCAGCCAACCCGAATTGAATACTGAATCAGTTGAATGACCGGAACACCTACCGTTTGGTCCAACGATAAGTAAATGTCGCTGTGACAAGCCAGGTGAACAAATGAAATTTACACCCAAATAAGATTGTACACACCCCGGGCTTCACATAAAAACTTAGGCTGCGGACCAGGATGTCACCGTTTGGCGTAACCACTGGGACATCCTCAAACTCAATATCGTCAGATTCAACGACTACTCCTCTGCCCTTGAGCACTGGGGCAAAAATCACGCTCGCTATATAGCTAGAAACTGACCATGGGCAGAGGCTTACCCTTCGCATGCTCCTCAACACTCGCACTACTCACAAGTGCTTTCTCAAACTTGCCTTTTCGTATTTCTGCCATCGTTTCTAGTAGCAGAGCTACCCGGGTCGTGTACCCCGCGAGCTCCGACAGATCCTTGTACGAGTACATTACTCTCCCGAAGGCATCTAAGAAACTTGGTCAGTCAAGGTTATATCCCTTACTTTTAAGTTTCTGTACCAGAAGCAGATAGAAGGAGGCGTCGGTTTGTGACAAAACCTACATATTCAGAGTCAATATACGACTCCATCCGCATTGGAATAAGGCGAACCTTCCGTACGACCACCGAGATCAACGTTGTTTACGCCGGGTATTCGGAAGAAAATCGGTATAGCACAGATGCACAACTAGATGATCTGCGTTCAGCGGAAGATCTTCGAAACCCCATCTTGCATGGGAGATACTCACTCCGAAGCTACCCCATAACCACTTGATGATCCCCTCCTCGACACACCCGTGCCACCACCGGCTGCGCAGCACGCGCGACTCATGCTTTACGAGACCTGCATACTCCCGCTCTACGAGCATCTTCTCCGTCTCCTCGCCGCCGTAGAAAGCGATTTCCTCCGAGAATTCGGCGAGACGAGATTGCGTGTGACGCAGATTTCCTGAAAGCTGGGCGGACAACGCGGTGAAGAGACCAAACGGCGGCGTTAGCTTGCGCACTTTTGAGTGGGGCGTCAGACAACGATTCAGTGACAACAGGAATGGCGTACGGAGTGTCGCGGACAACTGCACGAACACGGTCAAGAGAACCAAGCCTTCTGCGCCCACGTTTTGTGAGAGCTGATAGTTGTACAAGATGACATCTAACACGGGTTTCGCCACATTGGCGTAGATGGCGGCTAAGTGTGCAGAAAAACGTTGAATGTCATGGGTTATCATCCTATGGCAGTATTAGAGTTGTCGACCTGAGGTGAGGTAGAAACGACCGAACTGATCAGGGTTCTTGATTCTATCATCAAGATTCGCTAGTAACAAGGGGATATCAGGAAACCTTCTGAAAGATGAACACGGTTGAAAACTGACACAACTTGTAGAACACATTCAAGTTCTGCGTATGCTCGTCGCCGAAGTACTGTTTCATGGCTTCCTCGGTGAGACGTGTACGATACGCTAAAGCAAGCTTGCTTTGGACATAGCTGAGCCAGCTGTTAGTCCATGTCGCGGGAATAGCTACAAGTAGCCATCGTAGGATGTTGAAGAGAAAAGGAACAGGTTGAGCACGGACAAGTGATGCCACAATTCTGGCAGGAACAGATGGTGAGCATGCATGATTCATGTAATAGTACAACATCAGCTGGAATCAGGATGGGTGACTCACTTCCCATCCAAAGCCGCAACGTAAAGGGATATCACCGTTCGGAATATCAACAGACTGGAATGCATGCAAAGGAGTAGAGCCTCCTTCGAGCGTAGATTCGGGATCACGATTCTAAGTATTGTGGAGAGCCGTTGGTAGAACAGCGCATCCACCTGAAGAGATGGGCCACATTCCAGTGAGAGACACAGATTCAGGTTAGTTCACCGAGTACTCTCTTCAGGTTGATACAGCTCACAGCGACTCGGACAGGCCTTCGCGGATGACCTTGATTCACAGCCTCCACCTTCTCCTTCTCTTTTCCCTTACTCTTGGGAGAAGACTTGGCAGAGAAACCGTGGTATGTTGAAGAGATAACATGTACAGCGAAAGCAATAGTGAGCAGCCGTTGGAAGACAGGACGGTGGGCGACGTAGAAGTTGGCAAGCTGCTTCAAGTGCTGCCGGCTGTTTCTAAGAGTAGACTGGACCGCCATACGCAGAACATAAGCGTTAGCTGAGAGAACTCAGAGCAATGCCGCCCCATTCAGAATTGTAAATCAAATGGGGAGACATCTTCCAACATGTGATTCTGTGATGTTAATTACGTAAGATCACATTAGTCGTTGAACTTCGAATTCCTCGCCCGTTTGCGAAAATGGTCCACAGAAACTGAGGCGGTGAGAGAGATTGTTCCTGACTGTCAGAAGAAGCGTAAACTCCTAGCAAGTACTATAGTAGCGGTTAGCTAGTCGCCTACATTATTTACCCACAATGCAGTGAGTTGGCGAGAACATAAACGTCTGCCGCTTTTGCATAGGCTGTCACCTCCCAGCACTCCTCGGCAACAACCTTGTTTACTGGTCAGAACTTCGGTCCTAATTATCAAGTGTTCAATATTCAATATTTATTTGATGGCCCATGCGTGATGACAAGACATATGGTGTGCAATGACGTTTTGATAGATGCAGATCTCACGCACCGTCATCGATTGCGATCATAAACGTTTTTCGCTCACAAACTATTTTTGCCGCTCGCCGGTGCGCCGGTCACCGGTGAGTGCCAGCTTTTTCATACACCACCCACTGCTTGACGTCACTACACACGATGTCTGCTGCATCCTCTGACGCCGCCGTCCAGCAATCCCATTCCAGGGCGCCATCTGCTTTACCCGCCAGCGGCTCGGCACTGGAGGGTTTGGCCTTGCGCCCAGACAAGCCCGTCATTGCGGTTGATCTTGACGATGTGCTCAGCCAAACCAATCGCGTGGTGGCGGAATGTATGTGCCCAGCCGATTCCCCCTACAGTAGACTCTGCGCTGACAACTCCGAAGGGCACAATGACACCTATGGATCCAACATGACCCTCGCACACTTTTATTGTCAGTAAATTGTCGTTCGTTGACGTACGGTTGCTCACATATGACTCAGATTATTACTATTGGAAGGTACGTCGGAGCCCCACGAATAGCAGAACTTTTCCTTAAATGCTGGGCCTTAGAATCCGTTCTGGGGAGCGCCTGAGGAGACGTTCAGAAAAGTAGAAGAATTCTACAGAACTACCCGACTAGATGAGGCCCCTCCAGTTGAAGGGGCGTTGGAAAGTCTCAAGAAGCTCATTGGAAGGGGCTTCCAACTGGTGGTCGTGACCGCAAGGCAGCAGCGCGAGATGGAACGGAGCATGCGCTGGCTGCAGCGGCACTATCCCGGGATTTTTGAGACTATGATCTGCACTGGGCAGTCCCAGGAAACTTTGGCAGATGAGCACGAAGCATTGACGAAACTTTCCAAGGCGCAGGTGAGAGCCTTCTTTGCTGCTCTACACTGTGCACTGAGAATGCGCAATCCCCTCTTAGGTTTGTCATAAGCTTTGTGCCAAATTCATAGTAGACGACTCCATCGAGAACGCGCACAAGTGCGCCCGCGCCAATCCCCCAGTGCCGGTCCTTCTTTTCGGTGACAACAGCTGGAACCAGCGAGAAGCCAAGTTCGGCGACATGAAAGACGAACTGAGCTTCGACGAGAAGCTGGAGCTTGAGGGCGGCCGCGAATTCTGGCGCGACGATCTTGCGACAATCCCGGAGGGAATCACCAGGGTAAAGAACTGGCACGCAGTCGTGCAATGGGTCGACGAGAACATCCAGCTCTGATCATGGGCAGGAGCCTGAGATCAATACCAAATACCGAGCATGTAATCTAGATTATACCTTTGACCACCATAAATACGTTGCACCACTCTAATTTTGAGAATAATTGGCTGAGTATGTAGTCATGTGGGTGCCAGCGAGTGTTTGCTGCACGCTGCGTTGGCGAGCGGGAGTCACGATATCGTGGCGACGCCGCCGTGTATTAGCCGTATACAGCCGCATGCAAAGCCGCATGCACTCAAAGTACGTTGACCTCTTCAAATCGCAACTCCATCTATCTCGCCATCATCCGTTCTCCACGTTTGATCATCCACATTCGATGTCATGGCTTCTGTCCGGATCCAAGCATTGCTGCAAGAGCCCGACCTCGCCGGCTCTGAGAAACGCACACTCGACTTCCTGAATGCGAGTTTCACCACACTCGGACACCTAGACGACCAGCCAGACCTCAATCACACGGTCGAGCAGGCGCGACAGGGGAGGGATCAGCTGAAGGCCCAAGTGCGTCCGGGCACCCGTATCCGACCGTTGCTCTTCTGAACCGAATGTCGCAGCTCAGCTCTCTCAATTCCGAATAGACGTGGACGCGCTGATCGTGCAGTCCCGAAGTGATGCACAGACCCAGCTGCACACTGCGCAGGAGCTGTCGCTGCTGCGACACTCGCTGGCGGACGAACTGTCGTCTCTCTCGGAAGAGCTGGTCTCGTCTCTCGCTGCGTCTGACGGCAAGCCGACCCTGTTGGAAAATCTCGAGACCCTGCACCGCCTCCTGAAGGAGCTTGAGAGTGTCAGGAGTTATGTGCAAATAATTGAACGTGCTTTGAAGCTAAGGTGTGCAATCGGTTTCACTTGCGGATCACAAACCGAGAGATGACAATTGCATAGCGCCTCTGCCGTCGAGCAGATACGCTCCTCGTCTTCACTGTCATCTCTGAGTGAATACGAAGCCCTTCAGCAGTTCATAGCGTCAGTGCATACAGCATGTGTTCAGGTGGAGGACTCCGCAGGTCAGGGGAATCTACAAATTCTCTCCTTCCTCGACAGTGTCAGAGAGCAGACCTGGTTGGACATCAAGAATGTGGTATCGGCGTGAGTGTAGACGTGCATGTCTTTCTAGCGGGACCTTAGTTGTATTCTGCAGGGCCCTACTGTCCGCTTCCGAAAAGCTTCACTGGCCAACGCCTGTGGATTACGTTTCCGTAACGGACGAGGATAGGAATATGTTCCAAAGCGCTTTCCTCAATCTCCTAAAGCTTCAGACCATGTACGTACATTCCAGCTTCGCCTTTCCTTCCTTCTCTGAAAGTCTCCTGCAGGGGAGAAAAACTTCACGCATCGGCAAAGGGAAAGGGTGTGGAAAGGGAAGGTCTCTATGCAATTCAGGCCCTGGTCCAGCCTGTATCTCTTCGGTTCAAGTATCACTTTGAAGGGACACGGCAGACGAACAGGCTTGATAAAGTGAGTGCACGCGGGAAGCCAATCAAATGACAGAAATTAACGCAGTCTTCTTCGATAGCCTGAATGGTACTTCGCTCATATCCTCAATGTCTCGCATGAACACCGCCCTTTCATGGAAACCACAGTACAACACCTGTTGAATGGTACACAATACAGGGGAATCATTGCTTGGGTGAGTGGAGGTGATTTATGTTGTTCTAGCTCTTCCTCATCGATACCGCGCAGCGGGAGTTTACTATGCTCCTCCTCCCTCTCCTCGCCCGCAAACTGCGACATACCGTTCCCTCTTTGCTGACCCATCCACCAGTACTTGCACACACCATCTACCAAGCACTCACTTTCGACAGCACGATCAAAGATGAGGGATTCGACCTCTACGGGACGACGGCTGAAAAACACGCGACCGATGTTCCCGTGCATGACAGGGAAGACAAGAAAACGCAGTGGGAGGGCATCAGTGAAGTAATTCTAGGGAGAAGGGAATGGTTCGAAGCATGGTTAGAAGGGGAGAGAAAATGTCGGCGATTCCATTTTTCATTACATATGTTTGGTTGCTAACATGGTAATTACAGTCGCCATGGACCAATACATGGAGATCATTATGGCTCCGGACGCGTGGCTCATAGCGGACGATGAGGGTGAAGGTGACGATACCCCAGCGATCAACCATGAGCTGAAGCCCACAAACTCTGCAAGGAGAGTCAAGGCGTTGGTGGAACAAGTCACAGGTTCGCTGATTTTAAATATTTTCTTCTGTTCGTACTGATATCTGCCCCGCAAAGATCGTTATTCTCCCTTACCCCAATTCACGCATCGTACTCGCTTCCTGATCGCAGTGCAGCTTCCTCTTTTAGAGTCTTATCACGCTCGCATATCGGCCTCTCTGGATGCCTTCGAGACCCTTTCCTCTAGCTTCATGCGCGCTGTGCCAGGCGCCCTCAACACCGTGGGGGGTGGCAATGATGCTTCGGGGCGACCGGGAGACAGCAAAAACCTGACAAGCGGCGTACAGGGCGTGCAGAGGCTATGCAAGGCGCTGCTGAGTGCGAAATATATGGCATCTGCCCTTGAAGCTTGGGGTGAGGAGTTGGTGAGTAAAGGGAACACTATCTAGTTATTCCCTTGAGCTCACGGGGACGATGTCACAGTTCTTCCTTGAATTGTGGGAAGAAATCAATCGCAGGGCGTCCTTGCGTTCTCGTGTAGAGGCTGAAGCCTCGCTGCCCAGCCCGAAGGGCAACGATGCTGACTCCGATCTTCCAGAGGGCACCATCTTCGAGCAACTGGTTACATTCTACAATAATCTGACACATCGCGCTGAAGACATGGTTGTCCATTGTGTCTGCGGAGAGGTGGAGGGCAGTTACAAGGCTCACATCTCCGGTGGTTCAACGTACGTAGATATGCTCTAATTATGGTTCGGTCGTTCTAACAGTCTCCGTAGGCATGTCACCAGCGCTGGCGCCGAAGACAGCATCTCACTTCCACCAACGCTCCTGGCGCCGATTGCATTGCTCTCTTCGCACCTATCATACCTTAATCCTACTCTCCCTCATACGATTATGTCCGCTCTGTATCGGCGGATCGCGTCGCATATCTCCTTGCATATTCTCCAGCGCCAAATTCTATATCGCGGCCGCGGGCGGATCGGCCTGCAGGAGAGCAAAATCATCCTGGCAGAGTGCGAACTCTGGGTGGAGACTTGCCGGCTCGCGTTGGCTCGCGATGAGCGGGCACGCGCCGAAGCGCCGTGGAGGCCGTTACTTCAGGCTGGTCGTTTATTGTGTGTCGAAGGAGAGGCATTCGCGAAGGTCACGGACAAGTGCTTTGGTGTAGCTGGGGACTAGGAGTGGGAGGGCGCGATGATGGAAACTGTCGGGCTCGCGAGTTTGAGCAGAGAGGTGGCAGGCCAGATCTTGGGAACGAGGGCAGATTGTGAACAGTGACCGTGCGGTTGTTGAGTTTTTAGGTATTTCTATGATGTCCTAGCATTGCATATTGGATGAATACAGCTGGGTATGATTGGAGATACATACAACAAGACAGCGGTAACGAGAGCTCGAGCTAAGATGAAAGGAACCCGTTGTCCCCTGTTAGATTTTGTACACGATACTTTCGCTGAGCATAAGCTCGTTGGCCTCTGTCATGATCTGACACGCAACAGTAGCCTCGGCAGTCCCGAACAACGTGTCCGTGGAGAGACCTTCGTTGATCAGCTCTACCAGGTCCGCCAGGAACATCTGCTCTTCGTCTTGCAACTTGGTCGCGAAGAGGTTAGCAAGACGTGTGCGGAAGAGCTTCAGCCTGTTACCCACACAAAGCGCATCAAAATGCGAACAAAATGACGGAAGTGTAGTACATACCGCTCGGGGTGAATGCGAGGGTCATCCGTAGGACCAGCAGGGGCTTCATCCATTTGCATATCTTGATCCACAGGCATCGAAGGCTCCCGGCTTGGCCTTTCAGGGACAGCCTTACCCTTCGCCTGCGCCGGTATCTCCATCCTGGCATCCGCTGCGCCATCCTCGTCGTCGCTTTCGTGGTCGCTCTCGTCTTCGTCCTCGTCCTCTCTTCCGTCGCGTGGAGTGCCGTCGTTCAGCTTGCGCTTCTTCCTCCGCTGGCGCTTGAGGACTTCTCGGAAGAGCGCATAGCGCAGCAGCTCTTCTGCCGCCTTCGCGTCGCGCTCCTGCACCTTCGGCGAGAGCCGTGCCTTTGCATGGGCGGTCGACAGACGGATGAGTGTTTCGAGTGTACGTGCTGTGAGTGGGGATGTCTGGGTGAGAGACAAGTCAGACGTTGGGACGCCGCTATAGAGAGGGATAAGACAACGCACCCTCCTCTTAGTGCCCTCAAGGTCCTCGTTCCGCAAAGTCGCGTACACGTTCACGATATGGTCCGCAGCGCCCTTGGTCAACACCGGTGCGGGCTTATTCTTTGCATACTGTATGTACTTCTTCACGAACGCGATGCTGAGCACCTCCTTCTTGCGCGGCTTCTTGCTGCGCGTCGAGGAGAGCGTGGCGCCGACGCCGATATGCAGGAGCGGGTCGTACTTCTCGAACGGGGACGGCTCACCCTCGTCTGCGTTCTCAGACACGACGCCGGGGCCCTCTATCGCGAGGCTCTGAGTGAGGCTATCCGCGACTGGCGTGCCCTCCTCGACGCCTGGCGGGAGGTACCGGTGCATACGCAGGACGTGGTCCGCTATCATGCGATCGCGTACCTCGTCGACGTCGTCCGTTACGACGAAGAGCAAGTCGAAACGCGAGAGGAGCGAGTCCGGGAGCGCGATATTCTTGTGAGGGTCTTTGTGCACATCGTACTGCGTCGCGTATATCAGACAACCAGACAATATATGACATGCTGCAAGAAGCGGAAGGATACGCACCTGGCCGTATATTGGGTTCGCTGCGGCGACCACACTGCACCGCGCGTTCAAGGTGGTGTGGATGCCCGCTTTGGCGATGGTGACAGTTTGCTGCTCCATGACTTCGTGAATCGCCACCCTGTCGATGTCCGACATCTTATCGAACTCGTCTATACACACGACACCGCGATCAGCTAATACCATCGCACCAGCCTCGAGCCTTCGCTCGCCGGTGTCCTTGTCCATCGTGACTGCGGCGGTGAGACCGACGCCCGAGCTGCCGCGCCCAGTTGTCGCAATCGCGAGAGGCGCTGTGCTAAGCACGAACCTCAGGATCTGTGACTTTGCAGTCGAAGGGTCGCCGACCATAAGCAGGTTGATGTCGCCTCGGATGTGCGTGCCATTGGGGAGGTTCTTCTCCCCACCACCTAGGAGAAGTAGGAGGACGGCGGATTTGATGTGGTCGTTGTCGTAGATGGACGGCGCGAGCGATTGCGAGAGCAGCTCGTAGATATTGGATCGCTTTGACATCTGGTTGATCATACGAATATCGGAGTCTGTGAGTGCGGTCTGGGCGATACCCCCGCCGATTTTTGACGAAAGGAGGTTGATATTGTTCGCCAGAATTAAGGTCCTGTAAAATGGTAGTCTTTGAGACCATGGCTAGCGGAACAAAGATAGAATCAACGCACTTGAACGCGCCGCTAGCACCACCTCCTACACTACGATACACCCCAACAAGTTGAATCCGGTCACCAGGCTTGCACTTGTCGACAAGGTCATCATCAAGAATCACGTCCGTACTTCGTGGCAGCTGCCCTGCGGGCGCGCGCTCCGGCATCTCTTGAATACTGATACGCTGGTGGTCGCGGAAGATACAATGTCCAAACTCCGTCTCCAGAGGGTGGCCTTCGTCATCTTGCTGCGGTGTCACGGAAGATGTTGGTGGGAGATTGGATGTTGTCGTTGTCGCGTCGCGATATTCTCGGGCGTGGAAAAGGTGCGTCTCAGGACAGTAGTGCACAGACTTGAGCATCTTGGGCCGGACAAGCGAGCAACGCGTCACAATGCCTTCGAGCGAGATCATCTTACCCAGCTGCGCGGCGCGGAGAGTGCGAGGGCTGACGTGGTGGTCACCGAATGACCCGCTGAAGCCGACGCGATAGCTCTTGCCTGAAACATCGTACTTCTCCTGGTCGTGTACGCGGTTCACGAAGTTGGCGAGCGCGTCGTCGAAGGCTGGAAGGTAGTCCACGGGCTGCTTCAAGAGCCCGTCAGCAAAGTCACGTCGGTAATCGCGAAGGTCGTCAATATTGACAATCAGTCGGCGCTGATCCTGGCGGAGCATGCGGGCAATTTCATCCTTGTAGTTGTAGAGGTCCGAGTCGGAATCGAGGAATTCTTCGAATATACGCGTCCTGTCGCGCATCTGGTCGTCCAGAGTTTCGGGCTCATCTAGAAGTGACATGATTTCTGTCTGAAGTGATGTGAGTAGAGATGTTTTGCAGAGGCTTTTCTGACATGCGGCAATCGGTGACACCGCACCATAATATTGCACGTTTCCACATCGGTCAGTCCTCATTCGCTCTCAGACCCCTTTCAGGCGGTCTTGCCTCATTTTACATAGCCAATAATATGGGCGTAAACCCATTTCCAACACGGTCCAACGCGTCAAATTACAGTTTTGACGAAGCACTAGGCTAAGAAACAGTTCAAAGTCCTTCCCGACGGCACACCGATGCAAAAGGACATACAACGCGCAATAACGTGCAGTGAACTCACCCTTTCGTGAAACTAGGGTTTTTGCTGGAGGAAGAACGAAGAGGACGTGGGAGGGAACGGACGCGTCGCGCTTGAAATTAAGTTACTTGAGGCACGAAATGCCCTGCCCTGAACTAGGCACATGACGTTCGGCTAGGAGTCTAGCAAGTACTGTCACTACTTAGCCGCAGCGCAAGTTTGAAGTTGCGGACGGGTCAACAGTTCTGAGTCTCAGAATCTCCTCAAATCGAGGCAGCGACGCCTATCGATGCTCTGGACACCTTTCAGTGTTGCCATCGTCGTGATGCTGAAGGAGAATAACAGCCTATTGTCGAGCGATCTCGCGGATGGTCAGAAAATACATCCGACAATCGTTAGTGCAGCTACTGTTACAACCCACCGCAAACCGTACAACCAAGTTCAAAGTCGGTAGGAAGGCTTGACATGTCAAGCTCTGGAGTCCCGCGATTGATTCGCACAGCCTGATGCTGCCCATGGCGCTGATCAACTGCGAACTCGCTGATCTGTCTCTGCCTTCTGTGGTGCAAACCCCATCCTCATCACCACGGTACTGTGCAGTCATCTGCGTAGCAGCCTCCGCGTTCCTCAACCTGTCCCTGGTCAGTTGGCACCGATTAATCACCACCAAAACCTCAACAAGCATCACGCTCGCCTTTTCGGGCTCAAACTCCTGTCAGAGTGACGTTCATCAAAGTGGAAACAGAGTTATATGAGTTATAAAACTCACCGCGGTCCCTGCTATCTGCAGGCTTCCTTTCGCCTTTGAGTACGCAATCTACAGAACAGCGCGCGTTAGCACGAGCGCTCCGGCGCGGTCTCCCCCGAAAGCATATTCCCACTGACACTTCTCGCCGAGACCAGTGCGACGAGGATGAAAACGGACAGGATCGACGACAAGCTGGCGTACATGGTGACGCGGAGGAGCGGAGGAGGGAGTTGTGCGGAGAAAAGATAAGTCGGTGCGCTTCAACGCTATCGGCGTCGCGCCCACGGCTCCATATGCACGGAGTTGGCAGGATCCCATGCTTGCAAGTCTCCACCGCTCCGCGAGTATCAGACCACTCACCGGATCGTACGGATCTGCTTCCTCGCTTGTTCCTTTCGCACCTCGAGGTCATCTGGCTCTTGCGCCGTCGTCGCAGTTCCCCGGCAACGTCTCCAATCGCTGCCATAGTACTCACATGCTCACCCAAAGTCCAGCTACCTCAGCGCAGTTTGAGACGCGCGTCTCACGACTAGACATTTGGTGCTGTCGACGATAATACACTCGATATAAACAGTACCAACCGCACGCCAAACAAGAATACAACAGAGTACAGGTCCACAAAAATGATGCCACAATGGATGAACTCCGAGCACGAATTCATGCGCATCGTGCTCCAAGAAGTAAAATCGGCATGGTGCAAACGCTGCGAGCGCTGTAAGGGCAGGGTCGTTAGTTCCACTGTTATGATCACTGCTGTTGAAACACATACGGACAATACTTCTCAACTACAATCAATACGGAGAACAGCAAGAATCACCACCAAACTGCCTCTGTCGAACAGCGGCTCAGTTAAGTCGTAGTTTCAATTGTGCATGCACCTACATCTACGAGCTGATAAGAAGACGAAAGACATATGAGAACCTCAGACAACAGCGATGAAAGACGCGACGCTTACCATTCCATATTCTTCACGGCTGACGATCTCATCTGGCGCCGCGACCTGTTTGCATCGCACCGAAATCGAACGAATGCATCAGCAAGATCAGATCAAGTGAGCACCTGTGAGCAGAGCACCCACCGGAGAGGCGGAGACGAGAGACGTAAGCAGTGCGAGCGACAGCAAGCACAGCGAAAACTTCATCTTAGCGGAGGCCGAAGACTGTGGGGCGAGTCGACTGGGTGGGAAGATAGCCTGGCGCTCAAAGACTTGCTCCGATGCTTATAAGCAAGTGGGCTCTTCAGGCACAGCGTTCGGATCCTTCCTCGGACGCCCTGCAATAGGCTGCAGTCTTTTCTGGGTGAGTCCTATACAAAAGTAGACTCCCGGCATCAGCCTTCCAGGAACCCCACCAAAGCATTGGGCCTCGCAGCTTCCTGACTGTTGCTACTGCCTTAGCACACGCCGTGATCGTCGCCAGATCGGTCTAGGTGTGTACACTGATAAGTTATAAGAACTATCTTGTCCACTCACCGACTCCACCGATTTTTTCGGATATCATGCAGGGAATCTCTTGCACCATGCAGTAATTGTCCGTGGGTGTATACATCTTCCATTGCTGATGTCGAAAGGTGCAGTACACACGTGCAATATCAAGGAAGCCCATTCAGGGGGCCGCGTATCTACCGCCAGCGTAACGAATCATACACGAGCAACTTGAACGTACAAGACAAACTTAGCCTATTATTAGTCCTGGAGTTTTCTGGTTAGTGCGCTTCATTCAAACTTACGCTTCACGGCACGTACCCATAGCTTGATCAACCCATCCCAAGACGCCGTCACAACTTTTGACTGTGGAAAAGAACATATGAGAATCGCCGCGGTACCTCCGAACATCGCACGTACTGTCTCATGAGGAAGCCATTCGTGTGCAATTACTACCTTCGAATGTGCCCGAAGACGCGACTTAATGCGGCCGGACTTCCATTCCCAGAACACGACGTTGCCCTCGCCATCGCCGCTGCTGATCCATTTGCCATCAGGAGAGAAACCCACCTGGCAAGCGTAACCAGCAACTGAATGCCCTGCGAAGCGCTTATTTCGTGCCTGCCTGAAATTATCCGTGCTGTAGACCAAAATTTGGTTGTCCAGGCTCTGGGCTGCGAAGTACTTCTCTACAGGCAAAATTCAGCAGTCATGCTACTGATATTTCCAGAAGTCTTACTGTTTGGATGTACCGTAACCGCAGGCATGGAATGCATATGCGGTTCGGCGATATACTTGATTACGACGGGGATATCGAAGTCCCAAGCACGGATGGTCTTGTCATCAGAGGTCGTGACGAATCGTCGATTTTCATCCACGAACGTGATAGTATTGACCGGACCTAGATGTTGGTCGTACTCCTGTGTAATCTCGCCAGAGTTGATGTCGTACTAATATTGGATTAGCTGGGAGATGACAGGACATTCACCAATGAGCACTCACCTGTATGATCTTTTTGTCGGACATACCGGCGAGGAATATATTCTGCTTATCCTCGTCCGGATGGAAACGCACAACGTACGGGATTTTACCGTTGCTAAAACGTTTGATACATGCGCCGGTCTCTGTGTCCCACAGTTTCATTTGACGATCGTAGCCGCAAGACAAGAACCTGCGACCGTCGTTCGAAAATGTCACATCTTTCACCGCTTTCATGTGGCCATGGAACGTTCGCAAACAATTGCCGTGAGTATAAACATCCCACAGCTAGTAGCGGCGTCAGCATCGTGATATAAAGTCAGACCAGAACACGCACCTTGATCTTGGTGTCCATGGACCCACTAAGAAGTAGATGGCCAGTATCGGGGAACAAACGTATAACTGACACGCCCTGTGTATGCCCGGTCCACGTGTGGATGCAAACCTTCGGAATGAACGTCTCTTGCGACCCCGCCTCGGCTTGTAGCTGTGGCGCTTCCGAGAGGGGCGGGGACATGTACGTGCGACCCTGGTAGTCTGTCATCGACTTGCCATGGAAGACGGACGACTCCAGACCCGGTGCGCCACGCTTCGGTTTCGCCTTCTTCGTCTGCACCTGCACCTCTGGCTCCTCTTCCGATTCCTCCTCTGCATCTGGTTCTTCCACCGCAACTTCATTGGGGTTATCTCCCGACCAAGTTGTCCATGGACCCTCGTATGCCCCCTCCCCGTCCACAATCTCGAGGTCGCCTCGCGGTTTCCGCTTCCGCTTTAAATCCTTCTTTTCCTTCTTCGACGTCCGCAATGCGTCAATAGTCGCGAAGTTGTTCGCTTGAGCTTTCTCGACCGAACCCAGGATTGCCGGTGCGTTCGGATCGACAGAAGGGTTGGCAGAATAGCCCAAGATAGAGTGGGTAAGATGCTGCTGCCGGAACGCATGCTCGGTCATCGACTGTTCCTCCACATGGCCTGCGAGGGCATTCTGATTCAAGAACCGATTACGGTCACCGAAAGGGTTCTCCGGCCCTTGCACCGGGAGCATCATGTCGTTATAGGTGATATTGACGTTCATTCGGGTGTCTGTCGGTCGTGTGACCAAAGACGTCTGCTTGAGGGGATCCTGCACGTACCCTTCAAGCACCATCCGAAATTTCAAGGACGCGTCTACGCACCTCAGAGAGCACATCTGGTGCAGCCTGCGGGCTAATGGAGGTAGCAGGTTCGTCTAGCCGTATTTTCTTCGCTGCTGGGATAGCAGACAGTCCAAAGGTATCCGCCGAAGCCGAGAGAGATGTAGCATAATCCTCATCTGAGGAATATCCAGGCAGAAGAGACATGACTGAAGCTGGAGAGAGGTTGGGTTACGTAATGTCCCACTGGAATAATATTTCTAGAAAAGGTGAGGCAACCCAAAAATATCCATTTTTGTTCTAGTCGAGTCAAGGTGTGTTGAGCATGTCCCTTTCTTACCTATACACGACTTTTCATCACTTGCTGCTCGGGCAGGCTGCCTGCTAATGCGCGAAGGGGTTGTCTGGAGGCAATGGACGGAAGATGAAGACAATTTGCTCACCCAGGCGGTAGCTGTGCATGGGGAAATTGACAACTGGAAGAATGTTGCGCTCTGTGTCCCTGGGCGCACCAACAAGGCTTGCAGAAAGGCGATTACCTACGTGTATATTCACGATAGTACCATGATCTGACCGGATTGCATCGATGTAACAGCGGTGGCTTCATTCGCTTTCCCCCTCCATCAAGAAGTCCGCTTGGACCGCGGAGGAGGACCAACTTCTATTGTCTCTTCACGCTGTGCACGGAACTAAGTGGTCTGTCATTGCCCGTCAAATTTCTGGCAGGACAGATGATGCATGTTCAAAGCGCTATCGGGAGGCATTGGATCCTTCTCTCAGGCGGGATGACTGGACAACTGACGAAGACGCCGCGCTTCAGGAGGCGTATGCACGTCTGGGAGGCAAGTGGGGGCAAATGGGACAGCAGTTGAGGAGAAGCGGGTTGAGCTGTCGAAACAGGTCGCGCTTTGACTCTGTGGCGTCCAACGATCGTTCTGACGTGTTGTCACCAGATGGAGGATGTTGGAGAGGAAAAAGGCCTCTCGCCGTGAGCCTTCTGAATCAACTCTCTCTGTGGCGAACGTCGACATGGACCAACCTCCTCTTGATGATACCTCGACTCAATGGATGGCAATACCTGTTGATTCCCGGCTCTGGGACCACGATGCTTCACACTTCATGTCCTCTTTGTCGACGCTGCCTATCGATGCGATGCTGCCACTGGGTGAAACGCCACCGTCCTACCTACCATCGGAAGACTTCGCTGCACTGGATACTTCCTATGATCAAACTGATGTCTGCTCCGACCCGGTCGATCGTCCGCCCTTCCAATATGCTTCCTCTTCCCTGAGTAGGGCTTTATCGAGTCCTCTTACCTCGCCGTCTCCGCAGGCGCATTACGCTCTATATCCCTCTCCCATTTCCGAACATCTCAACTTGACCGAAGCTTCCTCGAGTGCCGGTCCGACTGTGCACGAACCTGACCATGCGGCGTTTGTCGCACTTGATAATCTCTCTGGCGTCGACTATAATGATAGCAGGTACTATCAAAACGGCCGACCTTCTGACTCGGAGATGAACCACACACACGGTTGTGGTGAACTTCCGGTGGCAATCGGAGCCTCTCCTGAGATTCAGAGTGTCATATTAACTCCAGCTTCGTCTGTGCTTACTCTTTTGTCACTGCCGGCCTCGCTGCCCAGTTCTTCCGGTGACTTTGAAACACCTATGAGTGCAGCCGGCAGTGAGCCACCGAGCAGCCCTGCGGTCCACGACACCGCACTTTGTTCTGCCGCGCCGAGCGCGAATTGGCAGTGTACTTCGCGCGGGTGGTCGCTACGTCTTTCTGCCAACCTTCCGGCCACATCAGAGTGAGTGTTGTGAACCTCTTCTATACTGCTGTGGGTGTGCCGACCAGTGACCCTTTTGCAGCTCAGGTGTGCTGGCGTATGCTTGCGGTCATCAGCTCTGTTGGCCTGAGGGCACCATCACGAGCAGCGCCTGTTTCGCGACGTCTGGAGATCTGCTCGAACATAACAGGGCAAAGCACCCGCAAGATCACTTCGGTAGCAAGCCATTCAAATGTGGATTGGCCGGTTGCGGCAAGAGCTGGAAGGTTAGCCTGGAATCTCTCAGTTGTACGTCTTTAAGCTCATCGCTGGCAGAACATTAATGGCCTCCAATATCATTTGCAAATGTACGATTCATTTCGGCGTTTTTCACCGTATAGTCTGGTTTGACACAATGTTCTTCTTTTTCTATCAGTTCCAAGACACACTTTCAACAAGCACTGGCAGCAAGCGTCCCGATACCCGCTGAGTCTACGAACTCCACTACTGACCCGAGCCAGGCGGAAAGCAGTCGGGTCAAAGCAAAGACTTTTCCTTGCACATACCCTGGTTGTCGCAACGAGTACAAGCAACTGAGTGGCTTGCGATACCACCTGGCCCATGTGCGTGATAAATATTTCGCAGATGGCTCCTCCGTATTGACCAGTGTATGCAGGGCCATCCCCCCGATATGCCTGCTCAACTAGACGTTGTTCCACCGGCGTTGGCCCGCAAGATGGCCGAGAAACTACAGAACAAGGCCCTTCCTGTAGTCCGAAACCCGTGAACATACGCTTTGCTGCTGACTGACTGATGATACTGCCCACGGTTTCTTACACGAAAATTCGTTTAATGCTGATAGAGTGTTGTGGTGTCGCTCGACGTTGAGCACGACTTGTTTCTTAACTTTCGAGGAGGTTCTCCCGACCGATTAGTTAGAGAAGTTAGAAGTCGTGCCATCACATGCAGATTTCCATCCGTTGTGATTACTATTAAATTTAACCGGAAGACATCATTTCTCGTATGAATGGAGGTTGTGGTTGTGTTTATGTGGCTGCGAGATATGCAAGGACGAACAGAAACAATGTCGCTAGACGCAGTGCTACACCCTTACAACTCTGCCCACCCCACATCCGGTTCGTCACCGCTGAGCATCCCGAGTACGAACACAGTAACGCTCGCCGCCATTCGAATACCCAGTCCACGATACAGCTGACCGGCGCCCGTGTTCCTCAACCAACTCTCGTTCTCATAAACATCCTCAGGCTCCTCCGCAGTCTTCTCTTTCTCTTTACCCTTCGCCTTCCCGCTCGAGTGCCGCCGATGCCGTTTCTTGGGCTTCAGCGGAAGGTCTGACCGTTCCTCCGTGAGGATATGCCACAGCGCGTCGACGACGCCGTTATAAGGCGCAGGGCGCAGCTCCACGCACGCCTTGAGCGGCTTCGCGGTCCCACGTACCTGCACCTGCAGCCGCCTGCGCGCGGTCTCGATCGGGAGCGTGATGAGCAGCCCCGCGAAGCCGCCGAGAAGCTCCGCGACGCTCCACATGAACGGGCGCGTCTCGGGCGTCAGCGGCGCGCCGCCGAAGCTAAGGTATGACGCGAAGAGCCCTGGGAGCGTGAGCGGGACGAGTGTGCGGAGGGTGCAGTCGAGCAGCGTCGGGATGAGGAGGTGTGGATGGAAGTACACGCCCTTGAGGCCGCCCTCGTGGGAGAGGATCTGGCGGAGGGCGTCGATGGGCCCAGAGTAGGTGCGATACCGCGGCATTGCAGACTGCACGATGAGGCGAGTGCGGATGAGGTCGAGAGGAGAGAGGAAGAAGCCTGTCAGGACGTGAGAGGCTACAGGGAGAAGTAGTGGTTGCATGGGGGAAGTCGACAATAAAGGAAGAGCGGGGGAGAGCACGGATTGGAGGACAGCGTGGATCAATGGTTGCAAACCCACTGAAAGCGCATCGCTGACGCTGGATGTCAACAGGCCTATGCGAAGACGTTAGTGGCTGAAAGTCCCAAAAACGCCAGTCTTAACCTTTCCAAAGCGACAACCAGCCTTCTGCGCGAAATCGTCCTAACCGCTTCGCCATTCCCCACGAACCAGCTGCACTGCCGACTGGGATGACGTATTCAGGTATGGTACCCTCCTCCAGGACCGACTGCCTGACGACATATCCCCTCTCATCGGACAGCCTTGGAGGGATGGATGGAGAGGAGTCGGGTTTACTGGGGTCCGCGAAGTATTCGTTCGACGAGTCGCTGAGCTGTACGAAATGGTGAAGGCGCACACGCTTCAACAAACCAACTCAAGCGTGAAAATTGGCCCTCACGATCATACCTCTTCTTCCTCATCCACTACATCAGTCGTCAACACCGCTCCGGGTACTACCTCTCCCGCGTCTCTTGGAACCCACTGGACCTGGAGTAGTGTCTTCCCTACATCAAGTGGCATGACGAGTGCCGTGGTCGCATACTGCAAGAACGCCGCAGCCAGTAGGCCTTTCACAGTAATGATGATATTTGTATTCAAGGCAGAATCATTCCCGATAGAGGTGGACAGCTCGAACAGCGGGTTCGACCTGGTGCGAGTAGACCATTCGTACGATGGCGTAGATGATGGGGAAAAGACGGTCGAATTCTCGGAAGAACTAGGTGGTGGGAGAAAAGACCAAGCATCGGATGGGGAGGTGTATAAGTCACGTAGAGAAGACGGAGGTGTAGAACTCATGCTAGCAGAAGAGACATTCGTTGGAGGCAACCGAAAACCAGAAGTTCAACGTAGCAGCTAGCGAGAGATGTAAAGGATTCTGTTGACCCTAAATAGTCTATGTCAGTACAAAAGTCCAGCAGAAATCGGGTGAATAGAGCATGCAGTTCTTGGCAAGGCCGAGGGACACAGTGCGCGGCATGCGCCGACTTGCCGCCAGGGCGCCGTATTTGACTTTATTTGTTCCCGACTCCTTCCAAGACAGGCAACTTCTGTCGTTCGAGCTCGCATTAAACAACTCCCGCCTCTGCTCTTACGTATGTGAGGCACTGCAGTAGTCGTCTGATGCTTTCCTTCTTGCATGGGAGCTTGGTCTGGCAAAAATACTTGTACGGGTTATATATGTAGCGAAATTGTAGGACTTACAGTTGTTTCGCGTAGAAGCTCAGCTTATTGGGTGATTGCGAATGGCTAGGAGATCCCATGTTGGGAAGATATGGTTCGACCCGGAAGCCTAAGGGACGTATCATCTTCATCTGTCTAGGCATGCGCACGTAGGAACTAGCATCGTAACCGCATTAACTCGAGCACTGCATGAGTGCCCAGATCTTAGCAGATTAGATCTCCGAGGAGTGATCATCGATTGAGGATGTCCATCCTTGTTGAACTAAATACTTCGCAGCTCGACGCCGCGAGCGATCGACGAGTGAATCGTTGTATGTACTCTTAGGGCCTCGTCCATCCTAGGCTCCTGCCTACGAATCGTCACGACCTTCCACGCATGTCTTCCCTTCCGACTGCAGCAACATCAATCAGTTTTCGACCGCAGTCTGCGACGTCGAGCGTCGTAGATGTTATCGCGTCGTGTGAGCAGTGATCTGCTTCGTCACCTTCCCTTTTGTTACTGACCTCCCACGCAGACCGCCGCGCGCAGGCATTTCTCACGGACTCCGTGTCCGCGTCCGCGTCTGCTCCCTCCGACGAAGAGGACATAGACGAAGAACCGCAGGGTGACGAAGAGGGTGGGATTGGCATCGAGACCGACCGGCGCAGCGCACGCGACGCGTACGGTTTCAGCAATTTAGAATGGGATGAAGATCTGTCCCCCATTCCCGAGCGAGACGGCAGTCCTTCAAGCCTATCTGTCATTTCTGACCAGGACAGGTCGACCCCGATTGCAGCCATACCACCGGCAGGGGAGAGCACGCCTCTCCTGCGGAAGCCGACCGTTCGGACAAGCATCACGCACCTCAACAAGGCCGCAAAAACCGGAACCATCCCTGCCGTAGCGAACGACGGTGTCCCTATTACGCTTGTTCGGCAAACATCACGATTGAGTGCGCAGAACAAGATCATTGCAGAAAACGCTCATGGCAAAGCTGTTCCGGGTCACAGCACATTCGGCCAGACGGTCTGTCAGAAAGCCCCGCTTTCTGGATTTTGGGGATTAACACTAACGTTTCTGATCAGCTATTTAACGCCATCGCTATCCTCGTAGGTATTGGCATGCTGTCTGAGCCCCTAGCATTTTCATATGCTGGATGGATAGGTGGCACCATGATCATAGTGTCGTATGGACTTGTGACTTGCTATACGTGGGTGCAAATTTTTGGTGAAGAGCCTTTTCCTTACCTTGGACGTATTTTCCAGCGCGAAAATACTTGCACATATCATCCTGGACGATTTGCGGCTGAAATCATACTCTGACATTGGTCATAAGGCCTTTGGTCCGCGCTCAGGTCCTCTGATCAACGCTTTGTTTTGCTTGGAATTGTTTGCAGTCGGGTGTGGTCATACCGCATTTATGTCCATTCCAGTTTCTGACACCTCATAGCGTCGCCCTAGTAACATTATTTGCTGATTCGTTGTACGCGGTATGGCCCGCATATTCCCCGAACACCTACAAGATATTTTGTCTTGTCTTGTAAGTGGGCTCATTGCATTAGCGTGAAGGATGCATCTTCTCATATTCTCCAGCCTTATCCCGACGGTGTTCCTACCGCTGTCCGTGCTTTCTTATGCGTCAATGTTGGGCATACTCTCTACGCTCCTGATTATCGTTGTGATCCTCATTGACGGCTTCTCGAAGCGGGATCCTCCCGGAAGCCTTTGGATTCCTGCAGATACCAGCCTAAAATTCATGGGTATTGGAAAACTGGGTGTCTCTTTTGGGCTCTTCATGGCTGGGGTAAGTTTGGTATTTATGGTTGTTGTGCAGTAGATTCTCATGGCGGCATGCAGTTCTCCGGACACGCAGTCATACCATCGTTGGCGAGGGACATGGTGGATCCTTCCCGGTTTGACCTGATGATTAATTATGCCTTTGGCATTGCCACGGCCGTCTACGCCATCATCGGCATTGCAGGGTATCTCATGTTCGGGAATTCTGTGAGCGACGAGGTAGGGTCTGAAATTTGGGATGTATTGCGAAGGCTAATATTGCGCGTCGTGTAGTTCAGTCAGGACCTTGCCAAGTATAGCGTGTATCCTGTGCTTAACAAAGTCGCCTTGTGGGGCCTTGTTCTGACTCCGATGTGAGTTTTCCCTCGTAGCATTCCGCAAGATATGTTCATCACCTTCTTTTAGATCCAAATACGCGCTTTCAACGAGGCCGGTGAGTATATACTACGCCCCAGGACGGTCAATGTAACGTCTCACGAAACCAATCTAGCTCAACATCACCATGGAAATCGTGTTGGGTTTGGAAACGAACACCGCCCCCACGAGCGAACACACCGCGAAGTCCACAACCCAAGGAGCGGAGCCACTCACTGCGCAGCGGCGCAAGGTCGTGCTGAAGCGCATACTCACTGCGGCGGAGCGCGCTGCATTCACGATGCTCTCCGTGGCCGTGTCGATCCTTGTGCCCGAGTTCAGCTCAATGATGGCGTTCCTCGGCGCGTGTACCTCGTTCCTGCTGTGCGTCATCGGCCCCATATCCGCCAAGGTCGCGCTCGCGGGCAGGTGTGGGTTCTGGGATGGTCTCGCGCTCGTTATCGGCACGGTGATGGCGGTGTGGGGGACCGCTGCGACGGTGTGGTCGTCGACATGAGTAGGGGAGCTGACAGAACAGAACAGAGCAGAATAGAATGGTTTATCGAAGATACCCCAGCGTCAGTAGGTATGTATAAATACTCAACATCTAGGGAGAGTCCTTGCGCATATATCACTCGCAGCAGAATGTGTAGCTCACGAGAATCAGGCATGTCTTCAAGCATACTGCATATATAGATCGCCATGATGCAAATTTGGTCCAGGAGTGTACTTCCTCCACATCTTGGTGCCCGACCCCCGAAACCAGGTGACTGTAAGGGACGTTGATGTTCCAGATGTAACAAGAGATCACTGCGGTGGCGGCGGCGTGGTTGCTCGCGCAGCCTGCACTGCAAACTGGAAATCGCAGTTCCAAGATTCTTGGACAAACGTCGGATGGGACTCCGGGTAAAACTTTCTGGATGGAGCTTAGGCGAGGAATTTGAGTGCAGCAAAATTAATTACGATGCTTCTCGGCTCCGGAGGTCAAGCAGCGACGGATTGCTGTGCTGCAGCTGTTTACCTGCGCCTTGTCAGCGCTTCAGCGCCAGCGGGGTCCCGCTCTTTTGCCAAGTCCAACTTCGGGTTATCAAAGACCAATGGGAAAAGTTGCAGAAGAGCATCGCCCACAGCACGGCATCGCATTGCGCAGTGCGAATGCTAAATGCGAGAGCCTAGTATGTCGCGTGTGGGGTTTAACAGTTTAACGCCGTCCTGTTCGCCAACATAATTGGCATTCGGTATTTTACAGCCACGCGCATTGCGTTAGTCTCATGGACCCTCGCAGTCATGGACTGACCGTGACAGTACGTGTGCATTTTGTCATCATTCATGTCGGAAGGATTCCAGCCGTATCGGAGCGGAACGTACTAGAGGACCCTTGGAGCGCTCGGCCGCAGGTCTGGTAGGTCATCCGAGGCGGGGCGGGGCGCATAACCAAGTCGACCTAGCCATACTTTCGCGGGCCTTGACAGGTTACGTCGGTGCATAGTACACGTCCTTGCGGCTAGGTGAATGTTCGTAGGAAGTGCCATGTCGTGAGCCCAGGGTGCAGGCGCGTGCGCAGTAGCACAGTCTGCGCCTTCTTCTCGAGACTCCGGAACCAGGTCAACAATTCAAGGCAAGATTGAAGCCTGGTTAGCAACTGTGATTCCCACACCTTCGTGAAAGAACAAAGCGCCACCCTAGATTCAGGTTAAGGGTAACGGCGGGGTGCCACGGTGGCGGGGGGACAAGCTGGACGTCATCGAATGCCTTAGCCTCATTCGAAATTCGTTGTGTCGTGTACCTACAATTGCCCCTAACACCTCCTCCCTCCCCCAACCATCCCACGCTCTTTCCATCCACACTCTAATCCCTAGGCCTGTGAACACTTTCCCTCCTCCTCATCGTCCATGGCGACCGTCAGCGCTGCGACCCCGAACGGTCACCCGCAGCCGCCACCACAAGTCCAGGCGGAGCTTAATGATATCCTCGCCAAAGACGCGGACAAGAACCGTGTCGCGGTACACACCTTCGACCCAGATGCCACCCCAGAACAGAAGGCCGCCGCCGCTGGGTCGCAGAAAGACAAGCTAAAGAGCGGTAAAGACGATATTAGAACAGAAGCCACAGGTGCGCCACGACGCTTTGATGCGCAGCTCCACACCGTCAATAATGTTTTTGCAAAATTATCCAGCACTTACCGTCGACAACGGAAGTGCCGATGTGGTGCCCACTATCACCGTGGAAGACGTTGACGTAGAGAAAACAGAGAGCAGCGCCCGACCAGAGGTAACAACTTCGTCAGCTGAACCACAGATCCCGGGTGCAATACCCGTGGCGGCGACCCCCGCGATCCCAGAGTGGTACAAGGTTGGCTGGCGTGAGGTGTCCGGTATTGAGTCCGTGATACCAGAGGGCGAAACCAGGGACAAGGCCGTCCTAGAGCTGTTCTTGAATGAGCAGTTCTACGGTGATTGGTACCACAATGCATTCCTGATAGTGACGGTGAGTGCAAATGAATATGGCCCGTGAGCTGTGTAAGTGACATCATTCAGGTGGTCGTGATCACACACTTCCTCACTCGCTTCAATTTCGGCTGGGGATGGTTGTTCATCCTCCTCGCATTTTGCAATACATACTACTCCACCTCTATGTCTCGGGTCCGGCGGCGGGCAAGAGATGACATTCAACGCGAGCTCGTGAAGACGCGTTTGGACTCTGACTTCGAATCAGCGGACTGGGTCAACAATTTCCTAGACCGTTTCTGGCTTATCTATGAACCTGTGCTTTCACAAACAATCGTAGCTTCGGTTGACCAAGTTCTGAGCACGAACTGCCCCCCATTCTTAGACTCCCTCCGCTTGAGCACTTTCACGCTTGGGACGAAGGCTCCTAGAATTGACAAGGTCAAGACCTCTCCTAGGACGCAGGATGATGTCGTCCTCATGGAATGGGCATTGTCGTTCACCCCTAACGACACCTCGGAGATGACAAAGAAGCAGAAGGAGGCAAAAGTCAACCCGAAGATTGTGCTGTCTGTTCGGCTAGGGAAGGGTGTCGCTAGCGCAGTGATGCCAATCCTGTTGGAAGACATCAGCTTTTCAGGCCTACTCAGAATCCGCCTCAAGTTGATGACCACTTTCCCGCATATTCAGTTGGCGGACCTGTCGTTCATTGAGAAGCCTGTGATCGATTATGTCCTCAAACCCATCGGTGGTGACACTTTCGGTTTCGATGTTGCCAACGTTAGTATGTGACACCACGTCTTGGCTTTGTCTCACCTTTTTTTGTAGATTCCTGGCCTCTCAAGTTTCATACGTGACATGGTGCATGGAACATTGGGACCCATGATGTACGATCCGAACGTCTTCACACTTAACCTTGAGCAGCTCCTCTCGGGCGAGGCACTTGACACCGCGGCCGGTGTCCTCCAGGTCCATGTTCATTCTGCTAGAGGCATTAAGGGCGTGAAGCTTGGTGGCGGGACGCCTGACCCCTTCGTTAGTCTTAGCATCAACAACAGAGCACAGCTCGCGAAGACCAAGTACAAGCATAGCACGTACGTACTACATCCCTTCCCCCACGCTATCCTGCGGTCTCACAAGGCATACTCAGGACGAACCCTTCATGGATGGAGACGAAGTTTTTACTTGTCAACAACCTTACAGAGACGCTTGTGCTCTCTCTGCTTGACTACAATGACCATCGTAAGAACACCGAGCTCGGGAACGCGAACTTTGATCTCTCGAAGTTGCGTGAGGATGCGTCGCATGAGGGCGTCGAGGCTCCGGTGCTGAAGGACGGCAAGGAGAGAGGGATGGTGCGGTTTGACGTAAGCTTCTACCCCGTCCTGATGCCTGAGGCAGGAACTCTCGAGCTTCCAGAGAGTAGTGAGTTATCGTGCTCGTTGTAGTTAGCTCAGCCCCACTGACGCCCTTCCTACAGAGGTCGGCATCGTGCGCTTGATGCTGCACCAGGCGAAGGACCTGGACCACACGAAGTCCATGACAGGCGACCTCAACCCATTTATGAAGGTCTTCCTGGGCAACTCCAGGAATGCCCTCCACTCGACCGGCAAGGTGAAGCACACGAACAATCCCGTCTGGGAGTCCGCCGCCGAATTCCTCTGCACGGACAGGGCCACCTCCGTCATCACTTTGAAGGTCGTCGACGACCGCGACTTCATGAAGGACCCCGTCGTCGGGTACATGACTGTCCGGCTCGAGGACCTGCTCGCCACGAGCAAGGAGGCGGGTCGCGACTGGTGGCCGCTCAGCGGCTGCAAGAGCGGGAAGGTAAGGCTCAGCGTCGAGTGGAAGCCGTTGAACATACCTGGGGCACTGCACGGCGCGGACCAGTACGTGCCCCCCATTGGCGTCGTGCGGCTGTGGCTGCAGAAGGCGACGGATGTCAAGTGCGTCTAGCGTTGGCGGCCTCTATATTTATGTTCTCACATGAGCGCTTTCGTAGGAACGTCGAAGCCGCGTTGGGTGGAAAGGTGGGCTGCATTGATTGTGATTCTGAGAAGCTGTCAGTTTCATGCTTCTACTTCCATGACAGAGCGACCCGTATGTGCGTGTGCAAATCAACAATGTTACCCAAGGCAGGACGGAGGTGGTCAACAACAGCAAGTCCTCGTTTACGTCATCCCTTCTGGTGTCTCTAATTACTCCTTTCTGAGCAGACTTGAATCCAGAATGGGACCAGATCATCTACGTTCCCGGTAAGTTCACTCGGAACGTGTCCAGAGTGTGCTGCGCATACTGATGGGTGGTCGACAATAGTGCATTCACTGAAGGAGGTACGCATGGAAGTTTCATTTTACTTGACGCACATTCACAAAACGAGCAGATCATGACGCTCGAGTGTATGGACTACCAATACTTGACGAAGGTAAGTTTACAGCATGAGGAACGCAGCGTCCTTGTCTAAGTCTGGAGCAGGATCGTTCCCTCGGGTATGTTGAGCTCAAGGTTTCCGACCTGGCGCGGTCTTCAGAAGGAGGCGAGTATCGCCACGCTCCGACTGGCAAGAAGGTCGCTGCGGAACCCATCAAGCTCGATAAAGGTGGACTCAAGGGCAACTTGCACTACGAAGCTGAGTTCATCCCTGCGCTCCCCGTCAAGGACGTCAAGTTCGAGACGGGAGTCAACGAGATCCAGCGTGCGTCGCAGCGCAACGGAGAGAGCGACGGCGATACGGTTCTCGACGATGCCGGGTCCGGTAGGTCGTCGGAGGAGGAGACCGTGCCTGAAGGTATTACTGCTTCCGGCCCCCTCAGCCCTCTAAGCCCGGCGTTCAAGATCGTAAATGAGAATGGGACTGCTAAGGCCAACGGCAATGGTACTGCGCACAAGAAGACCAACTCGAACGATACTGCTATTAGTGCCGAGTCTGCGGATACTACTCCGACTACGGATGTCGCCAAGGCGGAGGGCAAGCGGGAGGATGAAGGCTTGGAGCTCAGTAAAGATGAGCTCCTCAAACACCGTTAGTGTCACCTTATCCTGGATCACATGTCATCGACTGATGGCGTCTTGCAGAGTCTGGTGTTATCATCTTCAACGTCATCTCTGGACATCTACAGAAGAAGGCGCGGCTCGAGGTACTCTTGGATGACGCGTATTGGCCTGCATTCAGCACCGTGCGGGCCCATGCACACAATGTGCACTGGGAGTACATCGGCGAGGGCGTCATCAAGGAGCTCGATTTCGGCCGCGTGTGGCTCCGGCTCAACGAGGCGGATGAGGGCGATAAGGACGACGTCTACGCTGAGTACAAGGGGGAGGCCAAGACGTTCTTAAAGCAGACCCTCGTGCGCTTTCACTTCGGTTGACTGTTGTATTTGTCCTTGACGTTCTCTTCGTTTAGGACTGTCCATCCACTTTCACCCTCCTTCATAAAGATGACCCAGAGAAGACGTCAACGATCGAGATCGAGACTCGCTATGTACCTGTTCCTATGACGCTGCAACCCAGAGAGAGTATCAACAGTGAGTTTATCGTGCTACTCTGTTCCGTAGAGATTACTCACAACTACTGTAGACCAGGGAAGTCTTTCTGTCGAGCTATTCGACGGTCGTGACATCCCAGCTGTCGACAGAGGAGGTGTGTGCGATGTTATTCAGCAATTTTTGTTTTCTGACCATGCCAATAGGCAAGTCGGATCCCTTCGTTGTGTTCTCTCTCAACGGGCAGAGGATATACAAGTCGCAGACGAAAAAGAAGACGCTTACTCCGGAGTGGAATGAGCGCTTCGAGGTGGCTGTGGTATGTCCGGATCTGTCAAGAACGATGCGTTTCGCTGATGTTTATGTCGTAGCCTTCACGGGTTGCCGGTAACTTCATGTTGGAGGTATTCGATTGGAACCAGATTGAACAGGCCAAGAGTCTTGGACTTGGCAAGATCCAACTTGATGACCTGGAACCATTTGAAGTGGCCGAGCGAGTTATCCCTCTATCTTCGCCGAAGCATGGAGAGAAGGGCAGCATCAGGGTCTCCCTACTGTTCCGTCCTGAGATCATCGTCAAGACACGCAAGAATACGTCGACTTTCTCCACTGCGGGCCGAACAATGACTCAGATCGGCCACCTCCCTGTTGGCGCAGGCAAGGGCGTCATGTCAAGTGTTACGGGTGTGTTCAAGCGGGACTTTGTGAAGACCAACGGTTCCGTCGATTCCGACCTTGAGAAGCCTCCGGTTCCGGAACTGCCTGCGGGACAGTCCTCCAGACCCGCGGGTGGGTTGGCTGCGCCAGCCAGCGTGGGGACAGCTGCAGCTGCCTTCCCCCACATCACTGCTGCTGGGGAGAGTGCGCCGGGTCACGCCCAGGAGCCTGGCACATTACGAGTCATGGTTCTGGATGCGAAGGACCTGTCTCCTGGGGATGCGAAACCTTATGTCCAAATTCGCGTCGGTGATAGGCAGTACAAGACGAAACACGCGTCGAAGACAGCAATGCCAGAATGGTATGGTCAACTCACTCTGTGAATCCATGTACTGGTATTGATGGTGTGTGTGTGCAGGAATGAGTCGTTTACATTCGCGGCAGCTCCTGCAGTCCAGACCAAAATGTACGCATGGGTCTACGATCACAAGACTCTGGGGAAGGATAAGGAACTGGGCTCCGCCGAGATTGACGTACGTATGGATGCCTCCTCTCTTTTCGCAATCGCTTATCAATCCATCCTACATCCAGCTTTGGCGACATCTACAGCCTGGAAGTGGCGTATCCACGGCCGACGTCTTTGCTGAGTTGCGTGAGGGACAGGGTCTCTTACGTTTGCGCTTGGAGTTCGATCCTGACGCCAGTGGCAACCTCCCAAGCAGTCGATCGCGTTCGTCCTTCCAGTCAATGGACCGTACCATATCTGCCCCCACATCGCCATCAAGATTTAGCTTGAGCGGTCGTCGAAAAGCGGATCGCGACGATTGAAAGAGGTTATCAGTGTCACAACTCTTGCATTCGCGCACACGCGTTCTGTTGTCTCCTTTCACATTCACGAGAACATCAACGTTCCCATTTAATAATGCTTCATTCATCATGCATTCACGACTACTTTAAACTCTGTATTACCTGGACTTTATCTTGCAATCAACTTATACTCACTTAGGATAGGATAATACATACGTCAACGCTGCTTGGTCTACTTGAGGATGCAAGTGAAATCATTGTCGTGGATTATGCATCTCAAATCGAAACGAACACAACTACAGATGGAGCAAACGGCATACATGGTGAGACATGTTTAGTGTCTAACGCTACGTCGCAACTGCCGTTGCGGTTTCTCCGTCACCATCGCTTCGAGTTCGTCATCCGCAACGGTACGATGCTTTCCAAGCTGTCTGTTGTATTAGACTGAAATCAGACTCTTCGAGTGAAAAGATAATTTGCAAGGCGTACCTCTTCTTTTTCTTGAACGCATCCGCTTCACCTGGCTTCGGGACATACTCAACGCCAGGGCCCCCATTTGCGACAGCCTGTTTTCGAGCCTTCTTGTCCGGGATAATAATCGTGGAGTCATCTGCCTTGTCCAACAACGACAGCTCGTCCATGTCTTGAACGAGCGCTAAATCGCTCGACGAGCTCCGAGTTGGTTGTTTGTTGAGCCTCGGTTTTGCCCTGCCCGCCTTCACGTCCGCCTCGAATATAGGGGAGGGCGGCATTCTCAACGCCACCTGCGCGACCTTCGCGACAGACTTGTTTACAGGGCGTTTTGGTAGCGATTCTAGGACGTCCGAGGTCATGTATTCCGAAGACGACGCGTCGTCGAAGTCCTCTTGGCTTGCAAAGTAAGCTTGGCTCTGTTGGCTAGCCGGATCCATCGTTCGAACGCTTTCGATATCTGAGTTGGCCGAGGTATGCACGGCGGATTTCTTTCCCTTCGTCTTGGCCACTCGTACGAGTGGTGAAGGGGATCTACTGACATCCGACTCTGCCTCGCGGACATCTTCGCGCTGGGGAGCGAGAAGTTCGATTAGACAGGTGCAACGATGGCTGACACGAAACCTTACGAGACTGGTCTCGATCTCATCGTCTTCCTCCTCTGCTGGATCAGATGGAGACTCGATCTCGTCAAAGTCGTCTTCATCGAAGTCATGACGTCGAGGCGGGGCGTTGTGGAACGTCGTTTGCTGGAGCATGTCGAGTTTGGCGTCCATTTTCCGTTCGTTTTGCAAAACCTGAAACAGCACCATGATAGGTGAGCGTGTGTAATCACAGGAGAAGCACTACGGACGCACCTCGTTCATCAGCCGCCGCTTGTACATCTTCTCCATGCTCCGCATGCGCTCTTCCATCTCCTCCATGACCTCCTCGCGCGTGTTTGCTTCAGCAAGCGCACACTGCACCTGCGCATCATACAGCTAGGTCCTACTATTTCAGAAACCATGCGAGCGTAAGCCTCCGCTCGCGAACGCACCTGCGCACGCAGGCTCTCAATCTCGTCAAACAGCGCATCGACAAGCGGGTCGATCGGCCCATCATCGCGATCATCGCTTTCTCCAGGCTCTTCATCCTCTGAGATAATAATGAGCTATGACAATAGAATAGTAGAGTCGTCCTAAGTTCTGACCTTCCAGCACCTCGAGGATTGCCTCGCTGACCTTCCTCCCCGGTCCGCCTGTCGAGATCGTCACCTTACGCCTGTGCGGTCCTACGTCAGTGTTCCGTGCACGCAAAAGTTCAGGCCTGTCCCTGCTACCGGTGGGGACCACCCGCGGTATGGTGGTCGCCGGGGCTGTGCATACCTCCCGCGCCAGCGCGGCGAATCGCATGACGTGCGAGTTCTCGTCGAAACCTGTGTCGTACGGGTTCACATTCACGATCATCACCTGTTATCAAGAGACATCACACCGCAAGGTCGCTACGTCAGAGACACAAAAATCTAGCACGCTTAGGACGCGTACCGCTTTGCCATCGCCCACGAAGTAATCCATGAGCACTTCTGTGAGTTTGCTGTGGCGGAAGGGCACGATCGCGAGCCCCTTCTTGACCTCACGCGTGTCGACGCGTGTACCGGCGGCGGCAAGGCTGCGCGCGACCGTGCGCTGGTTCGCACGGAGCGTCTCCAGACATTGCCCGAGAACCATGAGCGACTTGTTTATGCTGCCTGCCTCACGTAGGCGGTCCCCCGAGGTGTGTGTGTGCTTCGTGCGCTCGGACCCTGCGAGGTCGACAAGGGTGAGGCGTGAGGTTTGTATAGACGTGGGGTCCTGCATGGGACGAAAGTTTAGAGTGAGCACAAACCATCCAACCTACCGAATCTGGAAGACGGGATTCAACGTACATTACGTTCGCCGCGATGCACGCGCAGGACCTTGATCGTGACGAGCGCGTGGCTTCTGCTACTCTGGCTGTTCGCAAGCGTGCCGAAGACACGGCGGTGCAGCTGGCCGAGGCGTAGGAGCGCCTTCGCCTGTGTCGCGCTCTGCACGCGGATCTGGCGTAGGCCCGCAACATACTTGCCCGTGCCGCCGTCGCCCGCGGGTGCGCCATAGTCGGACGGAGGGCACGACTTGAGTGGCAGCGCCTTGCGCGTGAGGAGGAGCGGATTCGCCTGGGACGAGGGCACCGGTAGGGCGAGGAAACTGGAGGTCGGGCGCGGGATACCTGAGGGCCCCAGCGCGGGCGTGCTGCCCGGGGCATCGACGGACGCAAAGAGGTCGTAGACTTTCTCGTTGTAAACCTCTGCATAGGAGAGCCAGATGGTGTATTCATGGTTCCGGTCGAGCTTGAGCACTGTCGGGTCGGTATCGGCGTCTGCAGAGGAGGAGTCTTCGAGGATGTCGGCGAGGGCGGGAGAGGAGGAGGGGATGTGGAATGCGGTGGGCTCGATGGAAGAAAACTCGCTCGCGAGTTCAATGCCTTGCAGGCGAACCGGGCGGAACTGTGGCTGAATGAGTAGATGAAGATTGCGGAAGACGAGAAAATTGAACACACTCGATCGTCGCCGTGTAGACCCTCGATGCTGTTGAATATGACATCAAGTGTCCTTGGCAGGATTCCCGCGTTTCCCTCACTCGATCCTCCCTGGATCGTATATGTTTTTCCAGAGTTGGTGACCCCGTACGTGAACAACAGTCCGTTCTGGCCCTCGAGCACATCCCGCACTAAGGGCAAAGTTGTATTGTTGAAGAAGTCCGATTGCGTGGTATCGGGAGGAAAGATGTGGGAGAAGGTATACATCGAGGCAGGGTTGACGGAGGACATCCGCGAACGAGGGGACGAATATGGGTCGCCCATGCGAACTACGGTATCGGAAATTGGCTCGAGGTAGGGTTCCAAAGACGGTCCACCTTCGCCGAGTTGAGGACGGATACGAAGGAAGGCCTGGACATCGGGTCAGCGCGACTTGAAGTGCATAAAAGATTGAAAATGACCTGAATGGGCTCCCGCTCCGTGTCCATTGGAAGAGGTATAGGAGTGGCGGACTTTGGGATAACAAACTTCTCCGGTAGTTGATGTGTATGTGCGCCGCCTTCTGCAGATCGGGCATCGACTGAGTTAGCTCTATTCAGAAGAGGTTTCCGAGACGCAGCAGTCATCTTCTTGGCTTTTGGTGCAGACTGTGCAGCATGTTCTGTCTTTGAAGCGGCGCGGGTGGTTCGGGTGGTCGCAGGTGCGGCATTGACTGCTGTGGGTTTGGTACGGGTTGACGCACGGATGGCGGCACCTCTTGGCTTGCTTGACATAATGACTTTCTTGGAGATACTGATACAAGAATCTTAAAGCAATATTGTCGGCGTGCATACAGTATGTGATGCAGCTCTTGCAGTGCCCGGGAAGATGGAAGAGATGGAAACAAACGCGAACATGCCCCAGCAGTTGAAGGACGAGCGTCTAATGCACGAGACGTACACGAGGGCGCGTTCATCACGTGATCGTCGCGCATCGTTTGATGCTTACTAAGCGAGAGGTTGTCCTTAAAGTTATACCCTCGACGATCCTCTTTATCCTAGTCGGCCAGCCCTCACCGCTGACGGTACTTGTCGAAGTTGGCCGTCCACAATCACAATCTTGGATAGAAGAGTTCTAGCTTTGGTGGTCCGCGAAGCTTAAGGACAAACGGTGGCTTCACGCTTGAATTGTATTCCAGTTTCCTCTCGGCTCAACTTCACGACGCGTACAACGCAAACACTGGCTGAGTCGTGAGAGATATAATTTGATATCTTGAGCCACGAACATTTGGAATGCGCGTCTTCTGTGGCCTTCTCAACGATGGTGAACAAGGTATCTCCCAATAGACGCAGGTCCATTGCGGTCCTCGGTCAATCCTCCTCAAAACAGAGCCAGAGTCGCAGGAGAGCGTACAGTATCGCACCAGGAGAGAAGCTCAGTCCTGCCGCCAAAGCCCGCCGGTCTCTGGTGCGTGTGCTATATTTCTCTCCGCGCGTGTCATTCCTCAGCTTCAGTTAGGCTCCGCGCAAAAGTATTCTCAAGGCCTCCATTAACTTCCAGGATGGCGCGGAATCCTCCACATTCACTGGCGATGACAACATCACACAGACCATGGACTTTACCGACATCCACAACGCCGCTGCTCGCAAGAGTCTCGGACGCCGCGTCAGCTTCGCCAGCCACGCCCATGTTCGTATCTTCGAGAGAAAGAAAACCAACGGCAGTGCCGATCCTCCATTTTCACCTACTCAAGGATCCTTCCCACAAACTGAGAGTCGAACAAATGACGAGAATGTATATCCAGATACTGCACGCGGAGGTCGCCGCAGCTCCGTGCGCCGTCGTTCGTCCACTAGGTTCAGCGAATTCGGCGAGCAGTCAATGGATATGGACATTGATGACGATGCCCCCGTCCCGGACGACTTCATCAACGAGAACAATATCTTTCATCAGGAGGGCTCCGCACTCGAGGACGACGAGTTCACAGAGGATGAAGACGACGAGGATATGGAGGTTACAGAAGCCATCCAACTTAACATAAATCGCAAGCGTTCCCTTTCGCTTGGTCCAGGACACCCATCTCTCGCCCTCCGCCGCCGCTCCTCCATTGCACCCGCCACCTCTACCCAACATCAGTCTGAGAACCAGATCCCGCGACCTGGTCAGCAAGCACATTTCAATGCCGAACCTAAAATCATTGAAGAGGGGCAGAACGTAGATCAGGACCTCACGACCTCCTCCGCGCAATCCCAGTCATATCTCTCCGAAGATCCTTCCGATGAAAACACGGCGCCGATGGAATTCACCATTCCCATCTCGCGCTCCCTGCGACCTCCACCGGAACGGAGCGAAGTCTGGCAGCAGCTCGCGGCAATAACGCACGCTGGCGTGGCGAGTGAACCACCGCCCGAATCCGACGAGGATGAGCCCTTCCTGCAACCGGATAGGGACGACACTGCGGAAGACATGGACCTCACTGCCGCGACACAGCGTTTGCTGCGCGCACGCTCGTCCATTGGGCTCCCGCCGCTCAAAGGGGGCGACCCGGACGCGGACGCTGAGGATGACTTCGGTGGCGCGGACTCATTTGACGATGGGGTGCAGGGTAAGATACCGGACGACAGCTTCACCTCGACTGAGGACAGCTTCGCAGACGACGGTGCCGCGGGCGACCGAACGATGAACATCACCGCACTCATGCGGCAGAGCCTCGGCGCGACCGACTCGTCTATGGATGTGACGGGTGTGTACGACGACGAGAATGTCGTGCGGGTGCCTGTTACCGCTCCTCGTGAGCGCGTAGATTCCTTGCCAGCTCCTGTCGCTCCGGCAGAAGAAGCACCTCCTACATCTGCCTCTCTCCCGTCAGTGTTCACCGCCACAGAGTCTGCGCGTCCCAGCGTCTTCTCGATTGCGAAGACCCCAGTCCCTACGCCGCGCTCCCCCGCCGAAACCGCTGCCTCCGCAATTATTCCCAAGCCATTCACCTTCAGCCTCGTCCGCGCTCCCTCACCAACAAAGGGTGCCGCACCCTCTCCTGCACCCTCTTCTTCCATCCCCCGCCCGATCTTTGGTCAAGCCCGACCGCACAAGGGCACCGCAGCGTTCGCTTCCCCGACTCCGCGCAAGTCGCCCCTCAAGCGCCCCATCACAGACAGTGCACAGGATAGGCCAAGCCCAGCCAAGCGGCCCGCTGTGGGCAGGCTCGAGCCCGCTAAGGTCGCCATATTTGAGCCGCCACAACCGCAACCCATGGCGAATAGGCGGACAAGCGCGGTGCGCAGGCCTTCAGGTTACTTTGCGCAGCGCAAGAGTCTTGGAGCAGGCATCCTCCCACCTACTATCACGAACGCTGCTAATGCGGACACGCGCACGGCGGCGGGTCCGAAGAAAATTGCGGGCCAAGGCCTTGGATTGGGGCGCTTCCGCGCGAGCGTGGGAGCTGTACCGTCAGGTAACGGTCCGGGAATTGGCGTCGGACAGAGTCAGCCTGGCAAGGAGGGTACTTCGCTCTATCCGGACGTCGCGAATATTGTACGGCAGGATCCGCCGACACCATCGAAGGCCCTTAGCCCGGCGCCGGGCCCCAAGGCAGGCGGATGCGAGCGTGAGGTACTCCGCCAGGTGGTTGCTGCGCCTAGCCCGACCCGCGGCTCACCTGCGCCTGCGCTGCGGCCAAGTTCGCCGGCGCTCGGTGCTGTGAAGCAGGAGACCCCTCAGCGGTCGGCTTCACCTGCTGTTGGGTCTCCAAGGCGGCCATCTCCAGCTGTCATTGCGTCCACTTCGGAGTCAGGGATAATTCTTGATTTGCCACTAAAGGATGTGGACATTCCCGGCATCCTACAAACTGCACCTCTGCCATCCGCTGTCACTGCACAATGGCGCGACGGCGTCGAAGACGACGCGGGTTTCGAGGATGAAGGGGTGCGTGATTTATTATAAGTTCCATTCGAACCGCTAAAAACGCTAACATACTCGCTCACTCACTCCGACAGCCCCCAATCTCAATAGAACAATTCTTTACGATGACCGGGATCCGTTTCATGGACGAGTTGACGATGCCCAAGCCTCGCCAATCGGTAGTCCCGCCCATGCAACTGCGCTCGCGGGCGCGCAGGCGCTCTTCGTCCGAGTTTGCTGCGGAGCAAGACGAGGACCCGATTCCGCTCGCGGAGTTCTCCATCGCGATGGCGGTGGAGGTGCCGCAGTTGGAAATCTACACGGCGGTTGTGAACGACTTGACCGCTTGGATTGGGAACAGCAAGAAGATCTGCCTCGAGGCGGAGCGCGAGACGGAGAAGGACACCCCTGAGCTCTTCAGGGAGTTTGCTGCCGCAGACGAGTCGGAGAAGGCGATGCTGGTGGTGAGTACCTCTTCCTTTCTAGAGAGGGCTGACCTTGAGATCAGGTCTCGGGAACGCAGCACCAGTTGAAGCTGATCAAGGCAAACAACTACGGGACCGCCAAATCACAGTGGTATGACTGGAAAACGACCTGGGTGAACCGGCTATACGACCAGGCTGAACAGGAGTTTTCCCATCTCGAAAGCGTGTGTCCTTTCCCCATTGTTTTCAGGCAGATTTAATCCTTTTTTGTGCGTCGCAGGATGCGCAAGTGCTTGCGGATCTCATGAAGGAGGCGCAGGATATCTTACCTGCGCTCCGCGGGGAATACGCACAGGTCATGGCGGAACTCCAGCAGGAACAAGCGGACATCTCGGAGATTGAGAACTCCGACCAAGATTTCCTCAACGAGTTGAAGGCTACCATTGCGGAACAACAGTACGTCCGCACAATGCCTGGTGAGATTTATCTCAGAGCTCATCAAAAAATAATTCAACTTCAGGACCGAGCTCGAAGTATTCCGCAGTGATGTCTCCGAAGGAAAAGCGAAGCTGGAACGGCTGGAAGAGAAGCTCGCCGAGATTAACGCACAAAAGAAGGAAGCGTCGGTAGCGATCGCAGAGGCTCAGTATTTCGTTCACCTCAAGAAGGAAGGCACAAATTTCGAGGTCTTCAGACTAAAAGGTACGTAGCCTCTAATCAGCTTGGCATCGTTTGGGACCTGAGAGGCCTGCGGATCCTCTAGAGGAGCTGGAAGCGCTGCAAGATCTGCATTACTGGCGTGCTACGAAGGTCCAGGCTGACCTCACCGAGTTCGTATACGCTTCAAGATACCAGGTGTCTATCCCGTGCCTCAAATACCGGCCGACGCTTGCCAAAGTCAGTGTCTGCAAAGCGAAAAATATCCGGACAAGGGAGCGAGATCAATTTCCCCGCTTCACCGACCTCGCGATACAGGTCGCGCAGCAGCTCGTGTTCGAGGCTCCACCACATGCAAACATCCGAGAGGTATTAAATACAGGGATTCGTTGTCCGAGCGATAGTTGACGCATATTTCGCAGATCGTTGAGCTGCTGGGCGACTTTTGGTCATCATGCGCGCAACTCCGTGCACAGCTAACTTTCCTCGCCATCAAATACCCACTATCAGTAGAAGCTGTTCAGAGCCTGAACTCAGGATTGCCAGATCTTCATATCAAGGCGACAGTACTGTTCCCAAGCGCGAAGGGGAAGGCGTATATATCCTTCATCTTGGATAGACAAACGTACTCCAAATGGCCTATTTCCATTGGTTCATTGAAGGCAACCGTAGAGGTCGCGTACGGGCGCGTAGAGTGAGTCCACACTCACCATTCACTCTCATCTGTCGCTAATCCGCGATGACACTGCAATAGACGAAAGACTGCGTTGGATGCAGTCTTGGGCCGGTTGGCTCAGGCCAGTTCTGTCGACAGTCATGGCTGTTTATTAGACGCGTGCATCGAAGCTACAGAGCAATTTGTGTAATGATATATACCCGTCGAAGTTTGGAATACCTGTACTCGCGTATAAACACCATCGTTAATGATATCGTGATAGTCGTCGAGAAATCGGTATAAGATAGTGGCACAAATGTGGCAATGAGTGAGCCTGTTGGCAAAAGGTGAGCTCGACCATCACTCAGAAGCGATGGGGAATAACTCACGAAACGGTCTCGAGATGATACATACGAGAGTATATGCCTCGCGTTCAGCTGTGGTTCAGCCCAGCCAGCAACACGGCAAGCATCTCGCGATTGGCTCTAACGAGCTCAAGCTCGCCCTCCGCGGTATCGCGCACGGCGCCCCACGCAGCGCCCGCATCCCATGCGCTGCACGCGACCTCCCACCTCGCCTGCTGCGCGCGAAGCGCCGTGGCGGTAGACGCCTGGGCGCTCGCGTGCATCTGCGCGAGCGCCTGCTGCACGGCCTGGTCGCGCAGCGCCTCTGCGTGGAGTAGCTGCCCCTCCAGCGACGCGATATACTCCGACCGCTGATCATCCACGCGCAGGTTGCCATGGACCTGCTCCTCCAACTGTGACATCTGCCTCGAGAGCTCCTCAGCGTCGCGCAGACGCGCCTCCTTTGCGGACTGTAGCTGGCTCTGGAGGAGCTCAATCGCAGCCAGCTGCTCCCTCGCTTTGCTCTCCGCGGACGCCAATTGCAGACGCAGGAGTGTGGCATTGGCCGCATCACCCATTGACGCGTCCGAATCCATGTGGTGGAATTTCAAGCTAGTGTTGTACATGGCAGGCGATGGCGTAACGTCGGGGAGGAGGACCTGCGATATCGAGCCATATCCCGTCGGGGATGGTAAGGCGCTGAGATTCGGACTTTCAGGAATATCCAAGAGAACGGAGCTCGGCGCAGGGGAGATAAGTCCGGGGTCAAAAGGTGCGGGCATTTGGGAAATCATGTTCTCGACGTCCTCGTCGTCTAATGTCTTGTTGTGTCGGGCAAGCTGCTCCCATGACAGGATCGAACCGCGTTCGTTCGCTCCATATTGTGCCTTTGGGCGCAGGAAGGGCGAGTTGTCCGAGGTGGGGGCGGCTGGGGAGATATACGAGAGATTGGAACGGGTGGGCAGGAACGGTGAACGGGAGGGTGTCTGAGGGCTCTCAGACTCGGATGCATAGATTGTTCTGAACCTCGGGAGGGCGGGCGTAGGTGCTGTGGGCGAAGCCACGGCTGAAAGCATGAACTCCACATCGTTAGCGTCGACGCTATCGACGCTATTGCCTTCGGTGAATGTGGTCCGGGTGGGAGTGGCTGAGGCGGATGCGCGGTGGATGGAGGTAGGGCTGCCATTCGCAGCTTTGCGCGCAGAGAGCTTCCCCAGGGGCGACTCTGGCGCGGACAGTGCAGGACCACGCCGCGGGCTAGGACTTCCATCGCGGCTACTGGACCCTCCGGTACGTTTGATGTTGCTGAGCCCAGTGGGCGTCTTCGGCGTGCGTGGAGACGCAGAAGACGATGACGAGGAGGGGGGGCGAGGAATGACAGTACGGGAAGCAGTTTGGGATACGGCAGTCTTCGCTGCCTTCGTAGGACGAGACGACGTGTGACGTGGTGAAGGAGCGTGTGCGGGTGAAGAGTTCTTGCTCTTCTTGTCGGGAGTAACGGGCCTCACGTTGATTGCTGAGGTGAGATTAACCTGGAGGGCGCCTCGACGGGGTAAAGGGCTGATGGATCTGCTAGCTTTGCTTGGAGGAGGTTGTAGTTCTGTGATGTATTTGCCTTTCGGGATACCCTCCGTCTCGTCGCTCGATTCACTGATTAGGTGTCGCGAACCAGCATGAGGTGATGGAGACCGCTTAGCGGGGGCAGTTTCGATCAGCGCAGATTTGGGCCTATACTTGGGGAGCGCAGACGATGCAAGCGAGCTTCTCGGGCGCAATGTAGCCGAGCGAACCACGCTCGTCTTGGGCGAGGTCGCCAGCGACGACTGCTCGTCGGATGAGGTAGTGGCGGGCCTCTTAATTGCGGACAGTCTTTTGCTACTGCGGGTGATGGTTCTGTCCTTGGCGGCGGGGGACACATCGCGCTCTGTCTTTCTGAGGAGAGGCTTGTCGATGGACGAGCGGGGTGCAAGATGAACTGTGGTGGTGCGTCGAGCGGAAGCGTCTCTCGCCTTCTTGCTCCCTTTCTCCTTCTCAACCGCGGACTCCTTCGAATCTTTGTGCATAACGTCTGCGAGGGCCTTGCCGAGAGACTGGCGGATAGAGCTGCGAGTGATGGGCCGGGAACGGATGCCACTGGCTGGGCCTGTGAGTTCAGCAGACATGGGGAAGTATATAGGTTGTCCAGCGGTGAACCTGGGATGGAGTAGCGTGGGCGTGAAGGTCGTGTGGGTATGAATGAAGGTCGTTCAGGCGTCGTGTCGATGGAAACTCGACTTTCGGTCGTTGCCTGATGGCAATCCCATCGCGTCCCCTTCAACTTGGCCCAAACTTCGCGTAAACATTCCCGGTCACGAGGTGCAACGTGGGTCCACAGTCGCGTATGTGGCTGCCTGACCCCCGTCCTTACAACGTACTCTACCACATGAATCGACCAACGCCTGCCCTCTCTTTGTGCAGAAATACCCACATGGTCACCCCGTTTACCGTGCCGTACCATAGACCCTCCACCAACACTCCCCACACGGGCACATCGGTGATCTGCGCTCGAAGCAGGATGTAAGGAATGAGGAAGTATCGCGGTTCTAGAAGGGGGGTAGGAATCAGCGTGGGCACTACGAAAACTGCGAGCAGGATGTTCTGCAGCAAAGTTTGATCCTGCCCTGCAATTTGGAGTAACGAAGTCAACCCTTGGCCTGTACAATGCTAGCCGACCAGAACGACATACCAGTCCGGATGTACCATGCCCATGCGCAGGCGATGTACACAGGTATAAGAAGATACGGTACTACAGGATGGAGGAGGAATATCCGCCGCCAGATGTAAAACGTATAATGGCGATTATCCGAGAGTAGGAACGGGTGGTGTATCCTGCACGCAAGATTAAGTTACCCCCCTCAAACGGAACTCATGAACGAACGTGAATTTGTAGATCGTCATTCCCATAATGATGGCGACCAGGCCAGTGATCGCTGTATTCCTGAGCGACTAGTGAACACGCAGGAGCCGCACCGCACGGACATGGTACTCACCTTGCGCCACCGAACATTCGCAATCGAACGTCCCGTGCCAGTTTCTGTGGGCCTCCCTTCCCACTAATCAATGCAGGCCATCCAAAAATAGTCGCGAAGCCCACGAAGTAATACAGCTGTGGGACATGGAAAGCGGGGATGTGGTTTGACTTATCTCCTAAGAGGGGATCAGCATTGAATAGGGACTCAACAGGGAAATATGCATTTTACCTAGAACAATACCACCGTTCCATAGAACGAAGGCGATGAATCCTGCAAGGACAAAGCCGTATGGGACGAACGACGGAAGGATATCCAGAACTATTGCAGGCGCAGACAGGACGGAACGGACCAGATCAACTATGGATATCATACAGTAAGTGAGCAGCTCTCACAGACGAACAACTCGACTTGCTTGGAGTAGCCACAAGAGCCGGTGGGTCGTGGAGTTTCGCGTACGGCTTCTCATTTGGGAGGGCGTGCCGGAAGCGTAGGTACATCAGTTGACTGGATGCATAGCCATAGAGCACCCATATTATGTTGTTCTGGCGGAAGGTGCAGCTGATCGCGCCTAACTACCGTCCTTGTCCCGCATCAGTTAACAATAATTCATGGGGCAGCCCCACGAGCACGCGAGGCGCCACATACCAAGGCCGCGAGCCAGTGCTTGCCCTGGGTAGCAGACACGATTGATGACACAACGAATAACAGGCTGGGCACATCGGTGTAATACAGGAACGCGAAGAACCATGCGATCGGGAAGGCGGACAGCACGACGGCTTCCGGATCGGGCACAGCCAGCGAATGCGGCGGCCTCTCGCGCCTGTAGTAGCACACCAGGCGTGTCATTACGATCGGCAACACGAGGAGGCAGAGCAGTGGCGTGAGCCGGAGCATGGCGAGGTTACACTTGAGCAGGAACACCCGTTTCAGAACCAGGCTCAGCACATATCTGCGGGAAAGCCGGGTTGAAACGTCGGATCTCAGTGTCGCGAAGGGTTGCAAGAACTTACAAGCCTGGAGGTGTGGTGATTTTAGGGTCCCAATACGAGTAGTCGCTCCGACAGTACGCCTGCGCCTGCGGGACGTGAAATGGCTCATCCTGAACGCGCGTGTCAGCGGCGGACACACACAGCCTACGCACCCGTACACACCATGTATGGTTCTGTGACCTCTTCATTCACAGCCTTCAGAACGAGGACTGACACCGCCATAAATAATGCATAGTATGTCGACGCGGAGGGCGGCAACGATGACATTGATGATGGCGGTAGTGAGCTACTGTTAGTCTCCCGAGGGCAGATGGTAGACACTCTGCTTCAACCTCGTACCTCGGATATCGGCCCGTGTCTGACGTCTGCTTTCTATCACGGGCTCTTACTAGGAGGTCTTGATTGCCGAACCGGCACATCACGTGCTGGCACAACGCGTCTGTAAATCGCGCTGAACGCGTCGCGTTTCGAGCGCAAGAAGCACCCGTTGTCCTGTGCTGCATGTGTATACAATACTTTCCAATGGGTATATTAATTGAGATTGATTTTGGAGACTTTGCTGTCTTATCTGCTTTGTACTGGTCCAAGAGGGCATTACATGTTTGAATCTCGTAGGAATCACTGCGTTTTTGCCCTTATGTCTGGGTGCAAGATACCCCCATGGATACGTGGTATAACTAGGACCTGGGCTACGCCGCATAGTTCTGCATATCAACCCCCAAGCTGGGTTACCAAGCTTCAAGTGTATCTTTCACTGTGCGATCCCCTGTAGTGAACAAGGTGATACGTTGGCTATGCCGCGCAGCACGTAGTCACTAGCAGTCTAGAAGCTACAGCATACACTTCCTAGGCTACAAGAAATATCAAACTTCAGCTATATTGGCGATGCTCCATGGCTACCATCAACAACACCCGTCTATTCCATTATATACTAATAGTAGATACTCCTGATGCGCTCACATCCCCTACTGCATACCTAATCACACCTGCAACAGAATAGACTTTGCATGTCGATCTTCCGATGGGGTTTGCGACGCAGTCTGTTTCTCACATACCTGTCACGAGAGGTGTCAATGGAGCATCCCAACTTTGGACAAACACAAGAATTGTAGAGCACATCGCATGTTCAGCCATGACCCGAGAGACCAAGAGCATGCAGAGACCATGTCATGGAGATAGAAGGCAACGCAGCACTCCTCGCTCTTAAGGTGACGGCGACGGCACGCCAGAAATATGTTTAGACAGCGGTCAACGGGCCAGTGAATCTGTGGATGGAAGGGTGCGGAACCAGCACGTAGTGTACGCCAGGTGAACTTGACCTTGGACATGATGATGCGCTTGGGCCGATGGAGGCCTGAACTTAGCACTAGTTATATGTACGTCAAGCTTGAAATCGCTACGTGGAATAGCCAATGTAGCTGGTGCAAGGTACACCAGAAAGCCTGTATAGAAAGGAGCACAGTGATGTAGTATAGCTCACGTAGCAGATGGTCGTAGATAAGTGAGATCGTGCACCAAATGCGATGCATAAGCTATGTGGGCTAGCACACATCTTTCACATCAAGATTTATGACATAGCAGTGGGGGTCACAGCTATGTTCGCTATCTGCCCTACTCCGCCTATCTTCACATTGCGACTTCGGCTACCCATCAAACTATGTATTCTATCTGGCGTAGCCTATTCGTAGCAGACCCCCTACTAGAACGGCGAAAACACAGTGAATCCCTCTATTCTCTGTGCCCCGCGCCCAAGCAAAATTCACCATTCCATCACCCATCCATTGTAGCACCTCATCTCACCTGCGATGTGCCCAAACCAGGGTGGAGAGGATCTTCAGGAAGACTTTCGTGAATTTCGGCGGACTTACAGCGCCACCTGCATCACGTGGTATCACAAAGGTTTAAGATTCCGCATTAGAAAGAACTACCAAACTTTAGGCTCCGCCTAAATTTTCCGACCTCTCGACAAGGAGGCGCGTTAGAAAGCAGACTAGCTACTGTTAGTTTCCGAATCGGGAAGGTTCAAGAGCCCGGGCCGTCGACCACTGGCAGGCACGACTGACTGCCTGTGTAACAACAGCCTGCAAGCTGCAGCCATGATACCTACTCCCGACCTCTCACATCTGACGAAGGAGGACTATGAGCACATATATGAACCAGCAGGTTCGTGATACAGCGGGAATGTGCTTTTTTCGGACAAATGACGCGCTTGCCGCAGAGGACACATTTATTCTCCTGGATGCCCTAGAGCAGGACGCCCAAAAATTACGAGATTTGCAGCCGCTAGTATGCCTTGAGATAGGGTACGGGTCTCCATGGTTACGATTCCTGATTATCTGACCCGATTTCTCGCAGGTCTGGCTCTGGATGTGTTTCCAGCTTCGTCGGAAGTATACTGGGAGCCTCTGCAGCGCGTACGTTTCACCAGTCTAATAGGGAACGGTCACCTCACACCAAACGTAGTGTATTTATGTACCGACATAAATTCTCGCGCTTGCTGTGCGACACGATCCACTGGTCGGCAGAACAAAGTGAGCAATACAAGCTCTCCTCATGCTCATCCTCGAGATAGATCCAAGTCACAAACAAACTGCAGTAGATCCCCCTAGAGCCTCTCAATACCTTTCTGGCTGAACCACTATTTCCCCGTCTACACCATGCCGTGGATATCCTGCTCTTCAATCCCCCTTACGTGCCAACCTACTCCGACGAAGCTAACGCTGCACAGCATGGCGCCGATATTCAGGGCTCATGGGCGGGTGGGACCGACGGTATTCAGGTCACGGAAAAATTGCTGCAGCAAGTAGAAGTCCGTAAATCTAGCGGCTATTCGAAGTTGGAGAATTGATATGCAGGACAGGACTTGCTTTCGCCTAGCGGTCGGTTTTATCTGGTCGCAGTCACGCAAAATGACGTACCTGGAATCCGTGCGAGAATGCTCAAGGATTACGGGCTGCAGAGTGAGGTAAGGAGAAAATTCCTCCTTTGGCTCACGAACTCTCTTGGCGCTTGTTGAATTCTTTGTCATCTGATAGGTAGTCTTGCAGCGGGGGGCGGGTATAGAGCACCTCTTCGTAATTCGTATGTCCCGATAGCCCTTCCTCGTGCAGCGTGGAGTATCAAGACTTGCCTATGGCTTATCGTGTGCAAGAATTCGTTGTCACATGTGATGCAAGTTGGGGTTTATTCAATACAATATTTGCTGATACACCTGCTCCTCCGTAAATGACCTCTAATTCTACCACTCCCCTCACTCTGACAGATCGAGACCTTCTAGAGCAGGGATAGGCCGCTCCGCCTGCGGGGTGATGCGGGCACCGTGGCGGCGTTGCTTGGTGTCGAGGTAGTCGACGATCGCAGTCTGACGAGAGAACAGTCTTAGTCCGAAGCGCAACAAGGAGCCTTAGCTGAGAGCCTACGTGAGCAGTAATTCTGTTGTCCCAGAGGACGACGGTGTAAGGCTCCCACTTCACGCGTGCTTGAACATCGGCACTCCGGTCGATGTGGTCATACAGGAGGTTGAGGATGGCGTCTGCGGGGAATGGTTCAGCTAACAAGCCGGAAATATACGCGAAGTACTGACTGGACTCCTCGATTTTTAGCCCGACGATGTACCGAGTGAACTGCCTGTTGACATAAAGCGCCTCCTCGCCGGTGACAGGATGCCTTCTGACAATGGGGTGGACGTGCTTCACAGGCTCACGTCTGACTACACCACCCCGCCTCCCTGAGCGGGAGTACTCGGCTTGTTCGAACCCCGAATGGACGGCCTTGAGCGTCTTCAGGAACGCCACGAACTGTGGGGAGAGCTTCTTCAAGGCGGCGACCTGCGACGTGAAGGAGGTGTCACCGCCTGTAGAGGGCTGCGAGAAGAGGAAGAGGGCGGTCAGGCCGGGTGGCTGGAGCTCGTAGGAGACGTCCGAGTGCCACCCCGTGGAGCTGATGCTGTTGCTACGCTCAAAGTTGAAGGTGGAGTTCTCATCACGGTAAACGAGGTGGAGCTCCGGGTAGTTCACCGGATGGCCAGATGTGGGATGGATGTGCAGGCGTCCGAAGTATCTGCCCCACTCGAGATAGAAGTCGGGACCGCGGTCAATAAAGTCCTGCTGGTCCCTGAAAGCTACCACACCCCGCTTGGCAACCTACACACGATTCCAGATGCGAGAAACAATAAGCTTTTATGAGTCATAGGGGACGCCAACCAGGTTGGGCTTACCTCCAGCGCCACCTGGTCTCTTCCCTCGTTATCGAGGGTGGCAAGGTTGACTCCGGTAACAACCTCACCCAGATGGGGAGTCAGCTGAACCACGCTAGTGGCGTTATCGAGAAAAGCCCGGGGGTTCGGGTGAGACAACGCGCGAGAGGCGGGATCGCCATGATCGAACGGAGTCAGAGGGCGGTAGTGTTCGTCCTGGGGAAATACCGGAAGAAGGTGCGCGTAGCGATATTCTTCGCGCTCCTCCGTCTTATTGTCCTCTGCCGACGGGAGAACAGTCAATTTGGCAGGAGCAGATCCCACAGCGGATTGAGTGATTGTTTGGACCGTCGACATGTCTACGAGTTCACTGGCAGACTGCACGCCGTGAAACGCGGTTCTGCTAGGCATATAAACGGGGCTTTGTTCGTCATCTGAATGTTTGGGCGCGCAATCGTGGCGATTTGTGAGTAATCATGAGAAAGTGGATGCCGTGGATAAGTATGCAGTCACTGGGTGCTCTGGAAATGCGATTCTTGCGAATTCGGCTGTCCGTCGATAGCTCTCCGATAAGAGGTCTGGTCGTCACATCTAATCTTATCTCCTAGAGATGTCGATCTGGAGGGCGAGCCCGATCCTGATCTCCGCTGTCCATCTGGCTAGCACCAGTTATTGTGTGCGTAGGGTTGGCGTAGGGCGCGTCCCTCTCTCCGCCCTCGCCGAAGACAATAAGGACAATAAGGACATTGCTCCCGCCGTCTGTGTTTCTGAATTACACCTGGTCATGTGCTGTCGTATTCGGACGGTTCTGAAGTGCATGTTCCAGATTTATGCTCTTCCTTTCCCCTTGCCTCCCGAAAATGTAAGCGTTCAAACACCTGTTCACCACATTCGAGTCAAGTCAGTTAATACGAGCTGTTCTCACACTTAGATAGGAGTCAACGCCTGTAAACGATGATTGTCTACATCAAATTCGCTGTGCTAGTTGCACCCCATCTCAGATCCGTTATTGTTTCGTGGGCGTCGCCTCTCGTCCTAGCGACTTCACTTCCACGCTGAGACGAAATCTGACTGCAACGCTAACAATTGAAAACCACGTGTGCCTATCACTTTCGAAGCGGACGACGAGAATGAAAAGGCAAGGCATGCCATTTGTTTCAGCATCTCCCTGCGCTTTCGCAGTGCGTACCCTCCTTCTCCCCGAAGATTGTGTCTTGACAGTGTCGTCAGAATGGAGGCGCCAACATCTTCCGTCACTGTTACGTTCCCTCAATTTCTTCGTCGCCGCAACCCCATTCCCGATGTTCCCGAGGACGTTGACTATGTCATGCAACACTTAAACGATCCAAACTGGGATCTGGACCGAGCTTCTCCAAGAGCAAGCATAGACTCTCTCGAGCTTGATGATAAAAGCGGTGTCATCACATCGAGCCGTCTTTCGATTCGCAGTTCCAACGGCGACTCCGACTCGCAAGTCGATTCGAGTTATAGGACTAGCTCGGGGAAAGGGTTTGACGTCGAAGAATATGATGAGTATGTCGGTGGCCTGTTTTCCTACGATTTTCCGCATTAATGTTGTTATCTCAGTGAGTCCCCTTACGCGGAAGTTCGAGCTGCGGTGGCCAACACGGACGATCCGTCTATGCCCGTAAATACTTTCAGAACGTCAGTTTTCTTTCAGCTCCTAGTTTGTCTCGCTAACACACCCGCACAGTTGGTTCATAGGTATTGTGCTAGCCATGGTACTTGCCATATTCAATCATTTCTTTGGTACACGTTGTACGTACTGTGTGCCACTCTTCGATGCATATCCGACTCACTCAGCCTCAAGATCCTTCTGTTGCAATCAGTGCCCTAGTGATGCAACTGGTTGCCCTCCCTTGCGGCAAGGCATTTGAGTATCTTCTTCCGACCACTCGCTTTACCACTTTTGGCTACACTTGGTCCCTTAACCCTGGGCCGTTCAACATCAAGGAGCACACGCTTATCACTGTTATGTCTAACAGTATCTACGGCGATGTCTACGTGTCGTCGGTATTTGTAACGCAGCAGGCTTTCTACCATCAGGCTCTCTCAATTGGCTATCAACTCACTCTCTCACTGTCGACCCAACTTATTGGTTACTCCTTTGTTGGATTCCTTCGTAACTTCCTCGTCTGGCCCTCCAGTATGATTTGGCCGGGCTCACTTGTGTCCTGCGCGCTGCTCCGCACACTTCACAAAAGTTACGGCAAAAAGGAGGGACGCCATATGTCGCGAGAGAGGTTCTTCCTCTATGTCATGATTGCTGCCACCGTGTGGTATTTTTTCCCGGGATTCGTCTTCACAGCGCTCAGCATGTTCAACTGGGTGTGTTGGATCGCTCCCGAAAATCCGACAGTCAATGCTCTGTTCGGATACGCCAGTGGGCTGGGAATGGGCTTCTTGACCTTCGATTGGGCGATGATTTCCTTCATGGGAAGCCCATTAGTTACTCCTGTGTGTCCCCGATTCTGATTGTACGATTTGCCCGCGGTGCTCATATGCTTACACAGTGGTGGGCTGAACTGAACATTTGGGTCGGATTCGTGATTTGCTATTGGGTGATCGCCCCCATTATGTACTGTATGTCTGTTTTCTACAACGTCCTCGATCAGCGCTGACTTGCTGACGGTTTCGTAGTCAAGAATGCGCTTTACGCGAAATATATGCCCATATCAGCTGGTGTATCCTACGACAATACTGGCATGACGTATGTCGTTGATGCGATTCTGACGAATGGGGTCTTCGACCTCGAGAAGTATAAGGCGTATTCGCCCTTGTACATGCCGACAACTCTGTCACTTGCATATGGTGTTCAGTTCGCAGCGTTTACCGCTGTAATTGTGCATGTTCTTCGTGAGTGTGCGCTCATTGTGAGGTATTCTGCCCCATCTGACTATCTGTTTTCCAGTATGGTATAGGCGTGACATCTTCCGGCAGTTTAATCGATCCTTGGGGGATGAGCGTGATGTGCACGCACGCCTAATGTCGGTATACCCCGAAGTGCCTTGGTATTGGTATGCCACAGTGGGGGTAGTAGCCCTAGTCTTGGGAGCTGTTGGGATCGAAGTCTACGATACCGGCATGCCCCTTTTCGGCTTGCTTGTCGCGCTCATCGTCGCCGCCGTGTTTGTGATCCCCATCGGCATCATTCGCGCTGTCACCAACCAGATGATCCCCCTCAACGTCCTCAGCGAGCTCATCGGTGGCTATATCATTCCTGGGCGGCCCATCGCTGTCATGCTGTTCAAGACGTATGGCTTCAACTCGGTCAATCAAGCGCTTAGCTTTACGGCTGATCAGAAGATTGGTCACTACATGAAGATCCCTCCCCGTTCCATGTTTATGGCGCAGGTCATTCCTACCATCATGTCTGCGATGGCATGTATTGGTGTGCAGTACTGGCAATTTGCACACATCGAGGATCTCTGCTCGCCTACGCAGAAGGATGGCTATGTTTGTCCTGGATTCAGCACTTTCGCAACCGCTTCCGTCATCTGGGGCGGCATTGGACCCAAGCGTATATTCTCGGCTGGCGCACTGTGAGTAAATGTTTACCATTTTCTTGCGTTCGCCCATCTCATCGATTTTCCTCATCGTAGGTACCACCCTATGCTTTACTTCCTCATCGTCGGTGCTGTCCTTCCCATCCCCTTCTACTTCCTCGCCTACCGCTACCCGCACTCTTTCTGGCGGTACGTCAATATTCCCGTTATCTTCGCCGGACTAGGCGTGATGCCCCCTGCAACCGGTGTCAACTTCTCCGCGTGGATCACCGTCGGGTGTTTCTTCATGTGGTTTATGCGCCGCTACCATTTCTTCTGGTGGATGCGATATAACTACATCCTCTCCGCGGCACTCGATGCGGGCCTCGCACTGGGGCTCATCCTTATCTTCTTCTGCCTGCAGCTGCCGAAGAACGGCATCACGCTTAACTGGTGGGGAAACACCGTGTGGACGAAGACGTTTGACGCCCTGGGCATGCCCTTCTACAGTCTCCCGCCGAATGCGACATTCGGGCCGCAGACTTGGGTGTGAAACTGGTTTCCCATCCTTGTAGCATAACTTATCGCCTCACTTCCGATGGACAATCTTCTGTATCATACTGCACACTTCACCGGCGACATCTCCTTGCATCCTCCCTCTGGGTCCTCTCCATTTCTCTCTCTTTTGGGCCCCTCAGGCATTTTTTTTGGCGACAGTCACCGTAGGGTGATGTGTGCTTGTATTCGTTCTACATCATCCTACTAACACTTTGTACGACTGAACACGTTGACAATACAAATGACTGCATTATGACCAGAATCGAGACGAATCGCAATCCTGACGTGCGTATTGCCTGCCCAACTCCAGAATATGTGCAATGAGAGTCGCAACCGTCTCGACCACATTCATCTTTTGGGACGCAGGATTCGCAACGTTGAGCAACAAGATACAGCTGTACAACGGACCGTAGTGACTATATTACACGGACGCAAAATGAGACAGCTTAGAGTTTTGCGTGCAGAGTAACCTAGATAGGCCATTTCACGCAGGTAAACCCCAAATCCGAACCTCCCGTCCACTCGCGCCCCAGATCTCCTTGCTCTCCTGTCCAAACACAATATCTGCCACCTCACCACCCTCCTCGAACCGAACCAACTCTTCCCACGTTTTATGTGCATACACTCGCGCGCCCTCGCTTCCTGCCACACCGAGCAGCAACGCGCTGTAATCGTACGCGACCTTATTGACCTTGAAGCCCTCACCAAGCGCGATCGAGTGCATAATCTTCGGCTTGCGCAGGTCCCACACGGCTAGCGACGACAATGAATCTGGCGCGAGGAGGTGGTATCCGTTCTCGGAGAAGCTGAGAGTGTTCACTGTGAACGGAACGCTGTCGGGGGGTGTGAGCGCCGCCACGACCGCGCCGGAGCGCACGTCGTAGATCTGGATTGTCGACGCAGGCGTTCCAAGTGCAAGAAGCGTGCCATCAGGATGCACTGAAAGCGACGCAAATGGCTCATCTGCGGCTGGTGAACGGTATACTGCGTTACCGCTCGTGAGGTCGTGCAGCGAGTAGGTGCGGTCTGCCGACGAGAGTGCCACAAGCGTCGAGGTTGGATGCACAGCGAGGCCGGTGAGCTCGCCTTTGTGTGTGCGTATGGTCGCGCGGGGGATGTATTCGCCCGAAGCTTCGTCGTGCGCCCAAATCTTCGCATTCTTGTCGGCGCTTGCAGACAACAGTAGAGTAGGTTCGCCGGATTGCTCGCGGAAGGCGACGTGTGTAACCTTTTTTGTGTGGCCCTTGAGCAAAGCAAGTACCTTGTCGGTGCTACGGTCGTAGAGCTGAACAACCTTGTCGTTGCCACCAGTGAGGAACTGCGAGGGGTTTGCTTGCGAGACCGCAAGAGCCGTGATGCCCGCGGGAGAGGGCGAGTGTAGAGACGGAATGGTGTGTTTCGCGGTGAAGGTCTTGACGTCCGCAGGAGTAGCGTAACCTGCAGGTGCCTTGCGCTTCTTTCGCGCTGCCGAAAGCTTCTCGTTCGTCTCATCGATCCGACTGAGCACATCCTCTGGAAGAGCACTGGCTTCCTGGCCCCCTTCTGTCATCTCGACATCACCGCCATTTGTAGATGGCGCGACGCCCATGGTGGCGGAGACACTTGCAAGCGCTCTGTACGCAGGACACGAGAAGTCAACATCGTAGCAAGGCAATCCGAAGGAGATACTTACTCCCGGGCAGCGTCGCGTTCCCTAATAAGACGCGCTACGACGCGTGTAGCAGCGTCCTGTGCGTACAACGCGTAGCTCAACTCCTGGCGTAGGGAGTTGTATTGCTGTTTGAGAGTAAACGTCTCGAGCATGACAGCGTCCCACTCGTTTTGTAGCGTGTGGAGGAGTGCAGGAATAGAGGTAGCGGTTGGCGGGCGAGGCGGAGCTGCCTTCGGGTCTGAAAAATAAAAATAACAACATATCGTCAGTTGAGCGACAATTCAGCGAGAGGGAGAGCAGAGCACTATGGAAAGATGCGTACTTGCTTTCACGGTAATGAGGTCGGACTCCTCGAGTTTTTCACCAGTTATGGGGTCGGTGCCATTCTCAGTGATGTATTTGAGGATGAGCCTACGTTCGTAGACGTGGCCGGACTTCTGGGAAACAACAGGATCCTGGGGGGGCTCGCCAGAGATGGAGCAGAAGAACATTGTGGAAAGACGCCTGTAGGCTCAAAGTAGGGTCAATGGCAATGAGTCTTGAGCTAGGCTCACTATAAATTGACGGTGAGTACCATGAGCCTACGCAGGCTCCTCGCGTTGCTCTATTAAAACTCCGCTCGAATCGATCCTGGCCAATTGTAGTACAGTTATGCAACTCCCTCATGGAGTTCGGCCTCCCATTCTTCCATAAATATTCCCTGTAACCTCTCGGAATTTTTGTACATAGAAAGTTTCTCATATAGGCTTGGTTCTGTAATTTTTTGAAGCACAACAGCAAAGGTTTAAATTAATTTAAAGGTGGCCGAGAGCGAACAAGCTTGAGACAGTAATGCAACTGCAACATCTGCAAAGGTGAATTCCTTCCGTAGAACATCCTCTTCCATGTGGGGTTCAATAGAACTGCCACGCCTACGGAGTGCTATGTAGGACCGCGTAGGAAGATGATGGCTATGTAGGATTCAATAGAGACAACGGATCTTGTGGATCTCTCGGCGGTGGACGCAAGACGCAATCCGTCGGCCGGAACATTCACGCGTGTTCTGGCTGCTGGATCCTTTCCACCGTAGTTTCGAGTTGAGGGGGGCGGTCGGGGGGAACAATGCTCTTGCTCAAGACGGTGGTATTACGGTCTTGACGGTCTTTACAGTCTTAGGCAAGACACCCAAGACAGTTTGTAGTTTTGTTAATTCGGAACTGGGGGTGAACGTTTGAATGCTCACAGCAGTGAAGACTTCGGTCTTGTTGCCGTTACAGTAATATTGTGCCAAAGTATACGTTCGCCGAGTTCCTAGTTCGTTCGAATTTCCATTTTTGGATAGGCGTGCAGCAGACACTCCTGCAAATCTCGAGAAAGCAGCCTGACATACAGTCATGTCTAACAAACAGAAACTCGTACTTTCTATCATAGACTTTCTGAACCAGTCTATCCAGGATGGAACTGTCAAGCAGGACGACAAGGAAGGCCTCGAGGTTGCAAGTCAGTATAATGCAGCTCTTCCCGCCGTGGATGTGCTACTCATCTACCTCTAGTCCAGTGCATAGCGGAGGCATTTGAGGTCGATCCGGCAGACGAAGCACAGCGCACGCGGTTGACCGTGAAGCCTGCAACTCTTCCCTCTATCTTCGATGTCTTTTTGAAGACCCGCGACAAGCTTGCTTCCCCGACTTCCTCGACTGCTGTGCCCCCTTCGTCTACGCCTGCCGCGTCATCCTCCTCAGTAGCGGGATCGTCCGCGACTCCTTCCGCAGACGAGAAGGCAGCAGCAGAGAAGCACAAGGCTCAAGGAAACGCGCATATGTCGACCAAACAGTACGATGCCGCCGTGCGCTCGTATACCGCCGCGATCGGGCTGGATTCGACTAACGCTGTATATTATTCGAATCGCGCAGCTGCGTACTCGAGTATGGGTCAGCACAACGATGCAGTGCTAGACGCAGAGCGCGCGATTGAGGTCGATCCGTCATTCGTGAAGGCATATCACCGACTTGGGTACGTTATGACTGTCGCGTTTGTCCCAATTATCAAGATCTCACTATGTCGTGTCAAATGTCATACCTTACAGGCATGCGCACTATTCACTCTCAGATTTCAAGGCTGCTGCCGCAGCGTTCCGGCGCGGGCTCGAGCTGGACCCATCGAACGCGTCGCTGAAGTCTGGTCTTCAAAATGCGGAGACACGCATCACAAACGACGATGAAGATGTTGATGACGAGATGCCTCCGCTTGACCCTGTCCCACCTATTGGTGCTAGCGGCGAGCCAGGGGCAGGGCTCGGCAACATTGCGGATATGCTGCGAGGCCTAGGAGGCATGGGCGGCGGCGCTGGCGCTGGCGCGGGGGGAGGCGGAGGCATGCCCGATATGGCCAGTCTTCTGAGCAACCCGGCGATGATGCAGATGGCGCAGCAGATGATGCAGAATGGCGGTATCGACCGGCTCATGTCAAATCCTGCACTGGCCAACATGGTACGTGTTCATATACCCTCGTTCCGACCTCGGGTATGGCGCGGATACTGAGTGGTTTTCCTTGTCGTAGATGAACCGGGTGCAGTCGGGTAATATGCCATCAATGTCTGAACTCATGTCCGACCCTTCTCTGAGGGAGCTGTAAGAACCCGCACGTTTCTCCCCTTTGCTACATAACTCACGTTTCTCGTAGGGCAAGCCAGTTTGGAGGTGGTGGTGCGTAGCGATAGCTGTTATAACGCACCTTGAGGCTGGGACATATACTTTTGATTGCATGATGATGTGGTGACAATATAAATCACAGGTGAACTTGGAAGGAGAATAGAGGTTTGTATCGTTGATATGAGCGAGGGCATTGAGATTGTACAGAATGGGATGCGTATAAGGTGGCGCTAGTGTTACAGGACGTCGTACAGATCAAAATATTTGTCGTCAAATGTGACGCTCATAATTATATCAATGGCTTGAGTAAAGCTGGAAGGCTTCAGACACCTGGATGAAATTAACAATACCAAATATTAAACGACGTGAGATAGACGCAAGGAGACGTGCACATGATCACGCACCAACGTCCTGCATATGCTAAGCAGCATCTTGAAGGGTTGACGGGCTTCTGTGACCTGCACGATGCATACGCTATGGCCGCGGCTTCTTGTGTGGAGGAGCATCATGAATTTGCCGCGACCGTACAGGCGCCCCTCGTCGCTGCTGAGGCATAGGCCATTGCGATGATCCTGAGTGGAACGAAGCAACTTGTTCTGCCTGGTGGGGAGGCACAGGAGACAAATCGGTAGACATCTGTGCTCGCTGCCGTCTCTTGAAATGCTGTGACACCGTCGGGTTCTTCGCCAACGGTACGACCACGATTTCCCGTGACGTGTACTCGACTTCCACACCTGGTTCCGACGTAGCTTTCTCCTTAGGAAGCACAGCATCTTCTGCTTTTACTTTGGGTGGCGGCGGTGGACCAGGATCGTACTCTGGATTGTGCGGGAACCAGTTTAAGCTCGTAACGGGGTGGCACAAACGTCCTTGGACGACGTTAAACGTGTAGTAGACCGCTAGAGGCGGAGAGGCCATGTCCATCGCCATAGAGACCAGCTTGCGATAGAGCACAAATGCCGAATGACAGTCATTTGCCGCATCTATAAAAACCGAGGGTCAGCACCCAAGCACCAATCGCAAACGTGGCACGCACAGTCCTGTTGTAGCTGGCTCAGATCCACCTCCCAGTTACTGAGCCGCGCTTTGCCTTTGCTCAGCGTCAGCTCTTCGTAGGTCTCGCATAGCCTTGACAGACCGATCGGCGAGGCGTACCGCCCCTTCCAGCGGGGATTGTCGACTGAGCGTGCAAGTAAGGAGAGATCGACGCAGTTGCGCATGGTCACCGCAAAGTCAGCGTACAGCTTGCGACAGTCCCCTGCATCAGTCATCACTGGTCAGAAGACGGGCAGAAGGTAAGACCAGTAGGATCGACCTTGTATCCCAACACCCGTTTTCACATAATCCGCACTCTGCAGGACTTCGTGTAGTTTCTGGGGAAATGCTGAAGGTCGAGTTTAGCTTTACGACGATTACTGGTTCGCTGAGACTCCGATACACACCAGACATAGCACTCACTTGGATGAGCAACATCGTATCACTGTTTGCAAGCTGCACTAGTGCAACTGGGTTCTCCCGCCCTCCTTTCACAAACTTGGGCTTCCACTCCAAATCAAACCCGTACGGTCCAGGCGGCAGTCGCGAGATTTCATCGTCAGCGGTCTTCGCATCTCTGATGTAAACGACGCGACCATCGGGAGACTTTTTCTTCCAGTGGTAATGCGCGTACACAGGTTTAGGTTCAGGCGCAGCAGAATCAATTAACAAAGAGGGTAAATTGGAAGAGGCAATGCTGCTGTCAAGCGGTGGCAAGGTAGAGGGTGGTGTCATTTCTTCGAAATCCGAAGTGCCCACTGCTAGGATCTCGCCAAGGTCAAGGTATCTTTGCCTCTGTTCACTTTGCTCAGCGATAATAGAACTCGTAGATGAGTAGCGGAGATAATGTCTGAACCTCGCAGCTTTGTAGAAAACGTTGAGCCGTCCCCAACGCAGTGAGCAATACATGATACCAAATGGGCGCTTGATTTGCGACCGTATGCGCGCCACGTGATCTTGCTTCAGCACTTCGAACTAAGTAGTACATAGCACGCACATGCATGGCGCGCGGTATCAAGGCCTACAGCCAGCACTAAATTCCAACGACGGAAAAGAACATAACGTACACATGACTCAACAGTGCCAGTGGCGAAAGTCCACAACGGATCTACAAGCTACCCGTACCGACACAAGTGCTCTACTTTGAGCTAACTTGCTCCTCAAGCCAGTCCCACAAGTGTTCTCCAATGGCTTCGTCGTAGGCCTCCTTTCTGCAGATGCCTACTCGAGCATAGGGGATCAAAAACTATGCACAACTTCAGTATATACCAACGACGAGGATTCGAACACTACGCAAGAACAAACCTTGCCATTATGATTTACTGCCTCTGGCATTGTACCAGCATATAGCTGGGTGAGTGCGCCGAACTTTACGGGACGAAGCACAACATCCTAAGAAAACAGAGAGGACATGAATTATTTCCACGTACGATGAGTTAAGAGATGATTACGTACGGAAAGCTTCTGAATGAATGCATTGGTGTAGCGCTGCAAGTCTGTACGGATGTTACCTTCGAAATCACGCGGAATAAATGTGAGTAAGAGCGTCATCGACAATTATGCCAACGCGGAATAAACCTGGATCTAAGGCGATAGAAATGATGCCTTGGTCTGCGTAGCGCTTCGCGAATTGTCGTGACACTACTACGTTTGCCTGGTGATACCCATGTCAGTATCATAGGAATGCCTCGACCTCGGGGTATATGTTAATCGCACAAATTTACTCTGGAAGTAGAGCTCGCTCGTAGACAATTTTGACCTCGTAGGTCCGGGTAAGAACGTGTCAAAATCTATGGCGTATAGATATGCTCCTGATGACGACGTGTGGATTACACGGGTATGGTGGTCTGGTGAAGTCTCTTTCCCAGCGACAAGAGCAGGTATGAGGAGCTTCGTGAACAGATAGTGTCCTACAAAAATAATTAGTGAACAACTATGTAAATATGGGCGTGGATGTACGCATACCGATTACGTTGGTTCCAAACTGCATGTCGAACCCTTCAACAGTAAGGTAACTAGTGGGACACATCATGACACCCCTGTTCGAATAATTGGCCGTAAGCGGCTGCGACCTATCAAACGGTAACCAAAACTTACGCGTTGTTGAAGAGAACGTGTAATTCCTTCTCTTTGCTGCTCGTATATGCATGAGGGATTGCATGAAAATGCACAACTTTCGAATAAGACAAACCTCATGAATTCTGCGACGGCCTTGCGAACAGAGGCAAAGCTGGCCAGATCCAACTCTAAGAAGATGGCTTCCTTTCCAGAGAGCTCTTTCAGGTCCTTGATGGCGGCATCGGCTTTCTCTTTGCTCCGCGCGGCCAGATAGACCTTGGCATTGTGTTCCAGGAGTCTCTGCAGTCCTCCCAACTCAGTCACAACTCATAGTCGTCCAGCGAACGCTGGGCTTACCAATACGGTCTCCTTGCCAATTCCAGTATTCCCTCCTGAAATGCAGTTGTAAGCATACGACGTCCGGCTGAACATTCATAGCAGGACATACCAGTCACAATGATTACTTGCCCGGTGAGGTCAGGAATCTGATCTGTACTGAAGGTAGACTTAGGAGGGAAAGACTGCCGTAGGACAGTCACGGTATTGCTGAAGTTCAGCCGAGCATCGAGAGCAGAGAAGACACTACCCATTGTGCGCTATCAAACTGGCAGGATACGTCAAGCAGATAAGTTGAGGATCATGGCACACGCCGCGGCTACTATCGTACTTGTAGGGAATAAATTTATATCCGGGCGGTCTCAGGCGGTTTCGCGGCCTCCCATGCCGCATGATGATGTTGCACCGCGGCAACCCATGGTCGGTCGCAGTGAATCCAGTGATTTGCGCATTGATCCCGCCGAAGCCGGTAACTGGGCGCGGCACAGTGCTGTGGCCGTTGCAGATTGGTTGCAGATCATCCAAAAGACCTGCCAGTGGGTGCTGAGCGCTGACACGTCTTATTCTCGTTCGCACGTTTGGGAGGCGCACGCATGAGACTCGTTCTGCGGAAAAAGAAATCAGAGCGAAATCGGCGCGTTGAGCTCTTCATTCGTTCCTGAAAAGTTCTCATGTTTGGAGGTCGTTTGGTTACGGTTCGTTTAAGGACAGATGCCGTGATGCCGACGCGTGGCTCTCGCGTGGTTTATCCAGGAGACCTCGGTCACCGCCTACGTGCGCTGGTATTTTTCCTTGGCTGGAGCTAGTGTTGTTGGCAGAAGTCTGCCGTTCTGCCATCCTGTTCTGCCAAACCGGCAGTTGCTGGCAGTTGCCCAGCAGGCTTGGGCAGAACCTGGCAGAAGTGCCAGTCAAACTGGGGCTATAGTCAGCGGGAGAGACTTTAAGGCTTAAATTATCTCCTGTATTCAGTGTGAGCATGACACTGACACACAAATCTTCCGGTTGGTCCAACAAACGTCCAAGTTGGGAACATTTCCATGCTCCGAAAAATGGTCACCTGACATTTTAACCCTAACTTAGGAGATGAGAACGTAAAAATGGATGCAAATGAACTCAGTTTCGCTCATACAAAGCCCAAGAGTCTCAATCGACCAATTGTAAGCTTTCTAGTTTTCTGTCCAGTTGTATGTTGTCCTTCTATCACAGACTATGCAATTTATGAGCCAGGAGTTTCGCCAAGTTTTGCCACCTCTGGCAGTTGCCGTTCTGCCGGTTCTGCCGGCAGAACTCCCTGATTTAGTTCTGCCCCCGACACTAGCTGGAGCTGACGATGAGCTCCACTACATAGTATACGCCAAAATTCTCGCTGCTCCCCGACATATGACCACAACAAAATTTCTGCCATTTGCTAGTCTCTGTCCTGGCATACGTCTGCACCCGATCCCGCGTCCAGCCTGAGTGCATGAGCTCGGCACTGGCCCACTCCGGGCTGTTTCGCAGCTGTACTCAGGCCCATGTTAGAGAGGCTGCATAGGATGCTGCCTCTCTCGGCCTCACGAGGCTGGAGCATCGTATGTTTTCCGACCTGAAGGGCAAGCTGGTCCTCATCACTGGCTGCACGTAAGTACATCGCATACCACATCATATCTCGCCCACACCACATCTGGCGCAGCGGAGGCATCGGGCAGGCGACTGCACGTGCCTTTGCCCGCTCCGGCTGCTCAGTAGCAGTGCACTACCAGGCGGCATCCTCGCGCGCCAAAAAGGCAGACACGCTCCTCTCCGACCTCACCGTTGCCAGCTCCGACGCGCGGTTCGCCGCCTTCCAGGCAGACCTATCGAACTACGACGAGGCGCGCCGCCTCCATGTGGAGGTCATGCAGCAGATCGGGCACCCGGACATCCTCTTTGCGAACCACGGCATTGCGGGGCCTAAGATTGGCCCGCAGGGCGACATCAAGGACGTGCCCGTAGAGGTGTTCGAAGAGACGTGGCGGATGAACACCATCACGAGCTACGTGCTCGCGCAGCTCCGCGTGCCGCTCATGGAACCGCAGAAATATGGTCATGTCATTTTCATCCCTTTGCCCGAAATCCATGGTAATTCATGTCTATCATAATCAGTATCGCTGCAGGTAATTCTCTACATCAGGCACTCGTAGACTGACACAGACTCCTTCGACCCTCCTCGCGCAGGCACACAGTGGCGCGACACCGCACTGCGAGCACCGCGAGCATGACCACGGCGGCCATCGCCGCGCTTCGCTGCAGCCGCTGCAGGACACGCCGCAGTCGCCCTTTTTCCCACTCGTACTCGCACCGACGCCCGTGCACATGAAGAGCAGCAGTCGGAAGCCGGGGCATGACTCGCGTGGCGGGTCATGCGAGCATATCAGCGTGCAGCCCCTGGCGCCCACGAGCCGGCGGGCAAGCCAGCAGCAGGTGCGGGAGTGCGAGAGGGAACGGGAGCGGGAACGCGAGAGGGAACGCGATGCGGGGCTCAGCCCGCACCCATATGTGACGGCGCCGAGCTCGGGCAGGTACCGCGCGACTACGTACGGGCATTCGTCACCGGTGCCGCCGAACAGTGGTGCACCGCCGGTGAACGGGAACGGCACGGGGGCACGGAACACAAATGCGTCCGAGTCCTTTGTGTATGCGCAGACGCCGCAGGGCAAGGGCAAGGACTCGCGCGAGGACACAATGGCGGGGGCAAACCGCGTGGAGCCAAACGGCTTCGGCGTGCGGGCGCGCGGGATGAGCATGTACGACCGCGAGCACATGACGAAGGTCGGGGAGCAGGAGACAAATACTTCTTGCGACGTATATGGTAGTCAGTGGAAATGAAAATATTCGCGAGAATTTTGGCGTATACTTTATGTAGTGGAGCTCGTCGTCAGCGACGATGAGCTCGAGCCGACGCACGGTGAACACGATGTGCGGTACCTAAGGAAAAATACTAGCGCACGTAGGCGGTGACTGAGGTCTCCTGGTTGATCCACGTGAGAGCCACGTGTCGGCATCACGGCATCTGTCCTTAAACGAACCGTAACCAAACGACCTCCATACTCATGGAGTTCTGACGCCGCATCAGGAATATTAGTACTATCGTTACCCCAGTAATGCAATCACGATTGCATCTCTGTCACCGTTCCTTCAAATCGAGCCCATTTTCCTTCAAAACTTATCGGATCAAATATAAAACATATAAACTACCTTCTGTGTGACTCCCAATTTTTTTTCTGATGTTGTGCGACCCCGAGACCGAACACAGTGAAGAGACTCGTTTGCACGCAAGAGCGCCAAATCTGTCACAGATCGTCACGCTTGCCGACCTGCCGTACCTTTGTTCCCCCTACAGTCGGAGTTTAAAATGGCGCACTTCACTGTCACGCCTGAATCACTCCTGACTTGCAATTCACAGACTTTGCACCTTTCCCTCCGAGTTGGACCCCCCAGTTGCACGGCCAAGGTATTTGGGGTCATACACATCTACTGCTCATTTTTTGCTGATTTGTGGTGCAGCGGAATGCGTCAAAAGGACAAAATTGCACAACTAGACCAGATTGCAATACCCGGGTAACGATAGTAGTTCGACTCGAGACACTAGCCTGACACTAGCGGCCATCTTGACATGCCTTTTTCGAGAGGTTATCAGCCTGGTTCAGTTTCGATCACATGACTTACCGTACGCGACGCGTCTTTACGTGTGATAGCTTTGGCCCTCTTAGTATCACCAACCTAAGTCGAAAGGTGCAAAACGACCATATCAGGCTTCATCTCTGAGGCATGCCCAAGGCCAATAAAATGAAGTACTACGCAGTCAGAAACGGTCGAGAAGGTGCCAAAGTCTACACAACTTGGGAGGAAGTATGTCTTTTATACTCACTCGACCACTGTCCTACGCCATTACTAACGCGCGATGTTTTGTGTTTCAAGGCGAAGGAGAATGTGAGTAGTTCTGGTAACAGGGGGACACGATGAAATAATACGCGCTAGGTGTCGAGGTATCCTGGCGCTGTGCACAAAAGCTTCACAAGCCAGACCGAAGCCCAACGGTGGCTAAATGTGGCAGCTCCGCTGCAGAGGACTTGTATGTCTTGTTATTCATGGCGTGATACTGTCTGACCCATTCCGTAGATTTAGAAGGTCCCCCGAAGGACTGGACGCCGCCTCCTCCACAGGACCCTGCCGCCGGTCCGTCGCGACGATCAAAGTCCTTCAATGGACAGCCCAACCCAGGCACAGCGATGAATATTCCTGCGGATAGTTTCCTTGGGAATCTCCCTCCTGCTCTTCCCCAACAACCACCAGAACCGAAGGTAGCTCTATCGTCTGAACAGCGTGCGGTCTTGGACATGGTTCAGCAAGGAAGAAGCGTCTTCTTCACTGGGTCTGCTGGTGCGTCCTCAAAGAGTTTCATACAAGTGCTGATCGTGACAAATGAGAATTGTACACAATAAGGCACGGGGAAATCTGTGTTGCTCCGGGAGATCATCAAGTTTTGCACCGAGCATTCTGGTAAGCGACCAGCAGTAACCGCTGCAACGGGGATCGCCTCCGTGAACATTGGCGGGTGCACGCTTCACTCTTGGGCAGGCATTGGCTTGGGCAAGGAAGATGCCAAAGTTCTTGTGGGAAAACTCCTCGGCAAGCACAAGCAACTGCTGAAGAAGGATAAGGAGAAGGGCAGGCAGGCGGAAGACGACATGGACTGGTACGACGAGACAGGCACGGAGAAAAATTCATGGTCGGTGAATCGCTGGCGTGAGGTCAAGACACTTATCATCGACGAAAGTAAGTTACCTCCACATGTTGATGCCTTGAAGTCCAGGTGTCAGACCTCACCACCTCTGACTAGTATCTATGATTGACGGAAATCTGTTCGATAAACTTGTAAGCAAACCTGGGTGTTTCCAATCTCGTCCAGGTTACTGAGTGGACGTGGGGGGCAGGAATACATCGCTCGCATCCTCCGACGAAACAAAGCTCCATTCGGAGGAATCCAGGTACGTAGCTGTCTTCCATTCCGTGGCATCTCTGCCTCACAGACGTCCAGCTTGTACTGTCTGGAGACTTCTGTCAGCTTCCGCCTGTACCGGATCGAATGAACGGCGTGTCCAAAGATATCAGATTTGCCTTCGACGCGCATTCCTGGGAGGATTGCGTTGGTCGACCAGTTATCCTGACGCATGTCTTCCGACAGAAAGACCAAGGTAAGGTGGCTCAATGACTGGCACAACTATTTCTCACATCATTGAAGCCTTCGTGGACATGCTCAACGAGATGCGATTCGGACGCCTCAGCCCAAAGACTATCACTGAATTCAGGAAGCTATCGCGAGATGTTGAATATGATGATGGCATCGAACCCACGGATCTGTACGTCCCAGTTGCACACCTTTGGCAATCGTTAATCAGCATTTGTCCAGCTTCCCAACTCGGCGAGAGGTCGACAATGCCAACGACTATCGCCTGGCCAATCTCAGCGATCCTCGCCATGAGTACAAGGCGAGAGATGTCCCAGGTTACGACGACAATAATGCCCCAATTTCTGAGAAGAAGATGGAGGCGATGTTGGATAGGCTGATTGCTCCCAAGGCCGTCACGCTGAAGGTCATCTTTCATCCTTTCGCACCCAATATTCAGTTAACCTACATTCGCAAACAGGTTGGTGCCCAAGTAATGCTGATCAAGGTAGTTCATGTCATTCTCTCACTTAAGGAACTCCTCAGTCTAACACATGTGCATCGTGCCAGAATCTCATTCAAGGTGAACTTGTCAACGGCTCTGTCGGGCGCGTCGTCGCATTCAGCAAGGTCAAGGACGCTATCAACGGGGGTGCGTTGGTTGCACACGACCAAGGCGTCAGTGGTGGTGGCAGCAGCCTACCAATTCCCGGTGGCAGCATGATGGCCGGCGGCAGCACGAGTAGCGGTGACAGAAACAAGGACCAAGGTAAGATCCCGGAGCACATCCTACTCTCCAACGACGTCTGGCCGGTCGTGAAGTTCCAGAAGGGGTTAATGGTCGTCTGCATCCCGACTGCGTTCGAGCAGACCAACGCCATCGGCACGATGGAAGCGATGAGGGAGCAGGTGCGACTTCTCGATCGCACGACTCTGCTCTCCCTCGAGTGTTGACGTGCGGTGGAAATTAGGTACCTCTCATCTTGGCGTGGGCCCTCAGCATACACAAGTCGCAGGGCCAAACGCTGGAGAGGGTCCGGGTAGACCTGGGACGTATTTTCGAGAAGGGTCAAGGTAAGCGTGATCCCATATCAGAATCAGACGTCACGTTTCACCCATTCAAGCATACGTCGCTCTCTCCCGAGCTACAAGCATGCAAGCACTGCAAGTATTGAAGTTTGACCCGGGAAAGTGGGTGTTCTTGCCTGTCATATATCTCGTCACTTGAGATTGATGTCCACTTTCCAGGGTCATGGCTCACCCTCGCGTGCTCGAGTGGACGAGGCAGGTCACCGCGAAGCGCGGTGTAATCGAAGATGATATGGAATTTGAGACTAATCTTGATGACGATCTGGAATTTTGGGCAGACTATCTGTAAGCTGTTGCAGCCACGAGTTTTCTTGTAATATTTACGTCCTCCAATTCATCGTGCTAAAACTTGGAATTACACTACAAGACCTAGGTTATTATATTCCAACGTAACAGTCAAGAAACATACAGTGCCTACGACGAAAACATGCGGAAAGAAACGGGCGACAATCACAGCTAGACTCAGCGATAAACGACACAATCATTCCAGGTGATTTGCTATGGATCTTGGGGCAGCTCGAGTGTATCATGATCGTCCGATTTTACAGCAGAAAGAACAGGAAGATCGGACCTCGAAGTTGTAGAGGAGGCAGTTATCAGAGTGGGAGGAGGTAGCGAAGAAGACATTGCACTCTCGAACGTCGCTGCCGAGGACGACGAAGCAGGTCTCTCCGGATCATCCTCGCGTGGCTCTGCAATATTGAATGTCGGAATGTCAGGCATCGTTCTCTCAAAGTTCTCGCGCGAGTCCATAATGGTGGAGGTACCCGTGGATGTCGATATCGAGGCGCTATCAGACCAAGGCGGAGGCAATGACGACGGAGCGGTGTCCTCTTCCTCATTCATGGAAGTGAGACTTGGAGGTGGGACGGACACGACAACCTCATCGTTGAACAAGAGTGCCGACCGTGCCGATAACGCGACGGCCTGCCGGACAGGCGGTAACAAAGGACCTGCACGTAGAGACGGGTGGATGCTGCCGGCCGGACGAGGAGGCAGCTGAGGTGTGAAATCTTCCGGCGGAACATCGTCGAACAGAGGCGGTAGTCGAGGGACAGATACAGATCGCACAGTCCAGGTTGATCGATCCTTCGGTGACGGCGGCGGAGGCATATTCGCAACTTTGGTGTGTGTCGAGCCATATGAGACTTGGGCGGGAGACTCGCCCAACGGTGCGGGTGGTAGCGGTGGGGAATCACTGAGTCGGAACAGTATTTGAGCATGTGTGATGAGGTCCTCCATAAGTGTGTCCTGACAAATCTTAGGTTAGCAAGGGGATCCAATGTTCAGATTGAGATAGTGTGTACCTTCCACGATTGTACATTGAGTAGATCTCCACCCTTCGGCATCTCGTCCTCGCCAAAGATGACAGCGCTGAACACGATAGCCAGGTTCTTGGCGTCCATCTTGTTCTTGTCAGAATGCGAAGCTACACGCGCAAGGTGCTCTACTATCATCTTGAGAGTGCCTTGATGTATCGCCGGCAGTCTTCGCATCTTTGATCGCAATAGCATGAAGTTATTGAATAGGTGCTCCTCTACAGAACCCACGTCAGTCTCGAGGCCGATGAGACAGTCCTAACTTTTTCCTCACCCATATCCTCGCTGTGTTGGATCCGATCCTGTAGGGAAAATTTGAAGACCGGCTCTGGTAACCCACGCAGATACAGCTAGATTCTGACATGAGTTTGACAGGTCCGTAATGACAGAAATTGAGCTTTACCTTAAGGAGGGACGAGACAGCGTATACGTCGTCTACAGTAGGATTAAACGAAAATAGAGCCTCGTTGCGCTCTATCTTGTGTTGGAGCTGTGTAATTATAGGATGAATGGTGATGCACAAACTCCAATCGAATTGCAGCGTACCTCTTGAACCGCTGCATGTCTGCCAGACACCTGTAAACGGAAGGCATGACCGATTAGAACGCTGGGAGATGAAACCACTACCCACTCGATAGATGCCTTCCGCCTCCAAACCTCTTTTCTCGATCTCTTTGATTGACATTCTCACAATCTTAGGAACTTCCCCTTCCGACAGATTCCTTGCCGTCGCATAGTCAACGAGAGAGACACCAAAGACAAGATCCTTGCATTCTCCAACGGCATAATTGTGGTAGTAAATCGGCTTCGGCGAAGCGGCCGCAATTAGTTGAGGAATGTGGGCGGCAATTATGGCATCATCTGTCTGAGACGATATTCTTTCAATACTCCGGCGACCATGTTCGCATATCTGAGACTGTGTCGCAGCCGTCGCACTGTAAAGTACGGGACTGGTGGGTTCCATCTCATCTTCGTAATATGGGCAAACGCACATCAGATTATCCGTATATCTCCAAAGCACAGACTTGACTGTCTCGGCGGATTCACGAACGAAGGATTTCAAGCTCTTCAAACAACGGTTTAATTATCGCGGGAGACATAATGCAATAATGACCTACAGTGTACCCGGCTTCCAAGAGCTTTATCCTGCGGAGGCGTAGTGTCTCTAACCAATGAACAGCTTTCCGATATTCCTTGTCTTAGAAAGTGAAGAGTTAAAAAATTTGTCTAAACATGCGGGGCTACAATAACGTGTAACTTACCGGCCTCATCGGCCTCCCTCTTGGCACGCACTGACCGCAACGCGTTGTCAGATCGACCCAGGGTCTCCTTCGCGTTACCTCCTTTATCTAAGAACGTAATCAGTTGATTCAACTGTCTCTTTCCTGCAAAAAAAGTGAATGTTGTCATAAGCAATAAGACTATCACACAGGGTAATGCACCTGAATGTGCCAGATCTTGTAGAGCCGTCGAAGTTGATGGAGAACGAGCTCTAGAGGATGCTGCACTTGTCGATGGTCGACGGTCAAGGGGACGAAGTGGCTGTGGAGCAGTAACAATAGGCCTAGTTGGTGGACCTTGGCTAGTCTTAGAGGGCGCGGAGGTGGTAGGTTTGAGTATAGCAGGTGCATTATGATGCTCAGGAGCAAATGTGGGGGACACAGGCGGAACTGCAGCTGCAGCATTCTTGAAATCCTATGTCCTCCGTCGACTCGGTGTCCATCTACCACAGAGAAAGTCTATGGACCTACCTCAACTTCCTGACACTTTTTCAAGTATGTACGCTTCAGTCGGGGCAAAGTACTTTCCGCGTAGTCTGTGTGAGCATTGACAGCATCTTTCAGGTCTTCTTTGATGCGTTTGCGGATGCGATCTTGAGTTTCCTGATCCAAGCAGTTCCATAGGAGTAGACAATTCCCGAAGGCATAGACGTACCCTCAATGCGGCCAATGGGTTGATAATGTCGGTGGTGATAGCGCCAAGGAAGGCCATGCGCGTATCAGCCTCTGCAGAAATGTTGATCTATCGATGTTCGCGGACGTATGTTGTCGCGTAGATTACGCACCTCGAGCTACATTGTCTCTGACCTCAACCCAAGCGGCTCTCGTGGTACTGAGTTCCACTCGACTGTCTAGGTGGGTATCGGTTATCTTGGCCTTCGTATGCAGCTTGAGCAGGGCTTCGACGCTAAACTGACGCGTGAACTTCCAAAGTGTTCAGCACACAAATGTACTCGATGGAAGCTCACTACGTCTCTTCTATCTTCTTCCTGCCATCGTGAGGTGAGGGTAAGCAATTTCTACAGCACTTACGGACGCACCGTTCTTGAAAAAAGGTCAAGTATGATTCAGTGAGGAATTTGAGGTGCAGATCGAACAGGACAATAGCGTCTTGCGGTGTGTCAAGGGATGACCTGGACGAGGGGGGATTGTCCTGCGACGAGGACATTGAGCAGAATGTATTGCGCGTAGACCAGTAATGTCAACGTAGTCGTGGCGCAGATCAGAGGAGCTCTGCGATGAATAAGGTCATCGACCTGTTCGACTTGGAGTTGTACATCCAATCACGTGGCTTGAAGCGCTCAGCGCTCAGCGGCGCTCATTATAAGTAATCCACCTCAGCGCAGCCGCCCTGTCGAGCTGGTTTATGTAGGTTCTCGATGAACATTTGCAAATGACAGCCTGAGCTCTCCATATGCATGCCAGTTGCATGCCTGCATTGACGTTCGGCGTTGATCTGCTTGGAGCGGTTCCTGACTCGGATGATAAGCCGGGCGCTAGTGTGATTGCGACGCGTGGTGAGTACTACTCGCTATATAAACATTCAGTTTGCGTGAATTATTCCCCCTCCGCTTCCTCATCTTCAAAGCCGGCAAGTTAGACGATACGCCATGGGAATTGTCCTGCAAGCTGGAAGTTCTCTGCTAACGCTGGTGGACACTTCTCAGGCCGTCTTAGGCCAGGGTCTGCTCGCTTGGTCAATTTTACCGCAGGACGAGACGCGGTACGCGTTCCATCTGCTTGCGTGGGATGCTTCTCTTTTCTCATATGTCTGAAGCGTGTTTTTGGGCACGCTCTTTATACCAGCATACGTTGCGACCATATCTGTCGTCGTCTTGTTCTTTCAGCTCGTGCTATGCTCATCCCCCGTCAAGAAGCTTCACGCGAGATTCACAAAGTCCCAACGGACATCGGAGGAGAATGACTGTACATCTGTTGAGCAGTCTGAATCATTCACCATCGCAAAACACGTACAACAATTGGGCGGTCCCATTATCTTTGGGTTTCAATGTGTCAGGTTACTCTCTTGTCTTGTGCTGCTTGGCCTGTCTGTCTTTGCCTCTACTTTCGAGGGAGACAGCCATTGGAGCTTAGGCTTTGTCTTTCCCCAGTGGCAGCAAAACATACTCTGTGGAACATACGTAAGTTCTTACCTAAGCCTTGAATGGCGCATCTAAGTGCCAGAACGACAGGCATATGCATCGCTACTGGCGGTGATATCAGTGTCGGCGAGACCTACCTTGAGCAGAGTCGTTGCACGACACCTCGCTACCGTTCTCCTCACTACTTGGGCAGTTTTTGTATACCGCGATGTGTGGCCCCTGGCGACATACACTTTGACTCCAGCTGATGTCGCAGAGGGAAGAATATTGTGGGCCAAGTTTTCTGTCCTGACCTTGGGTGCGGTGGCAGTTCCACTTCTCATGCCCCGCCAATATACCCCTGTGGATAGCATGGTGAGGATGCCCCACGTCGCATGAAGCAGCGTATTCAGGTAATGATGACAGGATCCAATGCCTGTGCCCAATCCTGAGCAAACTGCATCAATATTGTCCTTGATACTGTACACGTGGCTGGATCCGACCGTCTTTACTGCGTATCGCGTTCCTCATCTTCCATTGGAGCGACTCCCTCCTCTGGCTGACTACGACTACACAAGTAACTTGATTAAGAAGAGTTTCCCTGTGCGGTTTCCTATTCTCTCCATTCTATTACACTTGTCTTATAGTGTTCATCAAGCATCTTGATCCCTTCCAAGTAAAATCACGTAGACATATATTCTTTGGTTTGATGAGAATCTTTCGTAAGTTGTCTGGTACTTCGGAAAAAGACAAATTCACCGTATCGGACATCCAGGTATTGAATATTACGTCATGGCTACGATGCTGGGGCTGCGGGTATGTCTTCTCGAATGATCTGATCTTTCCCTTTTCTTATTAATTGCTTCAGGTTGTGGTAAGCTTCGCGAGTCCTCTCGGCATCAACCTCCTCCTCCGGTAGGATCTACCTTCTCAACATGACATCATATTCTCATGATAATCTGTAGCTATCTGGAGACTAATGGAGAGGGTGCTGTCGTTCGGTCTTGGGTGTGGATCTCCTGGCTCTTATTAGGACCGATAGTGAGCTCCATGCTCGTGCAATGGTACATCTTCATGGCGGTATGTGTACATGCTGACATTCCAGTTTCTGCGTTGACGTTTCTGTAACTTTAGACGAGAACGTTGGTCCGCGTCGAGGGTATTCTAACGTCGTTGGTTTTTGACCACTCCCTGCGCATCCGTGTGAAAGCTGAAGTTTCGGGCGCTTCGGGTGGCGGAGGTGCAGGTGAGACCACGGCAGTGGCTACTCCGGATAACGGGTCCATCGTAGGACCTAGCGAGTCCCGTGATACTCCAGGAAGTCCCGGCAGCAGCGAGGACGCAACCGTGCATTCGAGCTCTGATAGCGTTGACACAAACTCTGCTGTGGGGAAGCGTAATTCAAAAACCTCGTCCCACTCGGGCGACAGCAAGAAGACGGACGAAAAGCCTGCGTCTGAGAAAGGCGGTAATCTGGTCGGCAAGATCAATAACCTGGTGACCACCGATCTCAACAATGTCACTACCGGACGCGACTTCTTGCTCCTAGGTGAGTGCACGTGTTATCAGTGTTAGTCTTATTACATGACATCACAAACCCAGTGGTGGAGATCCCGCTGCAGGTCGTTCTCTGTGTTTGGTTCCTTTACTCGCTTCTTGGCTGGAGGTATGTCCTTCACTGGTTATTATACCTATAAACCACGAGCGGTCATGCAGCGCCTTGTGCGGAATGATCGTTATGGTCATTTGCTTCCCTCTTCCGGGATACCTCGCAATCCTCATACAAAAAGTGCAGGCGGAGAAAATGAAAAAGGTTGGAGCTCTTCAGTGCCGAAGGGTTCACTATACTTATATGCCATACTCAGACTGATGCCCGGGTACAATCGGTCACCGAAAGTAAGTAAACGTCGTGGTGATATCCAGGTTCCCGGATTGAGGTTTGTTTCCAGCCATGAGTGTCATTCGTATGATCAAGCTCTTTGGATGGGAGCCCCGAGTTGTCGATCAGCTTCTTGAGAAACGTGATGATGAACTGCTATATCAGAAGAAGTCAAAGATTCTGGAGCTCTCTATTGGCATGCTGAAGTATATTTATTCTCTCCGTATTCATGCCGGTGTCTAATATCGTTCTGCAGTCACTTCATCCCGTTGTTGACCATGATGGTTACTTATGCCACTTTCGTGCGTCCCAAGTGTTTCACTATGTAACTATACTTACCGTTCATGCAGACCGTGATCATGAAACGAAATCTGAGCGGTGATACTGCATTGATATCCTATTCCATATGCGAGGAACTGATTTCATGCTAGCTTCCATTGTGTTCTCATCTATGACTGGTATGTTCTCTCATGATTTTCTCTCTGGACGACGCTCACTGATGACTCATAAACTAGTGTTCGAAATGTTGGCTAACCAACTGCATGCGATCTTTGGTATGCTCCCAGCCATGATCAGAGGTATGACGATCATATTGCTTTCTGCGTGTGTGATCTGACTGTCTTTATCTAATAGCCAAGGTTTCACTCGACCGTGTCAATGAATTTTTGTACAAGGCGCGTATGCACTTCCCCTCTTTGAACCTGTTCTCACACATTGCTCGCACAGACGGAACTCCTCGATCAATTCACTGAAAAGACCGGAGAGGAAGACACAGCTCTTGTCATCTCAAAGCCGGACGCAGGAGACATGATCGGTTTCCGCGACGCTGCGTTCACATGGTCGGCCGATAATGACGGCACTTTGACGCCGGGGCCGCGGAAGCGCAACTTTACGCTCCGTATCGAGGACGAGTTGCTTTTTAAGCGTGGCCGTATCAATCTTATCGTGGGACCTACAGGGTCTGGCAAGACGTCGTTGATAATGGCGTTGTTGGGTGAGTCAAACTTTGGTGACTGAATATCCACTGTTATGATTGACATGCGACTTGGCAGGCGAGATGCACTACATCCCTTCCGGGCCGGAATCGTTCTTTAACTTGCCTCGCTCGGGTGGGATTGCGTACGCTGCACAGGAGTCGTGGGTGCAAAACGAGACAATCCAGGTAGGCTAGGTGTGTTATCTCTATTCAACTGCGCCTTCTCATTCTATACGCCTAGGACAATATTATATTTGGGGCCCCATACGACGAGGAGCGTTACAACCAAGGTGCGTGACAGGATGACCACAGTTGATGTAGGTCTGACTGATAGATTTCATTAGTTATTGAACACTGTGGACTGAAGAGGGACTTGTCTCTGTTTGACGCTGGTGACAAGACTGAAGTTGGCGAGAAGGGTTTGACGCTCAGGTGTGTGGTAATACTATTCTGTACATGACTCACTTATTCACATCAATACTACAGTGGTGGTCAGAAAGTATGTCATTGCGAGAATGTGGCTTCCTGCTGCTAAATTCTGCTGTAGGCTCGTATCACACTCGCACGGGCGGTGTATTCCAATGCCGAAATCCTCCTACTCGACGATGTGCGTGTATCATTGTGCACGGTGAATTGTTCTCTGAGTGGTTTGTGCAGGTCTTGGCTGCTCTTGACGTGCATACCGCTCGATGGATCGTTGAGAAATGCTTTCAAGGCGACCTTATCCGAGGACGAACCGTCATCTTGGTCGTACGTGACCGCTCCTGATCTACATCTGATACCTTCCGAACTCCGCGCCTTCAGACTCACAATGTCTCGATGGCACGCCCAATTGCTGACTTCGTTGTCTCTTTGGGCACGGACGGCCGCATTCTCAGCCAAGGATCATTGTCTAAGGCACTCGAAGCGAATAAGAAGCTGTCTGCCGAGGTCGTTGAAGAAATTGAAGAAATTGAAAAGGCCGAGCACGAAGTTGATCAGCCGCCGAACCCAGATATTCCGGCGAACGCTGATGGAAAGCTGATCGTCGCAGAGGAAATCTCTGAAGGGCATGTCGAGTGGCCTGCGCGTGCGTTCTTTCCTTGAAACTTCAATGCAGGACGTTGCTTACGCATCTCAGTGAAAATGTTCTTCGCTAACCTTTCGGGTGGATACCATGTTCTATTCTGGTTCGCCCTTTTGGGCTCTCTGCTTTCTGCCAGCGTGCTCCACACCTTGCAAGCATGGTGGCTTGGGTATTGGGCACGACAATATGAAGATCACGATGCCTCGGACATTCATGTGTCATAGTGAGTGATTCCAACGCTTATGGCTTGGATCTCGCCTTACCGCTGTTTGTTGCAGTTATCTGTCGATGTACGCAGTGGTTCTACTCGGGCTTTTAGTCCTTTATTGTGCAGGTTATCTTGCTTATGTGTTTGGCACACTGAGAGCATCGCGGTCGGTTCATCAATTACTGGTCTCCTCCGTCCTTGGTACAACTTTGAGGTAAACAGCACTTCCTCCGTGATACCGCGTGCTCACAAACTGTCGAAGATGGCTCGATGTAACCCCCACATCTCGCATCATTGCCCGTTGCACAGAGGACATTCAGTCTGGTATGAGCAGTTTAAGCAGGTGATTGCGACAATCTGACGCCTTGGTGTTACAGTGGATGGAACTATTTCGGAATACTTCTGGTTCCTGCTCGATTTATCCTTCAGCATGGCCGTGAAGCTGGCTGCTGTGGTAATAATGTCCCCTATATTCATTATCCCGGGCGTTTTGATTGCACTCCTGGGTGGCCTTTGTGGCCAAATTTACATGAAGGCACAGTTGTCAGTGAAACGCGAGAAGAGTAATGCTCGTGCTCCAGTGCTAGGACACTTCGGCGCTGCCATCTCTGGCCTCAGTTAGTGTTCTTCACTTTTAAGCTCCAGTGTCCTCACGGGTACCCTCAGCTTCCATTCGTGCATACGGCGCCGAGGAGTCTTTCAAACTGGAATCTGCACGGCGTGTCAACCGTAACACCCGAGCTTCCAGGACGTTCTATAACCTCAACCGGTGAGAATATCCGCATGCGGACCGTTCGGTGTAGCTCATTCATGCTTAGATGGGTGTGCATCCGTATCGAATCTCTTGGAGCACTGTTCGCCGCCAGCTTGGCGACTTACTTGGTGTACGTCAGCAGAGCGGGTGCTTCCGCTACGGTATGTCTCTTGATCCTCGCCAAACCTCTTCTGACGCTGGGTGGTCTGGTCAGGGCTTCTCATTAAACATGGCTAGTGAGGTGCAATCAGTTGTTGCAAACTCCTTCACTACTCAGCTGCAGTTCAGTTAGTTTTAGTGACATGATCTTGTGGTGGGTCAGGATCTTCAACGACTTCGAAGTCAGCGGTAAGTAGCTTGATTTACTCACTGACACCTTTTACTGACTTGCCTGGGAATGTAGGCAACAGGTAAGCTTCAAATATATTATGTGTCGATGGTGACTACAATCGTGCACAGCTTGGAGCGCATTCAGCAGTACGTCATCATTGAGCAAGAATTGAAGGCTTCAGAACGCGGTATTCCCCCCGCGTATTGGCCCGCTAGCGGCGACCTCACAGTGGAGAACTTGTCCGCTCGTTACTCTCCGGTATGTCAAGTGTTGCATCTTGAGTCGCTGTTCTAACCGTCTTTGTCCTGACTGTAATTAGGATGGACCCCTCGTTCTGTATGAGATTTCGTTTGAAGTCAAATCAGGAGAACGCGTGGGCATCGGTGTGTGGCTGCGGCAAATGTCTAGATATGATGTTACTCACATATTTGGTAGTGGGACGAACGGGAAGCGGGAAGGTGAGTTGACTCGTGCATGATTGGACGTCTCGCTGCTACTAACAGTGTCGTCTCAGAGCTCCTTGACCCTGGCTCTGCTACGGTGCATCTTGACCGAAGGCAAGGTGTATTTCGACGGCATTCCTACCGATACAATCAATCTCGATGCGCTGCGGAGCCACATCACAATCATTCCCCAAGTGGTTTGTTTGTATGGCCTCATCGTCTTGTTCAAAGTCGGCTGATGCAGGTGTACCCTTCAGCCTGAACTCCTCAGTGGAACACTGCGCCAAAATCTGGATCCGTTTCAGATGCACGACGATGCTGTTCTCAATGACGCATTGCGTACTGCCGGGCTGTTCTCTGTGCAGAGCGACACCGACGATGATCGGATAACTTTAGACACTCAGATATCCAGTGCAGGAGGTAATCTGTCCGTCGGTCAAAGACAAATCTTGGCACTAGCTAGAGCCATTGTACGACAGAGCAAACTGCTGATCCTAGACGAAGGTTGGTAACAATGTCAATTCCGGGATGAGACCGACTGATGGCCTGTATTCTTGACAGCAACGTCCGCTATTGGTAAGATCAAGGAACCGTCATCTACCTTGGTGTTGGGTGATTGATAATTAAATTTAGATTATCACACTGATACTGTGATTCAAACGTCGCTGCGCAAGGAGCTGAGCAAAGATGTGACGCTCCTTACCATCGCGCACCGTCTGCAGACAATCATGGATGCAGACAAGATTGTGAGTGCAGAATCGTGAACCTTGCAGCAACTCTGATTCATATCGTCCTCAGATGGTACTTGATGCAGGTCACATTGTAAGTGAAATCTCACGATACTAGTTAGAAATGCTCAGCAGTCTCTGCAGGCTGAATTTGGAAAGCCGAGTGAGCTGCTGCAGAATGAGAAGGGCATGTTGCGAGCACTAGTAGATGAGAGCGGTGATAGAGATGCTCTGTACGCGATGGCCCAGGGCGCGGGTGCGTCGAGCGCAGATACCTAGTTTCATGCATACTGTACTTAGTTGAGACCCTTAAAAAGTATATAAAGGGGAAAAAAACAAACTTAGCATCAATCATGCTGTCTCAAGGACCGGTAGATCATTGTATCTATTTTGGAACACGTACTGCTGGCACTATAGTGTAGTGGTTATCACTTGGGATTCTGATTCATTCAGTCTTCCCAAAACCCAGGTTCGAGCCCTGGTAGTGCCTGGATGTCCGTCTGATAAACTTTTTACTTTCTATCTTTGGTTTAACCTTCAGCAGTGAAGAATAATTTCGCCAACATCTTGAACGTGGTGTATGTACGTAGGTCGATATCTGTCCCCACATCTATTATAGAGCAAGGTGCAGCTACCTTCCTCCACTATACCGGGGCGAGGTTGGTAAATCCTGAATTGACTTACAAGTTTGGATATTCTGGCGAACCTCTCGCGCTGCTACGGACAAACACGTACAGCACTTGGTTCTTTCGAACTTGCACTTTACGCATAACTATTCGAGGGCACTCGTGATGTGTAATACATTTCTTTTCGAGGGTCCAGCGTCACTTCGTCCATTTGATCTATCGTCTCAAAGAGGCAACCCGCACACTTCACAATCGCTGCCGCCATGAGCGTTCTCGAAGGTGCAGTGCGGGCATATCCGTATGCTCCCACGGCCACCCCCCTGACCCCCACTTTCGCGAGTAATTTGGTCGTAAACTTCCTGCGGGATGTCCTCATCCATAGGCGTATGTGATGACCCCGACGGTGCGGAGGTAGACGGCCGTTGGGCTACGTGAGGTGAAAATATCAAAACCACAGTGGCAGGAAATCAAAACGCAGAGCTCACGAGCTGTCTCGCGTGTGAACGTCATCAGTGTTTGCCAGCTCTCGGTCCTGATCAGCGCATCCAGTGCAGTAGGATCCTCAACGTTGGGCGCAGACGCCGTGTGGACCAAGACTTGCATATCGTCCTTAAGTGAGAAAATTATTCAATAACGGGCCCGCGTAACAGAGAGAACACCAACATGAGATATCAACTGCGTCGAGCCAAGGAAAGCCACCAGGTGCCAATCGCTTAGCCATTTTGCAAGCTCTGCACGAAGTTGTGGGTCACCACCATGAGAGCTTTCCGGAATTTCCGGTGCTCGCAGACGCGACAGCTCGCGCAGGACACGCTCGATGTGCTGATCTTCCAGTCCTGGGCGGTTCTCAATTTGGAAGGACGTAGAGTGGAAGAGGGGAGATGGATTCTGGGGGAATCCGTTGGATACCTGTCAAGAGTTTAGAAAGTAGACTAAGAAGCACAAATCACCTGCACGTACGTTGACTAGGAGGTATTCAACGGGGAAACATGGCTTGGCACTCTTCTTCACCTCTAGCCCGTATTCGTTTTTATACGTGAAGAAAACGTCCGGGACATAGCGGGCTGTGTCTTGGCTCCTGTCCTCTTCCTTAACGCGCACAATGTTAGGATCTACACTTGCCTCGATCATATCCGCCTCCACCATAGCACAGGCTTGCTCCGAAACTTGGTAAGCTGACACGTCAATTGCACCGTCCGCAGTACCTGTTAGCACTGCCGTCACCATACGCGACGCGAACAAGCCTGAGGGTGAGGCACGCGACGACGTCGGATTGGCCCTTTGCACATGCGCCGCGAAAATCGCTTCAAGCGAGGACAGATAAAAGGATTGTGGATGACGCTTGTACACATTCTTCGTCCGGTCCTCGGGTGTTGGATCCAAATCCGTGAAAATGTATCCAACAACCGTCAGTGGAGGAGATGCGGACTGAGCCAGCGCTCTAATGCGGGGCTCATCTTCCCAAGGCAGTCCTAAACTCAGCCCATCGAGCTCGCCTTCCTGCGGGGGCTCGTGAATTGCCTCAACAACCGCCTTCACGCCCATAGGTACCTCGTCGTAGGGCTCATACCGTCCAATCAGCCATCCAAAGCGCTGCATGCCTGTCGCGCGCCAGGCCGCAAGGAAGCGCTCCACGATTGTCCTAGACGCTATCTCAAGATGGTCCACCATCCGGAATGGCGGACTCTGCAGCGTGATAGCGGATGGCTGGCATGCCGTACAAATCCCCCCTGGCCACGGCGGATGTCCACCCGAGGGGCATGGGTCCTTAACCTTGTACGAAAGCTGAGAGAGGGGCGGCAGAGACGCCGTCGCGGACGCGGATGCAGAGCCTTTCGGCGTGAGCTTGCGAAGATATGCGTGGAATGACAGGTGTTTGACGTTGTGCTCCGTGTGGTACGACGCGTCGTACGGCTCGAGGGGCATGCAGTAGTCACACATCGCGTTCGCGCCATGCTTGCAGAAACGTGCGTCGCGCGAGCGCGGAATCATACCATCGCGCGAGCGCCAGTACTTATCAACTCGGTCTTCTTGTACAGATTCCCATGGATGATTTGAGGTGCTGCTTGTAGCTTTCGGCGCAGGGAATGAGTCGGTCCCAGGAGTATTGGAGGTGGCATCGGGTTGTGATTTATAGGAGACGAAAACAAGATCTCCATGCCTAAAAGTAACAAGATAAAGTGTGTGATCTCAGGGATAGGACAGTTGGAGCGTACGAGAGACCCAAGTCCTGCAAGTTGCGTCCTGCCAAGGTGGACACCAACGTTTCGTTTCCCCTGGGACGATTAGAAATCGCGAGTGTCAAGATATCGGCGTTGTGTGTGGTCTCGAGAATCTATTCCACACCGGTGTGTCGCATCATTTTCAAGCACTTTCGACAACGAAATACGAACCTTCGTCGCCAGTTCTGATATATCGGTCGTAGGTGACAGATCAAACCGAAAATTTCCATCCTTCGACCTGATTCTGATCAACTGAGCGAGCATAATCGTGTGTGGTTGCATTTCGGACGAAAAAGACATACCATGGTAGAAATATGTGGGTAATGTGAAGTTGTGGCCACTGCGGCAGTTGTAGCTCAAGCTAATAAGATGAGTTACGCGTACGCGTCCGGGCGCTTGTACAGACGTCACTCATGTCATGCAAATTATGTAATACTCATATTTCTGGTTGACTTCTTATTTATATCACATGACCGTTATACCAGGTTCACCACCGGAAATTCTGGCGCAATCCAGTACTCCTATGGCGAACAAACGACGAACCCACGAATCGAGTGCGTCTCAAGCTGAACTGTACGACATGGCAGTCCATAACGGGCGAAAGTCATTTGTAAATGACGAGGTCTGTCGTTATTGCGAGCGACTTTTGCAAATGAGATCTCGGTTAGCTCTCCCATATCGCTCAGGCTGATAGTATACATGCAGAGGGAGTCCGGGTGTTTAGATCAACATTCGTGCATCGATCATGCCCCAGGACTCAAATACAGCGACGGACGACGTACCCCACGACCGCAACACAGGACACCGTCGCGGGAGGTCGGCTAGTCAGCCAGTGACCCCCGTACACAACGCGCCGATGTCGAGTCCGAGCACGAGGGTACACCAGAACACGTCTTTCTCTGAGGGAACACGCCGCTGACCACAGTCGACAGGCTGTAGACCCACTGGACTTTAGTTTCCTGAATCAATACAACGCGGGACCTAGTTCCGCACCTTCATATCCTCAGCCAGTTTATAGCGACGACGCATTCGCCAGAGCAGTACGTTCGTTGCAAGAATCACCATCAGTTGTTCCGCAGGTTCCCCCGATCCCACCCCCGTCACTCAACCCTGCGCTCAACCCTGCGTTGAATCCCATGTCAAGTCAGCCTATGCCGAACCCAACGGAGGCATTCCTCGCGGCCATTCCGTGGCTGCAGTACCTGCAGATACAGAGCATATACGGTCAGCAGCAACAGCATCAACCACAACATCATCAGCTGCAGCAGCAGCAACAACTTCAGTACATGCCGCCGCCTCCCATGCCTCAGGTACCATTTGGCTTCGATAGCGGGCAACTCGGGTCTTTCGTATCCAACGACGCCGGACCGAGCGAGCCGCCACAACTACCTCCTCCTCAGCCAGTCAGCAATCCACCATCACCCGAGGCTGCAGAACCGCAGGAGGGTGATCAGATCGGGAGTTCAGACGACAAGAGGAGGAGGAACACAGCGGCGTCAGGTGAGATTCCCGAAACGGCTGTAAGACAGAGCGGTGTTGATATTCTCGGGACCACCAGCTCGATTCAGAATCAAGAAGAAGCAGTGGACATTGAACCTTGAGCGCGGCATCTCTGATCTCTCGGGACGTGTGGAAGAGCTCGAGAGAGAGGCTGGTGAGCTTCGAAGAGAAAATGGGTGGCTGAAGGAGATTGTCATGCTAAAAAGCAAACGCCTCGCTGGTGTTGTCCCTGACTTGGAGCAGGGCACGTCGAGTAGTACGCCGGGCAATACATCTAGCCCAGGAGGAGAGCCCAGCAGCAGCAGGGACGGTTCGTCGGAGAGGCCTGGAGAGAAGGGGAAGGGAAGATAAGTGGGGTGACTTTCTCCGGCGGATTATGTCTTATGGACTGAGGACTGTATCATCTGGGGCCATTGTATAAACGATCTAGCGAATTCCGAATACCTGCTTTTTTGACTTTGGGCAATTCGGAATTTACCATATAAGGACCATCCTCTTCCACTTTGTGCGGGAGTGGCCTCCCACGCTGTAAGACCTGCGTGCCGCGTGGTCTACTAGACTTCTCTTGCCAACGACATGTCTTTCGGACGACCGCCGTCAGTCTCTGCGGGTTTCCAAAGCGCTCCTCCGGTATGCTCTACATCATTTGGTGTGCACGTCGCAGCTCATTCTTGCAAACAGGACAGAGGATCGTTCCCGCTAGATCACTATGGTGCGATACCTCATATCTACTAGTGATTGTTTGTCCTGACTCGATGCAGGGGAGTGTAAGGATTTCATGAAAGTATATCTTGACTGTCTGCGAAAGAACTCCAGTAATTCCACCCCATGTCGCCATCTCAATCGAGAGTATCTGGACTGCAGGATGGATCGGTATGTTGCCTCATCTTCCGAGTACCCAGTCTCAGTACTGACGAGGTAATACAGCGGATTGATGGGGCGCGATGAGTGGAGAAATCTAGGGCTGGATAATTTGCAAAGTTCCCCTCCGGAAACCTCTCCAGAAGGCAGCGTCAAGAATGCACCAAACAATGCTCCCTCAAGTCCCTAGCCGTGTCCAGCTTGTGTCGTCACTGCAGCCGCATATCATCTACAGCTCTGTGATTATGGAAGCTGCCTCGTCCGGGACATTGCTGCGGTACGGTCCGTCTTGTACGCCCTCACGATTTTTCAAAACACAGGGGACCATCGGGCATCCGATCGCGATTGCAATACGATGTACTATCACCACCTTCACTACCATATCACTTTCATCTTTCGCCAACTACTACAATTTCATCGATGTCGTCTTATTGGTTACGTTTCAATGCCCTTGGATTGGAGCAGTAATTATTATTGAAGTTGCAAGTATCTGCAACTTCCCGGAGCAATTTAAATAAAGAATGCTTGCGATGAATCACCGCTTCCGGATACCTGCATCCTGAGGCCTGAACTGAATCGCAGCTGGTGGATAATCCCATGGTCTACAGCAAGTGCTAGCTCAACATAATGCACCCTAGTATTCACGAAGCTCTCGCATCCACCAATAGTCGCTCTGACGGTACCGTTCGTCGTCTTCGTCCACCGTCGCCTTCTTGTCCAAGCTGCATGCTGACTTGGCTGAATTTTTTGGCAGTGTCTCATCTGTATTATATCCCGTTGTCTCATCCATATGTCGTCGGCTACGATTTAACCTTTGCCTCGTTGAATTTTATGACGTTGCAGTGGCTCACTGTCTAGAGGGCTCCGGTCGCAACCACTTTCGATGCGTCGATGTTCGCAAAATCACTTGGCACAAAACGAATTAACCCCTCCGCGCATTTGTACATCGCTTGTCCGAGCTCATGGATATTTAGCTGCTACCCGATGCCATGTGGTGGTGCCGCATACCGAAATTTGTTCTTCTCGGCGCTGTATATCTTCGCTGATCCTTCGGTTATCCACGCGAGCGAGGAAAATATTAATATTCTTGGTTTAGCAGGTTTGTAACTCGACGTCATCATGAAGACTAAATATTAAATCGTTGTCGGACGCACAACATTCGCGAGACAATGGTCGCAAATTTTCTCCGCAATGCGGCTTTCGCTCCGAATTTGTCACGGTTGGGCAAACACAGCGTAACTTGTTGTATCACAATGCGGTGATTGTTGCCCGCGATTTCTCATGCATGATGATGCTCGCACGTGTGTCATAATGACGCTGCGGAGAGTGACAGAGCCAGTGTTTGGTTGATGGGCGCAGGATCCGGAATGAGTAGGTGAAGGATAAATCTGCTTTTCATATACTATGTAACAGCCAGCGTCCAGATATTTTCTAGAGGTGAGAACCGCAAGTTCTTGTCGCGATATGCATTACAACTGTGGTGAGCAACTTTTTTTTTTCAAGCCTCCGTCCACAGTCGGAGCGCCTTCGTGCACGGAGAAACCCGGGGTAACTGCGGGGAACTGGTTTGTGGAGCGTTGTGAGCAGATTGCACGTTCGCAAGCGTAGATCGTACTCGCCGGGCCGACGACTGCCAGACCTTCCATATATGGGATGCGGGATTCCCATTCGGGACGATCATCGCGGCGACGGTCACATCGGAGTTTGAAGAAAATGAACGTTCGTCGACCACGATCAGCGCGGCGATGAAACGTGGGGTCGCCAGCGCACCACATCCTGGAACGTTCCCAGCTCGCAGAAGGGAATTTACATCGTGGCTGACGCAGGCGTTCGCTTTTCTGGTCTGTCTGGCCGGAGCAATCCTGTCTCTACCTCCTCCCCCGCCAGCCATGTTCTCGTCGTTTGGCATCCTCGCTAATTACTTCAATTACGCACTGCTGGCTCTCGCGTCCCCCACACCAGTCGAGATTCCTTTGGTTGCGCCTGCGAGGGAAGGACACCGGCGTTTTTTTGACATCCAGGTGGGCGCCATCTCATGTCCGACGCGGTTACGTATTGACGCGTATCTTCAGGCGCACCGTGGCGGCAGAGGAAACACAATCGAGAACACCCTGCCCAGTTTCGCGTGGTGTGTATCGCAGATTTCTTGCTATTCTGTGTCCTCACTTACGTCTTATTGAGGGGTCTCATTGATGGCGCCGCCACGTTAGAGTTAGACAACGGGATCACGAAGGTATGCACCGCTCTCTGAATGAGGCAGGAGAGCCCCCTCATTTGGGTGACTAGGATGGGGTCGTCGTCGTGTGGCACGACGAGAACATCACACCGGAGAAATGCGTCGACACCTCGCCCGTCGTAAGTCCGTGCCGGCCAACTGACGCGACGTGATGCATGACGGAGCCACGCGTCTAGTTTTCGGGCGATCCTGACTTTCCTTATGTGGGGAAGTTTATTGCCAACCTTACTCTGGCCCAGCTGAAGACCCTGGACTGCGGGTCGAAGCGGCAAGACGGCTACCGTAAGGCCTTCGCCTTGTGTCTGAGCGCTGATACCAAGCCAATGCTCGTACAGCGATGCAGCTGACGTATCCCGGGACACGGATATCTACGTTGCAAGAGGTGTTCGACTTTGCGGAGTGTGCGGATCCGGCGCACCAGATTTTGTGGAACATAGAATCGAAGATCAACGCCCAGCACCCGAACCGTACATTAGGCGTTGACGACTATGTGACCAAGCAGAATGCAATATTTTCTACCAGCCCTTATTCCTCATCGATCACGGTAGGTGGTGCGTAAAAGTATTTATATTGTATATTCACCGATCACCACAGTACCAAAGCTTTGATTGGCGCACACTCGTTGCTATGAAGGTGCGTACCAGGTGAAACTTGAGACTGCAAAAATAATCATGGGAGTACCGCTGTAGGCTGTCAACCCATACATAGTCACGTCTGCCCTCATAGACGAGTACGCATGTATCTTTCATTCGACGGACCTGCTCTCATGATATTCAAATTGCCACAGCGAGACTGCGAGTATGTCAGATAACAGCACTACACCGTGGCTGGCGGGGCTTCGGTTAGATTCGTTCCCAGGGCCCACGTTCGGTGCCCAGGTCGCGCAGGCTGCACACTTAATTGGGGCCGACATCCTCTCCCCTGGGGCTAAGTCGCAGGACTCTCCTGTACCGGATCCTATGATGGATGGATACCAGACTTTCACGACGCGAGGCATGATTGAGGAGAGCCACAAGCTCGGAATGGAAGTCAAAGTGTGGACGGTGTGTTGCTACCGCTGTCTTCGGTTCTCATTGACTCATGCGACTGATAGGTAAACCGCATGAATATTGCTGAGCAGATGTTGGAGTGGAAGGTGGACGGTATTATATCTGATTGTACGTGTGATGGTGACTTGTCCTTCTTTGCTAAGCCTCATATTCGCGTCCAGATCCTAATGTTGTGCGGCGTTTAATCAAGCAGCGCGGCTTGCCGTCTGCTCCCAAATACCCCAAGCAGAGAGTGCTTACATGTTTAGAGGAACATCTGGTGAAGCAGCAGTTGTGAGCGTGGTCGTTTATAGCATACCCCGGAAGTACATTATCATGCGGCTCAGGACTTTTAACGAAACTGTATATGCCTTAGATCATTCAATGTTGTACCATAGATTAGAAATTTTGCTGTAGATGGTTTTTGTGATCTCACTTCGTCCTGAGGCAGCAGGCAAGTACAACTGAGAAGAAGCCCCCCCACTCAACCTGAGTTTTCTCTTACGAGCTGTGCAAGTACTAATATGCCGACTGTGGTTTCGGGCCATCCCATTTTTTTCTCGTTTCGCAGTTTTTATTTTATTTTCACCCACTTCAATCGCTATCGAGACGCGATTGCTTTTTTTTGTCCGAATTCCGGTCTTCCGTCCTATACGGATTTGGCGCAGAGGCGTGTGGGCTCGGAAAAGAACGGACTCAAGTACCGGGCGCTGCGTTCAAACTCCGCACCCATTTCCTCGTCACTGGGAGCAGCGTCGAGCACATTCCTCCCCCCTCACCATGGCTGCTGTCCAGCTCGCCAAAAAAGCCTTCACCGTCCCTCCGACAGTGCGCACGCTGCCCTCGGGCGTTCCGAGCGCGTCGCTCATCACCTTTTCCGCCCGCGAGCCTGCTGGTCACGGTCATGAACACGGACACTCTGCTGCCCCCCGAAGAGATGCTCCTTCAAAGTGGGTGGGAAGTGTGACTCAAAGCCAGTCAGCGGGGCTTGTTTCGAGGCTGAACTTCACCGGTGAGTGGCGTTTCTGATTTTTGAACGCGGTGATCTTGCCGCCGACCGGTCGTATTCATGCTCCTGCTGTCGCGATATGCAGCACCGACCACGGGTGTTTTCCAGAAGCGCCTTTTGCATGCCTCCGTGCCCGCGAAGGACGCGCCGCAGGTCCCTGACTTCTCACATCATGAGGCCAAGTCAGAGTCAACGAACCGCGCGCTGTCGTACGTGATGGTGGGCTCGCTCGGCGTGCTCTCCGCCTCAGTCGCCAAGTCCACCGTCACGGACTTCCTCTCCACCATGGCGGCAACGGCCGACGTCCTCGCGATGGCGAAGGTCGAGATCGAGCTCGCGAGCATCCCCGAGGGCAAGAACGCCATCATCAAATGGCGCGGCAAGCCCGTGTTCATCCGCCACCGCACGGCGGACGAGATCCAGGAGGCGCGGGGCACGAACTGGAAGTCCTTGCGCGACCCGGAGAGCGACGAGAACAGGACGAAGAAGCCCGAGTGGCTCGTCATGGTCGGCGTTTGCACCCACTTGGGGTGCGTGCCCATCGGAGAGGCTGGTGACTATGGAGGATGGTAAGGCATTCTGGGTGTCGTTATATTGCTGCTGCTAAGTCACCGTGCTTCTCACAGGTTCTGCCCGTGCCACGGTTCTCACTATGATATCTGTGCGTCTCTTCTTTCTCTGCATCTCCCGCGGTTCTTTGATGTCCTCGTGACAGCTGGTCGTATTCGCAAGGGACCGGCTCCCGTGAGTTTTGGGATTCTTCTGATGCATGTGCATTACTGACGCGGGTCATGCGACAGTTGAACCTCGAGATTCCGGAGCACAGTTTCAACGACGCGGATGGCCTTTTGGTCATCGGATGAATTAGATGGTAGAAATGAGCGAACAATGGCAATAGGTTTCCGTTCGTTTGATACGAAAATCAATCTGCCGCACGGTGCGAATACTGGGAATTTGCAATCGCGCACCCATGAGGGTTGAGCGACTTCGCGCTGCAAAAATGTTTTATGGATGGGAACTTCTTAGCGATATCGTTTAAGCCGCACTAGGGAATCTCGATTGTCAACGTTTATATCGAGATGACCCAGCCTCACAGGTAAACCAAAGAAGTGAAGGAGGGGAGAAAAGCGGGAGCATCGCATTAGGCGTCTTTACACAGAACTACGCAAGAATGTCCAGCTAAAATACTTCAATTTCTGTCTCGCCACAAGAACGAAAAAACTAGTGCGCCTCCTGACGAGAAGAGGCTGCAAAGAACGACGCGCGAACGAGAAACAATACTGGGAGTAAGATAAGACGTGTCAAGACCCAGGCAGGGCAAGGCTCCCCAGCAGCAAGCAACCAGCACACGCGCAAGCGCGCAGAACCCTCCCAGACATCCCGAACATGAACGAGTCACTGCAATCTAGCCGGTCGATAGTAACGCCAGCGTCATAAGTTACATCGATATTTTTACGGCCTCCTGTAGCTTCCGCTAGGTTCTCCGGATTCGCGCGGAGGTCGCGAAGGATAGTCTCTGCCAGTGCCCGCACTACGAGGAGGAGCACCGCCAGGAGCACTGCTAGGGTAACCATTGCCCGCGAAGCCACCAGAAGAGCCGCCAGTGTAAGAAGCACCACCTGCCCCAGGTTGGTAGCCCGCCGATTCGTACGCGCCGGAGGCCGCCCGAGGTGGAGGGCTTTGAGACCGTCGTCTGTGACCGTGCTAGTCAGTGAGATTCGCAGCAGAACATGCACTGTGATTACCTGTACCGCGCAGGAGCATCCGTGGTGGCAGTGCGAGTCGGATAGTCGGGATACCGTGAAGCAGGTGGACTAGCCGGTCGGGTGCGGAGTTCCGGTGGAGCAACATAATCACTACACAATCTTCCGTCAGTATCGACTTCTTGTCCACAGCCTATGAAATATATACCGAGCAGGTGGTCGGTCGAATTCCTCTCGCGCCCTAGAGGGAGGACCACCAGGTGGTGTTCGAGGTCGCACAACAGGTGGCGGAGGGTAAGAACCGTACCTCTCAGGTGGTCCAGGTCGCCTTTCATAGCGGTCATAGTAGTCGCGTGGCGGCGGAGGGCCGTATCGTGGAGGATAGCCGGGAGGCGCCGCATCACCTTCGGGTGGATAATAGCCTGGACGAGACTCATAACGAGGAGGAGGTATAGGCGGCGGCGGAGGCGGAGGGGGAGGGCCTCTCAGTCTGTAGTCATCATACTCACGAGTTGCGCGAACAGGAGGAGCCGGAGGGTAGTCACGATACTCTCTGTGAGGGGATGGTGGTCGTCTGTAGTCACGTCCAGGAGGGGGCGGGGGATACTCGTACGGATAGCGTACGTCTCGAGGAGGCGGATACCGGCCGTAATCATCACGGTAAGGTGGGTAGTCTCTTGGGGGTGGCGGATAATCTCTTGGTGGCTGAATACGATCAATAAGGGGAGCATCACTTGTATGGCTCACACGGCGATGGCTATATCACAGAACCAATCAGAACATGCATTCGGAGAAGAAAAAAGACAATGCTCACCCGTTTGAGGCATGATTGGGGCACTCTCTATAATCAACGGTAGGTTGAATCGTAGCTTAGGTAAAACTGAGTGTATCAAACACACCTTGCCCAATGGCCCATTTGACCGCACTTGAAACATGCACCAGGGTCACCACTATATTTAGCAGTTCTTCCTCCTCCATGAGAAAGCTCGACACGAATTTTGTTGCCCATGAAGTATCCCTCATGATATTTCGCCACACTCTCTTCCGCAGCTTCACGGTTGTCGAATTCCTTTGAAACAAGTCAAGACGAAGTCGTGCGCAATAAAAACATCATGTTACGTACTACAAACCCGTAGCCGACTCTGCAACACGACTCGCATCAGTACAAACCAACCATGAGAACACCATATTCACTCACTTCAACTCGATGTTAACAATGTTGCCGATTTTACCAAAGCAACTCTCTAGATCCTCCTTGCGAGTATGCTCTGGCAGACCACCAATGTAGACTTTGTTCGGCTGCGGAGACATCATGAACACCCAGTAAGAACACAGAGACAACAGTGTGAGCTGTCAGCAACTATATATGACGTCCAGTCCCTGGGCGTGCAGGAAGGTAATGTGCAACCGTAGGGCAATTCATAAGACGAGAAGGAACAAATAAAACGCGATGTCAAGCAAGGGCAGACTGGCAGAACGATCCTTGTTACAGCTACGTTGCAATTGTTGTTCGACCGATCGCCTTGGATGAACAAACCCAGAAAGACTGCGCAACAGACCCGCCGCCATGCACTGAGCAACAGCCGTGTCGCAAGTCGCTAGAAACGAGTGCGTGGTGGCGCAGACAGACAAGTGCAGCTCACAAGCAGGAGGAATAGACGAACAGACTTGAAAAGCACCTTGACCTGTTTTTCGCCGCGAAAGCCCGCCTCAGACTTATTACCAGAGGCGTCCGTACCGTCGCCCACCGCAGAGCTTGCACGCGCGTAGTCTGGATTGTCTGAACCATGTACTGGAGCGCCGTGACGCTCATCTCCAGGTATAATGGTGTTGCCAGCGTCGCCTGTATCACCCATCACAGGGTCCACGTCCATGCTGTTCCATTTTTCTGCTGGAGGCTGCGCGTTAGGACCGTCGGTCGTTAGAGGAGAAGCAGCCATGATGGCAAGAGTCAAGAGTCAGCAACAGGGGCCCACTGGGAAAATTGCGTTTTCGAGCTCCGACGGGCGTAGGAAACTAGGAAAAGCCCGAGCAAAGCTTCAGCAAGCCAGACGGAACTCCAATTTTAAATCTCCGACAGGGAAATGCCGAACCAGTCGGTAATAATGGGAGAAGGTCCGGACGCAGCTCGTCAGCGATAAGGATGATAAGGCCGGGAGGAGGCAAATAGACAGGTTCGCCTCTTTCTGTCTCTGTCCTTTCTATGGCACCGAAACAACCCTGTGCCAAATATCAGTACGTCGTCACCCCTGCTGGCCCCAAGATTCTTCCCGTGCCAGATGTGCACTCCAAGGATGAGGAATCGCCGGCCGACTACAACACTGGCGGTTATCTCCAGGTTAAGCTTCAGGACTCCTTCAAGAACGGGCAGTACGTCGTACTCCGGAAGCTTGGGTACGTTCATTGTTCCTATTTCAGACTTTATGGCTTTCAGAGGTTATTTTTGTGGTCGCTCAGACTGATATTCGAATCCCACAATCAGATGGGGCCATTTTTCGACTGTCTGGCTCGTGAAGGATACACAGTGAGTCTTCCGTCTTCCCATGTTCTCCTGTCATCGTTTTCTGGGTTCTCCGTGGTGACTCGACAGAGTCTTATTGGTGTAAAGATATGGATAGGATTTTATCCGGTGTCATTCTCACGCGACGTCTCAACGGCAGTGCACCGAATTTGACTTCTGAGCTCGAAGTCTGAGACAGACGGATTGGTCTTGACGGTTGCTAGGAGCGGAATTTGCGGATGTCCGGCTGCGAGTGTGTGCAGCGAACAGATGCTTGCCGTCTGACTTTTTGTTCCATTTGTACGGCGGCATGTCGATGCTGCTGTGGCGACGAACTCATGTTCTGCCTTCCGGTGTTTGTGCTACGTATGGTAGAATGCAATAGCGTGAGCCGCGACTCTGTGTACTCGGAACGCCTTTACTCCACAGTGTGGTACGTACCCTAGCCACGCGTCGCGTCTCTCAGCAGCTTCTGTGGTTTGAGTCCCACGGAGAATGAATTGTGCTCACCTCAATAGATCCATCACTGACTTCTCCTTCTCAGAGCGAACCGCCACTCCGCCCTCAAGGTGGTTAAATCTGCCGGGCGTTATGCGGAAACTGCCAGAGACGAGATTAAGTTACTCGGCGAGGTGATGGAAGCGAACCACGCACACGTTGGGCGTGAACACGTTGTGTCGTTTCTTGACTCGTTCCAGCATTGCGGTCCGGAGGATACACACGTGTGCATAGTGTTCGAGCCTCTGGGCGAAAACCTTCTGGCGTTAATTGAGCGACACAAGAAGACTGGTGTCGCACCAGCACTGGTAAAAGTTGTCGCGAAGCAGATCTTACTGGGTCTTGAGTACCTGCACGACGAGTGCAAGCTGGTGCATACCGACATCAAGCCCGAGAATATCAGTGCGTGTTACCACTTGTGGCATCGATTACTTGACTGATTGCGTGCGCAGTGATTTCAATTCCTGATGTGGAATCCCATATTCAGGCTGAGCTCGAGGTCATCCCGTCACCCACATCCCGAAAGGTGGGTGTGCCACCGAAACAGTTGGGGCGGACAGGCGTCATAATACCTCGGCGTCCTGGTGGTCGCGAGCGGCATGTGCACATCTTCGACTCGCAGCCTCTGTCTAGCCCTTCGTCCTACAGCCCCGGACTGGTGAGCGCTAGTCCCGTTACACGGCCCGACATGCACATGTCCCGCAAGGGGAGCACACACAGTGTCGTGCGTCTAAATGCAGCCTTGAAGAAAGGGAAGCAGAAGTCCAGCTCGAGCGATGTATCAGACTCGTTGAGCGGGAGTTCAGGTTCAGGGTCTGCGTTCGCGTCGTCCAGCTTCATCACGTCGATGAGCAACGAGACCATGGCGACGTCGGTCGGGAGCGTGGTATCCGGTTTGAACAAGATTTCGATCGTGTCCAGCCCAGGTATCTATTCATGTCTGTGCGAGAGGGAAGCGGGGATAGTGAAGGGTACGGCGGTGGTAACCGACTCACTGGATGAACGACCACAGCAGCTCAAACCGAGCACGGGCCCGTCGTTGTTGTCACAGACTGCACCCCACAACCTCACTTCCGAGCCAGTTGACACCCCCATGTGCCCTACATGTTGCTCTAGCCTTTCGCAACCTCCGAGTCGTCCCGCATCTCCCCCTTCCAACGCCGTACCATCGTTACCCATTTCCGTCAAGATCGCCGACCTCGGAAACGCGACACCCATACAGAAGCACTTCGCCGAGGACATCCAGACGCGACAATATCGCGCGCCCGAGGTGATTCTAGGGCGCACAGACTGGGGTACAACGGCGGATATCTGGAGCGCAGCGTGCGTGATCTTCGAGCTGCTGACTGCCGAGTACCTGTTCGACCCGCAGAGCCAAGGGGACGTCTTCGGAAAAGACGACGACCATATGGCGCAGATCATCGAGCTGATGGGGGATTTCAGTCCGGACGTGAAGTTTGGCGGGAGGTTCAGTCGCGAGCTTTTTGACAGCACCGGTAGGTTACTGTCCTTTTATGGCGCCGTTGGGTCGCGTGCCCGCGCACGATCTCTGACGGCGCTATAGTGGGTTGGGTTGCGTGCTGACTTTTGAATTGTGTCATGTCGTGATAGGCGCCTTGCGATACATCCGCAGCCTCAAGCCGTGGCCGCTCAAGCGGGTCATGGCCGAGAAGTATCTCTGGACGGAAGAAAACTCAGAGGCTTTTTGCGCATTCCTCGAGCCCATGCTCATCATCGACTACCGCGAGCGGATGCAAGCACGCGATCTCATTCATCATCCGTGGCTGGAGGTCGACCTGATGAGCGATGACCTCTGTGGATGGTGATGTCGGCGCGTGCTCCGGTCTATGTGGCGGAAGATCCGGGGAACATGGCGTGATGCACCGTCCAGCCGTGTTGATGCATAACGGCACCGTGCGCACCCATCCTCTTCTCCTTCCAGCTTCTCTTTCAGTCGTTCTTTTTCCCGTGCCGATTTCGTGTTCACTGCCAGTTCGCTGTCCGTCTGTTTCGTCGCTGTCTCACTGACACGCCTCATCATGACCACTAGACTAGACATTCGTGCAACTCACATTATGTTTTCTCTAATTGACCCGCCCACCATAGCATACCTGCATGACCTCATCCTCACGTACGCTCTGAGCTTTGATTACTGACAGCACCATCCGCATACAATATGTTATTACATTATACGTATTTCCTTGTCTCGAGTACTCCCTGTAGCCCCTCCGACCATACAGTTCTAGTGTAGTAGAACCGAACACTTATGCGTACCCTTGCTATGACTATGGCTGCTCTGTGGAGCAGGATCGGTTGAGACACGCAGACATTTAAAACAAAGACGTTATCATCGAAGCAAACATTCGAGTTCATAGTAGGTATGTACAGCCCATGATGTTCTAGGTCAAAGGCGAAGACAAGGGACTGCAGGGACGTGCATGATGCGAAATTGAGCACATTCCAGGCGCCTGTGGGGAGTCGATCCATCTCGTTGGTCACTGGAAGGAACGAAATCAGCTGCGATGTTAACAAAAGCCAATGACTTTGCTCACCCGGGTCCCATGAGAGGTCCATAATCGGTCCCGACGGGTTGAAATACACCTCGATGATATTTGGCCCAGCGTCGCGCAGCAATGCACCGAAGGCCATCACGTCTTCCCACACTTCACAGTATACCTTCACAGAGTTCAAAGCGTGCATGGGGAGTACTTTTCTGACCGCACGACACGCGTCTCCGGTAATGCCTCGCGAGAGGGACAATGCAGTCGCAATCGAGCGCACTTCAGTGGGAGTCTGGATCCGGAGCATTCTCTTCCCCGCCAAATCTACATCGTACTGAAGGTGTCGTAAGGACAGCGACTGGATCTCCGAGCAGAGCCCGATGATGCTGAGGAAGTCCTGGATGGTACTTTCGTCGCTGCCCGCCTCCAGGATCGTCAGCTCATCCAACTTGATCGGGTTTGAGATGACAGGCCCACAGGTGCGCCTGCCTGCGAAGCGCACGAGGCTAAGCTTGAACGCTCGAAGCCGACGAAGTTTCGAAAACACGGAGTGGATGAACTCCGCGTCAACACAGAGTTTCTCGCGCTAGCGTTTCCGACGCAACTCTGCACGGCAGCAGATGTCGTTGCCTTCGGCCGTACAGTGAACTCAAGGCAACGGATATAATGACAGATGGGTGGCGAGGCAACGAGAAATTCGAGAAAGGCATGGAAGCTACCGTCCCGTGCTACACACAGACCGTATGAAAGAGGTGAAGTCGACTGGAGTACGTCCACGCATGGCAAACGAGCGTGCAGGCAGCGAGTGTCCGTACATCGTCGTGTAGGTGATCGATGAAGATGTCAGAGATCTCGACAGGAAATCTTAATTAGACCTGCTGTGCGACGTGGATGCCCATCGCTCTATGGTTTTGTCTGCAACTCGATGGTGGATGTTGTAAAGGATAGACGTGATAGGACGCCGAATTGGTTGACTGCCACCCTCCAGTCACAGTCTGTGACATACGCGCCTCAAGCGTGACCTGACGCGTAAGTACAGCACGGCCTGCAAGGTGCCGAGATTGTAAGCAACTGCGCCTCGGGCTACGAGTAGAAGAGAATAGAAATTGGCTTAACTACATAGAAGCCTGTTGAGCTCCTTATATACTGTAAACTAAAAGACTAGAAACTACCAGACTGTTCTCGAGACATTGTCCTTACTAATCCTAACCCTACGGACCTTTCCCGGACCTTTCCGTAGATGCCGGATTGCTAATCCGCACCTCCAACACACCCCCTCAATTCGGCATCTCCAAAATTCATCGGCTATCCATACTTGGAAATCCTGTACCTCGCTATATGCTGTGGGAGCCCTATGCTCGTGACAAGAGAGCCTCCTGCTACCATCCCGCCAGATCCTTCGACCACGACAGCAGAGCCTATGCTTCGTTCCCAAGGTACTTCCCTTGATTCCCACGGTAACCCTAACCCTTCAAAATGCAACATCTCGCAAATCAAAGGCAACCGACGCCTTCTCGGCCTTTGCCGAATTCTTTTCGTTGTACCTGCCCGGTAAGCGACAATCACGAGCAATGTGACCACGCTTTCCGCAATTGTAACATTCCACGTTACGATTTCGATTGTCACGTTCTTTCTGCGCGAATAATGCCATATTCTCGACTTCTTTTTCATCGTCCGCTTTAGGCAATCCTCCGCGTCGTCCTTCTTCGTCGACTAGAGCACCTGTCACATCTGCTATCTTCAGATCACCCTTGGTGGCTGTGAGTGTGCCCGCGATATTAGAGTAGTCCTCATGTAGATTGAATATAAGGACATCAGTAACATCTTCATCTTCGAGCGCAACTCCAATGCCCTTCAACTTCGCTGCCAAATCGGTAATGCCGCTGATGTAATCCCGGATCGGACACTTGGGATCATGCACGAAATTGTAGAATTGACGCTTGAGGGCGATTCAGTTCGCGCGGCTATTTTTCTCGTAGACCGCCGCCAATGCTTTCCATGCCGCCGGTCCATCCGCGCAATCACGAATGTAGCCATACTGGCTCGGATCGACTGTGAGCCCGATCAGTGTGAGTCCATCTTCCGCTTTCTTTGGCCAGTCTCCCAACTTGTCTTCGGCAGGCTTCGACACCTTTCCACTTACAACGTCCCAGCACGCGTTGCACCGCATGACCATGGAAACCGCAAATTTCCAGTCATAGTAATTATCTCCCGTGAGGGTCGGGAGCTTGACATGGGGATTTAGCGATGCCATCTCGCATGATAAGATCGAGTGATAAGATATGAGGGAGAGATTAGATATGAACTACATCAGCAATTGTCACCTTCTTCTTAGTCATACTTTCCGCTCTGGAATAAGAACACCGGGCTGGTAAGTAAATTCAAGTAGGCTAAGTAAATGCTGTTAAGGCACGCAGAGGTACAAGATTGGACTCGTTACAGTATCAAAGTCAAGTAAGTAAAAAAAGAAAATCAACTAGGCTGCAAGTGTATTCAGACGCACAGAACAGTTAAGTGGGCCCTTACTTAAAAATTTCGATCAATTCTATCATACAAGCAGAAATCGTCTCGACTTCCATGAATTCCGTCTCATCGAGAAAATCGATGGTCAGTTCTCAGGACTAATCCTGCGAAAGGCCTTCCAATCGCCCCTTCCCAAGTGCAATTTGTAGACATTAGCACGACTGATGGGCGGGCTCCACCAGAGTGTGAATCTACACTTCGGAATTTAATTGCATACAACGATCTTCCTGGAGCGGGGTGTTGATCCAGGGGGTGCCGCGGTCCCAACTATCCTTAAGATCTTCCAACGTCAGACGACGATTCTGCAGGTTGGCTTCTTTGCGCTTCATCGAATATTCGGACCACACGCGAGCGAAATCCAGGAAGTCGGCCTCCCACGGCTGGAGATATCTGTAGAGGTTAGGGATAAGCTGATCCTCTTCGTGCGACATCCCCCCTCGAAAGTGGGTAACTAAGGAAACACAGCAATTAGAAGCTGGTACCAGGCGAGTAACAAAAACGAAATACCTCCCAACGTCAGTTTGCTTCGACCACCGAAGGTCACTCTGAGGGATAAGCACATGGCCCATGGAAAGCATACCTAAGCCCCCAAGTTCCTGAGAGACAACGTCAGTGCCCTCCGTCGGGATCGAAAAAAGTCGCACGCACCTTCAGTGTATAAAACACTACTGGCGGAAAACGCCATGGCATCTTGCTGTTCAAACCAAGCTTGATGCGAGTTTGAATCTTGTTCTCTGCCTTAACAAGAGAGTCGAGTAGTTCATTGGTATGGATGACAGCTTCACGGTAATATGTCATCAATCCGATAAGTGCAGTGTTCCACTTATTCACAATTTTCGAAAAAGTGGTAGACCCGGAACTCATCAGCACTTGCCGGATCCTATTGTTGAACTGCTGGACACCTGCAGTGAGAAACATTAGCTCTGTAAATACGCCCAACCCTTCTTCTCGTACCTTCGTCCGATACTCGAAGGAATGCCTGAGCAGTGCGCTCCTTCGACTGCTCGTTTGTCAAGTTCCATACTGTGTCCTTCAACGAGAACCGTTCCCCGCCCATCGTTCGGATTTTCGGCAGAATACGGACCTCGAACCCACACATCGAGAATAGAAGCTGAGGGTTGTCCTTCGAAAATACGCTGACGAATGTATCCTCCCATTCAATCGTCGTCAAGGAACACGGAAGACTCTGCTTGACATTCCAGAACACGGCGCGACCCAGACTGACATCACAATCGCATACGACAGCCTCGAGGCCAGCACCGCTTGTTGTTGTACCTGATGACGTTGTTGTTGGTTGGGTCTGGATTTGTGCTGAGATACTGCTGGATGAGGTCCCGGGACTCTTTTGCGGTGAAGCAGAAGAGTATATAAAGATGATCGACGTAATGCGAGTACAGTCGGATCGGATGACAAGTCTCAGTTGCAGAGTCGCGATACTGTAAGAAATTGTTTGGCATCTGCGGAGGCCCCGCCATCTCGCTCGCACGTTGGAGACCAAGAATTAACAGGTCGAGAACCAAGCTATAGTACTGGAATACGAAGGCAGAGAATTGCAAGCCGCGAATCATTCCATATGCGTTCGTGTGTGCTATATCTACAAATAAGAGATAAGACGACGAGGCAATGCGCAAGACGTGAATTCCTACCCTTGTACGTGAGAACTGAATGGAGTAATCAGCGTCAGTACATATGTACACAGCATCTTCGACCAGACACTCACCTGTGTTATTCTTCGCGGTGATGTAATCAGCAAGATCGTGGTCCAAGATAAGTCGCAACAGCCGGTTGAGGAGCGTCAAGTCAATCTTCTCATAGACTTTCGACAGGACAGTCTCCATTAGAACGTTGCATTCGCCGTCGCTGGTCTCCCATATGTCTGTCAAGTTGTTGATTCCTTGACACCACTAGAAAGATGTGTTGTCAATCTTCGACACTACGTGTTCGCTAAGAGCAAACATTACCTTGTATACAAGTAGTGGCGGCGGTTCAGTGTCCTATGAATAAATTAGTACTGACACGAGCTACAAGGCTAATAAAAACATACTGCCAGCTTGATCCATGCCGAGAAGAGTCCTCGCTTATCTGCCCTGTCATGGACGGTCAACAAAGAAAAATGTAACAACTCTAGGTGTACACACTCAAAGAACAGGAATTGGTCTGAGTACTGAGGGAAGTGGTCAGTCATTTTAGCAAATCAGACGAAGATTTAGACTTACAGCATCTGTAATCTTCTCGACGGGCTCAATGTCATAGCAAGGGATGAGCTTGTCATATGTATCGATTTGATACGAGAAAGACCTTGTAATGCCGGGTAAGAACAGATCAAAGAGGTAATCGCGCGAAACCTACATTCAAGTGGATTATCATACGCTTGCTCAATGAGTGCAAGCTCCTCTCATTGGGATTGGTTCAAACGTCCTTATGCAAATTTAATGATGACGATGACACAGAAAATTGACCACTCACCTTTCACTGAGTATGCCTCCTTCAGTTTCTCGAGAGCAAGAACAAGCAGCTTGGTATCATGCTTGTAATTGAGTGGAGGGAAAGGGATGGGTGAGAACTTGCGACTTTCCAACCAATGCACGGTTGCCGTGTAGATTGCTACGGCCTCTTCAGCACTGATATACGGTCCATCCTTCAGATATCCATGCTGTCTCTCCTGCTCAGCCTTTAAATAAAGGCGAGTCAGCCGTCCCAAGTTCTTCTTCACCACCGCCTTGTCGACAGTAGCACCACGTCTAATACGCTCGCGGTTGTAGTGGGCTACAGAGCACCACCAGTGGGCCTTGCTCTTGATATACCGCAGAATGACGTTCTCAATCGCAGTCGGCATACCGGGAACATTCCAAGGAATGTTGGCCTTCCAGCAACGCCACACCTCTGAAAGACGCTGCAAGATCATCTTGGATTTGTTCTGCTTGATGGATTCCGGCATCATGTCTAGAATGTCGTGCATGACTGCCGCACGGAGTTCCAGATCATAGTGTGATTCGACACGCTGCTTCGTCATGGTCTTTGCAATACCCTCGCTGTTTCGGCCCTCAAACTGACGAGCCAAAAGGTTGCCAAGGAGCAGCACCAGGGGAAGGTTCGTGTAAGGAGACGACGATGACCGAGAATACTGATTCTGCGGAGGCGCCTGTGAGGACGCACATTTGGCATTTGACTGCCTTGCCACACGCCGTATGCCACCGGGGCCTGGAACTGGGCCATTATCCACTAGGCTGACGCCACGTTGCCTGGTGCGAGCAGGCGATGCAGGTGTGGGTAAGATGGGCATGTCATCCGGATCGGTGGTGAATGGAATGGGCATATCCTCATACCCAGTCGGAGGCTGTTGGAAGTACGGATTGTATGTCTCTCCTGGATACTGATTAGACACAGTGGCTTGCTGAAGGACTCCACTGTGCACCCCCGCAGTGCGTGACACCTTCTCCTCGAATCCAGCACCCTGGTGTGAGATTGACAGGGGATAATATGGCGTGTTGTCGTAACCTTCATGATAATCCTGCGCACTAGGAACCAGCCGCTGTTGGGAACTGATGTCAGACCCGTTACCCTCCTCACTGGAGCGGGACCGGCCCGAGGTAGAGACAGATGCAGACGTCGAACCAACTGGACGATTGTTGACTAACAACGGAGCCGGAAGCATGAGTAATTGGTTGCTGTCGTACCGTGGACGTGGGTACCCATTGTTCGAGGATTTGTATGTGCTCTGATGCCAAGCCATCTCTCCAGCAGCGGCACAATACCTTGCATGAAAAAAAGCCCCACGCGCCATCCCGGCGCCCAGAAACCACAGCCAGGACCCTTACAGACTGGACCGATGTTGAAATGATAGTAGATCAGATGCTTCAGATCTTTCGTCATTCGCACTTGATGCATCAACTGCATGCCGCATAAGCAACTCTTTTCGAGGAGAGAAGAGGAGAGAAGGATTCCACAATAATTCGAAACTCACCTTGTACTTATATCTATACATGCCCATCAATGCACCGATATGTGCAAAAATATACTGCAGCGCATCCGCGAGTTGGAGCGCGTCAACGTGGGGAGGATGAAATTGTACACGTGCGTCGAGCTTGGTGAGATGCAGGATATCGCAATACAGGTGAAGGCATTTCCGAAGCAAGACTTCTTGCGTTGCTTCGTTGTCAGTGTCCTGGCATGACGTATAAATATAGACTCGGTTTACAGATATGAGGACATTACTTGACCGGCTTGAGATTCATGTTGTAATCCAGATGAAGATAGTTCAGGTTCTGGAAGGGCGGTTGTTAGCTTGAGCGATAGCATGCATATCAAAGTTACTAACTTTGCGGTGAATAAGGAAGTTTAACATGCTGTAGCCTTGTCTGCACACTTGCAGGCCAGTTTCAACCCCATCAAGATGCGTCGTTTGGAAGAACTTGGTCACCTTCAGATGTCTGAAGAGGTGCTTCTTCGTCATAACCTTTTCGGCTGGATAAGGGCGGAGGAAGACGTCTGCGGTGCTGTTGCGTTCTGCGCGGGAAGCTTACGATGGGTCCTGGTCCTGTGGGTGTGTAGCATAGGAGGCTGGGAACTGGGAGGGTGCAGCGCGGGTTCGGTGAAGTCTTCATTCCATTTCCCTTGCATTTTCCGCTCGTCCGCTCTCCTCTCCTTGGTGTTCTCCTCTGCTCGTGTTTGTGCTGCGCAGTTTCCAGCTCGGAGGTGTGCCGTCGGCGTCTGCAGTGCTGCTGGTAGGTTTTCCTCGCTATCGACGTCCCCTTGCTGACCATTATTTGCAGCGTTCGCATTGGCGGCCTCTGTGCATGCGACGGGGGAATGAGTGAGAGAGATTCGACATCGGTTCCATAGATATTCTGTACTCTTGGCTTGTTTGTGCAGTGCGAGATCGCGCGGTAGATGTGCGTGGTGATTGCCTCCCAAGTCGGTGCGTTGTGAGACGCAAACTTTCACAGGCTGACCGGGAGGGCGATGCTCAAGATACCAGTTCTTGACGAGTGGTATATCCTGCACTTGTTGCGTATGTCCCGAACGACGGCTGTAGGGGTCAGGCGCCCACCAGAGGGCAATGGCATCAGCGGTAACACCATTCTCCAGCAGCTTCTCGAGGAATGGGTCAAGATCTTCTGGGAGCTCAAAATCGACGTCGTCAACATCGTTCGGCCTGAATATCATGTCTTCGTGACTGAAGTGATATTGGATTGATGAGGGGATCGAAGTAGAAGGCGGGCGAGTCGGGATCATCCGTGCGAATATACACATTTTCCGGACTGTGATAAGGAGAGATATAGACGGAGCGAGGAAGAGAGTTGTAGAGGTGGGGAAATGCGACCTTATATTCGGCTCTAATCTGTTGACAAATGATGACCTTGTTGATGTCGTTGAACTCGTTCCAATCCTCGTCAAGTGTCGATATCCCTATAGAGCGGCTCGAACTGTGGACCGCCAAGAATCGCCATGTTCAAAGTCTTTGCAGTGAAGAAAAACCTCTTGTCGAAGAGATAGCTAGAATTGCCGTCTGCGTGATCTGATAACAACGTCCGGCCAACGCAATACAAATTGGCCATGGCAGGAAGAGTTAGCGACCAGTAGCGGTATGAAGCACCATTGACGAAACGTATCGACTCACGGCTTCGGATCATAGAACCACTAGGAGGTTGCTGCGTCCTCCTCTTTGTCAAGCTCCAGTTGAATAGCCTCCAATGGTTCCACATCCAACGTGTTGTCGCTATAGTCAAGGGGAGGCTCTTCGTCATCAAAAGGTGGAAAACGCATGTGTTGGAAAAGTCTCCGGTCGCGATTCTCCCTATGCACAGCACGCCGCATACTACTCCACTGGGCATGATAGACTGGTTCTATCACACGCGGAATCTCGTTCATGAAAGTAATGGTGCCAGTTATGCGGTAAAGAACCGGCAATTCACGCACTTGCTGCCAAGGATAGGGAATGATTCCGAGCAACTTCATCACCACGTGTGGAACAAACTTCAAAGCACCAAGTTGCATGAGCTTATCTTGCAGTTGCTCATGTCGCCCTGTTCCTTAATGATTTTTCGGACATGCTCCAGGGGGTGATCCTGAGGAAACGTGAACTTCGACGAATGCGGCAAGAATACGTCAACTCACCCCTGTTTACCCATGTCACCGAAACCCGCTCCTACGTAGATTAATGGCAGCACCGCGGCCGGAGTTTGAGGTGGGGAAGGCCGCGAGGCGCTTGTACTACGAAGAAGGCAGCGGTGGACACGTGCAAACGCGTCAACATGGCCAAACGCGTCGCATTTACATGTCTACAAAGGCGCGACGCTCCTAACGTACTGCTCACCATGCTGCTGTGCCACCCAACCACCCTGATCTCCCAGCTGAACCCGATGCAGCTTGCCCTCACAGTTCCACTGCTGCCAGTTCCCCTGCAAGCTGCGTTTTGCCAGCGCTTCCGGTACCTTTTTGGCCCTACGGGTGAGCGAGATCATAAACCACCCATCCGACTCCATGAAGTGGGTTTGAAGGAGCCCTATATCGCTCACTTCGTGGATCTTGTCGGACTCCTAGAGGCACTTTGTTGACTTCTTCCCCAGATTGTCTGCGCCTTGCCGAAAGAGAGACTGCGGTAAGCCATCTTGTTTTCTATGGCTCACAAGTAGCGAACGCCTTGGGTTTGAAGGAGTCCTATGTCGCCCATTGTGTTTGCCACTTGCGAAGGCCTGTTCATTGTTTGATTTGGCTTCTAACCTTTCTGCTTTGCAGCCTGCTGCTACGCGCTGGGATTAGCCATGAAATGGTGCGTCTTGTTGACGCAGGGCCTTCACAGTATGTCGCCGAGTCCGAAACCTACAAGTATATCAGGCCTATGCCGAAGTGCTCCCTGGACTCGCTTGTAGGGCATGCCACCCGCGGGTGTCCTGTCTATGATCTACAGCAGCGCAAGGTGGTGTACCTCAAAGATACATGGCGGATTTTTGCAGAAGATCTCGAGAAGGAGGGTGACATACTAGCTTCCCTGCGCACACACAATGCGTCATATATCCCCACTGTGGAGCGGCACGGTGATGTACTCGACCATGCGATGAAGACCCAGGCGCTAGTGTATGAACCTTGGAATCATGCGGCCCAGCTTTTGGTGGCAATACAGACAGGACATCTACACTACCGGTTGGTCTTGCGCGAGGTCGCACGGGACCTCACGTCGTTCACGAACACCAATGAGCTTTGTGGCGGTGATCGCCGATGCGGTTGAAGGTACGTGCTCTCTGGTACTGCTGTTGGTACTTGAAGAGTGAGCCTCATTTCCGTATGGATGATAGTGCACCTGCGAGCATACGAGGATGCCAAGTATTTGCACCGGGGCATCAGCGCGGGAAACGTCTTAATTACCCTCGAAGGGCGAGGGTTGTTGATCGACTGGGATTATGCCAAAGCTACGGATGCTCTAGGAAAAGGTGCCCATCGGCACGACCAAACGGTATGTAAAATGGGTCTTACGAGACTTACTATACTCTGATTCAAATTTTCGGGGAACGTGTCAATTCACAATTTATGTCGGCAATGTTGCTACAAGGACAAACACAAGAGAATGCATTCTAGAATGACATCGAGGCGTTCTTGTACACGCGCCTAAAGTGTAGGGCTTGGACAAGGCATTCTGCCGCAGCTTGGTGGAAGAAACCATCGGAGGCCTGAAGGCATTCATGGAAGGAAGGGGGGGGTGAGGGGATGCTGCAAATGCTGGCTCCGCTGGGCCTGCATAGTCCGAGGAGTTGAAAAATCGCTTTTGCGGCCATTCCCACAGGAAACGATGGTGCTCCTTGAAGTTTTACGGATGGATATGAGTATCGCTTCCGCGGTCTGCGTGAGTACCATTCTCGATGATCATCCTCACATCCATACTCATGCTGTTTATCCGGCACGGCCTCAGCCCTGACTTTTTCCCTGGCATGACCGCAGTGCTCGTCGAGAAGCTGAAGGGCCATCGAGATCGGACACAGTTGAAGCCGGAAGGTGCGAAAGGTGAGTGTCACTGGAAATGATGAATGAGCTAGGCCCAGTGCATACGCAATGTTCGGGAGGTAAACGATCTCATAGATATGGCATAGATGCAGCGATGTAGAGGGGTAGAATGTCTGCTGTATCAAGAAGATATCCTGTGTGAGTTGCCACCATATATTCCGTTGACACGTGTTAGAGAAAACGTACCATCACTGCTCAGTGCATGCGAACCCTTAGGTTTCGAGACACGATGTTAATCACCTGCTACTCAGCAGTTCGAAAGCATGATGATCGGCAAATTTGTTGATGTAGAATGTTTGGAAGGCGTCAAGGGAGTGGTATGCCTGTAAACCTTCTGGTATGGGCTTTCGCCCAAAGACCGGTATCAGGTGGGCTGCACGATAAATACGGTCGAGTCGAATCACTGCCATCGAAGGTTCACCTTCTCGAAGTGCCGGTCTCACCATCCACATCCCAGTGTCTTCATCTGGCTGATCCCCAACTGGTTCAAACCATCGAACCAATGCACACAAATAGCGCTTTGCATGATATGAAAAAGAGAAAAATAGTAGGATGCGTGCAACAAGAGGTTTGTGCACGTGCAGCCGGTTCTTCGCGGGATCCATGTTCACAAAGACGCAGTCAAACCGAGGCTCCTTCTTGCGCCAACTCGGAGTTGCTCTAATATGTTTGCGACGCATACCACCAATACCAGAGGGATCACTTGGAGCATAAAATGTAGCGGCAGCTGAGTAGTGGACGAAAATTTTCTCGTTGAACGGAGGGCAGCTATCCAGAGAGATTCTGGACCCATGAAGATCACTGTGGGGGTGTAATTCATTGTAGAGGAACCGACGAACGAGAGCAGGAAGCTCGGGTTGATTGATCTCAGCTGCAAGACCCACGATCCTTTGAGAGTGTCTATGCTCTAGCATCGAATAAAATTGTTAGCAGAAGGAAATGGTAAAATTCAAAAACATACGCTTGGTAATTGCCATCGTCACATATGCATGTACTGTCGGTCCAGGGACAGGCACCGCATCATTGATCCATTCATCTGCACTTGGTTCATCAACTTGTGGAGGCTCAGTGGGATCTACACAAATATCTGTTACGTTCTGCTGACAAACCGATGAAAATGAAGGGAACTTACAAAGTGCAACAAAGGACGCAGCGAGAGATGGCATATTGAGCATCTCACGACTTGCGAAGTCTACCCGTGATGCAGCGAGTTTGTCGAGAGCTTCATTAGTCAGAAGCATTTGTCCGAGGGCCTCATTACGACTTGAACGTCGCCAGGGTTCTTTCACAGCCTTGATATGCTTTGCTTCAGTGATTGAGGAGCAGAGGCCATTTGGAGCAGCAAATTCCCACATGAGAATTTCGTAGTGGCAAAGAGAGTGTTGTCGTGGGAGAGAGAATCCATTGACGTGAACGCCAGCTGTCTCGAAGACTGTCCGATATTTATGGAATCGACGCAATGCATCATTCAGATCTTCAAGGTCTTTCCCGGTGATGACATTATGTCGAGCGATGTAACAAAATTCGAGAAATGCTCGGATCGCACGAACCATATCTTGAGGGACATAACCAGTGATCGCCGGTAGGTAAACCTGCAGCTGATCACATTTAGCATGCTATGTGATCGCGGTTTCATGCTTGAGTCTGAGACTTGCCTTCATCAGTGCCTTGGAGTCGTCTCCTGTCCACTGTTTGAATCCTCGACCTTCATGAAATCGCCGTAGCCCAGAGAATGCAGGAACTGCAGCAATACTACAGGCAGAATCTCAATCATAACATTGATATACAATAAAATAAAGCAGTAATGTACCGCTGGTCAATATCCGCCATGATTTCTTTAGCTTTTCGCTTTCCATATTTAATTTGCAGATATTGCTCTACCCAATCAACCAGATGATCTTTGAAGGTTCCTTTGATTAGCTGGTGGAGAAGGTCGGGCGAAAGGAGCTCATGTATGTCAGCACGAGGAAAATCATTGGTGAAGGGCTACCAACGAATATGTAAGTACGTCAATTAGATGATTGCCAAAACAACAAAATTCATTCAAAGAAAGAAAGATATTGAGGCAGAATCCGAAGCAAAGAAGAGTGAACAATAGGAAGTTTGAAAGCAAAAGAACTTCGATCGCCAAGACTGTGTACTTACCACAATATCACCGACAAGGCCGTACTCATCCCAAAGGATTCCCAACTCAAAGGTTTCAACAAGTAACTCGGTATGCTGGGTGGAACGACGCCCGCTATCATTGCCATCAAGGTTTGTGTTCCTCGCAGTACATCTGTTATTAGCTGTATAAGTAGCCCCTTTCAATGTCAAAGACAAGGGAGAATCAGACGCACTTCGGACACCAGCCCTGCACTATGCATGCCAGGAGTGCCTGCTCAGGATAATCAGCGATATATGGCCCAAGGCCATATATTATCCGCCGAAAGTGGCCATCGGCACAGCGTGTGACTTCTGGCGTTGTCATTCCAGGCTTGAGTGACTGCAGAATCCTCGAAAGAGATGAGTGGAATAACTGTCGACGAAACTTGCGAAACTTGACATCATCAGCATACTTCCGATCCGCTTCAAGTTGTGTACTGAGTCAGTGAAAGGATAAGAGCAAAGCATAGGCACCACGAACTTTTTGGTATTGCAAGGAAACCAATGAGGACAATCGCGTTGCGATGCGCACGTCGAACATAATTGTGAGTGTTTCCGATCCCCATGTACAAAGGGTAGTACTCGTTTTGTCCTGTGGCCACTGACACTGTCGTCTTGTCACTTCCGAGCACGATAGGGACAAACGCTGCACCATGTGTGTTGGGATCAGCCGAGATAATATCCTACAAAGTAGATGAGGACTGGTCTGTGGCCAAATTTTGAAGGGCAGGACGTACCGCTTGTTTCCATGCCCAGTCCCCTCCCATAAAATTTTTGAGACGACGCTCCTCACCATCAAACTCGCGCAATGGACCGTAGTCCATTTCTCCATCAAAGTCCGGATTGGCGAGCATATTCTGTGCAACAGTATGTGGATCTCGGAACCAAACATCATAAGTAGCTTGCATCCACGGCGGAACGTCATGCTGAGGCACTTCTCCTTGATAAGTCATGTTGAAAGACTGTCACCCAACTTCTCCAGACTTGGTTGAGTGTATCGTACTATACATATCCTTCGCATTGGCAAAGGGAGGTTCATCGTTGTGTCGCAGCAAGGTGGCTGCCCAGAGATCAAGGAGGGTGTTAATATTTGGTGCGGACATTTGCTCACGCGTGTAAAGAAATTCAGCGAGTTCGAACTCAACCTGGCTGCGATAGGGAGTCCAGTCATCTGATCGGGGCATATCGCGAGGTGTAGGAGGAGTATTCTTAGGTAGGTAGTTGCCGTCCTTGTCACAAGGTGTACCTGTAATCAAAAAGGTCAGCTCACAGCGAGATCTCACCTTCGCATTGTTCTCACCATTGATATACTGATGATACTCCACGCCGAGAGACTCACGCGTTGTCCTTTCATCCTCATCGGCAGAGACAGGACTTGGGCTTCTACTGGGCATTTCATACTCCTCTGCGTCTTCATCGGACTCATCTGAGCCTTCATCAGACTCATCAGACCCATTGGACTCTTCCTCGTGCTTGTCAAACCCTTCGTCGATATTGTTGTGGTACAAATCATATTCCTCAATACCAAAATCAAGATTTTCTACGTCGAGATCGTTGAAGGGCAGCGAGTTGTGGTCTGCGGAGTTCATATCTGGAAAATGTGAATGCAGATCAATATATACTTGAATGTCATCAACCCGAAGAGACAATATTATATGATAGGCTTACCGTCTGAATTATCATGTTCATGCAACTCTGCATGATGCATCCATGAAGTAGATTCATGTCCCGGCTGTGAACTTGATGGCAACCTTTCACTGAAAGAATGCCCATGTTGGGCTCGAATGTGTTTCTTGCGACCTGATGTGTTGCGAAACCATCTGTTGCAGCCTGCCGCAGGGCATTGAAACTGAAGATGAGCATAGACTGGACGAGACATGGGTAGCGAGAGTGAAGAATAGAAACCAGTTGTGCTGTGCTGACTTAGCGATTTCAGTCGCTGCCATTGCTGTGGCGGAAGCACTTATTCGGTGGTAATCTTCGTTACCGGAACTACAAAAATTGGAAAAGGCATTTGATTTAACTTGAAGCCACAATATATCAAGCATACAAATCTGGTATTCTCCGCATTAGCCGCTTGTCAGCGCAACAACTTGAACAGATCACTCACACAGTATCTCTCATTCTCTCAAGTCAACGACTCCCTATGGCACAACGTAATACTCGTTCTTCTACTACCTTCATACCACCTAGTGAAGGCACTCATCCTCCAGCCCGAGTACGTCGCTCAGCTGCAGAAGTCCAAGCTGAAAAGGAAGCAAAGCAAAAGGCGAAGGAGGCTGATGCTACTGCAAAGCAGGAGCAGGCTGAGGCAAAATTAGCAGCGAGAAGGGAGCAGGCTGAGGCAAGGGCAGCAGTGAGGAAGGAACTGGCCGATGCGAAGGCAGCAGAAAAACGAGAGCAAGCTGAGGCGAAGGCAGCAGCAAAAAAGAGGCAGGCTGAGATGAAGGCGGCCGCAAAAGAGGAACAGAGTCAGGTGAAGGCAGCAGCAAAGAAGAAGGGCCAGACTCGTGTTGCACAGCTTGAAGACAAGATGGCCATGGAGGATGCCCAACGCGAAGTGACACGTGTGGGGATGGCCAACCTGAAGAGGTCACGGAAGCCTCGTCACGGTATGTCTTAACTTACAACTGCTGATAAGTCTGACCTAGCCTTCAGAGACACCGTCCACTGTTGCAGATGAAGGAAACAAGGTGGACGAAACTGATCAAGGGTCTGTCCTCACTGACCTCGATGCAAGCGATAATGATCGGCCCAAGAAGAAGTCTAAGAAGAACAACTTCAGTACCCGAGAAGCGATCAAAAACATACGCAAGCACCAGGATATGTCTATGATAGTGGAACAATCCGAGGATGAAGAGAAGACACCTGCCGGGCCTGATGCAGATGACAGGCGCCGCGTGGCAGAGCCCGATGAAGCTGAGAAATCAGATAACGAGTTCATAGAATACATCATGATTACTCACTGTTGTTACTGATCTGACATGTCTTCCACAGAGAGGATATTGCTGTTGCCGCTGGGGCGATAAAGAATTGGGCAGTCAACGTCTCTACATGGGGTGTTCAGTCTAGGACCAGGATTCAACCCAACAGCACTTACAGTCACACCATGGATGCCACTGTTTCCCGGCGCACTAAACCTGTGTCGTCAGAAGTACAGGTATCTAAAAAATCCAAAACATCTTCAGGTAAAATTGCAGCTGCACGCACAAAGGAGGAAAATACTGTCAATCCTAGGGGTATCCTTAATGATGACGATCTCGATGAAGAGGTGGAACGGTATGCAGCTTTATCTAGTCCGATCAAAGGTGCTGGAACACGAGTTCGAAACGATGTAAGTGTCTCTGTGATCATCTCAGCTTGAACCTGATTCAACCTACCAATCAGGACATTGTCAAGTTCGAGAATGTGCATGTCGCAGAGGTCATTGAATTGTTGGATAATGGAGATACCTCAAAGGCGAAGAATAAGAGGACCACTTCTGCGGTATGTTTAGCACACGTTCATCTTGAGCATTCTGTCTACTTACTATATGGGAACAGACGACGGTTAAGATCGAAAATGTTGACCATCAGCTTCCTCGACCAAGCAAAGCAATACAATCAAAGCCAAGGCTGAACGCTGAGGCGACTCCAATGGAAGTCGACGATGATGACTCAGAGGTTGATGTCAAGTACAAGCCTCGTAAGGTGAAAATAGGAAATGAGGGGTTCACAACTTCCGACCTGCCAAGGGGTGCAGCACGGGGCAACCGTTGGCGCGGTATGTTCGTACCGACTTTCCAGGAATATATCGGCAGTCTCAGAGACCCCTGGCTACTTGATGACTCTGAGATCATTGTGGTTCTTCAAGCTATATGGGACGCGGTCTACAAGTTTGATATACAGTATACGGTAGACACCGATGGTCCTGTGTTTGCGCTGGTAAGCCCAATTTGTATCAATTCGAAGACATGGTGTTGACTCATTGAGGGAGGCAATGCAACGTGTGTATGAGTATCGGAGCGGTTTTGGTTCTAGCGCCATGAATCATCTTGAGAGCATCTTCAAATCCAGTAAACTATACCGGGATTCTCTTGATGAACATGCAAAATTTGCGCGGGCAATGCTCTCCAAACTTCGATTTGCATGGGAGAATGCTGACAGCAATGATCAATCAGTGCGTTCCTATCCTCCTCATGGTGTTACAACTAAGTACCGTGCCGTTTCCAGAAATTCAAAGGCCTCTTCTGCGGAGTCCTAGTCTTGAAGACGCTTGCTTGGCACTACACATCCATCAACAATCATGCCGTGCACGTTCCTGGGCTATACAACAATGAAGACCATGTTGGGATTGTTGGTGCAGTGGCATTGGCGACTGCCGCGGTATGTTCACTTTGTTCCTATTAGAATAGAGAAGTCCATCTGGGTTGATCTGAATATGACTCATTTTGACAGGTTGAACGTATCTTGGTACTTTGGAAGACCCATAGCATCATGCTGGAGGGCGGGAAATCGGTCATCCTGAAAAAGCTGAATCCGACCACAGGCAAGCTGTCGCGCAAGTCCACGCTCTTTAGTGATGCGAACTATGGATCCAAGACTCGCGAATACGCACAGTCAGCTGCTAACCTCACCGCAGCAAGAATGGTCAAGGTTGTCGAGAAGGCGCGTGATTATGCGAGAGTGGATTCAAGCAGCCAGAATCCAATTGACATCTCCGACGAGGACATGTCAGACGTTGACCGCGCAAACCTTGTGGAAGTGGACTCTGACTAACTGTGCATTCCGCGTATGTTCTGGCAGACCATTGTCCTCGAGCACGTTGACTGACTTGGTCATACATTTGCTAGTGTGTTGTGCTAGCCACAGAGAGATTAATGATACCATATATGCAATTCTTGTCGCCCTCTGGCTCCTTTCCCATGTCCCATCCATTTTTAGCCGCTTTTAATTTTCACTTCCACGCCAGTTTTCATTTCCCGTGAACATTCTCTCCCCTTCATGTCTGCCTCCTTCTGTGGTCATTCAAGTCTTGATATTTTTTGCCGTTGTTTGTCTCGCCAATTATCATAAGGTTTTCCATACGTTCTGTCGACTCTGGCTAGCTTTGACTACTAATTGTTTGTCTTACTATGCTGTGCGGAGAAGTAGCTTACCAGCTGGCTTACTTATACCGGTCTTATCTTGACTTATGTGCTGTGAATATCATTCCTTCCCAGTCTTGATGCTTCCTTAGTGAAGTAGCACGCAGATGATTCAAGAACATTAAGAGCAGCCTTACCAAGGAAATAAGGCCATAAGTCATCTCCTTGATTTTCCTTTAGTCCATCTGAACACATGAGTGCCAGCTGGATTTAAGCCTCTAAGGAGAAATTCAGACGGATCAAGACAAGCGATCATCTTAATTAAGGAGACAAGTTCTGAATGTATTATTCATCTTGTTTTTGTCTTACTCCCTTATTCAAGGCGAATAAAGTAGACTAAGAAAGTGATGACAAATGCTGATGTAGTGTGAGTGCGGGGCTCATAACCTGTAAGCAACTGCGCCTCGGGCTACGAGTAGAAGAGAATAGAAATTGGCTTGACTACATAGAAGCCTGTTGAGCTCCTTATATACTGTAAACTAAAAGACTAGAAACTACCAGACTGTTCTCGAGACATTGTCCTTACTAATCCTAACCCTACGGACCTTTCCCGGACCTTTCCGTAGATGCCGGATTGCTAATCCGCACCTCCAACAGAGATACTGTATTCTGATTGCACAACCAGTAGTAACGGTTGTCCACAATTCATACGCCAAAGTCAAACCAATATTGGGAAAAGTACGCACCCTTGTTTTGGCAGAAGTGCAACAGTCCTCTGTCACGCAACCCTCGCCTCAGGCATGGACGAGCATTTTCGGAAATTGTCCATCATATCCTCCTCCTCATAAACATCAGAAGAACTGACCAAGAGACTCAAATCAAAGGTCCCTGTCGCCAGATTGGGGAAACGATTAAAACCATGTTAATCCCATCTCAGTCCATGGTACCAAAGCATGGCGAGATCAGACACAACGAAGATGATGAACTCTCGCCTCACCAGGGTCGCAGGATATTTTAATGATGGGGAGCAATAGGTCAAGATAGACTTTGAGGACGTTTGGCCTTGCACTGTGCGACAACATTCCAGGTCCCTTCAAATCTCGCAGAACATTTTCACAGAGCTGAGTGTGCGCGTGGGCAGAGCCTTCTGGAGAGCACAGCATGTAGTGTATGTGGCATGCACGATGACATTTGCTCCGATCGTGCATCTGGAGCAATCGTGGCGGCGGTGTTGTTCAACGTCGAAATGCAGTCACACTCGCGTGACATGCATCTGACTGACGCAACAGTGCCCGACGCCACTGACCTACGCTCAGATATAGCCTCCAATTAATTATTAGCAGAAGACCCAGTCGTAGGCGCGTGCCTCTCTAATGCATAGAGGGTGGCATTTTCACTGGCTTCGCTCTGAGGACCGCGCCGACGGCAACTCGATACGCACGAGAATTCGACCGGGCCTTACTTACTTACATACATACAACTCGCGCCCAGCCTGATATCTCCTCGACTCGCATGAAAATCTGAGTGGAAAAGATATAGCCTTCTCCAAGCACAACAGGCTTGATAAATACATGAAATAAGAATGTAAATTTATTGCACATATAGAGAATGGAGCGCGGCTTCTCACATCAACCTCCTCCACCAATGCAAGGAATGCTGCGACAACCTGTCAACGTTTTGACGGCCTTGCGCTTCGATGTTCCCACGTCCTCAGAGGGCATGCGGCAGATGAACCTAGACTAACCCCCCCCCCCCCCCCACCACCACCAAAACTGTGCTACAGTCAAGAACTATTGAATCTAGAAGATGGCCCATCTTGCAGCCTTTGATGTCCACACCAAAGATGACGTGCTTGAGAGGAGGGTCCACTACAGGGGAGAATATGTGAATCGGCGAGGAATGTTTGATGCCTTCAAATTGAAGATCAAGCCAGAATATGTCATCATCGTCGTCGTCTTGCTCGTCTTTCTCCTTTTCCTCACCGTCGTCCTCGTCGTCGCCCTCGGCATACTTCTGTGTCTCTATTCCCAAAGGGAGAGTCGCGCAGAATCCAAGCGCACTCACTACACCAATGGCATCTGGACGGAGGGCTCAAGACAGGTAGGTACTCTTATCCAGAACCGAGGAGACATGGACTGACCATTGCAACCAGATACTGTATTGATTTTGCAGCTGCTGCGGTCAATGTTGAAATGCGGCCTAGAGCTGCGGGGGAGTGGAATGCAGGGTAAGTCAGCTGCTTTGCCTACTCCATTTCCAGGACAAGGATTTCATCTCATGTGCTTTGGATAACATGCAGCTGCTGAAGGGGAGGAGAGCGGGGTACATGATCCAGCGATCCTAGAAGCGAGGGCCCAAACGTCGGTGCTGGAGTGTTTCTTGGTGGCCGTCGCAGAATATATCTTACCCATCAGAGCGGTACCGATGGCCTTTGAAGTCGGAGGCAGCTTCCCATTGTCAGAAAACAGTCCTAGTGCAACGTTGAAAAGCTTCAATTATCGCCGAAGAGGCGGATCCCCAGCTCGTCTATCGTACAACGGTAAGAATTCCGAGGCTCGCTAGAAGAGTATCCCACTAAGCGAGATTGCTCTATTTTCAGTGTGTGCAAGTGGAGTCTTTGGTGGTGTCGCTGTGTGTACGTGCAGACGCGCGGTGATGCAAAGATTAAGAAAATCCGGAGACAAACTTGAACCAAAGCTTCGCCGTGATACGGAGGGAGTTGAAGAGATGGCGCGCTGAGTTGGGTGAGTCCATACTATACGCGACAGACCTTAATGCACACGACGCGATGCCCTGCCAGAAGTCGTCGTGCACAGTGGCAGGGGCTCGATGAACATGAAACTTGAACATAAGTCAATAGAGCATATTTCCCGAGAGCGTGGTGTTTGGTATGAGTTGCAGCCGCTGTTGGCTGGGCCATGAGGTCCAGTGGTTCAAGGTACGTGAGAGCAGTGTGACAAGAGGAAATTTGATCTCGATCTGAGATCCTCCGTTTGAGATATCTGTAATCTGTTAGCGACGACAGGTCCCAGTGTCTGAAAATCATGCAACATCTGTACAGATGCTACGTGTGTGGAAGGACGTATAAAAATGCTGGTACCGGAATGGCCTGGGTCAGCCGTACGCAAGTCGCCTAATACAGTACTCCGTATACATTGTTACGAGAGCATAACAAAAATTCGAGTGGGAGAGCACGGAAACCATTAGACATTATACTATTAGATGTACACATATACACGTCAGATGCATATAACCACCTCCAGAGATACACACAAATAATCAGAGCTTCCTCGTCCGAAATGAAGCAAAGGCGCGTAAAGGTTCACCGTTAGGCACCCACAGTCCGGCTGGCCGTCTTCCCGAGAACAGCATCGAGAGTCTTCTTGACCGTCCTGCCGTCACCCTTCGTATCAGCAGCCTTCCCCTTCTCGTTCCGCCGCTTGATGAGCCGCCGCCACAATCTACTCGGCGATGATGGCATTAACGGGATATGAACAGACGTGGGCGTCTCGTGCACAGGAGAGGAGATTTGGGAGACGGAGGTTGCGGAGGTGGTGGTGGAAGCGGAGGCCTTAGAGGTGTTGGATGAGTGTGAGGAAGTGGACATGGAAGGAGAGGTCGAGAGCGACGGCGCCGTGGGCACCGCGAGTATCCCGTTCTTCTCGTCTGCCTTACTAGACTTGATCAGAATTGGCTGACTAGGAAGCTCCGTATCGGGTCCTGAATCGGACAGATTGGGCGCCGAATGATTCTCTGTCCATGATACGTTCCGCGACTCTGAGTCGAAGCCATCGTCGGCTCGTACGCCATTCGCCTGCGTACTACTGCTCGCCTCTCCTACCTCATTCTCCTCTCCTTCGGCCTCCTCGTGCTCGATCTCAAACACTCCGTCCTCTGGCAAGACGCTACTCGTCGCGCGCTTGTGATAGCCATACACGGACTGCACCGGCGAAGTGGGAATACTCGTGGAAAAATCCCAGCTCTCCATCGTTCCATGGGTCAAGACAGACGGCTGACGCCGGCGTTCCTGCCGCTGAGCAAGCGGTGGCAAACCCTTCAGCACGGCACCGACGAGGAAGGTATGCTTCCGCGCGCCGCGGAAGAACGGGGTCGCGAGGAGCTCAGCAGCGGTTGGTCGGCGTGTGGGATCCTTGTTGAGGCAGGCCGCAACGACCTCCTGAAACGCGCGAGAATACGTGTATGCACCGCCAGCGCGGTCGAGCTGGGGCGGTGCGTCCTGCACAGTCTGCAGGAGGGCTTTATGTGGCGTGAGGAGCGAGCGTGGGGCGCGACCCTGCGTGAGCTCGAGCGCGGTGATGCCGAACGACCAGATGTCTGCAGAAGCGTCGTAGGTGCGCCCGTTGATTACTTCCGGCGCCATCCAACACGGCGTTCCAACGAAGGATTTGCGTTTGCCCACTGTACGGAGCTTGGGGCGTGGGTGTGGATTTACATGCAAAGGCGAGTGTAAATGTGGATTCTGGTGAGAATGTGAGTGTAATTGCGAATGGGAATGGGTGTGTGAGTGGCGGGGAATAGTAGCAGATGAGCTTGAGCTTGAACTGGAGCTGGCGACTGTACGCTTGTTAATAATTGGAGGGATATCTTCTGAGTCCCAAAGAAAGGTAGCAACCCCGAGGTCACATAAAAGCACGGTGCCATCATCATCAATGAGGAGGTTCGCTGCCTTGACATCGCGGTGGATAAGACCATTGACATGCAAGTAGCTGAAGGGAGAAAGCAGCGTCAGTACCGCTCTTTAGATGGACAAATATAACTGGACTTTATTCCCTCAAGCGCTTGCTTGAGAATACACCTCACAACCTCTTCCTCCATACCACCGGGCCATCCATAGTGCATCACATCAGCGGCACTGCCCGCATTCATCAGACGCATCGCGATATAAAGCTTGTGACCGTCCATCCACGTGCCACGTACGCGGAGGACATTTGGGTGCTTAGACAGTGACATGAGCTGCGTTTCGCGCTGTAAAAGACAGAGGGCACGGGGTGGCAGGCGGTCAAGATCTAGGACCTTGAGCGCGCACGGGGTCGGGTGGGCCACGCCTGGCGGTTGGAACTGCGCGGCGTAGACTGTGGAAGACGCGCCAAAGCCTATGGGTGCGCCGACAGTGTAGTCGGAGAAAGTGTCGCTGCAGGACCGTTAGTACGCTGGATGTGGTGAGTCAAAGGGGTGCTGCGCACCTGTAGAGCTGCCACTCGTCCTCGACCGCACCAATGAATTTGCGCGCGATACGTTCAGTGGCCGCGTTCATGGCAGTATTCTGCGCGTTGGATGGGGATGGCGTGGATGGGGATGAGAGAGATGGCTGATAAAGTGAGATGTCGCAACGGAACTTGGGGGGCCCTTTCGTTCTTACCGCGGAGTGTCAACATCGCAGATCCGAGATCGCATCTTCAGGCTTGGGCTCGGTCCTAGATCGTATCTTGGCACATTCCGTCATCCCCCTTCTTCCAAGTCATCGCCTCTACATTTCAGTTCAAACCAGTGTCTTATATTCCTCTCAGACCACATCATAGCAGACGCCCCGCTCAGTGCCGAAAGATGGCGCTTCAGTTGCATCACAAACGGTGTACGGTCTGCTACCTCGATTCACCTTTCAGCTATTGGGTGCATTGCTGACCCAGCCATATTGTGGTTTGTCCCGATATGATACAGCGCGGTAGTTATACCGGTAGAGCAGTGCATGGCAAGAAGGTGATAAGGTACAACGCGCCTATTTTTCGCTTTGCATCTGTCTCGGATATCGTTGAAAGTACACCGTTCTCGCTTAGATCCCACCTGTCCGGAGTTGAGCTGCGTACAACACCGTTTTCGCGACGCCTGGAGTCATCGAACTGCAATTTCTGCCGGATAGCTCTCACTGGACTCGTTGTTGCTGGCGCTGGCCTGAAGATTGAACCACGTTACCACTTCGATCGGTGTCGTGTGGCCAGGACCCCTGGCAATTGGGGAGGATCCCTGAGCCGATTTCGGACAAAATTTAGACTTTCGAGAGCCTCATGCCTGGTTTTTCACGGACAAATCAAGGGGTTGACCACCATATAGCCTGAGCCATTTCGCGGACATCGGAAGGCTGAACCTGGGGGGCCTGATCCGGGACCGGACAAATGCTCGTGAAATCCTGGCGAGGCGCCTCGAAGGAGGGCGGAAGGGGCGGCGGCTTCGCCGCCTTCCCGAAAGCGCCCAAAATTTCCTTTTTTGGGGCCGAACGCGACGCCATGCCTGAGGTAAAACGCGGACATGGACCGAAAAATTGGGGGTGATGCCTCATTTTTTGCGGACATTTTGGGTCAAAAATGGCACTTTCCTAACGGACATTTTTGGCCTCTCAGGATCAGGCATCTTGGCCAATTGCCAGGGGTCCTGTGTGGCCCTTTTCAAGGCTTCGCGAAGACACCAGTCCCGATTGACAGTGACACTCCTGCTACGCTCACGTGAGGGACGCCGAGCTCTCTATATATGCAGGGGATCCTGGATCTCCGTGCTCTCTTCCGGTCTTGGGGCTGATTTTCTGCTTTCGCTCTCCTCCGTCTCTCCAACGCAAGCCGCAGGGCCGCACGCAGTCACTTATAGTCGGGATCTTGTTCAGTTTAGGGTACGCGTGTGGAGTCACCCGATATCGATTAGTATGTCGCTGTGCGGGCTTGTGCTCGCTGATATCACAGGCATCATCAACTGTATAGCGATATCGATGGCTGTGTGAGCGTCCTCGTTCCCTACACCGTGCACACGGTTCTCTTCACTCACCAACACAATTCGTGTTCTGTACTGGTGTTTTTCCATTCCTCGGCTTGAATCGATCTCCCTCGTCAGGATGTCGACGCGCATGTTGTATGGGAAAATATGCTACGTGGTGAGTCTCACCAGTACGGGCTCCTGACAATGAGAATGACGACCATCGTTGTGACAATGCATTGTTCATTTCATCGTCCCTAAGCCTAGAGATGTGTACGTCTGCTTCCAAACCCCAGTAGGAACTACGACCAGAGCACTCGTCCCAAATACCACGTAGCCTCCTGTCCCCACTCGAGAGACAAGAAAAGAAAACACAGGAGGAACGGGGTTACGCGACTGAAGTTTGAGAAAAGGTAAGTGGTACGTAACGAGCCGCTTTTTCTACAACGTCGCCTCCTATAACATGAACACAACAGCGGGGCGAGTACAAACATGTACGTATTTACCACCTCCTGGTGAACTCACCAGAAGAGGATCCAGGTGCCGAGCACGAGCGCGACGAGCACACCCAGTGCGCGCAGGACAAGAACTACGACAAGCGCCTTGCGCACTGCTGCGTAGAATGTCGTGAGTGCCGAGCCTGTCCAGTTCATCCTGTACACGAGGTGTCAGTGTCAAGCACGATAACCAGGAAGTAAACAGGTGCTCACCGACGGTCATTCGTGCCTCCCGCCCGTGCACTGGCCTCCCATCCACGGATGACTGCTCGATAACGCTTTGCGAATACCCTAGACAGTATCCGATGAGCAATGATATATCGCGCTGAATATACTGGGAAAAGATGCGCACCAGATCCAGAAATTCACATCTGGATAGCTGAACCTTGGGAACACACTCGCAAGGCTGGGCGCGACGACAGGAACTCCCATTGCCATCAGTGCATCGGGAGGGAGGAGTTCGCTTGCATTGAGCGCCACCAACGCCCTATCCTTCACGCTCCTCCTCCTCTTCTTCTTCCCCTTAGATGCAGGTATGGATCCAACATCCGATGCCATGTGCACCAGCAGGTCGAGCGTCATGCCGAGCGACAGCCCCCACAACTTCAGTTGCGTCCGCTCAAGCTCCCGCACCCGGCTCAGCCCTGGCAGGGAGTTGCGCTTCCTGAGTGTGCCATTCGCCGCGCCTGCCTCCACGTGCGCACGCTTCGCGTCTATCGCCTTCGCCGTGTCCTTTGACGGCGAGGGAGAAAGCGACGCGGACGAGGACGACGGCGAAATGAGAATGGCAGGGAACTGCATACTTCCGACGAGAATGCGCATAAGCAGGCGCAGTAAGGTGCTGTGCCGCGGGGCGAGGCGTGACGACGCATCCACACTCACACTCGACCACCGCGGGCGTGGCTCGCCATCTCCCCCGAGCGGGAGCAGCTCCGCAATCGGCACCCAGTGCAACGTCGTGCCCGCAACAGGGTCCACTGCGGTCGTCTGCGGCGCGAGCTGTAAAAAGACAAACGGAGAGAGCACCATGAGCAGCCGCTTGCCGAGCGAGGTTGTCACTTCGCGGTCATCCAGCTGCCCGATGGGTGTGTATGCGCTCTCAGCGAGGTCGAGCCCAATTTCTTCCCAGGTCTGGCGCATCGCTGAGGGAGTTTCAGGTGAACGTGCTATGAGACAGCGGTGACGACAAACCTGTGTAGAGCCCGCCTTCATCGCTCTCCTCAGTCTTACCGCCGGGAAATGCGACATGGGCCTCGCGCGTGCGAGGTCCACTGCCGCTCAGACGACCAGCATCTCCGCTGTCGGGCGTGTCCCTACGGAGGAAAAGGATCTCCGGTCGGGCGCCGGGTGCTTTTACCCAGTCGAGCTCAAAAAATTCGGAAAGAGACGGAGTGGGTACATTGGTTGGAGATGAAGAAGGAGCAGAGGGATCGGCAGCGGCGACGGGGTCCGGCTGTGCAGCTGAAACTGGTCGTGGGGCATACGACGGTGGGGGAACGACACGGACGATGAGCGCAACTGCAGCGCGGCGCGGCTCTGACGGAGTTAAAGTTGACTGGGGGTTGGTGCATGAATGGTATGGAAGGCACGTACGAGTTGCGGGGGAAGCGATTACACGTGGAGGAGTCAAGCGAATATGATGCAGCGCGCGTGAGAGCAACGGTACAATGGATGGCTCTGGCGAACAGTGTCAACGGCAGCGACAGCGGGGAACGATGGGCTCACCTTGGCTGCTCGCCATGTCGCACGACGAGGACGAGGGCGTGGAGAACGTGGGAGATGGTGAGGGACTCGGCGGCACACGAGCAGAACGACGAGCGAGGCCGTCTCCACCCATACAATTTGTTGGGGGCGGGGTTACGTCATCCCCAGGCCCTTTCACGATCACGTGTACGCGCCACCCGGAAAAGAATAATTTCAATAAAATGTTCCGAGGTCGAACAAAGGTATATAGTACACGACTCGTATAATATAAGAAAAGCTCGCCACCTGGCCACCTGAGCCCATCATAGGTGTACAGACACATTTTCAAGGGCTAATAGTATCCATCGGACAAGGACCGCAGCAGTCCTTTTTCCTGCTGCATTGGCAGCAGTTCCTCAACCAGCATGCGGCACTCCTCGAAATCGCTTTGCCTCTCCTCCTCGTCACGTTCTACAAACCCAAAATCGAATGTCACCGTAGCCAACTGCGGGAATCTGTTCAAGCTCTCGTCCATTGCATCCCAATCGAACAGGTCTGTATCGGCGAGACAGTCCAAGCTGTCCGGCCACACATTGACCTTGAAGGCGACATACCGCAGACTGCAGGAAACGTGGGAAAGAATATGGATGTATGCAGTCCATTCGATGGGCTTCAGGTAGTTCGTTGAAGGGTCGTCTTCTATCTCCAATGTGAACATCATGGACCGTAGGGAACTGCAGTACTGAAGCTCAAGAACCCGCCATGTGTCGGCGGCGGCGGGAGATGGTCCGCTGTCTTGAATATCACAGCATGAGCGGTGATATAAGACCTAGCAGATGCATGTACTCACCTGGATAATATGAGAGGTCTATGATGGGGCCAGTCGGGTCAAAATGTACATGCTGGATGCTTGGACCAGCAGCGCGAAGAAGCGCTCCCATTGCTATAGCATCCTGCCAGGTCTCGCAATCCATCTCCAGCAACCTCAGGTTGTGCATAGGCAAAAATTCCTGTAAATTTAAAAGTGTTGCACAGCGTGGGTGTGTATCTCCGCGCCAGCTGCAGTATGAGGGAGCACACTTTCGTGCGCGACAACATCTCGCGGACTGCATACTTCTGGGTGGCAGACATAATCAGGTCTATGGGTTTCACGGAGAATCCAATAGAGTTCAGTTTTAGTGTATCGATGTCCGAGAAAAGTGCAAAGATGCCGAACATGTCTGCTATAGACTGATCGGGAAAACTTCACCTCACTGAGAGTGAGGGAGCTGATATTGTGTAGATGAGACACAATGTCGTAGATGAGCTGAGAGTCGACCTCTCGCGACTCCCGCAGCGGTGGGGTAAGGGGACGCCCGTCGAGGTCCACAGCGCTAGCGTCGTGAGGAGCAGCTAGGCGCAGATGTCGGATATGTCGAGCAATATGTGGTTTTCCTGTAATAAATTCTTGGAAGGGGATAAAGCCTTCGTTTCGGGCTTGTATGCGGAGCGTGTGGAAGAGGTGGTATTGACTGGAATGGACCCACGAGCGACACACCAACGCACACGAAGACAAAGAGAAATCGTCATGCAGATGATCGATAAATATTTCGCACATTTCCACCGGGAACCGAGGGCTTCTAACACTGTCGTGTTCCATCGTTTCTATGGATAAAAGCCACCTCACTGATCAGTCGGAAAGCATCGTGCGTATAACATGGAGAAGATATTTACAAAAAGCGATATTCCAGGCTATGCTTAGAATGCGGGGGTGTAGTGGATTTAACGGCAAATTTTAGTGCACTGACAGCTGGCAGTTCATTTGATGCTCCGTGACTTCACGCGTCATGTCACGATTGTCACAGTGATTCCACGGGTGACATGGACAGCCGCGGTCAGCCTGATTGTTCACTCCACTCTCACTAGAGCAATGACATCCTCCGGGAAGCATTTACACCCCGCGATTCCATATTTCCTGCGGAGATATGTGACTCATTCATTGACTATTTGTTTGACGACAAGCTGGGTCTCGCTGTGTGCACGTTAGTCTGCAGATCATGGACCGACCTCCGCACGCCTACATCTCTTCAACGACTGCGTTCGCATCACCGCCAAGAACGGCTCGTTCAACGCATTCCGCAAATTCCTTGTATCAGCACCCCACATCTCTCAGTATATACGACACCTTCGCCTCGCGGGCCTACCCAAGAGGGAAGGCCTCGATAAGTTCAAAATCCAGGACTTCCCATGCAACGACGCCATTTTCTCCTTCGGCGGACGATTTAGGTCGACGATATCACCGCTCACAATCGCGCCGTCTTTTCCGCAGTTTATGCTTTGTGAGTGCCTTTCCTACAGCTCAAGCTGGTGCGCGTTCTCGGCACCCCGCACGTACGTCTGCTCCCATCAAATTTACCCTCGCAATTGGTGTTCGACCGCTCGAAGTTACAGTAGCGTTTTGACTTCTGCGAAAGTTGAACCAAGTGAGAAATTATTGCGATTATTCCTTATCATACCTTTAGACTCGGGTGAAACCAACAAATATGGTATGACCCTAGCTAACAGCTACGACATTCCTGACACTGGCCCTTTGTACCGACTGCTTGTACAGTCTTTTAGGTTTGCAGCTGTATTTGGATCATCTTCCGGAACCTCGCCCCTAGCGTTATTTTCCAGACGGTAACCGACTCCGCCCTGTACGATGCTGCGGCTGCATGTTCCCCGCTGGTATCAGAAACACTAAACATGAATTTTATGCAGGCACGCGTGGGACGTGGACTCCGATGGGCGACGGTCTCCATCCGTCCTTCTCGCTCAGTAGCCTCCACCCAGGCGGCAGTCCGGTACACACCGGCTCCATAGGATTAGTGATGTTCGGAGGTTGGGCGCCTAGTGCGCCCGTGGCGGAGGAGCTTGGAGCGTCAGGCGCGCGAGCCAGTGCGAGGACTGCGGAGAGTCGCTGTTGCATGAGGTCAATGTCGGTGCTGTTCCATTGCTGCGGAAATGATGGCGGTTGGTAGAGTTAGGCGGAGCCGGTGGAGGATGCAAAGGGTCGAAGACGTACGTTTGATGGCGCATCCGCGATCGGAGGTAGAGACGCCGCCACTCTTTCGAGGTGTGGATGGCCTGCGCAGAGCGCAGTTAGCAGATCCTGTGCACTTTGCGAAGGAGGATGCCATCAGTCCGCAGATGACTTGTGCTCAGGAAAAATGCGCGTACACCATGATGTCCGTTTTTGAAGCCTCTCGCTGCGGACCCAGTCCGGTGATCAGAGAAACTACGATGTCGTCTCTTCTCAACATCTCTTGCTCCTCTTCTTCGGCGCCTGCGCCGCAGGTATCGACTAGCCAATTTGCCCAGCCGGCAAGACATCTGTCGTAAGATGTATCCATTTGAGCGTCATCCTGAGGTAATAGAGACACAGTGTCAGCGCCAACATCTGCCTGAGATGGACCAGATCGAGATAAAAGGTGCGAGACGATGCGGACGGCAAGCACCGCCGGAAGTTTGGGATGCAGGGATTGCAAATTGGTCAAAAGTGGTGTCCAGATGGCAAGGTTTGCAGGCGCAGGTGCCAAGGGTACGCCGGAGATGGTCCTCTTCCTGTAGCGAGAGAATGAGCGTATGGATTTCCAGAGGAATGATGAGCATACTTCTTTGAGACAGGAACAAGCGCGCCGAGCTCCAAGAGCGCATCACAAAGTCTCTCCAGCGCCCAGCGCTCCCGGCCATCCTCCATAGAATCATCCTGTGCGCCTATGTCCCACTCAATTGCATCGACAGATACGTTTGCCGCAACCTTTGCTTCCGCTACCCACCGCTCGATATCCCGCGTGACCTTTGCGATCTCATGTTTCCGTGTCGGCAACAGAGACGCATCGCGTGTCGTACCTTTGAGCAGTGTTTTGTACTGTTTCAGGAGAGGAGACAGCGGTCGCAGCACGGTCTTTGGCGAAGGGGCGGCCGCCGAAGGGTTCAAAGTCGGGAGGAAATAATTATCTAATAGCCATCTCATAGCCTAAACAATGCAGGCCTTTCAGCCAAGAAAATCTGCGAGATAAACATACGCAGTACCTCCCTGGCGGCCTCTCTGAGCACATCAATGCTAGGGAGATCTTCGTGCGTTGCGGCATGTCGCAGCTCCACGAGCCACGCTGGCAACCCCAGCTGCGCGGCGATGCTCGCAATGGAGCGGGCATAGGCACCTACTTGGAGCGGGTCTACGAGGCCATTCACCAATCGGATGAGCGCAGTTGCATAGCTCTGTCGGAGAGAGAGAAGCGATGGCAAGCCCTGTCTGCGCGAGTCGTCTAGGATGGCGCAGAGAAGGGCAAGTGTAGACTCCAGAGCATGCGGAAGGGATGTTATTGCCCGCCAGGCTGAGATCTGGGTCAAAATTCTTATGTCAAAATTGCTCTCAATAGCGAATGAAGTGGCTGACCCTGTTCACCGCTTGCACTTTTGCGTCAATGTCGTTCTCGTCTGCGTAGATCAAGGAGCATACTTGATCAAGTTCGCTCAGAGATTCCCAAGGGACGCGACGCGGAAGTCTCATGGTTTCTGGCGAGTTTCAGCGGATAAAGCCTGTTCTACTAATTGAATTCCTGCAGTTTAGAGGATTTTCATGTAGATACTTACAAGAGTTAGTCTCGGAACCAGCCGTTCTGACCTTCGACCCTTTTTGGGAATTGAGGTGGAAGGGTTGTCAGAACGTCTGGTGAAAATTGTATAGAAGGGGGGGGGTATGTAACGCTCTCCTGGCTATAGCTTCCGCACAGCGCGTGTCACGCTTTCTCGGGAGCGACCCAACATCTTTAACGCCCAATTTGGTAACCGCCAGGTTGCTCACGTGAACGTCTGGAGACTATACAAGAGTATTAATCGGAGGCCTTTTAGCATGAACAGAAATTTCAGCCAATCAGCTTCCGCGTCATAACCTTAACCCGAATTCAGCTAGCAGTCTCGGATTGATCTCCGATGTCCGAGGCACGCCACCGCCCTCATGGCAGATCTCCATTTGTACATACCAACCATCCGCTCGCTACGCTCACCGTCTCTTGTGCGAAATGCGCAGCGATTATACGTTGCTCTTCGCTGTGACTTCTGGTGAGACCTGCGCGCACACAGCCACGCCAGCTGCGGGGATGGAGGTCGGTTTAGGTTTACCGAGGGCCTACCGCAAACGCACGGCCGCCTTCCAGGCCAGAAGTCAACGACTCACCATGCGCTATGCACATCGCAGCTTTCAGCGCTTCAGCCATCACAAACTGCGCGTATGGAAGTGCTCAATCTCTCATCTGGGAGTCTTCTGAAACCTGCGACTTTTCCTGAAATTTCTCACGAATGAATTGCTGCTGCGCTAGAGCGCGCTCAAAACCAACCGCGCCCGTGGGCATTCTCTCTGCACGCAAAAGGCAGCCCTTGTAAAGAGCATCCGGAGCGCAAAACTTGTTCCAGTTCGTTATGGAGATCATTCGGTGTTGACTGAGATATAAATCTACGGAGCCGATGCTCACCTATTCATAGACGTACAGCCACTCCGAGGGCCCGAGACGCCCTACTGCACCAACGCCTTCCCGCGTTCGCTGTGGGCGCTGATCAGTCGCGTAGAAATGCACTATATATGCTGCTAGGCACAACGTTTAACGGTAGCAGCACACCCTCTCTTTCCACTCTAAGTTCCACCGCTGTTACGACCCTCAATCCGCGACCTCCAAAACACCAGAGACTATCAGCCATGGCTTTGGACAAACGGGGTGATGTCGCGGCGGCGGAGATTGTTATTTACATCCCTATCCTGGTGATCAGCTTTATACTGGTCGTGCGGCATGGTTTTGCCCGGACAGCGGGATGGATTTTCCTCGTCATTCTATCCATCAGTGAGCACTCTAATATCCGTCCAGCTTTCGCAGCTCACTGACTGTACTATTTTTCTTAGTCCGCATTGTTGGCGGCGTTACGCATGTTCTTTCAGAGACGTCGGATAAGAACAACTCGACATTAATCACCATCTACAGTATTATGGAGTCTGCGGGTCTGTCACCGCTGTTGATGGCAACCTTGGGCTTCTGCAACACTGTGTGGGTGGTACAAATGGTTCAATGATTTTACAATGTGTCTAATCATCTAATACTCTTAATTCGAAACACAGTGCACAGAACTCTGTCGACTCACACCCACTCATGTCCCGCGGCACGCATCTGATGGGTCTATTGGGCACGCTCGCCCTTGTACTGTCCATCATTGGTGGTGTGAAAATGGGGGTCGCGAAGACCGAATCGGATTTGCACAGCGCGTCGACCCTGCGTCACGTTGGTTCTATCCTCTTCCTTGTTTTATTCGTCGCGACCTTTTTCGTGCACGTCTTCCTCTGGAACAACCGTGGCCGGATCCTCAAGTACAGACGTCAGGCGAGCACCAGTCCAATGCGCTCTCTCCATATTGATTGACGTGCGCCGTCCAGCTGCTCGCGGGCATCTCCGCAGCGCTACCCTTTCTCTTCATCCGCGTGCTCTACAGCGTCCTCGGTTCCTTCGCGCCGCTAAGCGAGAGCATCGACGCCAACGGCAAGGTCACACACACGACGAACAACTCCTTTCTCAGCAACTTCAGCATCACGGGCTCATGGGTGATCTACGTCGTCATGTCCGTGCTCATGGAGTACATCGCGATCCTCATCTACGTCATCGTTGGTATCAAGACGCCGCTGCAGAACGACTACCTGCAGAGCCCGCTGGCGGAGCGCTGGGACGAGGATTCCGCTGAGTCGGCGAAGCTCCAGCCGTACGCGATGCAGCAGCCATATGCCCAGAGCCAGCCGTCGTACGCGCAGGGTCAAGGATATGCTGCACCTTACGAATGAGCGCGTGCGCCCGCCCGCCCTTCGACCGTACCCTTCGTTAGCCGTCGCACGTAGTTCGCACCCCTGGAGGATGCGGTGGGGGCTTGTTTTCGTGCTTTCGGTTGCTGATAAGTATTGGTGTTGCTCGCATCTTATTCAGATGTTTTTCGTAGTTGTAACTTAGGATCGGTCATGTCTATTAGCTACGTACACGTAACGCTCTCCTTACTGTAATTCCACCACTGCCTCACGCCAAGACAGCCATTCTTTGTGGACGAGTTTTCTATTTGTGTTGGGTATCATGTATGTACAGTGGTGTATATACATCGTGTGCTGGGTGAACAACATCTATGCATTGTGGGGATGCAAGTCCTGCTCACAAGCCACCATGAATTTTTTTGACATATAGTAGTTTACACCACTCTCGCATCATTGGGGAATAATGATCCCAAGCCCTAGGCCGATACCGGCAAAAGGCCGTCGAAGAGAATCGCAATGCATGCTGGGGGGTGTGATCGCAGGCGGAAGGTTGTCGGCCAATGGCGAAGACAAGATTATTCCCAGCCCGATGCACGCCGTCCTGCGGGTGATACGGGGGGTGACGCTGCTGGGAAGACCCAGCCCGAGTCCAACGTAAGCTCTCGCTTTCTCCGGCTGGTTCGCAATGGGGTTGGGCAGTAGCGGGCGGACGATGCGCGCCCGCTTGCTGTTGGCGACGCGGCGCACTGGTTCGATCGTGCGCGTGCACTCGTCTTCGCGGTCTGCTTCGTAGTCTGCCTCGTCTGTCTCTGCCTCCGGGATGCCCTCGTACGAGCGTGTTAGCTCGCTACGAGTAATATGTGCGAGGCCCGGGTATGAGGCCATCTCCATGAGTTCGGCGGGGGTCACACGGGGTAGGAATAGGCTCTCCTCCAGGGAGAGCGGTGTGAAGCACGAACTCGGAGGAATGATAGAGTAAGGGTGGGTAATCTCCGGACCAGCCGAAGAGGATGAAGTAGCGGTAGGAGACATGGCCAGATGTCTTTGCAGGATGGTACGAGTGCGAGTGCAGAGGTGAAGACGGAGAATGCGGATGACAGTTTGGCTGAGATGGTCGCGCTTTTATGTGTTTCCTGCGTGAGCCTTGCGCACACCCGACTCTGCGGCTACGCATGTCGGGTGTGGGACGAGTGTACATCCAGCAACGGGTAGGCGGCATTGCGGACACGGCGCGCTCTGCGTGTCCGCTTCGTGTCCGCGGATGAGCAATTGCAATATGGACCGTCCATATTGCAATTGCTCACTGGCCTCAACCGATGCAACTCCTCGTCGGGAGAAATGTTGCTCACGTTTCCTCGGGGAACAGAAGCTGCTCGGAAGCCGACATTTGGATCTATCTGTCATGCAGGAAAAAGTGAGATAATTGTCCAATCGTGCCGTCGTGCCGGCGTGTGCTAGACACCGACAGAACAACGCGAACGCGTCGCATACAAGGAATACTAGGGGTGCAGTTCGGATTATTTGAGTTTTGACTAGACGGCAGAGCGGATGTGCGCAATCCGAGTGCACATCCACGATGTTCCGCAACCAAGACGCCGACAAGTAAATTTAAAGTACCAATAAAGAGAAGTACCTGTATTGCCAGCCTCAGAATCGAAAATCCGGCCTTACTGACTCGGTTGCATTGCATTCGCTTGTGGGCGTCGAGGATGGACAGTTGCCGCACGGATTTGTGAGTCAGCCGCTCAAGCATTCCACAGATCTTAAAGCATAAAGCATAGATACTGGGCCTGGTAAGGTACATACAGGAACAGCATAAGAAGAAATATACGAGCGACATAGTCAAGCAGTTCCCACTCCGGGCTCCAGGAGGAACAAACGGTCGAGAAGCGCTCCGGCTTAATTATGCTCTGGTCAATCTTCCCCCTCCAGACTCTATACCCCCAGTGCCGACGCAGACAGAGAGTTGCCAGGCGATAGACACGAAGCTGTGGTAGGGGTCGAACATGAAGTGGAAAATAATTGACGCCAGGTCGTCGTATGCCCACCTGCCCAAAACAGGAAAGAGATTCCCATCCCCAAAGTCCAAGGGCGCTTAGCGATGCCATCATGGCGAGCAGACTGGGCGCATACAAGAGTCGATGTTTTCTCGTCTCTCCGCCGTCCTCCACCACCTTAACCACGCCAAGATGTCCACCACCACCGTCCACAACACCAACGTCGCCTGCTGCACCGTTCCTCCGGTCAAGTCTGACTACGTCCCGAAGGGGACCTACAAGGCTTATGGCGGCATCAGCAAGGTGACTTCATCTCCATTCGAGAGTCCAGGATATGAGGCCGACTTCTACACTTTGTAGGTGTACGTGACCGGACCCGAGAAGGTCGGCGACATTGCGATCGTCTGCGTGTACGATATCTTCGGGTCAGTATATCTGTGCCCATCAGTCGCTCTAGCTCACGCTCACTGTTACCCCCTCCCCCCTCCCATCCCCAAGCTTCAAGCCGCAGACACAGCAGGGCGCAGACATCCTCGCGGAGCAGCTCAAAGCACAAGTCCTCATCCCGGACTTCTTTGAGCCCGCGGGCCCGTGGCCGCTTGAGCACTTCCCGCCCAAGACAAACGAGGAGAAGGCAGGGTTGCAGGCATTCTTCGGCGGGCCCGCGCACCCACAGGACAGCGTTGCCAAGCTCCTGACTGTCGGGCGAGCGTTGAAGGCGGACGGTGCCAAGTTCGTTGGCACGTACGGCCTCTGCTGGGGTGAGCGAGTCGGGGTCGCCGCTGCAACGGAATGCTGACAGTGCTGCAGGTGGTAAGGTCACTATCCTTTCTGGCTCACAGACTGGGACGCCGTTCGATGCTGTCGCTGCTGTTCATCCTGCGTGAGGCTGAATGATGCGTGCATTGACGTCTGTTCTGAAATGATGTACAGTATGTTGTCGGCGCCCGACACTGAGAATCTTCAGGTGCCCCTGGGACTATACCCGACCAAGGACGAGTCTTACGAGGAGGTAATCAGTGCTCTGCTCCCAATACACACATGCTTACCGAAGAACGTATGATTGCAGTACGAGAAGATGCTCAGCATCGTCTCCAAGAAGCCGTTTGCTGCCAAGAATGACACGAAGTACTATAACGAAATGTATAATCATAACATCTTCGGTATCTCTTCATTATCATTGAAACACCCCGTTCAGGTTCCACGGATTCGCGGGAGCCCGTGCGGACCTCAACAACGCCGAGAACAAGAAATTGTGTGTCACAAATTCGTTCCATTTCCTCACCGTCCTGACACAGAAATCTCAGCTTCGAAGATCTATACGGCAACCTCATCAAGTTCTACACGAATGTCAATGGCATGCACACCCACTGAGGCGTGACAGAAGAACAAAGAAGGACGTAGAAGTCGTCGAGTCCAAATGTAACATGTCGTCCATATATGAAAGTCTGTCAATCATTCTACAATTACAGCGAAAGGTGACTAAAACCCGCAGAAAACACACGGTAAGATGCATTACCTATTGTGCGCACACGCGTGGCACTGGCAGCGTCTCGCAAACCTAGTTATGATAGAATGGCAGAGCACTGTGTGCTTTCCACATCCAGAATGGACCTGCAACGACGATCAGTAATGTACCAATAATCTCCAAGCATGGTCTTACCGGCAGGATCAGCTAAGGAATACAAATATACTGAGATCAGTATACAAGATCTAAGACTAAATGAACGGACCTTCCTCGTGAAATGCCCCCGTCCAAATACCTGCGACGCCCGCCATGCTGCACACATTCCCAAGCTGGACGCCCTCGGCGCTGGTTCCACGTTCAGTAATAAGCACAAACGGGCGAGTTACAGCCACTACCTCCATTGCGTCAGCCCATCATACTTCGTGACCTATACAGGTGGATCAGCTTTAATAAGCAGAGAACTCCAACAGGACTTACGAAGAACCACCTGATACAGCCATCCGAGAGAAAACGCACGGAGCCCTCGACGGCAGCCTCGCCACTGTGGCTGCCGCGCGAGAAGCCTTTAAAGAAAAGGGGCGGATAGTCTGTTATCGTCTCTGCGTCCGCTCCATCTTCGGGATCGACCACCTCCAGGTGCAACTCAACGGGACGAATTGCTTCTTGGTAATTCTCGCCGAAGAACGAAGGGTCACGGGCCCCATTGCGGGATGAAGAAAACTGGTGGAAGTGGCAATAGTGTCAATCGAGCTGTACCAGAGCTGCGATCAATTGTTGACTCACATTGAATGCTAACAGACGGACGAGGTGTCAACGTCAGTAAGATCATTAGTCCAACATCTACATACCAAAGAGGTCACTGCCCACGGGGCATCAGCGCAAGGTACGTTCGTATAATTCTGGCACTTACCGATAATCCATAAAGCACACAAAGCGCCTCCAGACACCCGAGACGCCAGCCCAGTCATGGGCTTTACGCGAAAATGAGTGTGGGGCAGAATACGCGCGCAACCCACCCAGTCCAGGCACAGGGTAGCCGTAAATCTGCAGCGCAAGAAGCGGGAGCTCGCGCAACTTCATCGCGACCACGGTAACAATATGCTCCATATGCTCCCAATTGACCTTAATGCCCTTCTCTCCAACGACGTACGGCCCCCAAAGTGTCTCCTCCTCGTACTTGCGGAGGTCATAGACATAACAGCGGCTCGTGCGGCGCAGCACATTCAGGCGACGGCGAGACTCGTCGGTGTCCCCGTTCTCGTGCCAGAGCGCGAGGTAGGCACGCAAGCGGCCGTGTAGCTGCCGCTCCGAGCTGGGCACGAGGAAATAATGGAACGCACACTTCTGCAGGACGCCATCGAGCCAGAGCAGGTTTGTAGAGTCGGTGCCAGGCGTAGCCGTGGCCGGAAGCGCAGTCTCGATCACGGACATGAAGGTTTGCAGTGCGCGCGTGAAGTCCGGTCCCTCGATGGCCGACTGTGCTACCTTCTCAGCTTCTATCCTGCGCTGGAGCTCCATCTTCCAGTCGAAATCCACTTTCTTCGCGCCGAACGGTAGGACGGCTTTGCGAAGGTCGTCGAAGGGCAGCTCGAGGAAGAGCTCGCGCCAGAGATACTGGTCTTTGGACTTGTACACCAAATCATGGGCACCGCGGCATGTCTGCGCAAAGTTCTGCAATCGAGAACTTTATCAGTCGCCATGTGCGAGAAAGGGGGAAAGGTGAACTCGAACCGAAACATCGCGAGGATGGCAGAAAATGAGGATGCGCTCTGCTAGCTCTCGAGGGAGAAAGAGCATGGCAGATGCCCCTGTGAATTCGAACATGGTTGGTCGAAGAACAAAGAGCGGTATGAGTGCGTGTCTCACCCAACTTCGGCTGCTCCGTAACCTCAGCACGTGACCCATTATCGCGCTATACGCGCGACGCGTCATATTTTCATTACGCGTAATACACCTCGTGTAACTTATCTTCCCTCAGACGTCGTCGCGGAATCCGGACAATTTTTTTCGAAAAAATCGACCGAACGATGTCGCAGCATCCGGGCAAACGAGCCCTCCGCATCGACAAGGCCGTCGCGCCATCCGGACAGTGTGCTTGGCCCTGTGTCGGTAATGGACCGCCAAAAATTCGAAAATCCGGAATTTTTGGCGACGACGTCTAGTAAGGGGATATTCCTGGGTCCTCGTATGGCCGTCTCAGAAATGCAGTATGTTACAATTTGGTGGTGCAGAACTGCTACAAGCTAGGTGATACTGAATGAGGCGAAACTCAAATGCATTGTGCAAGGAGAAGAGAACAAGAAGACCAAGTGCATCAAATGTCAATAACCCAGCTGCAAAGGAAACGCGAGCAACCTGCCATAGCCAGTATCAGGGTCGATGTGGTAGTACAGAAGACCCCAAGTGGTGCCGATGAAGAGGATAATGAAGAGAGTGACGAGTCCACCGCTGTAGCTTGAATCCGGAGGCTGGGAGGAATCTAGAGGGGTGATGATTCCCGCATCGTCTGAGGGCCGTTCTCTCTGAGAGAGGTAGACATCGCAATCTGACGGGGACTCGGCAGATGCTGCGTAGGGCGACGGAGAACGGTTCGGAAGCGGAAGCATATCTGGCGGTGATTCAGTGGCGACTGGGACCACGGCCTGAGTGATAGCCTCGCCGACTGGGCGTCTGCGGAGTGCGCGTTTGGGGAGAGGAGGTACGTTGACATAGCAGAGATTCTTTCTGGGTTTGGATTTAGCCTGGGGATGCGATTCCCGTTTCGCTTCGGAGTCCAAGAGAGACGCCTCTTGTCGCACTTGCCCGCCGTTCCCTCCACCAGAACTGCTATCTGCTGCACGCGACGTCTGCCTCGTGCGAGGCAGGCTCGTCTGACTTCCCGTCTTCTCTTCTAGGACAGGCCGTCCCCGACGCGAGCGCTCCTGAGGCGCTACCACAGCCTTCTTTCGACTTCCCAGTGGAGCCTCCGAGGATCCAGGTATATTGGCAGGTGCTGTCTGCGCGGCTCGAGCTCGCGGGAGGATTCCTTGAGGTTTCTGGTTTTCCCGCTGCTTTCGCGAACGAGTGATTAGTACAGGGGAACGTGGTACTTGCATTGTTGCCTGCAAGGCGCGATATGTGAGTCAGTATGTGGTCTGAACACTCTCAGAAGAAAAATGCTCGCCACTGGGACTCGCGAACAACAGTGCACGTACGATTGTCTAGTGGTGGGCGTGTGGTTGAACGCCAGTGAGTGTTGACAGCTACCTTCGCGTGAGGCAACTTGGAGATCCAGCTCCCGATCCCGATCGGAAGCATACAGGATGTGGAGTAACACATCGATTACTACTATCGTTACCTCAGTAATGCAATTGCGATTGCATCTCTGTCACCGTTCCTTCAAATCGGGCCCGTTTTCCTTCGAACCTCTTTGGATCAAATATACAACATATAAGCTACCTTCTGTGTGACTGCCAATTTTTTTCCTGATGTTGTGCGACTCCAAGACCGAACGCAGTGAAGAGACTGATTTGCACGCAAGAGCGCCGAATCGGTCACAGATCGTCACGCTTGCCGACGTGCCGTTCCCTTGTTCTCCCTCTAGTCGGAGTTTTAAATGGCACATTTCACTGTCACGCCTAAGTCCTCCAAACTTGCAATTCAGAAACTTCGCACTCTTCCCCTCCGAGTTTGACTCCCAAGTTGCACAGCCAAGGTATTTGGGACTGTGCACATCTATTGCATATTTTTTTGTGATTTTTAGTGCAGCAAAATGCGGCAAAACGGCGAAATTGCATAACTAGACCAGATTGCAGTACTGGGGTAACGATAGTATATGCACGCTTCTGAATCTTACGATATCGCGTGATTGATACATTCGTAGGGCTAAAGAAATGACAGTTCAAGCTGCATAAGCGCACAGACTTCAGAACATGACAGCCCACTATATCAGGAGTCAGGCCTGCTGCTCGTGCTGAGGCTTCTCTGATAACGGTGTCAGATGGCGCTCCCGATGGTTGTTTACAACGTGGTGATCCCTCCGCTGCGGCCCCCACATGGATGTATCTGGCGTCCATGACGGTCCCCAGCGGTAGGGAGCGTGCAAGTCTGAATCTCCTGTGCCGGAGTTGCACGCCGGTGTCCAATAGGCACTATGTAGGGGGAGCACCTCAATGTAGTCGTTCAAGAACTCCCCGATCTACAGAGAAAATCACAGAAATTCGAGCTTGAGACCAATGACATGGGACCGACGAGTATGCCACGCACCTGTGCATCGTCCATACCAAGCGCCTCTGCATCGCTCGAAGACTCAGTGATGGAATCAGATCCATAGCTTTCGCGAGCGTAGGTGTCATAACGAATGCATGTACCATTATCACACAGATGTACATGAAGTGGACAGTTGCTTCCAGTTGTGGTCGAGTCGGAGGTATTGACACCGTCTAGAGCAATCAGCTCCCTTTTGGCGAAGAGTGCGTTGAAGATGAGGCCAACGATAGGTCCGATAGCATGCTCCGCATACAAATCTGCATGGGACATACCAGTACAGAGGAACCTGAGCCACGATCAAACTTGCCTAACGCATCATCGATCCGTACGAGAATTTAACTAAGAGAGATATCAGCAACTGTACACAGTGCATATAACTGTTCACACACGCTTGGTGCCATAATTGGCTGCTGCTCCGACTACAACGCCCATAATAAGAGACTCTCTTTCCGAAGCAGGGGTGGCAGCGACTAAACCAGCGATAGTACCAGAGCAGAAGCCGACCATGCAGAATTTGCGCTCTAGGCGATAGTCTAGTAGACTCCACACGATCCCGGCCATGCTCCAGCGATTATGGAGTTTCATATAGCGAGGACCACATGCAGGTTCGCCCAAAACGTGCTTCCGGTATTGAACATGAACCATCGGAACCATATCATGAAGCTCCCGAGTGACACGTTGTGTGAGCAGGATTTCAGCAGTTCGCGCTCGTTGCGCTGGCCAAGGACCCAGGGGAACGATACGCCGGACACGCCGCTGCCGATCTCTGTGGGCCCGCCACCGGATAGTGATGGCCGTGAGCGAAGAAACAGAGGTTGTAGGAGCGGAGCACCTACCAGCATAATCGAGCACACTCCACGTGTATTCACAGCCACGAACAGACCATGCCCAGCACGCGAGTAGATAGTAGATGAGCGTGACCCACAAAAGTGAATACCATACTGGGGAGCACTCGTCCTGGCTCCGCAAACACACACATAAGGATCGCGACCGTCACACACGCGAGCTCCATCTGGCAGAAGCTGTACGGCAACTCGGGGAGCGGCGAGCCAGGGCTTGGATCACTGAGCACCGTCCACGGGGGAAAGCAACGGAGATCATCGGTGTATCTGTTCATCGCGGTCAGTGAAAACGCAAGTGAGTATTGCTAGAAAAACCACTGCAATTTCCAAACAAGCGACAGCACACTTTTACATTTCTGCTATAAACGCGGTGTCATCGCCAGAATATACCAATCGCGCGATAAGCCCTTCGGGCCGACCACTGGTAATGGGCGCCTGGGAACTTGCTGCTTAGAACGACCTTCAACGATGCACAATGTGGTTAGACAACGTACAGGAATGTGAGTACAAGTCATACTCACGAATAGAGCCAATTCCCTTCAGTTGAACTGCCTCATACCTATATGCGCTCACAACGACGGTGTCAAAAAGAGCGGACATCTCGATTGTTCATATCTGTAGACGATACAACTTAAATAAGCATTCAATACATAGAAGAAGGGGCGGTGAACGTCTACGTCAGTTTGAGTCTGCACTCCGATTGGTTGATTGCCAGCTTTATCATAGGTAGCAGCAGGTCTAGAGGCTGATACCACATTCGAGGTCATTGATTCAGTCCTCCAAGATGGCAACGTGCCAGCGAGTCTCAACTTGAAGGTCAGCAGAGTGGAAATTCGAATACTATTGCCGCTATTGCATTGATTTCGACCATTATAATTGTGTTGTGTAGCCTCCCCATGCCTTGTCGAACCTGGTAAGTGGCGATCAGTGATTGTAACGCCAAAAGAGGGAACTCTTGTACTTCGAGTCGTTCGACGATTAATAGCAAACCACAAACAAGTATTGGTCATTTACATGAAACTGCTCCATCAATCTCGACAGGAATGCCTTTCGACCTACGAATAGATTGTCTGAGAGAATAGTATCAGACTTTTAGCTTTCAGCCTAAGCAGCTGTTAGTTATTCATGGAAATGATCGACTTTCACAAACTTTCCGCGCTGATTCTCTCAAACACCGATTCAAATAGAGAAGACGCATGTCAGTATAGCGATTGTGTTGCCTAGGGAATAGTGGTGGAATCAGGCGGAAAATGCCGATTCGGAACGCTCTCTGAATCAATCTAGTTGTCTTCTCGCCGCCACCACGTCAGCTAACGTCTCCGTCTCCGTGTTCATCCTCGCGAGGCTGATGTTTCAGAAGACCGTCCCTAGTCACGGATGAATTAACGCGGCGGCGTTTACCTATTCGGGATTCGGGATGAGCGCCTTTACATCCTTTCCTCTTTGTTTCTTTCACTTTCCTCTCGTCGTCGAGAGCATCCCTTCGGACGCGGTCATCCTTATATCTTTCTCGTGATGACTGACAAGAAAAAAGCAGCACAGCTCAAGGAGGAAGGCAATGCCCTATATGTGAAGCAAGAATACCATGCGGCTGCCGAAAAATATAGCAAGGCGTTGGAGTACGACAGTGACAATGCTGTTTTGTACGCGAACCGTGCTGCTTGCGCTTTGGGAATAAAAGAGTAAATCATCCTTAATCAATATGCGTCTATGTGTTTGCTGATGTCATTATCCAGTTATCCCCATGCTAGTGTCGATGCACAGAAGGTGACAGCACGACTAAATCGCTCAGTAGTGGAAACGTTTTGCTCACAATATGTCGATGTTAGGCCACTGAGATTGATCCAACCTACGCCAAAGCGTGGGCGCGACTTGCCACCGCTCGCGCTGTAAGCTTTTTCTTCGAAGCAGACACGTGTATCTCATTTCTTGCCATTATGGCCCTACCTAGGCTCTTGGCACCATAATCGAGAGTATCGAATGTTGGAACAAAGCATTATCTACTCTCCCAAGAACCAACTTAAGCCCTGCCCAGTCTAGGCAGAAGGAGCAGTACGAGGCGGAATTGAGGAAGATCAGAGCCCAAGAGCACGATGCACCAGCCGTTGGGATCGTTATGAAGGAAGGAGGGAAAGAGGCGCCGTGGGTTCGCGCGAAGGCTATGCTACCCAAGCTACGAAGTCTCGGGTATGCAATGGTGCAGAGTAGCGTGAGTTGTATCCAACCCTGTCGCGAGCGGTGTTCACCGTTAACTTAATCTCCACTTAGGCATGGGTTATATCGGCAGCATACGATGTAGCGCAATTTGAAGTCACAACCTATCTATTTCTGACTTTGCCCTTCTTCCAGGATTTCGCTCAAGGTGTTGAGTTGATGAAGTCCATTAAAAAGTCTCCTACACCCGCGGGAATAATGTACTCAGGCCCCCCTGGAGTGAGTCCTGCACCATCTCTTGTTATCATTTCTTACACGCAGGAACCAGGCTATCGAAGCTCTCACCAATGGCATCATGAGGGACTCCCGTGCCTTCCACATCGCAGATAACAATTGGCTGGAAATGTACAATATACAGGGTACATTGTTCCATATTATTTCCTGATATAGGCTGAGTATCTGCAGTGATGGTGAACTGTCAGAGGTTTCAAGCATGGACCGGAGACAGTTCGCAGGTCATCGCAGAGGCCCTGAGGCGGCAACGCAAGAAGGGCTGGGATGATGTTCGTCCAGCAATATCGACCACAGTTCGGTACGTAGCCTGACAGTGCCAAAGGGGAAGCTGACATGGGTCCCTAGAGCGTGGATCATGCGAGCGCTCATAGCGGACAAAATTCAACAGAAATCGGATGATGCTTTAAAATTTTATGACTGGATCCTGGATGTGCTTCAATGGGGTAGACGTGTATGGAAATCTGTACCAAAAGACGATCGCGGTTCTGTCTTTGAGAGCACTTTTGTGCGCGGCGTTCGTTCATTACGTCTCGAGAGCCTGATGGAGGTACGGTCTCAAGTGACAGTCATCCTCCTTTCAGGCTCTGATCCCATTAGTTTTCCAGGCTTGCTCAAAAAATCCCAGGCCTGACTCCAAATATACTTTGGAGGACCTCTTTGAAGAGGCCCAAGACCTCATTCGCGAAATTGACATCGCAATGACGAATATACCTACCGTCGAATACGACCCAGGCTTCATTTCTTCATTCTACATCTATCCCAGAGCGCACGCATACGCGTACGTGTTCAATATCTGCCATTTCGGAGTGAGCTAACAGTCAGGGTGCTGGCCATCTAGCATGATTGGATTCTATCACAACAAAATGGCAAAGCAGTGTGCAGAGCTTGGAGTGACTAGCTTGGGGGACGTCATGATCCACTTCGCGGAGGCGTCCAAGGCTTATCTTACGGCAGCAACCATTTTCCCCGAAGACGACGAGAATCATGTCTGTGCGTTCAGGATTCTTTTCGTACTGGCCCACCCACTCTGATATTTCTGGTTGGTCCACTACCATCACAGGGTACCTGAATTGCGCTCTCGATGCGTTGTACAGTTGTGGCACACCCATCAAGATACTCTTGCCTATAATGGAGCGCGTACGACTCGCCATTCCGAAGATGAAGGAGATCTGGGAATTTTCTGCGCTCGCACACCAGGGAAGGGATTCGATATTGCAGAAAGTCTTGTGGGGCGAAGAGGATATGCGGAAAGGACTCGCCGATGGCAAGTTTACGCTGGAGGACAAGGTTATGCCAGAGCTGCAGAAGTAGCTCGTATGGTCTGCTGTAGGCGTAATCCCTCGAGTGCGGAGACTGGTAAACACTTGAAAGACGATCTATTCCAACGATCTATACTCGCAGCGTTCGTTGCGCGGATCCCCCTGATCAGACTTGTTAATAGAATACGCCGATAATAGTATACCGATATACATCTGGTACGAGAATACATATAATAGCATCCAAGAAGAATCTAGACCCCCTTTAGATTGGCGACCAGAGTCAACAATGGCTGCCGCGGTGATGTCTGCTTACGACTCAGGTTGCATGGTGTGGCTAGCATTGGCTTCGAGTTCATGTGTTTCGTCCCCCGCACCATCGCTACCTTCAAGGGCCCACGTCTCATCTACGCTCGTATGCAGCGGCAAGTGCTTCATGAACAAACTGAAGAGGAACCCGAGCCCGGCAATGCCGATCAAGACCTGCCAGACGACGCGCAGACTCGTTGCGAACGCCAACTGCACTTCACTCTTGAGCGGCTCCTGGAGCGTCGGGATGAGCGGGATGATGGAGTACGCGATGGCTGAGCCCTCGGGAAACTCCTGGGTGAATGCAGGCGGAAGCTTTTTCTTTAGCTCGTTCTGCAGTACCGTTCCTCCAATCGTGACACCCAAGATCTACAACGCATAAGTCATGCCAGTGCACCAACAGAAAGAGATAGAGATAAGGATCCTCACGTTAGCGAAATTGCGGAAGAACGTGTATAGAGAGAGAGCCTGTGCGTTGTACTGGACTGGCAGTGGGGCGAGGACAGGGAAGAAAACAGCTGCAGTGAGCATGCCCACTCCAATTCCCGCCACGATCTCGAAACCGATCACCCGGGAGCGCGGCGTGTCGGCATGTATTATACTCAGGAGACCCATGCCAACGATGACCAGCGCCCAGGATATCCATATTTGTGGTCGATAGTGGTGGGACCTCGCGATAGACAGACCGGAAATTACAGCCATAGGTGCAATACTGAAGGCCAAGCCGAACACGTCAACACCGGAGGCAATTGGCGAAGCATCCTTGCACGCTTGGAAGTACACTGGCATGTAATCTGATAGACGGGATTTTGTGAGTCGTGAACGCATGAGAATCAAGATGGACATACAGAGCATACACAAGATGACGGTGAAGAGTATCATTGTCTGCAAAAAGCCACTCGTAGAAGTCCGGTTTGCCATGAGAGTATACGAAATCTGAAGAACAGTTCGGGAGCCGATCCACAAGGCAGGTCAAACGTAGAACGTACGATCGGATTCTTCGGAACGTATGCTTCAAATACCATGAAGCCCACCAGACCGCATAAACCGAGAATCAACGGCAAAAGAATATGCACCGACGTCCAAGAGTACTGGACCCCGCCCCAGGTTAACCCAATCATGCTGGATGTCGTTGCCCCAATTACGATGGCATTGCCCCTGAAGATCCACCATCAAGAACCGCTCAACGTGCTGAACATGAACGTACAGCCAGTCAATCATTCTCAGCTTCTCTTTGAATGTGCCAGGAGGAATGCGAAGTTTCAAGAAGAGAATAACCAGAAGTTCAACTACACCGCAAATCGGAAGATTGAGATCTGTGCTCGCAATTGGCACCCATAATTATAATGATAAAACTGTGATCACGCACAGAACAACCACCTCCATTGTCCGTGCTGAGCAAATGCTCCGCCCACTACAGGTCCAATGCCACTTGCGACGACAAAACTCCTGAAAGAGAATGAGACATCGCCTGAAGAGATGAGAGTTCTTTTACATCGCAATGAAACCGTTGAACACCCCTCTATCTTTCAAAGGAACGAGGTCGGATAGGATGATCTGACACATCGACTGAATTCCGCCACCTCCAACTCCTTGAACGGCTATGACAACGACTTGCATCAGCGAGCGTTCAAGGTCTGGATTGCATGGGATGTATACCTCTTCCAGCAATGAGGAAGTTCATCGAGGGTGCAGCGCCGCAGAGTGCACTGCCAACACCGAAGAAAGCAACGGAGGCCAACATAATAGCCCTACGGCCAAATATCTTCTTCTATTAGTATGACAACCTGTAATTCAGTGTTGGTTTCTTGCACCTGGGCAAGGTTTCCACTGAGAGGAACGAAGGCTGTCGTGGAAATTGTGTACGCTGATCCGACCCACACGAACTGTTCACCATGCAATGCATCAACTATGCTCGGAAGAGCAGTGGTCACCGAAGCCTGTAAGCTATCAGTTTCAAGCTACGTGGCTCGAATATCCAACTTACCAGTTCTAGAGCCGTGAGGAATTGGGACGTGTTAATACAGAGGAAGACCATCCAGAAATGTAAGTCGCGTTTATACGGATCGACCTTGGGGGCTGGTTCTATCTCAGCCAATGGAGTCGAGTTCTCCATGATGCCTGGATTCGGTGATTTCATCGTCACAATGGGCATATCCTGCTGTTCCGTCATGGTATGAAAGCCTTGCAGCGAGCTGTATAATCTGAGCGTTCCAACCGCGTACTTTGATCCTCACGGGTCGGCGGACAAGGATGAAGCAGGACTCAGACACAGAAACAGATGAAGAGGGACAAAGAAGGATGGTTGGGGCGAGCACCACCTCTCCAACGCTTGATCCGAGGTTGGCCTGGCTGCATAATATCATGTCTGTCTCTTTGAAAGAGCATGATAAGAAGCGGGAGACGTCATAAGCCACAGAATAGTGGTTAACACATGCGTCCGAGGAAACACGCACCTCGGAGTCTGCTTCGGACAGGCCGCTGCAGCATTTTAGACGAAAAAATTACTGTCATGCTGCTTGAACGTGTGCAACGTAATGACACTGATGCATGGCGAGAACGGCCCGGTGTTGTTATAACGAATAAGGGACTGGTATACATGTTCGAGTGGTCGGGTGCAGGCTGTACATCACGACAAGTACCGAACAACCTTAATCAATCTGTCAATACAAACACGCAGTTTGCATCAGTGAGCCGGACATGAGCGCAACATGGAAGGTATGGAGTAAGCATACCACGTAGTTATAAGACCAACCACCCCAGTCGGACTTCTTGAATGCTGCTATTCATGCAACCTCCGATTAAAGCTTTGTGCTCGAACGGCGGGAAGTAACGAGCGTATTGGTCACCATGGGTCTAAGAGTGCGATGTCCATTCGTCGAGATCCGAGCGCACAGGAAGCACCGCAAACATCATAGAATGGGTGCGCAAGTTCTCACGATGGCAAAATGCATCGCGGTGGTCCTTTGTATCGGAAGTTAACCTCTCCTCGGAGAATTGGAGAGCCGTGTCCATGGGTGGAAGCCGCGGGCGTCATCGGTAGACGCGCAGAATGGAGTCTTCGCCTGACCTCGACCAAAAACTCAATGGACTGTCAGACACGGATATCCGAGGTACGAGGTTGAAGCAGAGTGTCTACCATCTGCCCTTGGGAGACTAAATGGACTGTGTGATGACCACGCCCGATGACCACAGTAAGAATGCAGTGACCGACCTGCACTCTGCTATATCCACTGGTAGCAACTGCTCACTGACGTTCACGAGACTCCAGCAACCCGGAGAATAGACAAACGAACACCGTCGCGCGTCCCACTTCGAATTTTTCGATCACGTATTAGGTGATCTCTGTGAAGGCTCCCTCGATTGTATACCGACAAACGACTGGAACGGTGCTGTGGACTGAATATGAGACTGAATTAAAGAATGCCACATCACCAGCAACAGGTTGAAGAGTGTGGAGTATGTCCAGTACCGAGCAACCCCGTCCGTCGTTAAAAAGTTGAAGCACGATACCGAGCGCCTCAGAAATTATAATCCCATGAGCCTATAGTCTGCAGGAACCAAAGTCGCCCGAAGTTGAGTTACGAGGAAGGCGTCCGGTTGAGAAAGTCCGATCACTTGCCGCTGAACAGCTTGAGCGCTGTTGACCGCGTTCAAGTTGCAACTTATCCCTCGTCACTCAGTACTGAAGATATGATATTTCGAGCCATCTGATGACAATCTTGGATCTCTTCAGGTAGGTACCTCGAGCAAATACTTTTTTCAGTTATGAACCTCTTGTCGATCGGTCGGCAACCGTACTTATACTTTATTTAAAGTCGCTAATCCACCACATTATTATTTTGTGGATCATTTCCTGCTGCACAGCAATTTGCGGACATTGGGCACTGGTAGTCACCGCCAGTAATGTGCTCTCGATGCAGACGCAAAGACCTCATCATGGTGATACATTCCTATTTGCGATCCACACGAGCGAGTTTCACCTAATGGAGTATTTTCTTTTGCGCTGTTCTCTTCCTCTGCTTGCCTATCGCTTAGAATTATTTTTCGACGGCGTCATTCGGCATCGTTATATTTATTCTCGCGTGCCAACTACCCCGAGTTGTTGTTGCTCGGCTGTTCTAACTTCGACAACTTAGCATCAGGGGTTGCCGTGCTGTGAGCACATGCAAGTGGTATGCGTTATCTTTCCACTGGTGCGCAAATTGCGTACTGACATATGCCCCCAGGAATTCAGATCTCGCGGACGTCAGTGTCGACGCAGACACGAGGATCGATGCCTCTCAGCGCCACTGCGGGGTCTAGCTTCCATGCGTATCGTGCCATTCAGTATATTGTCCATGATCTCTAGAACAGAACGCTGCTTGTATTTAATCGACAGAAGGAGTAGGTGAGTGAGTAGGTGAGTCGCTACTATAATGATTAAATGGCGTGCTCTGGTACGAACCTGACCTCCGGTAGTAGCTGCGATCAGCATCAATTAGAGGCTGTAAGGATATTCGGTGAATAAAGAAGTCGAGGCGCCGGAGTAAATACGCGCTCAACCGCGTTGAAAGTTCTGTATTTTGCTTGCCGAAAACTTGCCTTCCGAATACTTTCAGTTCAGTGCATTTCCGACGACTCTCAGATCACCTACAGGCCGCAAAAGCCTTATACAGGCATACCAGATGTGTTGGAGATGGGGAACTGCATGCTGGTGCGCCTTGCAGAGCAAGCACAAGGATGAGTCATGACGAACACTGCCAGGGGGACAAAGGAGGTAGCTGGATTAGCCATCGATGTATGATCCAACCTGGCGAGAACGATTGTACCAAAAGTCAACGTTTAAGGGAAGCGACGCGGCTTGATGCCATCTCCGACGGTCGACGATAGATGACCTCCTGCAACCCTTGATAGTATCTTCGATGGCCAGCAGCGCGGACGCAGAAGGATTGAACGCAATCAGGTTCTAAACGGCGACATTAGGAACAAGATGGAAGCATCACAAAGCGGCCGCAATACCAACCAAATATAAGCATCGCGGTTGGAGCTCTGGCGGCTCATGCAACAGATCACCAATTTATCAGCGCCTCCAAATCTCAGCGCCCACACTTGATAGACAAGAGCGTTCAAGTAGTGGATGAACGACCCAAACAGATCGTCGATAGCAATACGGCGCCAGGAGTACTAGGGAGCGAAGAAAACAATACGTCCTTTTACTGCATGACGCATGAACATTCGAACGTTACGGATGAAAACTTCGCCAGAACGGCATAGATAAGCACTAGATAAGGGAGCTGACATGTGAATTCGCTTACGAGAACCAAGAAGTTCCGTGTACAAGATATCAGGTGTGGGGAACAGCGACTGGAAAAAGAGGCGGAGTAATCCCATCCCTCCGAGTCAGATTCGGGTTGTGACTGCGGCCGTGCACTATTGTTGTGCTCGAGGCCCCATTGCTTGTCCAGACCCGGCTGCAAGGGCAAATGTTCTATGAACAGACTGAATAGAAGCCCAAGGCCGGGCTAGACAACCTTCAGACTTGCTGCGAAGGCGAGCTGTAGTTGTTCTTGTGCGGCTCTTGCAACCTTCGGATGAGCCGGATGATGGAGGGTCCTGAGAAGCTCGTTCTGCATCACATAATGACGCCCAAAAACTGATAGGGAAGATCGCGTCAGTGCGTCCGCGCAAAAAGCTCAGCTTGCTAGACGGAACAAGCTCACATTAGCGAAGTTCAACACTTCTGGACGGACATGTAAGACGGAAGCTGTTGCATAACACCCAGGGGTACAAAGCAATGTGGCGAGCTTGGCGGGACATTTGCGTTAAGCCCAGGGTGCGGAGAAAACGATACGCAATTCAGGATGCAACGCACTCGCCAGTATAGGTGGTGCCGATAGCCCTACGAGGCCTAGGGGTTCCAGAATGATCTGGCAGTCTGGCAGGTCGGAGAATCGCAAGGGCGAGACAGAGAACTCGTAAGCTCCGTCGGCCCGGGATTTCATTAAGGGATCGTAGCGGCGCTCGCGCCATTCCCCGACTCCGATGGGGTGCTGACGATTTTTGTAAGAGTGAGGGTGTATGATTGGTGGTTATGTAGTACAAGTACAGGCATTTATTACAGTAGTTACAGCAATGGAAAACTAGACCCACCTACTGGAGGATATTGATAAAAATCTCCCGCAAAAATTATATTAATACCTCCAAACCATACATCTGGTTTTTCTCTGGCATAACGTAATGCATGATCTATCTCAGAGAGTAACTGACAGCTAACCAGTGAGATTTCATCAATAAGTACAAACTCAACATGCTGCCATTCATCATGCAATACTGTACAATTTTGAACACTAATTGTTACTGTATAGTCCTGTTCACTTTCGCCCAGTCGCCTGTTGCCTTTACCCTTTGTCTTTGATTGTATCTTCAAACCGAGTCCTTTGTGAATTGTCATTCCATTGATTAGAGCAGCAGCAGAGCCGGTAGGTGCAAGAAAACGAATTTGGTATAAGCAGCCAAAGTATGTCATCAATTCTTTCAAGGCTTTGACAACATGCGTCTTGCCTGTGCCACCGGGACCGGTGAGCAACAAGTACAGCGGTTTCATTACAGTGTCTGATTTGACTACATAGTTTTGAATAAAATGTTTTGCACAAATCTGAAAGGCATATGTCTGCTTAGCATTTAAACTGTAGGATGTCTGAACAGACTGTAGAACTTTCATTGGGGACTGTTCAACTAATGCAGTAGTATCACTCATATTTGGGGCTTCTGTGGATGTGGTTAATTGTTCTGGTATTGTAGGCGTCATGTAATACTCAGTGTATGCAGGAGTTTTTTCGAGAGTAAACTGAGAGCTCATGTTGCCAGCATTACGTCTTTTCTGCATTACTTGCATCTCTTGCTCATGTAGGGCTGACTTCCACTTCTGCAACTGCAAGTGGGTTATATTATATTTAACAGTGGATAGTGCAGCTATCTTGTGATAAGTGTTGTGATGGAGCCAATTGCACTGTTCAAGTAAAGAGACAAACTGCTGTATCTTAAAGTCATTGACTGCACTTCGTCTATCATGTGATGTAACATCAACATCATCATCTGTGTCTGCTGTAACAGATAAGTACATGGATTTTGTCAAGTGACGTGATTCTGCTAGCAGCGTCACTCGCTTGCGCAACTGTTCACTGTCTCTTG